TGGGCTCGGCTTGGCCAACAGCACCTTGTGTGAAAGTTTCACGTTCAGTGTTGCAAACAGCCCAAAAAATATTTTTTGGTCGTCGTCGTCGAAGAGGTCGACCCCTGGATCCAGTTTGGCTGGTAGCGACATTGCGAAATCTGGGATTGGCAAGCTTGATCGTGAAACTGGCACCCAAGGTGCAGTTGGCCAAGCCGAGCACATTGCTCTATTCAAAACCCCACGTTTCATTGTAAAGTTTGGAGATACAGGCACCTTTATGTTTTTACTATGTTGTAAGCGTGATGCTATATGAGAAGTGGTCTTTGTTTAATGTAAAGTAGTATAGCTATAATAGAGCAAAAGATGCAGAGGGCGTGTTTGTGTAACTTGAGTCATTCAGCACAGGCGATGCATGATTCTTGTACACTATTTAGGAATAGTTCAAAATGCCAGCTAATAACCTTAGTCCTCCCATTCTCCATTGTTATCCAATCCAATGCATACGAACGATTGTCCTGCTCCAGCCCAGCATGCCCATCATTCAACTTTCTTGATCCGATGAGATTTGACTGAAAAACGCTCAAACACAGAAACATCATCCAATATCAGAAGAATCAAATTGGTAAGTTATTTGTACACTGCCGGCTAATAGCCCATTCCTTCCATTCACCTTTGTTGTCCAATTCAATGCACACGAACGATTGCCCTGCTCCAGCCCATCATTTCCATCATTAAACTTTCTTGATCCAAGAGAATTTGACTGAAAAACGCTCAAGCACAGAAGTATCATCCAATATGAGAAAAATCATTTTGCAAAGTTATCTGTAAACCGCCAGCTAATAGCCCATTCCTCCCATTCACCCTTTTTACCCAAACCAATACATACGAACGATTCTGCTGCTCCAGACCAGCATGTGCATCCTTCAACTTTCTTGATCAGAGAGGATTTGATTGAACAACGCTTGTGCAAAGTAATATCATTCAAGCTTCAGAAAAATCTAATTAATTTCCACCTCTTCCACTCCCAGCACCTTGCCTCTTCCTTCCATTCTCAACTGTTGCCCCATTCAAGTGTACAACTACCACCTGCGAACGATTGTCCTGCTTCAGCCCATCATGTCAATCCCACACTTGTCTTGATCCGATTGTCTTTGACTGAATGGCAAGTCCATGGCGTGTACAGCCCACTACAGCACCCTCGTTCCTTGACACGACACCTTCTCTTGTACAATCCTCTACCAACATCAAGCGTGATAGCATTCATTCCAGCAGTTGCTATTAGCGATGTCGCTACTCCATGGTCTCAAACAGCGTTCACATTCGTGTCACTCTACTACAACACACGCACTTTCTTGCACACTACTCTGCCACAACCAAACGTAACAGCAGTTGTCATTAGCAAGGTCTTTACTCCATAGTCTCAAGTTACTTCAGCAACCTACAGTGCAGCCTTTTTTTACAAGAACAGCAGATAGTCATGGTGTACATGGCAGCTTTATTCACGTGTAGCAACTTGCTTTGATGCATACGAACCCCTATGGATGATACCATATCAGCCATCAGTTACGCCGCGATACACGCAATCTTCACCTAGTTGAGCTGCGATAGAAATGACCAAGCAAGTGATTTACCAACGACCTGATGGAAAAGGAAGTTTGTTTCAAGCGACCACAAGAGCTCTTTCTATCAACATGTTGGACTTGCAATGGTTACGAGGGATGGATGGAATCAAGTGCAGTGATGAGGAATCCTGGAATGTTGCTTTGGTTACTTGTCGCGTCGTTGTCAGCAGGAACGATGGATCATGTCATGTGGATACGGCTGAGGATGGTGATGATGGATTGGATGACATTGAGGAACTGGCCCATATCTTTGACAAAAGGTGTTTTACAGTCATGGATGGTATTGGAGTACTCGATTCAATGGACTCAGCAGCTACTTTGCGATCATGGATGAAGTATGATTATGGCGGCAGCAACCAAGAACACAATGACACAGTTATCCCTATTCCCTCTATGTGATTCACTCGCTCCTTCTTATTCAACCCTGTTCCTCTATCCTATTTGCTTGATAAACATCCACATTACATGCCATATAATATTCTTCGGATTTTTCATTGAATGAGAATTAGTGTTTAGGAAGATATCGTGCTATCAGTTCATATGTGCAATATGTGGATCACTTGATTGAAAGGGGGATAGAGATTTGAAGGTCGGGAAGCGAGATTGTACCATTATTCCTTTTTGTGAACGACCCATGTGCTAATATTTGTTATGATCATTACGGTTTCATTGATATCCTAGTACTTCCATTGCCCTCGTTGCCATTGTAACATTTGACTCTTTTAATAAAGTAAATCCTAATCACCACTATTGTATTGCAGCCCGAATGAGGATGGATATAACGGTTTCCTATATTGTAAAGTTGTTTTGGGAAGAGTGAGATCGAGAAATGTAAATGCTTCAGGTTAGGCTTACTCATTGTAAATTGATCAGGTGACCATGGGTTAACATCATCGTAGGTGAAGGCCATCCACACCTCCCATCGAAGTGCTGCATCCATTTGCTTCAATACCGTGATTGATGACAGCGCATCCTTTGTGGCGTGTAGGAGATTCTCTTCAATCAACCTTAGCTCTTCTTGGTCCTCCAAGAATAGTGCTTGTTGTGTTCGTTGAAGAAGAGCACTGAACGTCTGCCTGCTTTTTGTACGTCTACTTTCGGCGTATTCATTGAACGCCTTCCGCTTGTCCATGCCTTTACAAAAACAACATTAGCCAAAGTGGACGCTTTGCAATGAATAGGAAGTCCATTTACCTGATAGTGTGATAATGGATACGCGTGAAAAAGATGGGATTTCCCCGCGCGGAATGGATATGGACTTGCTGAATGTGTTCCCCTCAACGTCTATGCAGCGTGGTATGTTCATGTCCTCGTGCAGTATTGTATCACCACTCATTCTTTCTTGAGCATAAAGAATTAAGCTTGCGATGTGCCAAGCAGTGTATGTAACAAGCATCATCACTCTCGAATTTAGTGTTGTGATAAAGAACAAGAGGATCTTGATCGATAATGTTAATCATGACACTGGCTATGGGCTTTTGACGGTGCGAGGAATCAAAGGGCGATATGATGGGAGGAAATTAGAGATGTGTCGGACAAAAGCGATGGGCGACAACAATCATCTTGTTATACCTGCATGGTGGGCGTGGGTATTTCTGGGACCACAAAGAGTGATAAAATGTATTTGACAATGGCGATCAGCTGGTAGATTGATGCGGGAGCCTTGATGATTACGCATGTATAAATCAGGATCTGAGATAGCAAGGTGGCGATTTCCATCATCCGACATGGTATCACCCAAATTACTTGCCGTGTCCAAGTTCCACGAAATAAGACGTTGTTTGAGGATGTTTGTGTAAACGTTCGTTTTAAAAGAGAAGTCGTTGAGATCTTCATAGTTGGTAAGCATTGCACACCAGTGTGAATGTTCCCCGCCATCATAGTTCCAGTATGGGGGTGGGATTATACAACGGCTTTCTTATTGCCAACATCCATACATGCATCATGTGGACAATGTTGACGATCAGATGTTGGATGAAGCCTATGCAGGAGATGATAATTATTATCGTCAAAGGTTTGGTATCCGTATAAGATTCCTTGCTGCCGTAAGATGGTATGCATAAATAATAGCATTGTAATGTGTATCAAAAAGGTATGTCATATTGATTCGTGCGCTCGTTATTGACTCCATGCAATATTTTTGGTCCCATGTCCCCCTGAGATTTCGTACGAACGAGATGTGAGCTTTCTGTTTGGACGATGTGGATGGGCTTACCAAGAGAAATGACAAGGAAACCAAGGTTGGATAATAATCTATGCTAGGATGTAAATATTCTTTTTTCGAGGTTCCTCATTATTAGTTTCGCTTATCTCCTGCCCTGTAGAAAGGAAGATACTAAATGGATTGCGTTAGGCGGCATACTTAATGGCAAACATGACGAAAATGAGAAAACAGCAAAATGCCATGAATACATATCACGTGATCGATCCCCAGAAGAAAAACAAAAGGTTTAACAACCAATTCAATGGCTGTTTTCATTGATTCCATCCGGGCTCGATCCGGAGACCTCCTGTGTGTTAGACAGGTGTGATAACCAACTACACCATGGAATCCTGTTTTCCTAGTTATTTTTTTATTTGTGAGGTCTCAGATAGACCACAAAATTGCCATATATAGAAGGTAAGCGAATTAGCACGTAATTTGCAGCATAATGTAGCGGAGCAGTAGCCGAAGTTGACTGTGAAGTGCTGGAATACTTATGGGAGCACAATCAATTGGAATTTAGGATGGAAGTTGGCATATCAATTATTGGGCGGAGAATCATGGTAGTTCACCTGCCCAAAGGCCGACCGCTTGAAACCCAAAATTTTACATGCAGCGTAAAAAACGATGGCTACAAGAGCGGTTGGTCGCAAGCATCGGTGTATATCCGTTTCGAATGTCCATCATGTATTAGCTTATGCATCAAGTAGCAATTCATATCATAAGATAGATGAATAACATCGATGGGTGTAAAGGAATGAGTTTTTAAGCGAGCAATACATGTATAGTAGTGATCCTAATATACACCTTCAAGCGGTTAAAGATGTACTTTTATTATGAGTGAATAGTGCTAGTTGACAACGAAGCTTATGGTTGATCATTTGACAAAGTATTCCAGCATGATGTTGTTTGCTGTATACCATAGCAGGAGGCACGTGGATGCTTTTAATATACGTGGATTAGAACGGCCATGAATATCATGTCAGTTTTAATGGTTATTGGTAATGTATTCGTAGACAAGAAGTGGGGTGGAGGGAGTTCTATGGGTGCGCAAGTCTTAATTTACGTCACTATTGAAAGGCGGGAAATGGAAAGGGGTGTCATATAAATCCTGGTTTTCCACTTGTAGACTGATCCTGTAAGAAGCAACGAACGACACATTGGCGTATTCAACAACCCATTCACTGACGAATTTATAGACGACATGGCCTTTAGACTCTTGAGCAAGAACGCAGCAGGTACGACAACCGAGAAGTGAATACACCAGCGAACGCGAAATGCCATGCTGCAATGGGTCGCTTTTTCTTTTATTTAGCACGCGTATGCTCATTTACCTTGAATAGCTTCCATTGCCGCTCGCCCTGCCGCTTTGAACGCAACCCGTCGCACTGCTGCTGTTGCTGCGTATGTATATGGATAGCTGTAGTTGCCATGGCGACGATTCTCATTGTTGGTTTTTTCTTGTAGTGCCCGCAAGTACAGCACTGAGACTGAAGGTAAGTAGCAGTATAGCATCGTTTGTGTGTGTGTTTGTTTGCTAATCCAATAACACTTTAGCTGCTCCCAAAAAGTCCAGCATCCTCGATATGCTTCCTGGTGATTCGATTGCTGCCAAGGCTGGTTATTTGACTGCAGGCACTGCTTTGGGTACTGCTTTGATTGCCAAGGAGATTTACATCTTGAACGAAGAATCTTTGGTGTTGTTGACCACTGCCGGTTTCCTTGGTGTGCTTTTGAAGTATACTCGTGAGCCTTTCACCAACATGGCCAATGATCACATTGAGGTAAGAATCGGCTACAAGAGGGATGATGACATAGGAGGTGGGGGGATGATGATGATGATGATGGAATCCAATGCAAATGTGATATGATCATTAACGTCAGGCAACTTTTATTATGACGCCATTAGCGTATCAAGAAGGTGTTGAACGATGCCCGTGTTGAACACAAGAACACTGTGCAGGCTCGTATCGATGAAGCTGGTCAAATGAAGGATCTCGTTGATGTCACCAAGGCTTTGTTCGAATTGTCCCGTGAGACTGCCCATATTGAAGCTGAAGCTTTTGCATTGAAACAACAAGTTGCTGTTGCCCAGGAAGTCAAGAGCACTCTCGACTCGTGGGTGCGTCATGAGGCAAACCTCCGTGAGCGTGAACAGAAGCAATTGGCCGCTTACTTGATCGAAAAGGTGAAGAAGGATCTCGAGGACCCTGCTATCCAGAAGCAAATTTTGGATCAAGCTGTTGCTGATGTCGAGAGTAAGTTAATACGCTTGGGTCGTGGGACAAAGAGTGGGAAAGAGAGAGAGATGGATGAGATGAATGATGGTACAACAATATTATGTTACTTATTATTGCCGTTCTAGAGCTCGCCAAGACCGCTTAAGCATGTTGAATAGTAAACGTGACAATAAAGATTCATTAAAGTCCTGTAGACTTGTTACAATATGATACTTGTTTGATCAAAGGCGTAATGTTTCAAGGACTCCTTCCATAAAGGCGATGGTTGGGCGGGATGAGTGGCTGACGATGTCATACACCGTCACCAGTATCATCGACATCATTTGCGGACTCAAAAAGGCACATTTGGGGTCATGTGTGCAAACTTTCTTTTTCTCGGGCATTCTTTTTGAGAGCGAGTCAAGTAGAAAATTGTTGTTTCACTCTTCTTTCTCTTCTTCAACACACAATGACAAAGATGAATGATCCTTTGGTTAAAGACGGATGGTTTATGGAAAAGAACGAAATGTGGCCTGGCCAAGGTAATGGTTATTTTTGCTTATGGATTGCTTCCCTCCCCCAACATCCTCCCCCCACTCAAGCACAGACATATTGACGTTCCTGGTTAATCCATCTAGCTGCCGGTCTACAAGTAGAAGAGGTGCTATTCCATGAGAAATCTGAATACCAGGATGTGATGGTTTTTCGATCTACGCATCATGGCAATGTGCTTGTGTTGGACAATGTTATTCAGGCCACAGAGCGTGATGAGTTTTCGTAAGGCTAACGCGTGCAGAGGCACACGCACACACACACGGGCCACCCCCACTTGTGCATTGACCCCACTCATCGTTCACGTTTAATAGGTATCAAGAGATGATCACCCATTTAGCAATGAACTCGCATCCTAATCCAAAGCAGGTATGTTGTTCTTTTGCGTGTGTATATGTTTGTGGCGGCCAGCTTATCAAAACATGCATACACACAAATCATAGGTACTTGTCATTGGAGGAGGTGATGGTGGCGTGTTGCGTGAAGTCGTCAAACATCCTGAAGTGGAAGGGGTAACGCTAGTGGAGATTGACGAGATGGTATTGCGTGTGGCCAAAGAACACATGGGTGAAATGGCTATTGGGTTTGATCATCCAAAGGTGTCGGTTGTCATCCAAGATGGTGTTGAGTTTTTACGAGACAAATCCAATATCTATGATGTCGTGATTGTCGACTGCTCGGATCCAGATGGCCCTGCTGAAGGCTTATTCTCATACGCATTCTATGAGATGCTCAAGCGTGCAATGACTGACAAGGGTATCTTCATCACTCAAGCTGAAGTCATGTGGCTTGATATGGAAACTATTCGTAAAGCGGTGGTATTCAACCGTACCATTTATCCGCAAGTGCGTTATTCATATGCTTGCGTGCCATCTTATCCCACTGGCCAAATTGGTTTCATTGTGTGCTCCAAGGATCCTACTTTGGATCCCAGCAAACCCTTGCGTTGCTGGTCAGAGGATGAAGAAAACAAGCTATGCCGCTACTACAGTGCTGCCATCCATAAGGCATCTTTTATCCTTCCTCAATTTGCCAAGCGTGTGCTTGAATCATGATGCGCCCAAAGAAAAATACCTTGCCTTTTCCAAACTCTACTACCCTGAGCTTTACCAAAAAGAGACATTGCAGAAAACAGAATACAAGTTTACTCCTTGCTGCACCTTGCACATCCCTATCATGTACACACACACACACAAACAATTTCATTTTCTTGTGCTATCCATAGCACTTGCTCCAACATGCAAAGCACAATCCCACACCCCAATCCCACGTGTTTTGTATATAAAGAATTAAATGTCTCGTGTATTTACAAATTCATTATTCACAGTGTTTCGGAGGATTTACAAAGGGGAGGAGATGACGATTGATCATCCCCAATAAGGAAGCTAAAAGATGACTGTGCCAAAATGGTGTAGCAGCGTGGTCAAACCAGCAGTGCTCAAGAGACCTTGGATGGATTTGACAGCCAAAAGACGGCAGGGTCGATCTTCCCACACCCACGAACGATAAATATCGGGTACCATATATGCAATAAAGAAAAACACACCAAGCTGGAAAGCGTGCGTGTAGCATTCCACATCAGCGAGATTCATCATGCCCATAATGAAAAACGTCTGTGCGTATTGATGGTTGAGTCAAAAAAGTGTTCACGGTGACAAGCGGCATTGAATGGATATGATCACGCTCACCTGAACAGCATACAATGAATATTCGAGAGCCTGATCGAAAATGCGTGGATGTGTGTTTGATCGCCTAGTCCACCAATGCGCATCACCCTTATCCTTATTCATAGCAGCAGACCATTGATCACCCAATAGCCCAAAATGCGTTAGCACATTGACAAGATATAAGAATGTCGCCCCAATGACTATGCCAAGTTAGCCAAGATTTTCATGAGTATATGCAGCCTTTGTGTTGCTATTACCGATCGACATGAAATTCACGGATGTAACCATGGCCTTGAGAAGAAATGAGTGGTAGAATCGGTGGAAGGAAAAACAATACCGAAAGAGCAAAAACCCGGGATCACATTCAAAAAAAAGAGCGAGCAGCAAGAGTCAAGACTTGGCGGGAGATGAAAGCTAATGCGAAACAAAACACATCTATTTTTGTATAAGCAGTAGTGTGAGTGTGTGTGTCGAAAGGCACAAAAGGATTCGAGTCGCCTTGGCAACCACCATCCCCTTTTTCTTTCTTCTTTTTTTACAACCACTTTTTTTTCCCTCTCTCGCTTTACAGCTTTTCTTTCTCTTTCATCATCCCATGTCTTATCACAATCAAATGTATGCTGCTCCACCGCCTCCACCACCACACCACCAGCAATCAATGATGAGCCCACCACCAATGCGACAATCACCGTATCCACCAAGTCCATTTGATCCTCATAGCCGCCAATCGCTTGAAGATGTGGGTGATACGGAGCGTGCTATGGGTTGGCATGGCAGCAACCAACGAGCAAGCATGTCGGATGTCAAGTTAACAGGTGGTGGACATCATTATGACTCTGACGACGATGACATGCTTATGGTCCCACAAGAACAACGTAAACGGCGAACATGCATGGATAAGGTCTGCTGTGGATGCTGTACATGCTATCCTCGATGGCTACGTTACATCTGCTGCGTCATTTTCTTGCTCGTTATTGCACTTGCTATTGTCATTGGTGTGCTTGCAGCTACTTTTAAGGTCCCTGATGTAAGCATGAATGGCCTTGAAGGTGAACCCCAAGTCAGCATGACCGGCGAAACGGTGAACATGAACTTTACTTTGGCTATTTCGGTGGACAATCCAAACGTGGAAGGCATCACTTTTGAAAAGATTGAGGCGAAGGTATGTAGCATGGATGATCTGCTTTTAGGAATGGGGGCGAAGAATGAGGCTACAAATGGTGGGTATTCGGATGAAGGGCTAAAAACAGGTTTTATTTTTTGGGCTACAACATAGGCATATTACCCTAACCATCACGATACGCAAATCGGAGGTGGTGAGCTTGACAATGTGCATATCAATAAGCAAGCGGTGACGAATATCAGCTTCCCTTTCAACTTGAAGGTGGATGCAGCTGACGATAGCAGTAAAGCCATCATGTCGGATCTGCTAAGCAAGTGTGGCATGACCGGTGGTGAAGCACAGCAAATCACGATCGATTATGATGTTATTCCCACCGTCAAGTTTGGCGTCATCCCCATCTCCTTCACCATCTCCAACCATGCAAACTTTGATTGTCCTGTTAGCGTAAGTATACATTTACAATTGAGTTGTTCTCTTAAGGTGGTTTGTTTATTGTGCTAAATTTGGGATTTCTCTCGGGTTAGAATCTGTTGTCATCCGGTGCTGACGGCTTGGCATCCCTTATTCCCGGTGGTGTGTCACCACCAGCTGGGGCTTAGTCTCTCTTTTTTTTTGCATATCACTTGCTTCTTCCCTTTTGTAGCCCCCCATCCTTTTTTCGCGCCACAACAACACCATGCTATATATATCCCGTGTAACGTTTCTCCCCCCGTGTTACAATATTGTAGATACTTTTTCGCCCTGCATCATCCGCAGTTACAAAAGAGCAATCAAAATTCCATCTTTTATGATATCATGATGTTATTGTTATCCAAGCGGAGAGGGAAAATAGCGTACCTGGGCTATCATCATTTGATTCATAAGAAACAAACTAGCAAAATGAAGCTAGTATTCTAAATTTGCGCGTAATTTCATTTAGCGGCAGTAAAATCAAGCCAGTGACAGGTGATCGACGAGGACTATGCGATTCGAGCGCTCCACAAAACTTGTACCAGTGAGCTGCATAACACACACACACACACACACACACACGCACTTGCATACCCAATAACACAAACACAAGTATATACACACAAAAAGAAGATGAGATGTTATAAAGGAGGGAAGGTCTAATAAATTGTGGGCGGAGGTATATAATACAAAACTTGTAGCTTGCTGCGTGGCGATAAAAAAGGAATTAGGGGATCTCTACAATATTGACGAATAGGTGTTGAAGCTTGCATAAACGAGGCTACGGGTTGGGATTAAAGCCAATGAGGATGCTCTTTTCGGTGTATGGTGGGGTGAAATAGAAACCAGCCATCAAAACGCAATAGGTCAATATTAGGATGGAGCCCTTGAAATAGTTGGATCGTCCTTCTTGGTACGTGTAAGTCAGGAGAAAGACCGAGAAGATGACACAAATAACATCCCATCGAGGAAATACAAGGCTATCCATGATGTATCCATCATTAGTTTACTACGTATCCATAACGTCGTATCCTTCCATACCTGAAGGTGTAGTTTGCCAATTCTTCCTTTCCCCAGTTAAACCACAATGAGAATGCCACCATAGCTGGGATTTGCAATAGACAAACTTGTAGCGCATACGCTGATCCAATCTCCATGCTATCATTGTAGTAAATGTGAATATGCATCTCAAGTTGACGATCACTTTTCATTATTACCTTAGCACGATGTTGCCGTATAATGCAAAGGAGATGGCGTTCATAAACTCGGTGATATTGGGTACCTGTAGTATACGTGTGCATGAGAATCAACCATCATGGAATAAAAAAAGGAGAAAGCACGTACCAATGCAAAAAGTGTGAGGCCCAAGAACTTTTCATCCACGGTCAAATTTTCCATAACTCCATCCACAGTGTCTACCAGCACCTCGGCAATAATAGAATACAAAACGGTACATCCAAAGAGAATGGTAAAGCTCTTGCTTCTGCTCCAATTGGGTGAATCATGACCACCCGCTTCCTCTTCTTCCTCTGGTTCTTTGACATGCACATAGGCTGTGGCAGGAACGATTGTAGGTAGCACATGGCCATCATTGCTGATATGGGAGACATCTGGCCTTTCTGTAACCGATGCTGATGCCGCTGTAGGTGGTCCATAAGTAGGGTCTAATTGTGCAAGAGTCATTAAGGACGTTTGTCTTTGGACCATCGATTCCTTTTCAGATGTATACCTTGGGTGGTTGGTTTTGTCGATGGGTCATTGACATTGTGTGATGGATGATGATGCTGCTGGTGATGAAGGATATGGTTGGGTAAAAGTTTTTGATAATAGGAGAGTGGTTGTTCGTTGCCATGATGCGATTGTTTCTTCCACACCATATCCACGTGCGTTCGTAAGCTGAAAACGATACCAATTACATACGCCTATCAATGAATGATTAGCAAATCAATCCTATATCCTCATAGTTGTGTTCACTTACCGAGGGAAGGATGGCAGCACAAAACCACATGAGAGGCTTGACATTGTTTTGGTACACAGGATCGATGGTTGGGTTCATTTGATCAGAGTAACATCGCGAACAAGCAATGCTACCACTACCATCCGCAGTATCGGGGCAACCAGTGCATCGAATCTCAAACTGTAATAAGGATAAACAAAAGTTAGTCCAAGATGATGTGAAACACAAATCGAAACATTTACCGAGCCAAACATTTGGTAAAAGAGAGTTGGCACCAAAGCTCCAATGATGGCCATAATGAGCATTGTTGAAGTCACCTCTACAGGCGATCACAGTAAGTCGATCCATGTTTGTTTCGCAATAATAGCTCACAATGAACATACCTGCACTCTTTGCATTGAATCTTTGCTCCTTGCGTTTAACACCGCCGCTCACCATGGAGCACCCTGGCAACAACAGTACACCTGCCATAAGACTTCCAATCAACGCTCCTTCTACCAACGCGCTTTTTCCACTCATAAGAGCCACAGCATAGAGGATGATCTCAATGATACTAATAGCAAAAGGTCAATGTCCTATTATCTGTAGTCGTACTCACAGCCAAGTTACCTGCCAAAAGAAGCATTCAAAAAGGCACCAATGCCCATGCTTGATTGTGCTGAAACAGAGGAAATACCCATCCCAATGAAATAGGATAGGGGAATCACCGATGAAAGAGAGAGTGCAAATACGACTTGTGGTGAAGTGATCATGCTGTCAGGAAAATAATGCTTGAGGACGTATTCATCGAATATGACAAAGAACACCAAGGGAATCAAGTTGATGAAAATGATATTGATGCCATCATATGTGTACTTGTAATACTGCAATCCCACCGCTTGATAGGTGCATAAGAGGATGACAACGGGGCGACCACTATGTACCATATCAGCTTGTCCAGAAGGGCTTGATTTGAATCGAAGGCTGAGTGGGTATTGCCGTAAATGTCGTAGTAAAATGTAATTGAGCTTGGACATGGGAATAGTGATCACGCATAACCAGCAGATGGCAGATACCACAAACATAGTAGGTGCTTTGTAGAATGTACATTAGTCAGTTGACAACCCACCCATGGATTCATATTTCAACAATGGCTTACCAATGATGATAAAATACAAGACGTAGTATGCGCATCCACCAGGGCCACTTTTGATCACATCCATAATGCATCCGAGCATGCTTTGCTTTCGCCTCCGCTTATCTTGTAGCAAGCAAGACTCCTCGTCGTCATCATCAATGGATATGACTGATCGATTCTCATCGTAATCATTGTTGTTGTTGTTGCTCAATGTGGAGCTTCTACTTGTGCTGGTAATACTTGCTGCTAGACTGCTGACGGATGCTGCTGATGAATGGATGGGTTGTTTGTGGTGAGCTTCGCCATGATGTTCAACGTAGCGACCGAATGGCCATAGTAGGTAGGATGCAAGTTCACGCATGACACGGCCATATGCATAACCATCGGGTGGTACAAGGAGTAAAATGACCGAGATTACAAACATCAGCAATGAGAGCCACCATCCAAAGATCACAAGCCAGGCCAAGTTGCCAGGATCCAAAAACAGTTCGGGAGATGACGATGGCGATGAATGAAGTGCTCGATTGGCTCTTCGAACCACTGAACGGGATTTCTTGTACAAGGCTGGTTTCCAGATGGGTAAACCAAAGGGATGTCGCTTATTCATTTGCTATACATCACCATCTTAGATAAGGTGTCATTCATGTTCTCTTCCATCATCATCATCATACCTCTTGTCTATCTTTCAGTGTCATCTCTCTACTATCAAGTGATGCTCGATCATCTTCTTGACGTCCTTTACGGGAGCGTAACTTGTTCTTGCGATTGCTCTCATGCTCGGACACATTGTCATTGCTGGAGTCTCGCTTCTTCAACTTGCGTCGTGGTGATTCAGTGTCCATTGCTCCATAAAGCGATTGTGGATCAGAGGAGGAATCCATAATGAGGGAAGAAAAAGATACAAAGGGAAAGGAAAAGGAATAAATCTCCCACCCTAAAAAGCAGATGATCCCCTTCTCTATCACTACAGATAATCAAACGTCAGGTCAGGATAATTGAAACAAATGGTATAAAGTTGCCTTGTTAGAAACGACTCGTGTAACATGATGATAACCCACCCACTCGGCATTGGCCACCAACATTCCCACATTTGCATTAAACTTTCAAGGGATGATCCCGTTTCATTTCACCAATGGGTTCGCCATTTCATTGCATCTTTAATTTACGCTTGTTTCAGTCATCTAAGGAACCGTGTTATATAGTGTGGGAAATCAAAGATGATAAGCAATTATCTGCTGGGAATGTTCAATCATGTTGTAGTGGTGGTGTAATATTGACTTGGCTCGTCTCCGAATGCAATCAGCTCCCGGAATATAATGCATGTGTCATTATGAATGGCATTTTGTCTCTTGGTCTGGTCTTCAATAACAATGACCCTGAATTTGTCGTACACAGATTTCAGGAACAACTATGTTTCAATGCTAATGAATAATGAAAATGACATTCACAAGATTTGGGATTCCCATGGGAAGTAGCAGGTTTCACCCGTATGCTTTCATCACTATTCCTTTATTGCTCAATTATACATACATGCAATTGGTGGGGGTTATGGTCATCTATGTATAAACCTTGTGTCATTGTCTTATCGCTTTGTACTACTATCCTCTAAAGGGCAAACCACGTTGAACATACAAAGAGCAATGCATTGAATGGTACTTTTTTCTTTATTCCACTATTAAGCAACACTTGATAATGCCGCATCGTAATCAGCTTGCATAGGTTCTAGCTTGGTGTTCTCCACACGTAGTTGTTTGATCTGCTGATAATGGCCGGCATTTCGCAAGAGGTCTTTGAAAGGACGTGCTTCTTGCTTTTCAACCAACGAATAAGCTTGTCCTTCACGACCTGCACGAGCCGTTCTTCCCACACGATGGATATACTTGTCCATAAACCAGGGTACATCATAGTTGATCACCACATCCACATTGTTCAAATCGATACCACGACCAATCAAATCCGAACAAACAAGGCTATAAAAGAATCCGTTAGATGAATGTGCTAATAAAAGGAGGATCCACTTACAGATGGATATCACCATTCTTGAAGCGTTTAAGTAGCGACTTTCTTTCAGAGGGCGGTAAATCACTCGAGTAATCAGCGACTACAATCTTGGTATCATGCGTTGATTGCCGTGACTCATAGGCTTCCACGAGTGTTTTCAGTTGTTGTGTAGATTCGGCGGATCGCGTAAAGCAAAGACATGATTGAATGTTGAATGTATGCATGATGTACAATAGCATGAGAGGCTTTCGTTCGGCTGATGTAACGGTCATGTATTCTGTAAGGCCTTCTGGTGTGGTATAATCGGGTTTGTCCTCCATGTCCTCCGAGCGTTGTACAGCAATGTATTCAGGTTCTGTCAAATGCAAACCAGCAATCTTGGCGGGGTTCTTGGTCAATGTTGCCGAAAAGAGCAGTTTTTGTACCTAGACCACACCATGATCAGCAACCCCATGATTCCTAGCATAAATCCTCGTTTACTTACGGTGGGTGCCTTGGCAATATCAACATCTGTCCTTGGCAAATCAAAATGGGATCGCATAAAGTAAGGCGCAATTGCATCGGCTTCCAAGACACTACAACATTTTGACCATAAGTCATGATATTGTTCGCTCATCCCCTAAATCCTATACTTACCCATGCTGGTCCTTCTTAAATGATAATGGGTTGGTAGAATGATGCGATTGTGGACGAGTGGCATTAAGGATGTGGTTGAGCCAATCATTATAGCTGTGGTTCAAGAGCTGATCCGCTTCATCAATCACCAAGAATCGCAAATGCTGAAGAGTAAAGTTGGGCGTTTCTCGAATGTGATCCGTTAAACGACCAGGTGTTGCAACCAAGATATCCACTCGACTTTGACCTCCCATGTAACTACAAACATCGAGTGTAAGATGACAATCCTCTAGATCTTTCACCACCCTATACCCCACTTACTCATCATCCTCAGGCTTTCCAACCAATGCTTGTTGTTCACGACGCAGGGTATGTTGACCAATGGCTGAACCCACCTATGCAAAGAATTAATTTGGATGCAATTGATTTCAACACCTAACGATCCATACCTTAAGACCTGTGCCCTTGACAAATGCTTCGAATGTTTCCTTGACTTGGATGGCCAATTCACGTGTGGGTAATACCACCAAGGCTCTCAATCGTGTCACCACTCGCTTGGATAAGATCTCAATGATGGGTAGAACGTATGCCATAGTTTTGCCGCTGCCAGTGGGCGCTGATACGCACAAATCGCCTGGTGATCTTCGGGTATCATACAAAGCTTGTCTCCTTAGGAACACTGGAATGACCGCCATTTGCACTATAGTTGGGTTGGGTTAATGATCGTGCATTTGTAGGTTGCATCAAGATGGATTGATTTACCGGCAAAAAAGGATGTGATGTCTAATTCTTTGCATCGTCGGATCAACTTTGTTGACAAGCCAGGAATCGATTCAATGTCGCATTTATCCGAAGGCGAGATGATGGTGGGTTGTAATAGCCAATCTGGAATACCCATCTTTCGAAGCAATTGTATCTCGTCTTTGCTTTGCTTTTGCTGCTTGCCCATCATATCAGGAAATGCCACAATCCCCTTGTCGTCGTCGTCGTTGTCTTCATTGTCGCGTCCTTCATTGTCCTCCTCTTCGTCTTGCTCGTGATCGATCTCCTTCGACGCCATGTCAACACTGATCTGCTCCTGCTGTGCTTCCTGAACGTCGTCAACAGGCATTGTCTCGGTGTGATCCATTTCATTAAGCTGTTCATTGTCGACCTTGTGTTCCTTTTCCTTTTTTCTTCGCTTGTCTTTCTTTGTGTTGGTGGTGGTGCTGGAGTCGTCTTTCTCATCGATCGGTGGTTGTCGTTTGCGATTGGCCTTTTCAATGAGCTTCTGTAAGCGCTCTTGCTTCTTTTCATACGATCGGTGCGATTGGGATTCGTCGTCGTCGCCTTGATATCGTGGAATAGAAAACATGGTTTGTGGTATTAGGATGATAGCAACAAGCGAGAGAGAGAGAGAGAGAGATAAAATTTCGCTTCCTTTTTGAGAACGAGTAACACACACGGCATGGATAAGAGGGAAAAGAGATTCAATAGTATTTACAACAAGGTATAAGATAAATAAATGATAATACGACTACTACTATAGCAATACGAACGACTACACATAAATGGTCAATGATGTTTTTCTTTTGGAAGATGGCAAACTGGATACGGTGGTGGATGTGGATGAGCCTCGATTATCATCACGGGATTCATGAAACTCCTCGTCGTCGTTGGTAACATAAGATGATGATGATGTTGATGGTGAGATACTTGTTTTCTCGTCTTCTTCGGGTACTGCGTGTAGCGTGCTGTTGAGTTGTTGAGTGTTTCGACGTTGTTCAATGACCATACGATAGCAAAAGTCGCCAAAGAGAGTATCGGCACGTTGCAGCATCTTTTTATCCTTGACAACTTCACGAACAATAAACCAATCATGGACTTCATTTTCACCCACAAATGTTTGCCAAGGGACACCATCTTGCTCTGCCTTGCTGGCAAAGTCAAGGGCATCATCACGCAACGCTTCCTTGTTGCCTACAAACATGAGACATTCTGGAAGGAATGCACGATAGCCCGTTTGCAAATCAGCGATGCCAAGAAGACGATTGGTATCAGGAGGAGTATCAGGAGAAGGCTCTTCAAAGTAATCATCAATGATACGTTTAGCAGTGAATTGGGTAATATAGTCGTATTTGGTGTTTTGACGCCACGAGTCAGATGTCGTTTGATCGGTCACGAGGGGTGAACTCAAAACAGCTGCTGCAGGACGTGGTAGCTCTGGCAAATCAGCTGCTTGTTGCCCGTTGTCAGTCACCACTTCAAACATCGTTGGGTCATGCGTGATGAATAACATTTCCAGAATGAGCGCTGCACCTGTCGATCCTCCAATAGCAACAATCTTGGATGGATCCACTTGGAGTGTGTTCACCAAATGCTCATATGCGTGCACTACATCCTCGGTTGCACTAGGATACTTGTATTCGGGTGATAACCGGTGCTCCGCAGACATGATCACAGCATTAATATTATAATGCTCCTTTAGGTATTGGAGCCAATGGATATACGTATCCATAAACATGTTGCATTTGCCAATTCTAAATCCACCACCTTTTTGTTTCATGTTGCATGCGTTAATGAACGTGGAAAATATAGCACAGTTATATGCTTACCGTGCACATGGAAAAAGACAATATCGGCTTGAGCAACGCGTTCCATCATTGCAGAACGGTCCAACTTGTGGACATTTTCACCAATCCAGCAACCCCACCATCCTTTGCTGTTCTTGACCTTGTGAATCCATTTACGATGCCATCCTTCAGGACGCAAAATGTCTTTGAATAGTAATCTTGCTGCTGGGGCAGGCAATACAAATCCACGTCGTAAGATCTTGATAGCTACACCAGGAGGCACTTTACGAATAGCAGTTCCTAATCGTTTCATCGTGTATGCACGTTAAAAGAAAAGCAAGGCAGTAGTAGTAAGAAACACAAAAAGAGAAAAAGAAAAGGATAGATGTATCGTTTGAATGATGGGAATTCTAATCGTCGTCCACCGTTACACGAGACATTGAAGTGGGGAACTTTTGGTCTCCTCGATCTTGTTGGGGGGTTTGTTGTTATTTCCTCGCACGGTGTGATCATGATGTATTGTTTGATCAATTCACACACCTTCTATCATCCTCTCGCATATCTATGCATGTATGCTTACTTTATCCATCATCATCTTATTTACAAATCTTGCAGTCAATAACATGCCAAATGGCCGGTGGGTACAAAAGTAGGTGCCACATGCCCTGTTAACCTAAATTGTTCTCGATATTGTCAAATACGAATGGAGCTTTATATGGAAGCTTTTGTTTATTCCGCTTGGCTTATGCACATACACCATGATGGACTACATTAAAGGCAAGCTGCCAAGTGCATCATGTGCATTCACGTGAGTTTTCACTTTCACACATACGCACTGAATGAGTGTCAAAGCGATTCATTTTGCTAAGATTGAAGGATTGAGATGGGTTTCATCTACAAGCTATTGAGGATGCAAGGCAAAAAGGGACAAGGTAATAGATATTATTGTGTCACCAGCAACCCAAGAACCCAAACATCTCCGTCAAACGATTCATTTTCATATCCTGCGGACAATCTAACGCATAAAGATGACACCAGGAGTAGTGACATGACCGTTATGAGAAAGGCCACCTAGTACAAGGATCGTCTCGGCTTGCGCTTTTTCCGTTCTCGTCCATGTTGCCCCCAACAACTGGTCAACATGCACGTACATGACATAGCCACATTTCCCAAATTACTTAACAATGAGCATGGTTCATTTAATTCACAATGCAAAGAACCTTTTATGTAAAAATCTATCTTGATTACAATGCCCAATGCGCATAGTGTTTATTGATTGCCAAAATTTGAGCCTATGAGTTCTTGACCAATTCTGTAAGGAGATCACCGCCATTTGCCATGATACCATCTAAGAGAAAAAAAAGACATACCGATGAGTCCACCAATATGAACAATGTCCATTTTGTCCCATTATGTAACTTACTCTTTTGTCCCCATACGGATGGTAAACCTCCCTTGTTTCCCCACGCCTTTTCTTGACTCTCATACTTTTCAGGTCTACCTTCTCCACTTGAACCATCATGATAGGCCGCTAACGTGTCAGAGAAACCTGTCAATTCAATCAATCCAGTTAGCATGTCTGCATGGGATATCTCACATGTCGTTGTCTACTACATGCGTTGGTTCAAAAATTGCATAACATCGGCACTATTGAATCCATTCTGGCCAAGAGCTGGTTGAGGGCCTGCCGAGGACAAGGGTGGTTGTGGTTGTGGTGGTGAAGAAGAAGACGTTGCTGTCGATGCAGGTGGTGTGTTGGATCGATGGGGTTGCGATTTGCTGTTATTTATACTATTCGCTTGTGGCTCCTTTTGTTTATCTATAGCTTCTTGTCAATGGCTGCTGCGATAGTGATGGGACGCCTAAGGAGCAACCATTCGGCATCTTGGAATGGGACTTACGAGTGGAGTTGTTCTTCCGTTGTTGTTGCTTCAAGGAATCGCGTCTATCCGAAGGCTTTTTACCGTGATTACCTGCAAGGTACTGATGAGTACATATATATTATGACATGGTCGCTGTAAAGTACTAACCTGGCATCGAGGACTAGGACAAGGTAGGGAAGCCAAAGGAGAAACAATATAGCAGTGGTGGAGCAGCTCTTCTCACACACGCAAGATAGGTTGACTCCTACCACCGATATGGGATCGCTGACTTTCAAGTGCAGCATTTACGAAATACGCAAGCTAACAAATGGTGCTGGTGGTGGTACCTGCAGTAACCTGTCACCATGCTGCTTCTTCCATGCCGAAAAGGACGTCTTTACCATAGAAACGGAGCTATTGGATAGCGTCATCATCCTTCCTTTCAATGCCAAAAATAGAGAATTTCCTTATGATTGGTATACATGGCAACGCTAGCATTGGGTCTCATTGTAAAGTAGTGTAAACAAGTGATGCTTTATGAGGAGCATAATAAAGAAACGGAATATGGGTTATGAAAAAGAGTTAGAAAGAAAAAGGTCGTACAGGGGCGAGATGCATAGTAAAAAAAAGCCGGTGATAGTGTGTATATGGATGCGGTACTTGCGTGTGTGTGTGTGTGTGTGCGATAACACGATAGAGAGAGAGAGAGAGAGAGAGTAAAGTTGTGTGTGTGGATGTGGATGGGTGGGTTGCTAAAGGTGTCGATTTTGATGCGCTTGTAATATAATCTTGATCGGTTCTAATCACACAATCCACATGTGAGTTTCGACAAGAGACTTCGTTTCTTGTTGGGTTGAGCAGGAGCGTGCAAATGTTGTGGCATGGGTTGTGCCGATGCTTCTGCCGGTCGTTGTGCACCATGTTGTTGATGTTGCATTTGCGTTTCTTTTGGCTCAGTCATACGGGTAGTTGCATGACGTTGATTATCAGCAATGGCCTTTTTGGCTGGACCCGTTAATCCTTGACGTGCAGCTTGACGTTTGGAAAGCGTTTCCCATCCTTTGCCATTGTTCAACAGCATCCAATCATATACACCATCCTCGACATCGCCCATATTCCGAATAACTTTGCTGAAGAGCTCTCGCAAAAAGTCATAGTCGGGTGTCTCTTCGAATCCCAATTTACGCACGTATTGAAGATAAATGCCAAATTCCTCTATAGATTGATGTCAGCGATCCCCAATCAATCTTCCTCATAAGCAATAAGCAACTTTACCTGGGTATCCGTCACACAAATCCTTGACAGCTGTGCTTTGTTTCTTGTCACCGATCTTCTCATACTTTTGCTTGTTGGTTGCAGCCTTTAGGCCCTGCCAAGGCAAATGTCCACGCAAAAAGTACATGAATACATGGCCAAGAGCTTCCAAGTCATCACGTCGTGATTGCTCTATCATAGTCATAAGTATATGGATATACAAAAACACCATCACCAACAATGATCATTACCTCGACCCAGATGGGTATTGATGCTCATATAACGAGCAGTACCAGAAAGACTCTTACGCTCGCGATAAGGAATATGTTGCTTCGTCTTGGGGTCACGGTAAAGTTTAGCCATGCCAAAGTCGACCATGAATATCTGATTGGCCATTTTGGTGCCGGGCTTGCCGATCAAAAAGTTGTCGGGCTTGATATCTCGATAGATCAAGTTCTTTTCATGGATGGTCTGCACGCGGTCCAACTAAATAGGTTTCTCCAAGTCAGCAACAATGACACACGTGCGAGGAGAGAAGGGATGATGAAACAAGGAGGAGGAGGAGGAGGATGTAATAATTACCATTTGTTTTGCAAGCATAGCCACTGTCTTGGTAGAGAATCGGCGTCCACAAATGTCAAACATGTCTTCAAGACTTGGACCCAATAGATCAATGACCAAGATATTGTGCAGTCCTTCTTGCCCAAAGTAGTAAGCCGTCGGAATACCCGCTGCCATAACAGAAACGTGTGCATCATATCGTCAGTCCATGCCAAGACATGGTATCCAGGACATGCAAAACATGACTTACTTGAACCAGCCATGATCTTGTACGTTCTATATTCATCTCGCAGTTGAGGAGCATCGCTTTTTCGAGGTTCAAACTTGATAGCCACGGGCTGATTGTTAAGTAGATTGGTGCCTTTGGTGAAATGCAACTGCTTGTGTTACTGCGACCCATAACAGAATAACTTCCATTGCACATTGAGAGAGCTACCTTCATAAATGATACCAAAGCTGCCTTCACCAATCTTTTTGCCAACTCTGTAATGGACTCCCACGACGTTATGCGATGAAAAAGGATTCGCCGCTGCAGACGATTGTGAATAGTTTCCAGCCATGGATTGCAATATGGATCGAGGTGTTGAGGGAGGAAGAACGCAAGTATACGTTAAGTGAGAGAGAATGTAGGTAGTGGACTGGAGATGAGAGAAAGAGAGAGAGTGAAAAAAAGAGCAAGTGCAAGGAGGTTGGGTGGGGTCGCCCAAGCAAAAGTGGAGCCCTACCACTCTTCAAATGCCGGAGTGGGAATCTCCCAGCAGCAGCAGCAGCAGCCCTTTCACACTTCCTTGAATAAATGGATGATGATGGGTTACGTGCTTTGCTTTTCCTTATTCATCTTGTACCCACCTTCTCTTTCTTTTTACACTTGTTCAATGGTATTTGACATGTTGGTCAATGCATCATACGCATAAATACAATGCTATATTCAATACTAAAACTACCCTACTTGCCTTATGCTGCAAAGAATAGCCATATCTCTATTCCTATTGGATGCCATAGGTGAAGCAAAAAAACTGAAACAGGCAACAGGGCCCTGCCCACATGGTTGAACACTGATACAAAGATCCCAAGAATATCGAATCATGCACACAAGTGGTAAACACACCTTAACCAATAGATACCATCGGCAATTGGACCGTGTGAATCATTGGGTGGTCGTGAATCGTGGAACATCCAAGTATCCAAGTATGGCAAAAACACAGCAGACGACGGCGTCTGGAAGTCTCAGCTAAACCTTAGTGGGCACAACTTTTCTCAGGATCAAAGAAAAAGTTTATTATTGTTATCAAGAAGTGATATCAATTCACCTTGTATCTAGTTATCGAATTGATTATGCAATAAACATAACAACCTTCATGCAAAAGAAGCGATTAGAATAATCATCGTCATTATTGTGTGTGTGCCTGTAAAGATATACGATTGGATGAGAATGGATCGCCGTATGGTTTTAAATCATAGGCAGTAAAAAAGTCATGACGTACACTGGTCAACAATCGTATCAGTGAATCAGGCTGTTTGCCTTATTGCCGATGCTCTTAGAGCAGCTGTCGCCATTACGGTAGACGTTGTTTGTCAGCAAGGCCATAAAAATTGTTGCACAAAGATGAGCGTGCATTTTGGCTACTCCCAAAACAATGATGCAAGCCAAATCGTAGATTTGTATCACTTGTGGCGGTAAAAAAACGAGCGTCTTTGACCCCACGAGGCAACCCTTCGGTGGGATAGTACTGGCCATACATGGAAACAAAGTACATCCTGACCAAAACTGCTAGATTGGGAAACCAGGTACTCGGCATAACAACGTACACTTGTTGTCATGGTAAATACGTTGTCTAGTGCTACGAGATGTTGCTATGGAGATTCTTGGCACCCATTTCACATCTTTTGACGGTCATTCAAAAAAGCTGATACCGTGGTTACGAGCATATCTCTGGATGGTTTGTTTGGTGTGATCAGCTACCCCAGACTGTAAACTGTAATCTGTGCAACCCCGACTTACCAAACAAGGCCATTGCATTTGTCAGAAAGCGGTCCTTGTGAGAGTCGGCGCTTTCTACTACTATCGTGCCTACCCCCCGCAAAGGTTGCCCATTGACCATCAATGCAATTCGTAGTTTAATATAATGCACAGGTTGCTGTCAAGCCATGTAGGGTCATGTATATCAACGTAACTACTCATTATGGCGTGTATCAATGCTTGTGAACGAGATCGGCTGTGGATGAATAGTAATGGGTTATATTCCTTTCACTGCTGCTGGTCTGAGGCTAGCAATGACAAATCACTTAACTTTTCCCACATCAGCTCAGACAACAAGACCTATCAAATCGATGACCTCTCTCAAACATCCACAGATATATAAAGGACAAGGTGTGAGTCGAGGTAAGAGTCATCTACATTCAAACTTTTCTCTACTCTGTCACCGTTATTTACCATGCTCAACAAGGAGATGAAGACCGCCACTGCTGCATCAAAGCGCCCCTTTGCTCATCCTTTGGATCAACTCACTGCTGATGAGATTGTCCACTCTGCCAACATTGTTCGTGCTGCCAAGCCTACCATGGATTTGATCTTCAACACCATCACTCTCAAGGAACCTTCCAAGCCAGTGATGATGTCTTACCTTGGTTGGGACAAGTCATCTCCCCGTGTCACTCACGTTGAGCGTGAAGCATTGGTGATTCTTTTGGAGCGTCCTTCCATGAAGTGCTATGAAGCCATCGTTTCCTTGGATACCGAATCGGTCAAGTCCTTTGAACACATCCCTGATGTGCAGCCTATTCTCACCATGGACGAGATGTTTGAAGTTGAGGAGCTTGTTGTCAAGGATCCACGTGTTGCCGAAGAATGCCGTGAATTGGGTATCCATGACATGTCTCAGGTGTTTGCCGATCCTTGGGCCATTGCTCGCCACGTCAACTATCCTGGTCGTGCTAAGCGTATGATGCAAGCTTTCCTTTACATGCGTACTTGTGAAGATGACAACCAATACGCTCATCCCTTGGATTTCGTTCCCATTATTGGTAAGTTGATTGTTTGGAAAAGGAAGTGGAAAATCAAGTTCAGTTTCAGCTAACTGACATTGTGTGTGTGTGTGTGAATCTAGATTTGGGAAAGATGGAAATTGTGTCTATTGAGCGCATTCGTCCCCGTGACAGCAAGTTCACTCGCCCCACCATCCCTCAGCAAAACCACAACTTTTTGCCCGAATTCATTGGCGAGGAGAATTTCCGCAAGGATGTCAAGCCTATCATTGTCCAACAGCCTCAAGGCGTCTCTTTCACTGTCAAGGGTAATGAGATTGATTGGCAAAAGTGGAACATGCGTATCTCCATGAACTATCGTGAAGGTCTCGTTATCCACAACGTCAGCTATCAAGATGGTGCCGAGAAACGCCCTGTCTTTTATCGTGTCTCCCTTTCTGAAATGGTGGTTCCTTATGCTGATCCTTTCGAGCCTCACTACCGCAAGCATGCTTTCGATGTCGGAGAATATGGTTTGGGTTTGTGCACCAACTCTTTGACTTTGGGCTGTGATTGCTTGGGCTCCATCTACTACTTTGATGCCTGCTTCAACGATCACCAAGGCAAGCCTTTCCATATGCCCAATGCCATCTGCTTGCACGAGGAGGATGCTGGTGTCTTGTTCAAGCACACTGATTACCGCAATGGTCGTGCCCACACTGTTCGTTCCCGCCGCTTGGTGATTTCTCAAATTGTCACTGTTGCCAACTACGACTATGGCTTGTACTACTACTTTTACCAAGATGGTACCTTTGAATATCAAGTCAAGGCTACTGGTGAGCTCAACACCCACGTTATGGCTGAGGATGAAACACCTGGTCGCTATGGTGTCACTGTTGCTCCCCAAATCAACGCTCAATTGCATCAACACTTTTTCACCATGCGCATTGATCCTATGATTGATGGTCCCAACAACTCGGTTGTGCAAGTTGACACCTATCCTTCGGAATTCCCTACTGGTCATCCTCGCAACATTATGGGTAATGGTTTCTATGCTGAGTACAAGACGCTTAAGGATACGCATGAAGGCCAAGCCAACCCTTGCTATGAGACCGCTCGTTACTGGAAGATCATCAACGAGAACCGCATCCATCCTTACACCAAGTCTGCTATGGGCTGGAAGATTATGAACCCTGCTGCTATTCCATTTATGCCCAAGCCTGATTCTTTGGTTGGCTCTCGTGCTCCATTTGCCCAAAACGCTCTTTGGGTCACTCCTTATGACGAGAAGCAAATGTTCGCTGGCGGCTTTTACTGCAACCAATCCGATGGCAGCGATACCTTGTACTCATGGGCTAACAAGGAACGCCAAAGCATCCAAAACAAGGACATTGTCGTTTGGCTCTCATTTGGTATCCACCACATTCCCCGTGTTGAGGACTTCCCTATCATGCCTGTCGAACTTGCTGGTTTCATGCTCAAGCCTGCCAACTTCTTCATTGCCAACCCTGCCATGGATGTGCCTCCTTCCAACAAGGCTATCAACAAGTCTGTTCACGCTGATGCCGCACCTTCCTCCTCTTGCTGCTCTGGCACTACCAAGCTGTAAATTCATCCACTTGTATATATATACCCTTATCTAGTTGTAGGATAGAAATCAAAATAAAAAGACATCACTCATTGAGCTTTATATGCATTTGGTCCCTTTTACTTCTTTATTTTCTCTGCTTCTGTGGTCATCAATGATAAGGAAAAAGTAGTATAAGAAAGTACTAGTGAATGGGTGAATGGGAAGGTGTCGTTGCTTGAAACTCATGTAAGTGTTCCTTGGCGCCCTTTTGGAAGACCACCTCTTCTCTTCCTTCTCTTTGACACCCACGAGCAAATGACACTCCATTGGATCTCTGCAAGTACGAATGCGAAGGCATTGAAGGTCGCCGTGAACGAGAGAATGTCTTGAGTAAGAGAAGCCAGCCAACAGCATCTTCGACTTTACATTCAACACTCGAGCGAACAGATGTGGCAACAAGCTAATCGAGGCGAAGCATACAGTATATCGATGTCAATCCTTCTCCAACAACCAACAACGTACAGGGAGGACAATCCACAGCGACACGATGATTGGGTTGACGATGCGCCTATTGAGCATACAAGTAGTGGATGATGTGAAGCAAAAAGGGCTATCCTCGTCAGCAAAGGGAACCATCTTGTTGCGCTATTATCACCTGTATGTATCCAAGCAAGCGAAGATTCATTTTGAGGAGGTTACGATATCATTGATGATGCTGACAAGCATGTTTGAATACTACGCTGCGACGACATGGCGCATCATGCAACATTCGATAAGGCAATACACGCAAATCTTGATCGACTTCAGCAAAGCGCCATTCGCCAGCTATTTCTCCACACGATGCATTACCCCATGCTATACTGCAATTCATCCAGTTACAAGATGTTCATGACGCCTGTTATCAGCAATTCAAATCGAGCATTCATATTCTATGCACCTTGGTGCTACTCGTTGTTCGTCGCCATTTATCGGTGTCAAAGGCCAACTGTTACTGCCTTATCACCAATACGCAATGTTATCGACATTCTTATTCGAGATGGACGTGGTAGCTAGGATTGTTCAAGGTAGATGTAGCGGTGACGTGGTAAATGAAGTGCATGAATAAACCTGGCAACCGTTGCATGAGAGCGTTCTTATCCAAATGATCTCTTTTTTTCTTGTTCTTGTTGCCCCTCAATCATTTGCTGTTAGAATGTTGATTGTTCCCCCATAGCAATAAACCTTACTATTCATATGCAGAAGCTCACATATTATTACAACATTGTTCAAAGTTGGAGAGGGAAAAAGCAAGGGAAGATAAAAAGGATATACATCATCAAGCACAGCAAGGTGAAAGGAAAGGGATAGTACAAAAGTTATAATAGTTATCTAACTCTAAGAGAAATGAAGAGGAGAATTGGCAATGCTGATAAGACTATAGACGGCTGTTATCGATGAAGAACCACTCTTTCTTGAGGACTTCAGCCAAATCATCAAATCGGATAGCACTAAGAGGACCCGAGATAGAATCGTTATGCATGGCAGACTTGAGTTTTCCATCACTTTCCAGCTTCATGATATGCAATGCAATTCCTCTCAAGTATGCTGGTTGTAGATCACCAGGTTTCTTATCACGTAGGATACTGCCAATCTCAAGTGGTGTCCAAGGCTTGGATCGATCTGACAAGATCAAATCAAGGATCTCGTTCTCACGTTGCCGCCTGAAATCGATGTATTCATGGATCTTGGCGACGCCATCTTCAACAACAGGACCATGGCCAGGATATAAATGATGAGGCTCAAATGCCAAAAGACGATCCAGTGTCTGCAAATAGGTGGTCAAATCATCAAAGGTGACGGTGCCATGTCCTAAAACACAATCGCCTGCAAACATGGCGTTTTCCTCTTCGAGCCAAAAACAGCAGTGATCGGAGGTGTGTCCTGGCGTATGTGCCACATGTAAAGTTGTCTCATCATCCACCTGGAATACTTGGCCATCGCGTAAATCTTGTGGTGTGCATGGAAACCCTTGCATGAACACCGTTTGCTCGTAACTTTCAGGATGCAATGGATACTTGTGCACCGTAAGTTGACCTTCGCATGCTTCCAAAAGGTATTCAAGACCACCCCAATGATCCATGTGCGAGTGTGTCAATAGAACATCGGAAATGTAAGCGTGTGGCGATATTGATTCAAGCGATTGTTGCAAAAGTGGGACATAGGCTGGCATCCCTTGGCCACAATCAATAAGCACCTTACGATCCCCTCGACCCACAAGGTATGTATTGGTACCTGAGAGAGAGCAAAAAGAAGAGAACCACAGTGTGAGTAAAATACATCTTTTCGGGTAGAACGGGCGGTATATTTCTGCAGCAGCTGCTGCATTTTTCTGTGTACCTTGCAATGTGAAAGGGCTTGGATTTAAACCAAGGACACGCCATACACGATCAGATAGCTGCGAGAATTCTGGAAGTGGTGGTAGATTATCACGTTCAAGCATGGTAGTTATTATACGTAAGAATAAGAGGTAGTTGAAAGAAAGGATAAGGGAAAGAAAGGAAGAAGAAAATGGGAAAAAAGATGACGGAATGGTAATTCACATGCGACTGCCCCACATGCAGGCAATCCCCCATCGCTGACTGATCGTGTGTAACCACACATGTTACTTTGATGACAGATGAAGCTTGATTGGCTATAGTAGGGAACAATCAAGCCACGTTTTTGATACTTTGACATCATTATCATTGTACGAATTCATGAAAGCATAATAATACATGAAGCCATGTTCTTGTTTATTTGATACACAGGGCGTATTTATACCTAGGGGGTGTAGCCTCCTTCATTTCTCTCGTACTCCTGTATCCTTCTTTTGTACCTGTAACATGATGATGATGTGATAGTCAAAATGGATATCTTATCTTGCCATGGTTGGGGTATGTCGTGTCATGATACGCTTGGTACTTTTTCACTTTGATGAGCCCTAGGATGATCTCCATATCAAAGCTATGATGATACTACGGTACACTGGTTATATGGCATTGAGCACATGATAGGACGTAATGCATATCAAGCATCAATAAAAGAAGGTTGAGTGATGAAAGTATTGGATCATTATCAATGCAGTTGCCGATTTATGCAAGAACAATCATCACGCCTGCCGGGCTCTTTGATAAAGCGTAGCCTTAATCCTGGTGTAGGCGTCCCACTCCACCACCTTAACAACTCTTACACTATTTTATCATGCATCATCCCCGGTAATCGTTTCGCTTTTTTCCTTCCATTAAACATAGAGATTTAAACAACCCCATATAGAAGTGGATGTTGCCATCTCTTTTATCGATCCGTATCTCTTTCATTGTTAACATCTTAAAACCCCAAGTTAGTGTGCTTCTCATGGTGGGCTCTTGATTTTTCTAGCTTGTGGATTAGAGCTGGTCTTTGTTGTAGTCATTCATAGCATTCCATTGTTTCCAATTTTCATTGTTGTGGTCGTCATTGTGGTACTCGGCTCATTCAACAAGGTAAAACCTAATCATATTGCTTGATGGATCGTATACGCATACCCCGCTTTTGCTGTAGCTACCTGCCAGATCAATCATCAAGTTGAAATTGGCACGATGCATATAGCAAAGTCTAAGCTATTAATGGTTCATGATTTGCCGCGATTTTATTGAACACAACAAAATTAGCGCCAATACTCCAGAAGCTGTAACCTTCTCGTTGAGTTATTGCAAATCAAGGCAGCACATTGTGCTTTGATAAAAGCGATCAAGGTCTTTTTGGTGGCGACATGGCACATGATATCGACGACAGTGATGAGCATGTAGCCATGCTGCAAGTCTCCTCGTGGGGAAATCAGCGTCAAAGAGGTGGCTGACGATACCATAAAGCAGCTTGCATTCGCTTCCTGTGATGCGTCAAAGGGCTTGCTCAAATTGAAGCCAAGGCGTATGAAATTTAATCGACCAATGACAAAGGCAAGCATCGTATCAACGAAGCCAATCATGGATCATTAGAAGATGATGAAGAGCGAGCTGCAATAGCTACAATACAGAGATCCCACACCTGGTTTTTCTCATCAATCTCTGGGTCTGCCAAGCATTTCTTATAGTCTTTAGTACGAGGGATCAACGTAAACAACATGCAGCCTATAAGCATCCTTCATGGATAATAAACGATCATGGTATCTCTCTTTAAATGCTATCCATTATGCAAATGCTATTGTTGGCATGGAGTACCACATGTTATTAGAGTAATCCACCTAGTGGCAATCGCGATTCGACTGATGTGAGGTCTTAAAAGTGCAGCTCCGAAGGGCCGGTTCATGCACGGCTACATAGTTGTAGGGACACCGAGATGCCAACCCTATATAAATGTCAGTGTCATGGGAATCTTCTTTCCATATGACTAGGTGTGATGGCTAATTTTCTCATAGACGATAATGATGATGAAGAGGAGGACATGGCTTGTTCAAGTCCCATGGTCCTTTGTGAACAAGATGATCATTGTTCAATCTATCCTCTTTGGTGCAACAGTGTAGCACAATTGTATGGCACGCACGATGTGTAACTTTTATCATTCAAAGAAGATTGACGGTGGCATGTCATGCATATCCATCCAAATAGGGTGTAAAACTTGGACACTTTATGTAACATGGGTTTTGTATTATCGAGCTTAGAAGGTGTCTATGTGTAGTCAACAAGAAGCACTGCATAATAAGCGGAGGCGAGAGGGAGTGTCATTGATGTCCTCTATCTTTCTCTCTCGACATGAAGAAAAATTTTGCTCTCATCGTGGCTGCTACAGAAGAACTCGGCATTGGCGTCAAGAGCAACTTGCCATGGCGTCTTCCAAAGGATATGGCCTTCTTCAAGCAGGTGACAATGCACGTTCCGAAGGGAATGCCGGCTGATGCCAAGAATGCGGTCATTATGGGTCGCGTCACATGGGAGTCGATTCCACCCAAGTTCCGTCCGTTGGCTGATCGTATCAATATCGTCATTTCACGGGATGCAAGCTACGATGTGTGAGTAAAAAGAAGCATCTTATGGAGATGGATGTAGACTGATTAAAAGGTGTGTCTATGTATGTGTAGTGAAGGGAAGGCTACGCTTCTTCATAGCTTGGAGGATGCATTGACGATGGCGTCGGTTGAAGCACAAGGACGCATTTTCGTGATTGGAGGTGCACAAATCTATCAGTTGGCATTACAACATCCTGAATGCACGCATATTCTTCTCACTCGTGTACGATCCAAGGTTGATTGTGATACGTTTTTCCCAGCAATTCCTGAAGACATCTTTCGATTGGCATCCCATGAAGAATTAGAAGCCTATGCTGAACATCAAGTACCCCAGGGCATTCAGACACACAAGGACATGCAATACGAGTTCACTCTATATATCCGTCGTTCATTATAAAGAGATGCACACCATTTATCATCAATATGCATGGGAAGGAGGGGGGAATTGCACGGTTTTTTCACATGCCAATATGCTGTGCTACGCGGAGAGTATCAAGAACGGAAAGGGAATGTAATATGCTTCACGTGGCGTGCTACAAAAGGGATCCTGCAACACTTTTTTTTTTCTTGTCATCCCTTCTCTTTTTCTTCTTTGTTATTACTGCAACCTCTGGCTCCCACTTTTTTTACATTCAAAAAAGCCATGTCAGCTGCAGCTGAGCGTATTGCTACTCCCACCAACTATGATGAAGTCGTATGCTTTCGACCACCACCACCCCCTTATGAGAAAGTTGCCAATGGTTCATCATCATCATCATCATCGTCAGGCATGCTTAGTAAGGTGATGTCTGTTTGGCGTCGACAAGCTATGGCTGAACAACAAGGCAAGCTGAGCGGCCAAGCCATGATGGTGGACAAGAAACAAGTGGAGCATGCTGTGACACTGATTAATATTGCGACTGAAATGGATCATTCTGGCAACCACCAAATGGCCGTCGATTTATATATGATGGGGCTTGATAGAATGCTTTCTGCTTTTCCATGTAAGTCATGATGAGGATGCCTCCTAAAACATGACCATGCAAGCTCACAGTATATAAAGTGGAAAGCAATCCCAATATGAAACGTGCCCTTGAAAGCAAGATTATGGAAATCAGCCATGAAAAGAACCTTGATTTACGAGCTTTGGAAGCCCCTGTGGGTGACTCGAAGAACGGTGGCATGATGGGCGGTCGATCGTTGAGTGATCTACTTTCAAGTTCGCTTGTGTTGGGTGCCATTGTTTTGAAAAAGAGCCCTGTACCAGGCAAGTGTTATTATCTGCATCATCAGCCCCTCCTCCTCAACAACAAAAGGGTTCCCTTTTTGAAACACATGGTGCACATAAAAATAACATGCATGCTGTATTATAGACATGTTCTCTTATGCTGTTGGCTGTGCAAGAGCGGGGCTTGATCGAGTGGATGGTGCACGCAGGTTTACATGGGGCATTGCATCTCATGGTATTGCCAAGGCTGCCGAGCTTGATCGTCATTTTGAGATCCATCAAACCGTTGACCACCTTTACCAATCTCTTTACGCAGCCGTTACCAAGGCAAGCACAGCGTATGCCGAAACACCCGGGTTCAGAGAAGCCAAATGATGGCATGTTTCATGATTCACTATCATCCCTCCTCCTACTCCCTTTTCGTCTCATCTATCGGCATCTCTATTATTATAGTATACCCCCCAATCCATCATTACTACCCACATCATATTACGCAAAAACACCACACACATTCAAGTCACTTTTGTAGCGTAGTAGATGACATGTCAATTATAAAAAGTGCATTTCTCTTTTATTATTCCCCTCAATGTTTTGATCTAATGCGCATGGAAATGATTTGGGTAAACCTATATAAAAGCGGGCCAAACAAGTATCGTTCTTTGTTTTGACAGGTGCTCGGAACATCAGCTGCGTTTGTTAAAGGAACGATGTCTTACACAATCAATGCATCCCATACGTGGTGGTGGTAGATAATGATCCAAATACCCCTCACGCACACACACACACACATTTTACATCATGATGCTCTCATATGATATCACCATCACCATTGTTCAATGAAGGTTTCATTAATAATAAAGGAGTGCTTGTGCCTGATATTGGGTAACCCGTTGTTTGCCACACCATATCGGTAACTTGACAATAAATACCTATATTTGGTTGGTTTGTCATGCAATGTCCACATCCTTTTTTATACACAGCCATCTTTTCTTTCATCCTTCAACCGTACAATTCATAGCGATGCTTCGTTTTTCGATAAAAGGATTTTGTTTTGTAATGAATCATTATAAAGGCTACAGCTCCTACATACTCTAAGGTATGTATGACTCTTTTCGTTTGGTGACACGAGTGTGTGTATTACCCTATTGCATAGACTGCATGTATGTTTAGCAAAGAGAGGAGGCAAATAAAGTTGTTTACTGATCCCTGATCCGCCACCCCACCACCCCTGGAACCATCGCTGTTGTATTATGGATAACTTACATAGATGAACAATGATGCAAGTAGAGCCAATGGCAAAGACCATACGCTTGATGTTGTCTTGATCGAACTAGAAGACTCGGCTTCTTCACCACCATCATCATCGGCTTCGCCATGTGGAGCAACGGATGCATCCGGTGGTGAGGGTGCTTCCGAGTGCGTCACCTTGTTGCCTCCTTGTGGTTGCTGTTGTGGTCCTTGAACAGGATGCTGCACAATTTCAATATTAAATTCTTTTGCGACGGCATTGCTTTTTGCAACAACCCATTCAAGCAATCCCCATTCGGCACCACCTGGTTTTTGGCCTGGTGCTTTTGTTCCGCTCCACAAGTTGGCAGTGACTTGATCAAAGGTCCATCCAAAATGAATGCCAGGCGATTGTTGTTTGATGGATCGATCCCATTCAAGATCAGGCAACAAGAACTTTTGGTATTCAAGAACACGGTTGGTGAGAGTGTAATTGTTGAATAGCACAGCTGTAGTGTTTTTCAAGTACGATTCAAAGCGTGTGCGCATAGCGGGGTTCTTTAACAAGCCATTGATCATGACACCTCCAGGGAACATTTCTGGGAACTTTGTGTAGGATGTTTCAACAAAGGTTCTGGGTTGATCGAGGTTGACACCAAAAGTAGCATCATAATCTTGCCCAAGATAGTACCACATGTTGTTGTTGGTAGGGTCACGGTATGCACCATCATTGGTTTGTTCCATCCAATAACCATCCCAATGGCCTGCAAGGTATTCCATCACCATGAATCGCATAAAGCTATCGGTATCAAACATGTCCGACAGCTTGGCAACGGAAGCGTCATTCGAAAAATCGGTCTTGTTGAGCGTGGCACACAATGGATCAATGGCTTCATAGTCTTCGGGGCTCTTTTCGTTGGGGATCCAAGAGCTATAATCATCCTTGTTGCTGGAATACATAAAGCTTGCACCAGAAGCACCATCATACAATGGACCCATTTGCTGTGGCGGCTTGCCATTGTAAAACATGGCACGTATATAGGAATATTGAGGTATGTCGTCAAGCATGTTGAATGTACCAAAGCCTTCACCATTGATATACAATCGCACAATGTTGGCTTGGTTGGCATAGACACCCATAGCTTGCAATACATCGGCATACAGCTTTTCTCGCATTTGTGTAGGGTCTTCTTCCATGTGTCTGAGCTTGATGTAATTGCGATTGTAAATGTATTGGCCTTCTGGTAACATCCATCTCCAGCTTTGTTTGTCATTGTTGTGTTTTTTTCCAGCACCATGGATACCAAAAGAGCAATTCTAAATGCGTGTCAGATTTCATCTACGACAAGGCTGGGGGGCGTGATGTATTGTTGTGTGCTATAATAATAATAGTAGCACATTACTTACTTTGTAGACAAGTACTTCCTCAGGCCCCACAAAAGTAAATTTGGTGCTATACAAATTGGCAGGAACGTTTTTGATGAGGTTGTTCATTTCGGTAGGGTCGCCATTCATGAAGATAGTAGGGATGTAATTGGTATCAAACATGGGTGGCTCGTCACCACCACGTGTCCATTGTGGCTGTTTGGCAGCATGGTGAGTATTATACACCCCATTTCAAAATACGAAGGTACATGTACATACCTTATCAGCAATGGGCCATGGTAATTCTGGGATATTGGCGTATGTCACTGGGCGATTGAAAAAGTCATTGCGAGTGGCGGTGCGACCTGCCTCCAATGTACGTTGAAAAGGCTCCGCGTTTCCACTGACAACATACTAAGAAGGTTTGTAACAAAAGGGGTGTTTAAATATAACTATGTAGCGCCATTGATGATCCTCTTTCTCCTTATACCTGATATTTGTCTTGGTCGTTTGCTTCTGCTTGACCGACAAAGTATGGGACATCAGGGTCAGAGGCAGAAAGCTTTGTGAGTTGACCATTGACGGATACTTGAACATCGGTAGCTCCGGGAGCAACAACACGAAAGGTGACGGTGGCAGCATTCGCCACTGTTACAATTAGAGGGATTAATAGTAGACGCATGGGCGATACATAAAAAAAGAAAGGGAAAAAGAAAGAGATGAAGGTTGACAAGAAAAGGGGGACATCTCAAGTTTTTATGTGTTGATGGTGGAATGGCTCTGTCAGCAGCAAGCCCAGACTTTTTTAGCCCTGACGCCCTACTACTAGAGTTATACGCATGTAGGAGGTATTGCTTGTCACTCGGCCCCGGGATGCATCAGTTTTTTTCTTCTTCTTTGGAAGCAGCACCAGCAGCAGCAGGATGATGGAAAAAGGAGACACGCACACACACACACATATCTCACGTGTGACCACGAGTGATCGTATGGGCAACACGAAATGTAAACAAGACCAGTGCACACACAAAGGAACCTTAACGCTGTTGTTAGTTACAACAGCGGCTGGTTTTGGTTTGTTACAAACAATACGGGTTTCTTTGTATACGTACGTGGGGACAATGCGTTCGTCTGCAAATGCCATTCTCTTTTTTTATGCATCGATGTGCACCTTGCACACCCCCTTTTTTTTCTTCTTGGCAATGGTGGATCCTGTTTTTGAGCAGCATTGATCAGCATAAACATCGTTATCCACAGGAGTAGTATAGTAGTGCGGCGATGCATGTCTCTATGCCAAACGTATCACGACATGAATGATAGATGTTTGGGGAATTCACACACTCACACTCTCACACGTAATCTTCATCCTCCAAGCCAAACGTTCTATTTGGGCGGGTTCAAGTTTAGAAAAGAAGCTGAATTTCCTCATGTGGTGTTTTGTATCATTCTATTTCAGTACACTCTCCTACGCCACAAAGAACGCTGTCAACTGATATGAGTATTAACGTGCATATACAATGCTGCGTGACCGATGTAGGCGTAAAATAGTATAATGGTATTGATGTAATCACTTTCTTTGAAAGAGCGGTAAGTTTGATAGAAGTCCAGAAAGCTAAAGCCCACCATCAAGCTCCTGCAGCTGTATCAGCCAATGTGTGCAGCTCACCAGCACCCTCGTTTTTTTTTATAAGAGATGAGAGGCTTTATATACCACATGTTGTTTTTTGACTATTTTAAGAGATAGTATACTATACTATGAGAGGGTGTGGAATGATGGGGTAAACGCGTGTGTTGCATAATAGGTGGGTTGTGGTCGGCGGGAATCCTACTGGCGGGTTCCACCTAAATTGTTAAAGTGCATGAAGATGAAAGGGTTCCCTCCTCTTCGTGCTGCATCCTCAGGTACTTTAAATCGATCCATCCATCCTCTTATCCAATTCATCCATCCTTGATCACCATGGATTGACCCATTTTAGTAGCTTTCTATTTATCGTCATGGTCCGCGTTTCCGTTTTGAACGATTGCTTGAACGCCATTAACAATGCTGAGCGTCGCGGTAAACGTCAAGTTATGATCCGCCCCTCCTCCAAGGTCATTGTCAAGTTCCTCTCCGTTATGCAAAAGCACGGTACGTTGTCATTGTCAATTGACATGCTTGGTTGCCACGTTATGAACGAGTTGTCAGCCATGCGTGTGTGTGTGTTACCATCACGTGTGATCATCCATGTGTGTGGCAATAAGCGGGTATCATAGAGACTGATGATAGCATTCTAGGTTACATTGGTGAATTCGAGGAGATCGATGATCATCGTTCCGGCAAGATTGTCATCCAACTTAACGGTCGTTTGAACAAGTGTGGTGTCATTTCTCCCCGCTTCAACATCAAGCTCCAGGACCTCGAAAAGTGGACCTCCAACTTGCTTCCCTCCCGTCAATTCGGTTACCTTGTTTTGACCACCTCCGCTGGTATCATGGATCACGAGGAGGCTCGTCGCAAGCACGCTGGTGGCAAGATCCTTGGTTTCTTCTACTAAGCACCTTTCTTTCGATGATCAGATCATAAATACGTCTTGTACCAAAAGTATACTTTATTTTGTGTGGAATCTTGTTTTTGGAGTCATGCATGCAAAAAGGAAGGAGATGTGTATGTGTGAGCTATGGATGCAATAGATGTATTGAGAGGGGAAAGAATGGGAGTATATAAGCCGAGAGAATTAAAAAGTGTCCAAGATGGCTTGGGTATCAGTGTAAAAACGCAGTGATTGTAATGCACGTTTCTCTTCCATTCCTAACTCGGGACGTGTCTTGAACAATTGCTATGATAATGATAGATGAGTGAGCACATGCCAAAAGGATTCATGTCATTCACAAACCTCGAGGAATTGCCGTTTGGAGGATTCATATTGAAGCGTGTCAAGGATCTCTTGTACCTAGTGGTTGCACAGCATGAGAGGAAATGTCTTCTCGGATCCCTTTTCTTCCATCATACACATACCTGCCGCAAAAGTTGCTCCGATGTGCTACCACCCATAGACACTACTTGACCTAGTACCCTGAGTCGTTCTCTATCCAATCGACATTTGGCGAGCTCATCTTTGAGATGTTGTGGATTATCCAATGCTTGAAATGAGGATGACGTTGATGATGATGATTGTGGAAATCCGCTGTCATTGTCATCCACGTTGATCAACTTTTGTTCATTGTCCTTCGTCTCTTCTTCTTCTTGCTCCTCGCTTTCCACTGGTACTAAGCGTCGTCTTAAACGAATCCATCGGCGACGTCGGACAAAGGATCGAAAATGCTTGTAATTGCCTAGAACGAAAACGTCATTAATGGGATGATTCTTTTGAATGAGAACTGCAAACACACGTACCATGCCATACTGCACCATGAAACTTGAGAGCGTATTGCCATCCCGCTAATTGAGCGTATACATGGATGAGAATGCTTAAAGTAAAAGCAGGGGGATTAGAATCAATTTACCTTCATCTACATCACCGGACATATCCACCATCCATTCTTTGGTGACCTAAAGTGACCCAATCATTGTCAATGCCTTTTTGCCGAGATATCAATTGATAAACTTTACCCATTGCCATGTCGGATCCGGTAACTGATAAGTCGTAGTGTCCATTGGGGTATATCTAAAAGAGCATACTGGATGAGTGTATGTATATACGAAGAGGGATTGTAGCATGTAACATACTGCATATCAGCATCGCACCAAGGATTAGGATCGAATTGGAGGAGACTATAGACACAAATGGATGAGAAACAAGCACGCATAAACCAATGTCAAAAGCTTCTCACGTTTTCGAGCTGTAGCCCACTACCCAAGAACTGCCGTGTGTGTGTGTGTGTCGTCAGTACAATCGTGCTGTCATGCATGGGTTGCCTTATTCTACTTGCCCACGTTGACATTCATATAGAATATCATAGACGTATTCTTCGCGTACTGATGGGTTGGATTCGTGGTGTTGGTCATCTGGCAAGTGGGGCAGTGGTAATGTCAAGTTGTTTTGTTGCTTGACGGGCTTGGGCTTGTTGATGAGATCGCGTAGAGTCTTTCGTACACGTAAAGAACGTTGCCGCACCACAGCTGCTGCATTGGATATGGAGGGTGGTGACTCGGTCATAAAGAGAGGAGAGAGCAAGAGAGAAAAGCGCACACACACAATGTTTCACCGCAAGCAATGCAATAAGTTGTGTGTGCTGGGAGAAAATGAGACCTTGTACTACCACAGACTCAGTTGACATATTGGAGATGTTTCCCGTAATATCACGAGAGCAGTCTTGTTATGCAGGGAATGATCATCACAATGATAAATGTTGATTATGGATGGGTGCATGGAGGATCATGTACTTTCTTTGTTCCATTAACTAACGATCATTAAGACAGCAGCAGGTGGTAGGTGGTGGTGGGTATTGTAAACTCTAATATCAAACAAACGAGAAAAGGTTGAGAATCTATCTATACGTATTACTACAAGCGTTACAATGGGCTATATTATCCCTTTAATATACATACAAGAAGAGGGAGAGAAAGTGACAAGGAGGAGACCCCCACCCCCAAATTCTTTTTCAAAAGTAGAACAACTTCACCCCCCCAACATGCTGCTAATGCATTCATTCATGCTTTCCCCGACACAATGGAGACCCTATCATAGCAACGACACTAACAACAACAATGAAGATGAAATGACCTCGTGATAATGCTTGTCAGATGCAAAGAGGGTCGCTGTAACGAAAAAGAAAATGCAGATGCAAGATGGTCCTGTTCTCAATTGGCTGTAGTTACATTTACTGTTGTTTAAGGAGCTGTTGCTGCTGTTCTTGCTGTTGTTGCTAGCCAACACATTCATCATAGCAATACACACACGCACGACCACCACACGCACATTTTACATACATCAAGTATCACACCTGTCGAAACCTTGACATATTTGGAAACAACATCATAACAGAGAGAGAGTGTGTGTGTCTTTGTTGGGAGGAGACAAGAAAGAACTATCATATCCTTTTCTCCCTTCCTCTCCCTTTTCTTTTTTTTTCCTATCCACAACCATCTTTTTCTTTTGTTTTGCTTTGCTTCATTCTTCTTCATTGTCGACGTCCCTTTCATAAATGCCTGCTGTCGAAAGTCAGCTAAAGTAATATGATGTGCACCTTTTTGACAGCTTTTTTCATTCACTGACCACCACAGCATGCTCTTTACTCTACAGACGACGTTCAAAGTCGCTCGACGATCTTGCCTTGAAATGCACCATTGCAGACACAAAGGCCTGGTTGCAATCTGACCCCGATCGCCTGTGCCATTACAATGACATATCAACACCCACTTCACCCGTGGTGACCTTTGTGTCTTCGCCCACTGAGGATCTACCAAAACGACGCCATAGTTCATGTTGCGAGCCTATTAGCAGCAAAGAGTGCCTGAGATTAGCAACCATTTATGGATGGGTCACTACAAACACATTGAGCTGCCCCTATGACATGGCAAAGTAAGTAGTAAAAGTAGTAGTAGTCCTTACAATCACGGATATCCTTTTGACGCGTTCATCACGTGCTATACGTATACTAGGTATTCATCCCGCGACGTTGTGCAGCTCATGCCAGATCCACCCACCAAATTACTACAACACCAAAAACGTCGACAACCACCCGTGCCCATGTTGTATTCTTCTCGATCCTTCACTCAAGATTACCTTGCTTCCAACAAGCTCTCAAAAATGTTCATGCGCAAACGTACTTTGGATAAACGAAAGCAACGCAGCACACCATCCATTCAACTTTCTTCGCTCCACGCATCACCAAAACAACTCGATGGCATCAACACAACAACCGATATTTATGACGACAACCAGCTTACTATCGACACAACCAAAGCCAACAACAATGACAACGTGCCTCTCCCAACGCCACCTATCGAGAATGATCCCCATGTGTTCGATGTTCTTTCCAAAGACCTCCCTTGCTTCATCACCTACAATAATCGAGATGATGATACCACGGTGATGACTTCTGCTACAGTGGAAAAGCTCGTTGAAAAGCTGACAAGTGAAATGGGTAATGTTTTGTACCTTGTTAAAGGGAAAGAGGTACTAATCGAGATAATAGACTCAGAATTCATGATGGATTTCTTTTTGACCTATCGCCAATTTTTATCATCCATCAAGCTATGCAAGCTTTTGATTCTTCGTTTTCGATGGGCATTACTGGAAAATACGGATGACCGATCCTTAGTTCGCATACGGTATGTAAGAATGCTTTGCATTGTTTGTTTGGTTATTAATTCATCTTCTTTTACAGCACGTTTGTGGTGATTCGACACTGGTTGACGCATTACTGGGATCACGACTTTTCAAAGTCGCGTACATTGAGGTTTATCCTGTCCACATTTTTATCCGAGTTGCGTAGTCATCCCACTATTCTTGGATCACCTCGTGATGCACGTATCATCAAGAGCCTCAGGAACTTGTTCAAGCGACAACGGAAGCAGAAACAAGGAAGGATGGATGAAGACATCCAATCTTCATGTGATCGAGCATCATTGTCCACGACGCCTGGGCTTTTTGATACACGACGATCAAGTAACAGCCGCGGGGGCATGATTGAGGAACATCGTCGTAAAGATAGTGGATTTGGCAACATCCAAAGTTCAAAAGCACAACATCATGGGCGACCGAATAGCACATCCTCCTCATCCTCAACAACCATTTCATCACCTTGGGCTACTCGAGTAAGCTCAAGTCTCAAAAGCATCAAACGTTCCATGTGGCATCGAGCATCCTCATCTTTAACTTCTACGACATCCGATGATATCCAACACTATCCTTCTCCTCAACCATCCATATCCACGCCTATACCATCTCATACAGCAACAGCAACAACAAAATCATCCCGTCACCAATCTCATTATTCATATCCACCTAATCTCACTCCTTCGCCATCGCATCGCCTTTTACGGACCTCTCCTTTGGGCATCGAACGATTATCAGCTACCATCTTTGGGAGTGATTCCAATAACAGCAAGTCCACCTATCGTCCTTTTATCTTGTTTTATCGCACTGAAACTGTTGCACAGCAATTTTGCATGATTGAACGGCAAATGCTACAATATGTCACTTGGGATGAGCTGGTGGAATTAAGGTGGAAGGATCGACGATCGGGAGCAGCGTCAAGATCACCCATTGTGGATGATGGTACAAAGGAGCAATCGGGCGTGGAGCAATTGATTGGCTATTTTAACAGGGTAAGTATCAAGGGGTGTGTATGTGTGTGTGAGTAGGTAGATACAACAAAATAACACGAATATAGACATGTCAATGGGTGACTTCAGAAATCGTGCAATCACAATCTTTGGAACTTCGTGTGCGTGTGATTGAAAAATACATTCGAATTGCCTTGGTGAGTAGTAGTAGTGATGATGATGGATACATCATGCTGATCTTCGCTTCCATTGTGTAGAAATGTTATATGCATAGGAATTATAGCACGCTCATGCAGATATTGTTGGGTCTTCAATCACCAGCCGTATCAAGATTGGAAAAGACATGGCAACGTGTCAACACATACGAGATGCAAGTGCTGGACGACCTCAAGGAATTGACCAAACCCTTTCGCAATTGGAAGAACATCCGTGCTGCTATGAGTAAAGCCATTGAAGACATTGCTGAAGCATCCGCCGTCGAAAGCATCTTAACGCACGCTCATGATGATGATGCTATCCATGCTACAGATGCGCGTGGAAGTATTCCATTTCTCGGCCTTTATTTATCTGATCTTGTATTCAATGCCGAGCTACCATCCATTTTGACATCTACCAGTAATCAGCAACAACAACATGGCAACGGCACCTTTAACACGACACAACCTCCTGACGCAGACAACGAATTACGTACACGACTCAGTACCCATTTAGTGAACTATAACAAGTTTAGGATTACAGGTATGTAGGAAATGAAAGCGATATGGATGAAGAAGGGGGAAAAAGACCACTCATTCAAAGCTTATCATCAGCCTCGGTGGTTCGACATGTGTTGGCTTTCCAAGTACTTTCTCGAGCATACGACTTTGATTATCATCCAGATGTATTCTCAAAACTTCAACAACTCCAATTCTTGGATAATGCAGACCGCACCCACCCAACCCCGTGTCGTTTTGGTCTACAGTTATAAAAGCTTACATACAAACGTATATACATCATATGAGTACATAATGGATGCCACTTTGGTATATTGGATGGAATGAGCTGGATATCTACAACGCGTGAAAAAGAGTCTTGTAGTCATCTATGTGTTATCCCAACTTGACCATTATGCAATGCATGACCAAAAGGTAGAAACCTGGGGTTGATAGTGCTGAAATATATATGTGTGTGCAAGGTAGTCTTCAGAAACAAAGGGAACTTGGAAGTGCTGGAAAACTGTGACAATCGAAGGGATGATGATCATGTAGCTTCAGCAGCAGTAGAGAAGTATATACGACAAGTAGTCTCTAGAATATTCCAGTGTTTTGTGTAAAGTTGATACCATTTTTTGTGAATTAGCAGCTAACTCATAACTCAACACGTGATTCCTATTTTTTTAATAAAGGGCGGGGTGGATGAATGAATGAATGAATGAACTAGCCCCTCCACCACCACCCATCCACTCATCCACTTACATCCCCTTATTATGGACTTGTTGTCAGTCACTAGTCACGTACATCCATTAACTTATCAGCGCACACTTGGAACAGCAACAGTTGTCATTGATAAGTGAACATTGTACTACAACTTTGCAATGCATTGACAACGTTTATGTACTTGCTACCATTCATGACGACAAAGCTGTCATTACCTCCATGTTTGTATGTAATTCCGAGAACAGGTCGGTAACCTGTTTGATAAGCAAATCTCGCTGATAGACTAAGATTTAGTGGTCATCGGCGGTCCGCGCATTATATGATGTGGAAAAACGAGTATAATGCTTTTACAGCTCCTCTCTTCTTGAAACATTCAAAACCAAAAAACCGCTACTTGTAAGCTATAGCATGACTTAATTTTTTGCCCGTGATCGTTAACTAACCATATTACATATAGACCAATGACTATCCTCGGAATTCATGACTACATGCGACGCGAGCATCTGATTGATACCGATGTCAACATTCTACAATACATTCAACAACAACAAATCAATGTGCTTGTAATCGACTTTTGTGCCGAGTTTTTCGAGACTCTTAAAGAAACTATTGCAATCCCAGTCTTTCGTGAACTGCTTCAAGGGAGGAGAAACGTTGAGCAACATGCTCAAGCAGTCGCGGATCGTGTCAATGACTTTGTTGATGCAGTAATTGAACGACTAGAAAGACTGCAGGAACAAACTGGCGGAGATAGGATTATTATCCTCGTCATTGATGGGGAGCGACTCTATGCCAAAAACGACACGCACAGAAATCGAAATCAAAAACGCCGGGACGCCTATCATCAAGCACTGAAACGGGTACCAGATACTCTCTCTGACCGTATGCTCAGGCGTTTTGCCTACAAATGGATCACTTTTACCGACGCTATCAAGGAAGCTATGACAAATGCATTGAATGGACGTCAAGTCGGCCAATTTAATGTGGAACTATTTGATGTACACAATCCACAAAGACAACCAGGGGTGTATTACTTTACTGCCCAATTTGAAGCTGATCCCATTGTCGTACATGTTGCCAAGTTGTACCACGATCAAGTGAAGGCTATTATCTCAAAAGATGGTGATCTTTTTGCTTACCATGAGGGACCGAATGACATCTCCGTATGTACAACTGAGCATAAGTGATGTAATTCAACTAGTGTGCTAAAGACTTTGCTACTGTAGCGTATAACCAAATTTGACTGGAATCTTGGTGATCGCTTTGGCCAAGGGCAAGTTACATCCAAAGCACGCTTGCTACAGCAACTTGGGTATCAGAATCTGGACGCTCCTGGGGTCAAGGATAGGGTAAGTCTCATACATATGACATAGGTACATAGCTAAGTTACTGACATAATACAATTGCATGATAGGCGGAAACTGAATTCGCTGTCATAGCAGCAACAAGTGGCAATGACTATGCCACCAACGAGCGAAGAGTTGGCTTCGCCACTATTATCAGATACATGCAACAATTACGACCCAATTTCGCTGAAGATATCGATGCAATCGGGATCCTTTATGTTCTCATTAGCAAGATAGCCATGGAGAAAGGATTTCAAGAACTAGATGGCCGTGTGGTGTTGCGGTTTCAAATAGCTCTTTACCAGTTTTGTCGTCCCCGCTTACCAAGTCCTGCATTGGGAGAGATAAGATTTACTCCACCGCAAGCAGAAGGAGCCCTTTGGAACGAAATCTGGATTTACGGAGGCCCTGTTCCTGCACGTGATCATGTACAGAATCCTGGATCCCGGTATACTCCTCTACGACGTGACAATGATTATTTCGATATTGATATCGATAACACTGAACAAGAGAGGATTGACCCACCACCACCAGCACAAGAATCAAAGCGTCCAAAGAAGCAAATAAGAATTCACAAGAAGGCGTTCCAGAAAAAAGAGTTTCCAGATGAACAATCTTTCAGGCATCCAAACAATGAGGGAGGAAGCCAAGGAACGTATTCGTATCGTTCAAGGGGAATCGTTACAGCCCAAGCCGGATTGTATTCTTCGGTGCTGGCTGCAAGGAAGAGGACACGACGGGTATCCAAAGGTGTGGTAGCAAAGGAAACATTCTATGACCAAGACGACGAGACGGCGATTCGCCAAGCTGGTCTTGTTACACACGTGATAAGAAACATCGCACGAGACATGTCGTATATGCGTTATGCTGCCTTGCACATGGCCAATGTTGCTATACGCATTGCAAACCTCCATCTGGATCAGCAACATAAAAACAAGTTTAATGCGCTTTTTTTCGACAAGCAAAGCGCAAATCTTTGGCGTGATTTCTTGATCTGTGCTGCAAAGTATGATCCCAATGAGAGGGTGTACCGGGCGAAGGCTTTACAAGCTCAAGGAATGGAATATCACGAAGGACACTTTGATTTACTCAATGAGGATGGATCCCTAAACAACGACAAAGCATTCTTGAAAGCTTACCGAGATGATACATCTTTCCTGGCATTACACAACAATATGGTCAAGCTGGGTTTTGCTCGAAACGTTTTAATGGTGGCTAGAAAGATATGGCACCATCAGCTTGGACAGATGTTGGATAACGCGCCTGTTTATTCTTACATGAGCCTTGCTGTTACTGAAACAGCCAACAATCTTGACGAGGTTTTCCGCGCCAATACCATAAGGAATTTCAAAAGTCGATACGTGGTGTATTTAACCCAAAGGGTGAAGCAAGAAGCTCAAGGTCCCGTGGGGTGGCCGAATACGACAGAATGTGTTCAAGCATTAGTTAACGCTGTCAACAACAACCAACCAATACAAGGAATAGCGATTGCTGAGGATCTTGTGCAGGCAATTGGAGATTTCGTGGAGAAGATGCGTATATATTATGCAGATGAGAATCGGCATTTTAATGTCGACACTTGCCGACTTGAGCTTGTGAGAAAATCGACGTCTCCAGATCATTGGCCCGAAGATATCAACAATTTGGTGAAATACCTATTCAATGCTATATGGGACACTCCTCTATATGATGGCGAAGAAACAACCGAGAATGACGAGCAACAAGACACGACGAACATGGCTCAGATGGTGCAAGGCCTTCCAATTCCCCTACAACAAGGAATTCAAGGGTTCATAGACCATGAACGCGAGGTAATGAAAGCTTGGAGATGTCATAACGCATATTAACCATGTCATTAGGTAATCGCTCCATATGTTGGTGGATTAAATTTAAGACAATGCCTTGGTTTACCCGCCAATGAAACTGCTGCTGAAGGAAGCAATGTTATCCCTAGTGGTGATGATGAAGAAATAATCTTCGATCTTGATGATGCGGAGTTGGAGCTAGAAGATTCATTCTTTGGTCGTGTCCAATCGAAAAATGGTGGACCGCTGCTAGGCTTGTCTGCAAGAATGCTTGAAGAATGCGCTGGTTTAATGACTTTTCCGTTGGCTCCTTTACAACAATTTGGTCAAGTACACATACCGATCAACCACTCCTTCGTCGAGAAAGAGCTTTTACGTCATTTCGATATCTTCTCGCGCTCATACATTGATGAGAAGGATGCCAACCTGCAACAATTGCGAGGAGAATTTGAAGTCCAACCAAATGCACCACTACAAAATCAGATTAACGAGCTGCAAGATGGTAATACGTCAGGTCATGTGAATTTCTCTGTATTGACATCTTCGTTTTCAATTTATTAGAAATAATCCTCTTGAATCAGGACGTCAACCAGTTGAAACGCGCTTCATCAGCGAATCTTTTCGATGAGCTATACGACATCAAACATTGTGGAACTGTTATCAGCATGAATGGAAACGTCAACAGGGTCAGTCTATCAAACCGCAATTATTTAAGGTGGTTAAACCAGAAAATACCGGAGCACGATGATGTCCACCAAAACACGAAACGCCGGTTTACTGCGCGCCCATACTTTACCACGAATGGCATAACAGTATCCGCGATATATGTTGACTGGCAGAAAGGGAAAAGAGACGATATGAGCGCAAGATATTTGAAGGAGATACGGCGTACAACCCGAGAGCATCTTGTCCATGACTTTCATCCACTACCAACCACGGATCCTGACCTAAGCATCCATTACCAAGGGGTTGTAGGCCTAGACTTTGGTGAAGTCTGCGCCGTTGCAAGCGTGTTTCGTCCAACAGATTCAACATTACCTGGATCTCAGCTTGTAGTGAAGCGAAATTTTCTGTACGGCAAGACAGCAGCTTTGGTTCTATGGCTGGAAAAAAGAAAGCGAAGGTCGGATCAAGATATATTGGGGATTGAACAGCAGCTTTCGGTTGGATCAACACATGGGACATTAGCCGACTACCACATTTACTTACAAGCCTTGAAAGAACACAACAGAGGGAAGAGACTGATGGAGTTCTATTCCCATCCATCAGTTTTAAGGCGAAACTGGAGCAACAAGATGTCGCAACAATCCGCCCTCGATAAGACATGTAGCTTGATAATAAATCAAGCTGCACAAGCTCGTGAAGAAGTTGATACTCGCCCTCTGGTGTTTGCTTTCGGAATGGATGGTTTGAGTGAAAAAGCAAGAAAAGGTCAACCTTCTCCTATGGATCACAAAGTTTCAAGAGCCTTATATCGCAAGATTCGCCAGCTCAACGCGCGACGCCGAAGACCTATGAGACATGCGTTAACACGTGTTGATGAATACAAGACATCGAAAACCTGTTGCAGATGCATCAAGAGTAGAGGAGTGCTACCGGTGAATGAGAACGTTGAATATTTAGGGCGTCCTCCAAGGATTGGTGATGCAAGATCAAGAGTTGACAATTCAGGACAATTCAGGACGTTCAGAGTTGTTCGCTGCAATACCTGCAATCGTATATTCCATCGTGATGGAAACGCGGCTGAGAACATGTGTACGATAGCACGCTATTATCTTAGATACAATAGAAGGCAAGCCCGCTTCATAAGACCTTCTAGAGTCCATCAACCTGCTCCATAACATGTTGATAATGCATCAGGAACCTCCAAATAAAGAAGCTTTACTGTTGTTAGATACATGGCTATTCAATGAACCTGTAACTTTTCCTTCTATGTAATCCATTGTATGTAAAGTGGTCGAATGAACATCAAAATAGGCTGACAAGTGCTGTATTGTACGGATTCATGAGTTGGATATCATTGATCTCGTCTCTATGCTGCTAACTTTTGTAGGGAGGTCGTAATAGCCGTCAGTTCAACAGTGGGGTTAATATCACTGCTGTGATAATATGATCTCATTTCACCGTGAAGAACCCAAGATTCAATACCGTAAATCATCCACATACATCCATGTTGCGATTTATTAGATTGCAATGGTATGTATATATAATCTGGGAGTATACGATCTAAGCTATAAGCAATAACAGGAGTACAATGAATCAAATGCAGCTGCAGCAGGCGAGAGCAACAAAGAAAAATGCTCCTTCTTCGCCTTCTACATTTCGCAAAGGTAAGTCCAACTCCATTCACTCTATAAGACACACACTAACTCCATCTACCTTTTAAAGAGCATTCACTATGGCCATTCCCTTCAATACACGGTGTCAATGGTGGACATGGCACGCGTTGGTTGGCTTTACAATGGCGCTTCTTTACAGTTATATCTGTCAAACAAGTACACGCGATCTACCCTTGACACGACCTCCATTTATACAACACGTACGTCCAAGCGATGCACTTGCTTTATCGTTTACGTTTGACGTGTTTATGTTTGACGATCTAACTCTTTAGATCTATTGTAGCTTGCTGTTCTCTCTTATGAGTATATCACGTCAGCAACAAACAACAATGCTATATGTCTCTTTGGTGCTATCAAGATTTATCTATCGCTCAAGGCATTCGTCGTCAAGTATCACTCTCTTCCTTTGGCGATTGATTGGTATGCATGATGTTGGATCTATAAATCAAGACTGGCTGATTAACGAGTCTCACAGGGAAACAGCAGCAGCACATACTCGATCGGATGAATACCAGGTTATTTGCAGCAATAATGGTATTGGGAATACCTAGAGGTAAAGTGCACCATGCAGGGATTGGCTGAATTCAAGTGAACTTACCGAACGCCATACAGTGGCAGAGTCTCCTTCGGCGATACTATTATGATCAATCAGCAAGTCAAGAGTGTCACTGTACTGTACTCTCCTGGGGAATTTTGTGCCCGGAAACAGTGTGACTCAAGGTGCGATGGCAAGGCCAATTTAAAAAGGCATCCACTGTGCACACGGCCTCCATCCAAGTACGGCTATTGATTTCCTTGCCTACAGAGAGAAGGTGGATATCTCTTATGATGCGCAATTTCAGGATCCATGAGCGTATGGTACATATGGTGGCATTCCTTGGTGTCGCAGGTTGATTATCGTATTGTCTTCGGATGATGTATTTGGTTGCAATTCCTTGTGATCACCATGGTTCAGGTCTGTATGATCATGATCCTTTGGAGACCTTTGCTGAAACGCTTACCATTATCTAGAGGGACATTGCAGAGAGCTGCTTGTCTTTTGGCGCTTTGAAGTTTACAGGATCACAGCTATGGTTGCTAAGTATTATTGGATGCTCTCGAAAACTTCGTTTACTATGTATCTTTTATAGGTGAATCATGTCAGCAATGAGGAAGGGCGTCTATCTCGTGTCATCTTTGTTTCATTTCTGGTGGTTGGTTACCAAGCAACGGACGATTTCTCTGGAGACTGTCAGCCAATGCAAGTCTTTTGTGAGTGAATTGTATCAGCAACAAGCAACAGCATCCATATCGTTGGTGTCATTTCATGCTTTATCCCATCATCTGGTGGTTCTCGCTATCGGCAATTCGGTGGCACCCTGCAAACAAGGTCTCTTATCGATTGATCACGTCAGCAGCAAGGAGCAACTTGTATATCTTTGGTGTCAACAAGCTTTCCATCTCTTGGTGGTTTCTAATTATTGGCAATGGCTGCTATTACACGTCTCTTATGGATGGATCATGTCACCAACAAGCAGTGAGAGCCAACGTCGACACCTTCCGTGGTATCAAGGTCACCTATGTATCTCTCCACCAAGGTTGTCGTCAATCCTTTGATGTTTATCATGCTACGCATGTGTGTTATCGGTGGATGCTATCAGCAACAAGCAAGACGCAGCAATGAGCAGCAGAGTCCATGTCTTTAGTTTCAGCAGCATTACTCGGTATTCTGGTGATTCTTGGCATTGGCAAATCGCTTTCAAGAGCATTCAGCAGCTCACGTCTCGTATACAAGTTTCAAGGGCTGTCACGTGTATTCTTCCCACCTGTCCACAAGGTGCGTTCCAACACGTCTTTACATTGTACCTTTTGGGTAAGTTGATCAGAAACGCGTATGTGATGATGTGCTTGTTATCTCATATCACGTATATGATAGGTTGAGCATGTTGGATGATGACATTTCTGGCCAGCAAGAAGACAGTGGTTTGAAAAAAGTGGCACATTGTATCACTGGTATGTATGGCATTAGGAGCACAAAAGAAGCATTGTCAATTAACGAGTCTTACATGGAAACAACAGTGACACGACATCGATAGCATAGAGTTACAGTTGTCTCAAGCAAACATACATATCTTTGGTGCCATCAAGCTTTATTGGATCATCTGTTCTGCTCTTCTCAAGTATGGCTCCTCCTTTGATTTGCCTTTGACTATCAAGGTTTGGCATTTGTTGGATTCTTTATAGCATCAAGCAAGCAACCTTTGGTATATCAATAAGACATTCGATCATTTTATAGTTCCTGTCGTATTCTGAGCATGTAATCACTATCGTCTCTCACACTTGCACGATTGCATCACATCCCAACAAATAAACTTTGTCTTCTTTTTCTTTTATTGAGTCTCACGGACACCTACGTTACCGATCTCGCTACATCTCTCATATCACTCACACACACACTCATCTTCTCTCCATATATCACAGTGATGATAATGCTTGACAACAGTATATAAAATCTGGCACCCAATGATGTGGTATATCGGCTACCCAAAATAGCTCGTATAACAAAAACAACTCAACAAAGCGGATGCTTCCTTTTGCGGAAAAATCCTTGCATATCCAACATTAATGCATCATTGTCATTACTTTCATCTCACACCCAGCCTTTTCATACAGTGGTGCGCGGATCTGCTGTATTCGTCATTGTTGTGTAAATAGGACCGGTTAAGACACATATCGTGTTGATATGTAATAGTCCCATAGTCATACAAAGGTCAAGCATAAAAGCATATATGTGCTATTCACAGGTGTTGAGTCATTTTAGCCCCTTTTACATGTCGTTTATCATATGATCAATCTGTGATAAATGATGCTTACCGTTTATGAGTCATATATGATGTTCGAGCCCTTCTTTACTTGTTCGCGTTACCATTATGAGTTACCGCCAACACAAATAACCCCTTTTTATCCCTGCATCATGACGATTTATCCTTTGACATTGAAGCACTGCAATAGCGATTGGTTGGATGATCACGAACGACTGGGTACATGTTGCTGTATGAAACTTAGAATCAATCGATTCTACTGGTTTCTCTGCTAATATGGTCATTAGCCGTGCTTTAGATAATCGAGATCTTCTAAGAAGTTTGTATACAAATAAGGTGGCAACACTTTCAAGTTATTAAAAGTACCATGTTGGATGCCTAAAGGTCAGATGATCGTAAACAATCCGCTGCATGTGTTCTCGATATGATGCATCCATTCCTTCGCTGTCAGTTTCTTTACTAATATAGTCAAAATCCGTGTTTTAGAGCATCATGGTCTTGTTCTAAGATGTCTTTATGCAATCGATAAACATGTATGCAGTTCTTATTTCCATCACATCCATGGCATTCCTTTTCTAGTAAACCCTAAAGTACTATATTTGGTGACGACATTTGTACCCATCTATCAACCCCTTACACCCCCTTTATGTGGATTGTGCTGAAGCAAAAACGTGTGTCGTTTTGTGTATAAAAGCCCATGATATGTTGGGTCCTTTTTATCTTTACAATGCTCCCATCAACACAAACCACTCGATTGGTGTCTTTCCCTTTTCTCTTGGCTTTTGTTGTCTGGTGGTGTCCAAGCTTGTCCTGTGGCGGTGCCCCTCCCCTTCCCGACACAGTATTAAGGGTCCTGTCGTGCTGCTCCTTCAGACCTTTGCTCCAAATTTTCTCGTACAACGCCAGACTTGTCCACCTGGCGGGGCGCCTCGCGTCCAGTATCTTAAGGTAAGTCAATGATGAAGGATTGAATGTATTACGAATACTAACATCATCTGACTATAACCAATCCAATCCTTTGGCAATATTCCATCTCTCCTCTTGTTGGTGCTTCTCTTATTGGCTTTCTTTCCCTTACTTTCCTTTCCTTGCTATCCCATTTCTTTGTAAACTACTCTATTACTTCTCGTTGCCACCATATTTGTGTATTACTCTATTTTTTTAATTATATAAAGATACGTAAAGCAAGTCTAAAACTGTGGCTATGCTACACGCTATCATTGCTTCTCTTGTTGTTGTTGGGATTCTCTCAATTCTCGACTGCCGGCATTCTTCGAATTGGCTTGAAAGCATGCTCGAAAGCGCTTCATTTCCTCTGCGCATAATCGCCAATCCTTCTTGTCATAAAAGCAGAGCTGTAAATCTTCGTTCTCTTGGGCACAGCCTGTGCGTTCAATGCGTGCATTGTAAGGGTCGTCTTCCTCCTCGTCAGGTCGATTCGACATTGGGTTATGTGTGTGTGTGGTCACAACAAAAAGAAAAAGGAAATGAAGGATGCAGCACGGCATTAATCCCTCTCTCGCTCTTAGGCTGCTGCTGACTTTTTTCACACGTGATGTCAATGTTCGCTTTTATGCAACTTGTACCACCACTTTATGGATAAATGTATGAAACATGCTATTTACAAAGTATAATGAGGGTCGCCATTGATCAAAGCATAGGCAGCAGCAGCAGTAGCATCTTCTTCTTCTACACGCGATTTCTTCTTTTCTCTTACAAGCTCGAACGCATAATCCATGGCTGATTCCCATCGAAGACGAGCATACGACACGGTATGTTTGAACTCTTCATCATTGTTGCCATTGCTCCAAAACCATGGTATATCGGGTGGCAAGAGACGAATGAGTATACCTGCAGGAATGGAAAGTGATCCAATGGCCACGGTGCAAATCCACTGGTTCATGCTCAATGGGACCGTCTTGAAAGCCAAACCACCATATTGAATGATCAAGCATTGCCCAACAATCACAAAGGCTTGGATAGCCAAGAACAAATAGTCATGTGCAATGCCACGTAGAATGTTGAGTTGATCGTCAATGCGTCTACACAAATAAAATGCTGCATTAGCCCCTGCTGCTTTTGTTGTTGTTATTGTATTGTTGCTGCTTTACCTGCAATTGAGCTCATTGAACACTTGCATGAATACAAAGACATTGAAAACCATGGTGCGTAACACCTTTCGATCTTGGCTGAGTGAGCTATCAAGTCCAAAGATGGCGGGTCCATGATACATAAGAAGCAAATTGATAGCAATTTGGAACGTGGCCTGGCCAAGAATCATGCGCGTCATACGCCAATTAATCAATCCAGAATGCTTGCAAAGTGGCTTTCGTTTCACCAGCTCGTCTGATAAGGGTTCAGTGGCCAATGCCAAGGCAGCAAATGTGTCCATAATCATGTTGACCCACAGCAATTGCACGGCGCTAAGGATGCTTTCAGATGTCTCGGATGCAGTTGCACTCACAAAGGATAACACCACAGCAGCAATATTGACCGTCAACTGAAAGGTTAAAAACTTGCGTACACCATCATTGACAGCACGTCCCCATTTTAACGCTTGAAGGATTGAATTAAAGTTGTCATCCATAAGGATAATATCAGACGCTTCTTTGGCAACTTCGGTGCCCGTAACGCCCATAGCAAATCCCACATTCGCCAACTTTAGAGCAGGCCCATCGTTGCAGCCATCACCTACAATTGCCACGACTTCATCAAGTTGCTGCAATCGAGTAACGACAAGTGTCTTTTGGGATACACGTACACATATGAGATGTTTGTGTCAAGCGATGTTGTTATAAGCTTACCTTATCAATGGGCGAAGAACGAGCCAAAACTTGAAGTCGAGGGATGATACGGAATTGGTCATCAATACTAAGAGCACGGAATTCAGGACCTGTCATGGCAATGCCACCCACTGTCAGGATGCCACTTTCTTTTGCAATAGCCTTGGCCGTCTCAATATTGTCTCCTGTGATCTGCAGGTGGTGTCAACAATAAACAAAGCACATGAAATGACATCCTTCATACCATGCGTATGAATACACCAGCACGTTGAAAGGCTTGTACTGATTCAATGACACCTTCACGTAATGGATCTTGGATTCCAACAATACCCAATAACACCAAGTCCTCAAGTGGGGGATCATCAGTATGAAAACCTACTCCTTGGTCAATCCTCTTCAAGTGACACGCTGTAATGCATTAAATACCTTGATACGTCTTCTTGTTCACATCACGGTAAGCTAATGCCAAAGTACGAAGAGATCGTTGGGAGTATTGATTCACAAGAAGCTGGTATTGGGTACGTGTTTCTTCTGATAATGGCTGAATCTTGCCACGTGCATCGATGTAATGAGAGCAAAGCTGGACAATTGTTTCAGCAGCACCTGTTACCTAGGCGTGTTTATGATACATGATACCAAAGATGAATGTTTGCCATTATCCTACTATACCTTTGGTGTATACGCGGTACTCGTTTCGTGTAGAGGAAACAACATTGCATTCTCTCATTTGAATCACCGTTGTCATGCTCTTGGCTTCTGAATTGAAAGGATAGACCCCCATAATTTTGCTTGAAGCTCTGCAATGATCCAATGTATAAGTACAATGGGTGTCTCGTATTCATTAATCAATTCACTTGCCTGATTTCTTGATAGCTGTATCCCAAGCGTTTAATAAATTCCAGCATGGCAGACTCGGTAGTGGATCCCACATAGTTGCCATCTTTTCCTTCAAACGCCGTTGAGTTGAGTGCAATCCCTTCCACAGCCAACTCCAACGCTACAGGGTGAACGTTGTAACGCCAAGCGCCAAATTCAATACGATTGGTAAAATGAAGCTCGGCAAGAGCCGCACTGACAACCGTCATCCTATTTTCGGTGAGTGTGCCGGTCTTGTCGGAGCACGCAGCTGTTGCATTGCCCATCGTTTCACTATCATTCACCGGTAATAAGTTCCATATTTGAAAATGATTGAACAACGCCCTGTGACCCAAGATCTTACCATGCTGACAGGTGTCGTACGAGATTATTGTCCTTTAACATTTCCGTTGTTGCGAATGCCAAAGCAAGGGTCACTGCCATAGGCAATCCTTCAGGTACCTACATAAAATCCACCACCATTATTAGTAATCATCCTGTCGTCATGGCAACAGGCATTCATCTACTTACAGCGACGACAATGACGGTGATGGCTTGAATGACAATACCCACTAGCTCTGTCAGCAGTTCGCGTGTTGAGAGCCAATGGTCTTGGAGAATACTGAGCACAAGGAGCTTCACGAGAAGAACACTATAGGAAGGGTGGAGGAGGGAAAGCACATGCATTAGTGGTGGTGGTGGTGACAACATAAACAAAGCATCACATTGTCATACCCAAACATCAAGCCAGCTGCTGCGAACCCGAATTTTGCAATTTGGTCTGCCAATACGTTCAACTTGAGTTGTAATGGCGTGTGCTCGGTTTGTGCATCTCGAAGTAGCTGTTATCAATGCCATCAGGTGGTTGCTAGGATACAACAGGTTATTTGTACTTACTGCCATGGCTCGCCCATAGAAGCTGTTTTCCCCGACGGCAATCACCACCACCTGAAATGCATGATGATGAGATGTATATATTACCCAAACAAACAAAAAGATCCGCCGATCCGCGCACTCTCTTTTGATGTTACCTTTGCAACGCCTTGTAGGATTTTAGATCCACTCAAAATGATACAGTCATCGATCGCGTTCTTTTTGACATGACAAGACTCGCCAGTCGCGGTAGATTCGTCACACCGGAGATTATGGCTAAAAGGCAAAAGAAGGGTGTTTGTGTAAGGAGATGGTGGATACCTACATCCATCATGGCCATTTTTTGACATACCCTTCAATGTAAATACAATCGACGGTAACCATATCGCCCGGTTCAAGAAACAAAACATCCCCCACAACCACCTCATGGATTTGTATTTGTTGGGAGATACCACCACGTAGAATCTATAATGTTTGTGTACCTAGGTTAATATATAGGCTTGGGATCAAAGGTGACACGAGAGCGCATTGGAGCAAAAAAAAAAGTGCGTATGTAGATAGATGTACATGCCTTGACTGGCCGATCCTCTTTCTTGGCTGTCAGCTTTCGGAATTGTTTGTTTTTCTCGTAGTCATTGATCGCATCTTACAACAACATTCATGTGAACAAAGAAAGTTCTATAATGTGTGTTTCCCACCCGCCCATATTGCTTACTTGTTATCACAACCACAGCTACTGCCACAATGATCGCGACACCATCCACCCTAAATATTGGATCTTGGTGTTTGTGTTTGATTTTTTTTCAAAAGCTACTCATTTCCCACTTACCATCCTACTTTAGGTTCATCTACAGGGTGATTGATCGAGTGATCTTCCCAAATGCCCACCACAAGGGATACCAGAGATGCGATAGATAGCATGACTACGTATGTGTACATGCATAATAAGCAACCTTGGGTTTCATTCAAGGATCAAGGAGACGTTACGTACTGAGGGTTTGATCATTGTAAGCAGCCCATATCAGAGATAGGATCGTTTGTTCCGGAACACTGGGCATTTCATTGTATCCAAAGGCTTCCTTTCGCTCAATGAACGGTTGTCGTTTTTTATCAGGGTCATTGTTGTTGTGGTGGTGTATCCCATAATGAGGATCAAAAGATTCGTCAGGTGCCAATCCCACGGTTGGATCCACTTTTAATGCTTGACAAATGCCCATCATGCCGCCTAATTCAATCAACAATTTCGGATTATGATTGTCATCCACAAGCGAGCAAAGCTGGTCGATGGTGACACCGAAATGTTTTTTGGTGGATGGTGTTGATGACTCGTGTTGCAATAACGGGGTGCCACTGCTAATCATGCTGCGTATGCTGTGTGCTATATATACAAGTGAAAAGAGAGCAACAAATAAAAAAAGGAGAGAGAGAGAGGAAGAAAGGAAAAGAAGAGAGGGAAATAATAAGAGTAGTAGTTCCCGGGTAATCTAACGACCCTTCTTCAAAACAGGAACGTTTCATGTCAATCGGTTACACGAATGGTAAATCAGCCTTAAGCACATGGGACGCTAGTTAAGATGCATTTATTATCTACAAGGAAAAATCATGTTACAAGATAGCATGTTGAGAATACAAAAGGGATCGAATCTTGTAATAGTCAGGTGATAAGAGGCCTTCGACAAGTAATTGACCTGTGCCCGTTTTTCGTACAGCCACTCGATCATTGCATACGAGAACACCTTCGCCTTTGAATTCAGCCGAAATGCCTTCATTTTGTAGTATCCGCTTGAATTCACTCAATCGAATGTCTCCCACAAATACGGATGGCTCCCACTTGGATGGTTTTTCTGATGTATCAACGTCCAGCGATGGTGTGGTAGAATCGGATGGGAAATGAATACGTCCAGAGACACGCGCAAGCTCGTAATCATCCAGCTATGGATTGGGGATGTTAGTATCATTTCCTACCATCATAACAATAATGTACATACTTTGGAGAATTGAAGCGAGCTCACAAGTGCATCCGTCAGCTTCACACGATAAATGTTGGTGGCAGCAGATACATTAAGGACTTCGCCAATGGATGGTGTAAAGACTTCTTTGGTGAAATGATCCATGTTGCGACATGCTTGTGCCAGTTCTTGAGTAGGACCTTGTAAGCCGTGTACGATAATCTACATTGTTGAACAAGTAAGCGACATGCCATACTCACTCTCAACTTCTTGGGTCACTTACCAGCTTACGAGGAGCAATTTGTGGTAAAATGGTTTTCATTGATCTGCCATCCGATAAGCCCTCCAAATCCACATAGCGTAGCTGACAATCAATCGACACATCTTCTTCGTTTGTGATATACTTCATAGGCTGCTCCACTTTGCCAGGTAATAATGGCTCATCAATTGCCATGGGATCGTTTTTGGAAAAGTTGGCACCTGCTTCCTTGTTCTTTTCTGCATCCTCAAGTTGCATACGATCCAAATCAGATGCCTTTAGATAGTGCTCAGGCTGAATCGCTTCACCGTAATCATCGATCTTTTTACGGCGTTCGAGGTAAGGAAACATGCGATAGCTTTGTGCTTGCTTGAAGAAACCACCTGATCGCCCTTGATCACGCACGTATAAATCAAATTGACCTCCCAATAATAAATCTTCCATGGCATCATCCGCTTCATCCATATCTGATTCATCAGATTCGTCTTCTTCCATAATGGTCTTGGATCGAGCAATCATGGCAGCATGTGCAGCATCCCTCTCAGCCTTTTCGCGTTGTCGTTGTTCAAATTCAGCCAATTCTTCACCTTCAAGTGGTACACGTCGATACACCGTCAAATGTAAAGATGCATGATAATCAATGGATGGCTTAATGGGTTCTCTTTGGCTGCGTTGTTGTTCTTCTGGAATAAGTACATTGGTGCGGGTGTTCCATTCATCGTAGAGTTGTCGAGCCAATGAGCCAGGTGAGGAGCGATCCGTTAAGATCAGGGTATTCTTGGTATTTGCTGTATCGGCTGATTCATCGCTATGGCCCATCCAACGTAGGAATAAGTCACGTGCAAAACCCGTTTCTAAGCTCGTGTTGCTTGCAATCACCACTTTGGGTCCGGCATAATTATCCAAATCCTCCAACTTGTGACACAATCGCAAATACTTAAAGTCAAATGGATTCTCACGCGTTTGTGAAAAGTGCTGTGTAAGGTCGTCTCCCATCCATTCAAGCATACTTTTGGCGAAGTGTACAGTGTGATAGCTGGTGTTGGTGACCATGATCAATGGATAATTCAGGTGCTTTTGAATCCAATGTTGATCGAGCAAGTAGGATAATTCGAGAACACGTGCTGAGGAATCGGTAGGAAGGAGAACAGAGCCTCCTGCACTTAATGTGCTAGAAATAGTGTCTAATGTGATTCGTTAGTTACCTATAGCTTGAGATGATGATGTATTGATCCATACCAAATAAAGCAGCGTATCGTTCCTTTCGTGGTGGATGAACCACTGCTGCATTAAGAGCATCCGTAATCATCAATGAAGGGCGCGTAAGTGCATCAAGGACCATCCCGTTTGAATGAAGTACTGTGCCATCCAAATGACTATGGTTTGCCAACAAATGAGTCCTATGTCCACCTTGTACACCATCGGCACTTTTACCTTTCTTTTCGATGATTGAAATCCACGGCATAAACGATCTCGTCGGTGTCCTGTTTGATCTTCCAAATGGTACCACCAATCGTGTGTGCTGCAGCATAGGCGGTAATGGTGATGCCCTGACATTTGCCTAACGACGACAATCCATGTATGTGAGACACCAGGGACATCCATTGACACGATATGCATCTTCTTACCAGATAAAGCGTAAGGCTGTGAATAACGCAAGGATGTGATCTTTTCAAATGCTTCATCAATGCTTTCAAGTGAAAACGTCTTGAATTCCATCTCGTTGGTTTTGGATTGATGCAAGTCGTACATGCACATTTTGCCCATATTGACGACCGGAAGAGTTGCATAGACTGGACAAGTCATACCAAGTTGACTTCGTGCATAAGGTAACGCTCCAAGGTGGTTAAGGTCGCAATGGGAGATCAAGACCGCGTCGATTTGCTTGGCAACTCTAATGGTAGAGTAAACTCGTCAGCATTGTTATGGAATGGGCGTGTAGGATCATACTTTTTCAGATTCGCCAAATCATCTGTATCGAAGGTATCCGACCAACCACAATCCAAGAGGATCTTGACCTCATCGATTTCAAGCAAGTAGCATAATGGGTTCTCGTTCTTGGCACCGGATATCGGCGTGAACTTGATATAGCTTGTCATAGAAGGGCAGTGTCGGTGAAGAAGAAAGAAAACGGGATGTCAACCAAGAGAAAGAGAGGAGAGGAAGAAAGCGGAGTAGTGGTGGTCACAGCATAACATTCACAACCTCTTGAACCATTACTTGAATGCAATGATCAATGTATTGGAGTGGCAATCGCTTAATTGATCAATAGGGATTCTCTAATAGGATTGTAGATACTCTAATAGCGCGTCTTTATGATCCATTTGTTCATACACAGGTGTACCTTTATTCAAGGTTATACTTTTATAGAATACCCAATACAACAACTTTTCTCTTTTTTGATGCTAGATGCAAAACAATAAATTCATTTTATTAAAACTACTACTTTTCATTCTTGTCGGTGGCAGCCTCTGCTTCGGCATCAGCGGGTTGTTCTTCACCAGCACGGTCAAGATCTTCTTCACTAGGTACTTCATAGACACGCAAGATAGATCTGTTGGGATCCTTCATAAGGATGTACTTGCCCTCTGGCAATTGCAAGCACATGTCAGAGACAGCCTTGACAATACCCCATCCATTGGGCAAAGACAAGTTCATTTGAGCAGCGAAATCACGGGGCTTGTAAGCTTGTGTACCAAGGATAGTATGTCGGCGGTTGTTCTTGGGATCCACACGAGCAACATAACTATGAACATGAACAATGAGCCTATTGATTCATCTTTGATCCCCCACTTTCCATCCATCCATTCACTTACCCGAGCTTCAATTGATCAGCACCAGCAAGCAAAGCTTGCACAGCCCATCGAGCCAACTTGGCAGCATTGTTCTTCATTTCAGCAGCAACGACAGCACCACGTTGAGAATCCAAGCTCTTCTTCCATGGCAACGAACCTTGAGAGTTGGGATCATATTCATTCAATGCACGGACCATAATGTAAGAGTTGTTTTGGCCAAGCTTGATAGCAGCATCCACCTCAGTTCGCACCATCAAATAAGTCTTTTCCTCATCCTCCTCAGCATTAGCACCCGATAAGCTGAATTTACGGTAGCGGTATCCACATGATGCCAACTTGTCCTTGGTATCTTCGGTAGCGAAGGGGTTAGGCTTGTCGAAATCGAGTGAGCTGTTAGGATCGAGGACTTGACGTGCAAAGTTTTGGTTGATATAGGTGGCTTCATGACAAAGAGCGGCCCATGAGTTGAGGTTATCCTTATCGGTTTCAAGTGGTGGATCAGCAGCATTCTCATTCACTGGAACATAATCAAAGATGCCGTTAGGTCGCTTGTCGAGAATAACCTTATCGCCAATCTTCTTGACGACAATGTCCCATGGATGAATGGTACGAGTGGCGCACATTAACAAAGCGAGTACAGTGTCGGTAGCGAACACGCTGGCAGTGTCATCTTGCAAGAATTGTTGGATGATAGGATCGTCGGATGCGGTTGTGTCGTATTTGATACGTTCAATGTGTTGCAAAGCCTTTTCATTCTTTGTGTTGACGCGATCATATGCTTTGTTGTAGTATTTGACAGAGCCAAAGGTAGCACTAGAATCATTAAATTTGTCAATAAAACCCCAATCATGATGATAGTATCTCCTTTGCATCCAACTTACACATCAATGGCTTCAGGTGCAGTGAAGTTCAATTTGCTGAGACGGCTAAACTCAATCTCATCCAAAACCTTCCAGTCAGGACCAATGGCGATAGAAGCGGTACGAACACGCTATAACGGAATAATCGGTGTGAATATATAAATGTATATGCATAAATCGATCATTGTCATACCTTGTCATAAGCGTTGTAACCATATTTCTTACGACCCTGTTGTTGTCTGTTGCCAGGTCCACCGCGTTGGTTGCTTTGACGATAGCCGGCGTTGGTGGTTGTAGTAGCTTGCTTGTTTTGGGGTCGATTACGTTGGCCACCACCAACCGATTTGAGAGCCATCTTCTTTGCAGCTGCAGAACGATTGTCAACCACGGAGAAGGAGGATTCATCTTCGGTGTGAGTGTATGCAAAAGCAGAGGCAAATGAAGCACCATAAGCTTGTTGTTGTTCTAATACATCAAATCCATCATTGTCAATATTCCCATTCAGCCTATTTGACAACTTGTAGCTCTTACCACGGTTGAAGCGGTTGAAGCCGGTACGTCCAGTGCGTCCAGTTACTTGGTTGTTGTCTTGCTTTTGAGCATCGGGATTGGTCCAGTCAGCGATACGGCCGAGCTTGTCACCTTTGCTGTAAGGGGCATAAGGAATGTCGCGGAATTGGAGAGGGATCACTTGGTTGGTAGGGCCCCAGCCACCAGCATTCTCGTAGATCTTTGGTAATTCGAAACTAGGCTTCGCACCGGCCATGATGACTATATGTTCTCGAATGTTAACGTGTGTTTGAAATGGAGCTGTTGATCAAGCTGAAAGGGCACTTGCCTTGTTTGAAAGAGGTGAAGAAGTAAAAGGCGATACGTTGACCTCCACAGCAGCCTACAAATATTTTTGCACCTGAGCCACAGTTGATTGGACGACCGCTTCCATCTTCCGTTATCTTGCACCACACTCACACACCTTTGCCATGAGCACCGATGAGACAACACAGCAATCCATGGCACAAGGCATTGCCTCATTGCTCACACCTGTAGTAACCGATATGGATAAAGCTATCGTATCTGCTCAAAAAAGTCAAGAAGGCCTTGGAAAAGAAATTGAACGACTGATAACAGGTAAGCTATCAATGATGATTGCCATGGATATAATTTAATGCCATCCATATCTTCAAGAACTCGAGCATTTCAAAGACATTGCAGAGCCACCACAATTGCATCCTGCCTTAGAGAAGTTGACTGATTCAAGGAAAAAGCTCGCATCGGCCAATAAACTTATGCAGCAAACCCAATTACGTGTACAAAGGATGGAAGCACAGTTACAGTCATCGAGTACATAGATACCACTTCAATCAAAGCACCCATCCATGCCATGTATATCCTTCAAAGCATAGTGTTCAAACATTAAAAAAAATAAGACACAAAGTTGTTATCAAAAAGAAAATTGGGATGGAAAGTGAGGGCGAAATTCATGCATATATGGGGAGTGAAACGGGATATCTAAGCACGTCCACTAAGCTCGCGTTCCAGCTCATCAACTTCCATGTGGTGGACAGCATGGTTGCCAACTGCTGATGCTGCTACTGATCCACCAGCTGCAACATTGGCTTCTTGTTCACCTCCTCGTGGTTGTTGTGCTGCAGCTTGTTTACTTCGCTCAAGTGCTTCACGATCTTGTGCCGATAAGCTAAAAAATTGCCCCCCTTTGCTTAGTTCTCTTGTATCTCATCACACCTTTTGCTATTCAATTTACCTTTCCTTTCGTCGCAAATTTGCACCTGCTTGAGGAGGCATCAAACCTTGCTTGTTGGCCTTGAATGACATGACTTCTTGGGCAATCATTTCTTTTAAACCAGCGTTTAGCATCGTCGTTCATTTCCATAAAGAGATCATGACTTACTGCGCATATCTTCAATTGAATCAACCACCTCGAACGAAAAGTCAAAAGTCTCAGTGTGCGAAGGCTACATGATAACGTCACTTTTGAGCCATCCATCTACTACCTTCGACATCAATTCCTTTACTTACCTCATCATCTTCATCGTGGTACGCACTCAGATAAGGGTGTGCAAGGGCCTCTTCAACAGTGATCCGCTTGGCGGGATCGAATTCGAGCAATTTGTTCAACAAATCAATGGCGAGTGGGTTAGCTACATGATCCATAACGATTAATAAATAAATGCAATCTTCCACACATCCACTTTACACAATTACCTCTGGGATACAAGTTTTGGAATGGGATCTTTGGCATGCGAGGAAGGCTTCGGATGTACACTTGAGCCTACATGTCGTCGACGTTGATGTGTGAGTTACACCTGTAGAGTTGCACAAGTTCCCTGTTCTCCCGTTTACCCTTTCACTGCCGACACGTCTCAAGGTCTCTTCATCTGGTGTACCAAGAATGCCGAGAATCTGGTTTAACTGATCAACGTCTATACGTGGAACATGTTGTAAGCATATAAATCATCAAAGCCTTTCACATGAAAGAATACTCACAGTCTCTTCCCTTGAAAAGGGGTTTGCCACCCAGCATTTCGGCAAAAATACAACCCACAGACCACATGTCAACTATCAAAATGCACATGATAGATTCTTAGCATTTGCATCCCATCCACTGAGTAGGAACTTACTGGCTTTGGTATAGTTTTGGAAGCTTAGCATGATTTCAGGAGCTCGGTACCATCGAGTAGCAACGTATTCAGTCATGAAGCCAGCAGCATTGCTCTCTGGACTTTCCGAATAGCCACGAGCCAAGCCAAAATCGCAAATCTATTGTCAACACGAGAGTGAGCTTACCATTATCCACATTCCACTATCCATGGGTATGCCTCTATTTACCTTGAGCTCACAATCAGCATTCACCAACAAGTTGCCTACACATCCACTGATGTTGTTAGTACGTGTTTGACACGTATAAATAACACTGTTTACCTGGTTTCAAGTCACGGTGGAGTACCTATGCAGCCTATTGCTTAGCCCATGTCCTACCCATCCAAGCCGAAGCAACACAAAACTACTTACATTGGCACTATGAATATACTTGAGACCTCGGCAGATTTGATACACGAAGTACTGGAAATGGGCATCCGTCAAAGGTTGACCGGACCGGATGATTTGATGCAAATCAGCTTCCATCAGCTCTTGAACAAGGTACCTTGAAAATAAAACATTTAGACCATGACAAAGCGAGGGAGGAAGGAAGGATGGATACTTACAACTCATTGAAATCTTGCAAGTTGACAATATCCATGTCAATAACCGAGGTGATCTATTTCCAACGCAGCAGCTCACGCGTCAAATAACCATAGCAACGTGAAGCCTCACTTTCCTCATACTCACGTTCTCGTGTCCGTTGAAATGCTTGAGAAGCTTGACCTCGCGAAGAGCTCGTTTGGCGAGAATGTTCTTTTCAAATATCCTGCAGACCTGTACAAAGGAAAGGTGTGTGAGACGTCAAAGTCGATAATACCAACAACCGCCCGAGGGGTTGAGAACAAGTACCTTTTTGATGGCAACTTGTTCACCGGATTCTGTGTCCTTGGCAGCACTACAAGACCATGCCAGATTCCAAGGGGTCAAAAGAAAGAGTCAATGCGAGTTACTCTTGCACCTACCACACAACGCCATAGGCACCTTGGCCCATTTCGCGGATGAACTGATACTTGCGATCAACAATAAAGTGCTGATTGATGACAGGGAAAGATTGGTAGGCGGGCATTGGATGAACAAGGAGGTTTGAGTGAAAAGAGGAGAGAGAGAGGAAAAGCAGCCTTGAGTGTCCGCCATCTGATGCCAAGAATAGCAACCCTTATACTCAGCATGAACATGCTTGTCATTTTTCCTTCATTCGTTGACAATCTCATTAAGGCATCAGCATCAAATGATGGACCATCGTAGTACGTAGAATAGCCATCCTTGTTCTGTAATAATAAAGAAGGATCAAAAAGTCAATACAACTTGCCGTCAAGCTTGATAGGATTGGTATCGTTTATCGGGCAGTAGTGGTTGTTGTTGTTTGTGTTTGAAAACCCACACTCATATTTAGGTCAAGGGTAGTTCTATATATCCGGGATTCATTGCTTGATCACATTACACGAAAAGTGGTCGTTGTGAAGTGAGTGATATTGCTGCTATAGAACGCATGTAGAAACGTTGCTCGCCTAACTATGCACAAGCTTTAATGGTATGCTGCTGTAAGTAGTAGTCAACATAATCTTTCTAAAACGTTGTTTGGGAAGGGGTTTAGCAGCTTGATGCTCTGAGAACAACAAAAAACAATGATGGATTAGCACATGGATATACAAACACCATGTTTCTTTGCCATTCATTGGAGGGCTTGCTTGTTGATATCGGCCGTGCAGGCTTTAGATGTAACACAAACATTGTGAAATGGCTCATCAACGCAGTTGGAGACATCCTCCCACATTGACGACATAGCTGCACTACATCATCACGCGATCTTACCACGCCTAGTATTACACGTGACAGTGTCATATATTTGCTGATCTAAGATCTGAGTCACTTGCACCTCCTAAAATTTCATGAGGTGCCAAATAGTATACACCTGGCAACAACAAGAGCAAGATGACAACAACACACGTTCATCAAGCCAACGCGTTCATTATCGTTCAAACAGGGTTAAATGACCGATGGTTTTGGCGCGTAAGTTATCCAATCAAATGCATCAAGCCACTAGAGAGGACTTTGAAAAAAAAGTTTTCTTTTTTCGCTCCAAGCAAGCGAGCATTTACCGATTGTCTTTTTTTTTCTACAGGTCTCTTTTTCTCTCCAACAGGTTGCCCTTTGTGCTTTCCTCCCAACTCTTCACATCTTCTTTGGGCTTGTTGGTTTATATCTAACGTACACAAAGCCCTAAAAATCTTCACTTGCCCATCATCCCGGCTCAAGGATTACTCAAGCGAGACTCTGCTTTTGGTTGCTGCAAAGTAGTTGTTGTTAAGCCTGCACAAAACTACAGACCTTTCAAGCCGCCATAATATCAATCGACCCTAAAAGACAAGTTCAACACTTTTTTACCTCGTATGCATTATCGCATTCCACCAGCACCACCGCCTTATTGAATATCGCATATCGTTCCACATACACACAGCATCAAGCTTCAATAGATCAAAAAGTAACAAGACATAGACACATTCCGGATAATTATGGTCGATCTCCCTCCTGCACAAGGTGACAACTACTCTGCACAACAAGGCTGTTTTGAAGGTCCCGAAAAGTTGTTGGAGATTTGGTTTTCTCCTTCTCCTCAACTTCTCGCTGATCACCAAGATCTCGATGAATACCATTCTACTGATGACGACGTTTCAAGCTATAATGATGATGAAGATAAAAGCGCAGCCGTCGCTCGCTTTAGTCCACCACGGGGGCATCGACAACATCACCACAACCATTCACAAGCCAACAACACTGGTCTCCGTGTAGTACCTCGTGCCGTGTGGGATGATGTCTTGGCATTGGTCAAATGCACCGTTTTGAATGTCATTTCAAACAAGCATGTTGATGCATATCTTTTAAGGTAAACATCGGATGAGGTTGGATGGCGTAAAAGCAATGTTTGACATGTTTTCCCCTGTTGGGTTTAGTGAATCATCCATGTTTGTCTATCCTCACAAATTGATCCTCAAGACATGTGGTACCACGACATTGCTTCTTGCTGTTCCCCGCATTCTGGAGGTGGCCCAAAAATACTGTGACTTTGAAAAAGTATGGCGCATCTTTTATTCACGCAAGGCTTTCATGTTCCCAGAGCGTCAAGTGGGTCCTCATCGATCATGGGATGATGAGGTCAACTTTTTGAACAAGTATTTTGGTAAGTGGTTCATTGTTGGTAGGGGGTTCATTGTATCATGGTGTGCTAATATGGGATGCTGTTGTTGTTTTTAGACAATGGGTCGGCATACACTATTGGCAAGGTAGCAAGCGACCATTGGTACTTGTACCTTACAAAGCCAGCGGATGATGTGCTTCATCATGATGGTCCTGCTGCTTTGGCTGATAACGACAACAACAGTGATGATGATGGCACACGTGATGTTGCTTGCACCATCATGAGCAGTGGGCAATCAACACCTGTTACCGAGAATCCATCACCTTTTGGCAATCATGCAGGCCAATCTTACCCCGATCAGACTGTGGAAATTCTCATGACGCATTTGAACCCTGAAGTCATGTCCAAGGGATTTTATCATGATCCAAGCCAAACCGAATCGGGAACTACAGGTGGCGCTTGGGTTGACAAGACCACTGGCATTGGTGCGCTTTATCCAAATGCTCAAATTGATTCCTTTTTGTTTGAACCATGTGGCTATTCCAGCAATGGCTTGCAAGGCGATCGTTACTTTACTATCCACGTCACTCCAGAGCCTGAATGTTCGTATGCATCATTCGAAAGCAATATACCCGTAGAGGAATCGCATGCAGGTGGAAAGCGAAGCCCAATTGAAACTCTTGTGAGCCAAGTCATTCGCATCTTTGACCCGGCATCCTTCACCGTTACCTTTTTCTCATCTCACCATAAGGAACATAGCCGTAGCCATATGGTGCATGCTATGGGCTCGATGCCTGTAGGCTATAAGCGTACCGATCGTATCCTGTACGAGTTCGATGGTTATGATATGGTCTATGGCCATTACGTTAAAACTCTCAAGTAATGAGCGCTCTAAAAGAAATAAAGAAAAATTGCACATATATGGAAGATGCTAGTGGGTGTGGTGTGGCAAATGAAAAAGTGGCAAAGAGACCATGCTCAATGCTTTTGCTGCTTTGCTTGTGTGACCTGACGCAAGCATCGCATGTACCTTACTATTTTTAGTGGTTCTACCGCCCTTGCGTGTAGTCACCGGATCACGTCTCTCTCTTTTTTTAACACATTGCTCTTTTTCGTCCTCGGGACTTTCCAAACATGCTCATTCGCATACGTTCCGCTCACCTGTTTTCATCCGGCTTGGATTCTGTGTCTATTTTGTTGTTTTTATTTACAACTTTACCTTTTCTTTTTTTCTTTTCTCTCACCCTACATACCACCACAATTACCTCTGGCCCATTATGAGATTGGAGCTCTCGCAGACTGCTGCCAAGGTGTTCAAATACTTGCTCATTAGCTATGCCGTTGTATCAATTGTGTACACCGTATCATACTTGTATACCAATTACGAAGGTACCCACCATGATGTCGGGATCATTGTACCGCGAGCACCCAATCCTCAGCAGCGTCAGCAAGAACCTCTCATTGTACGTCCACCACCACCTGTTGAGCAATCCTTTGGTGATCATACCGTTATTTGGTCGCATACTCAAGAGAGTGCACAAGCCATGTCAGAGCAACTTTTGATGGCAAAGGTGTTTTCGGATGCATTGGGTCCTACCGTTTTGACGCCATACTTTCTCCGAGCCAAAGCCACGTTTGATAAAGAAGACATTAGTATTTCCACGCTTGTATCCCGCAATCGATTCTCCGTGCTTTCCCGCCTTGCCACAAACCACAAAGGTCCCATCTCAGCTGCTGTGCATATCAATGACAATGATGAGAAAGAACATGTATTGCAAGAACTCCGCGAGCTGTGGATGACCAACCCAGACATGCAACAATACGTTGACATCCATCTCATTGTCGACATTTACGATCGTCAATTCAACATGTGGCGAAACGTTGCCAAACTATTTGCACGCACTGATTACATCATGATGCTCGATGTCGACTTTCATCTTTGTACCGATATCAGAAAGTCCATTCGCAACAATCCCGAATGGATGAACAGGCTACGCCAAGGTCGTACAGCTCTTGTGGTTCCTGCATTTGAGTTCAACTTGCAAGAAGATGGCGAGGATTGGCGCACGTTCCCTAGCAACAAAAATGATCTCAAGGATGCCGTCAATGATGATAAGATTGATATGTTCCACAAGGCTTGGATCAAGGGTCATGGATCTACCAACTATAGCCATTGGTATGAATCGGATGATTTGTACAAGGTCACTCAATACGATTTCTCGTATGAGCCTTACATCATTTACAAAAAAGAAGGCTCACCATGGTGTCCGGAGCGATTCATTGGTTACGGTGCCAACAAAGCTGCATGCTTATACGAGATTTATCTATCTGGTATCGAGTACTGGGTTTTGCCAAATGATTTCCTTATCCATCAGACACATCGCTATCCCGAAGATGCGCGTCGTAAAGAGGTAAATATCAAATCTCAATCTTCTCCTTTTGAGTATAAGCCGTTGAGCTAACATCTTGTTCATCATAGCGTCAATACAACCGCAAGCTGTATATGAATTTTAGAGAAGAAGTGTGTATGCGATATGCACGCAAGTTTTATATGACTGGCGAATGGGACACGCCACGAGCCGATAATCTCAAACAAGAATGTGACAAGATTCACGGTTTCCAGAGAACGATCAAATCCACTACCTTGTAAATTCTTTCTTTCATCACCACTTTCTCCTCCTCCTCCTCCTCCTCCTCCGCATTCACATATCTTGTACAACACTCAAACATAGCATCACACACACACAACCATCAATGCATTACACACACACATCATCTCTACTTCCCTTTTATCTAAATAATTTAGGTCATTCCCCTCCTTCATCTGATTTCCTTTCTTGTTCTATTCAACATGTACACGTTTTAATGTTGCAAGCCATGATCTGAGAAACATTGTCGGTGTGAGACGTGAGCAAATGTCTTAATTGCATGAATGATCATTGACACGTGAAAAAGAAAAGGGGCAATCTCTTCCGCCACTTTACATGAGTCGATTTCTTTATTCTCTTTCCAAACGATGAGTTCCACTTATGCTGATGCACTCTGGCCCTTGATCCCTGAAAACATCTCGACTACAGCTGCACCCGTCATTAGCAACGCCAAAGCCATCGCATGCGACGTGTCCTCATTCTGGTCCAATGTAAAGTACTTGCTGTCATTCACCCAACCAGCTCTTACAACGTTTCACTCACTGTGTTCTTTGTTGCAGAAATTGTATCACCACCTATTTGGTCCTTCGAATCCAAAAGCGTATTACAATCATCTTTTGCAAGTGGCGACCAACTATGAGCAGTGGGCTGAAGCAGCTTCTTTGCTGGATGATCTTGAAGGTAGATCACAACATATGACATGAAGGGAGGATGCATGCTAAACTATGCAATGACATGCAGGTCTTGATGCCTGGAAGCAGGATCCACGTTCTCCAGACTATGATTGGGAATTGGTTCAGACTCGACTTCATCAATTACAACGCGTTCGTGAGACCACACAGAGTCAATCAGCCATGATCTTCGCCTTGCGTACAAGCCTGGGTAGAAACTTAGGAGATATTGGCAATCCAAAGGTAACAAGGTGGTGTAGTAGTATGTTGTGAAGGAGGATGTTAATGCATATACATGTCCAATATAGCTCTACTCGCATACGCGGATTGGGACCAAGGCATTGATATCATCGTACATTGAAGAGGTGGTCCGACAACTCAATTGGATATGTGATGAGCCTTCGCCTGAATTAGGCTTGAGAGCAAAACACGAGTTTTTCATGACGATTCGACAAAGCTTTGGACGCACGGCCTTACTTCTCAGTGGTGGTGGTACTCTAGGTTTGTATATATATATTCTCATTTGAAACAATGGATAAGCTAATGTCGATGCTCTCTGCATAGGCTTGAATCATCTAGGTGTATTGAAATGCTTGCACAGTGCTCGTCTGTTACCACGTATCATATCAGGTGCTTCAAGTGGGAGTATCATGGCAGCAATGTTATGCACTAAAACGGATGAAGAGATTCCTCACTTGTTCAATCCAGCCGGTATCCAATTGGTGAGCAATAGCTACTACCCTTTGTGTATTGATGGCTCATATTCATCTCTTTAGGATGTATTCGAGAGGAAAGGCCAACCGGATACGCCGATCATGCGTATTCATCGATTATTATCCAAAGGTCAATTATATGATGCCGAAATCCTGCAAGATGCCATGCGAAGCAACTTGGGTGACATCACGTTTCAAGAAGCCTTCAACAGAACAAGATGGATTCTCAACATCACTGTGAGCTCATCCACAGTATATGACATGCCGCGTCTGCTAAACTATTTAACCGCACCGGATGTGGTAAGCTTTCTTTATGGCTGAGGATGGGGGGATGCTTCGTATTTCCTAAAACAGAATCACTAAAACAAACGTACTTTTTTACCCTTGCACACGCTCATCACGCTTTAGCTTATCTGGTCAGCAGTGTACGTTCTCTGATTGTGAAACCATGTCATCAAAAGAGCACTCAGCTAACTTGGAACCTCTTAATAGTGCAGTCTCCTGCTCTGTGCCCGTTTTTTACGGGTCATCAAAGCTGTATGCGAAAGACAAGAATGGCAACATTGTCCCTTGGAACCCGAATGGTATATATATAGCACTGGTAGCACTTTATCCCACCCACTGACATAATCTCTCTCATCACCAGATCAACTTTATATCGATGGATCAGTAGACAAGTAAGGAATTGAGGGCTATTCATGATTCACGGTGATGTAAACTAATCGACATCATAATGGTAGCGACTTACCAATGAATAAGCTATCGGAGCTATTCAACGTCAACCACTTCATTGTTTGTCAAGGTAATTCTATTATTGACACCTCAGCCCCACAGTATGGTAAACATCCCATTTCACCACATTTAGTGAATCCCCATGTTATTCCGTTTTTGCAAAAATCCAGTGCACCCTCACGAACGCGCAAGGCAGCCAATTTCTGTATGCACATGGCAAAGATGGAGATGCAGCATCGTTGTACACAAGTATGTTATTTTTGGTGGTCTTGTTGTTGGCTGTTGGGCAGTACACATGAACCCATCTTTGTGGACGCCATACTGATCCGAGTTTGATACCTGTAAAGTTGACCGAGCTTGGTGTCGCACCTTCATTCTTCAACAAGGTCCAATCAATCATGTCCCAAAAATACTCAGGCGATATCACTATTATACCCGACATTGGCTACGGTGACTTCCTCAAAGTGCTATCCAATCCCACCGATGAATCTGTTATTGAAGCTATTATTCGTGGTGAGCAAGCAACATGGCCAAGTAAGTACAAGCCCTCCTTCTTTTCTTGATACGCCACTTTCTCATATACTGGTATAGAAATATCCATTATCAGGAATCACCTGCAAATCGAATTGACCATTGATGCCATCCTCTATCGACTACGATTGAAGCGCCTGGCTGAGTTACCATATAACCCCAGCACAAGTACTCCTCTCAGTTCCACTCGTCCTGCACTTGAGAATCGCGCTGCGTCTCATTTGGATATCCCACGAGCAAGAATTACACCCGTGGTCAAGGAAGAAGAGCAACGTCGGTCATTAGAAATGGAACGTGAAAGGAGATCCACCAAGAGAGGGCTGGCGATGACAGCGACAAGTAAAGATTAGACATCATACTGTACATGTATTATCATCCCTTCTTCTTTACATACTATTTAAAGGAACCCTGAGGATTATATAGCCAACAATAGCTTAGCCAATTTTATACCACCAGAGAATAAGAAGGCAGCTTGTTACATTTGTCTACAATCGCATAATCCATTTCAAAGCAACCAGGATTGAACACGAAGCAGGATAACAAGTAATCCTTCGTTTGTAAACTTTTGATTTCTTGTTGATTGGCTAAACCTCCACCTATGGAGTTGCGATCCTACAACAATAAGCTTACATTTTGAGAAACAGCTACCTTTATGTTTTACCTATTCTATTAGCGTGATGTACATGAATAGAAGTCTTTGCTCATTGTCAAACCATGATAGAGCCTAAGGCGCAAAAGGACTTGCTTGTGTAACAGAGCTGAGAAGTAAGACCTTCATTGTCAATGCAAGAAAACTTGTATCCTTTCATCAATAGCTCATAAATTACCAGGTGATAGTCCATTTCCCCCATTCACCTTTGCTGACCAATCCAATGCATGTGAACGATTGTCATTCACCAGCCCATCATGCCCATCATTGAACTTTCTTGATTTGAGCTAACCTGCTACTAAGGCAATGATGGCTGTTGTTGGATCATCATTATCATGTAAAGTGTAAAATGGCACACACCCTTTTGCTATACGTGAGGATCATCATTTCTTTTATTTACGTATACCTATTGTCTAATATCATGAGGGTGATGATCATGATGGGTGGATGGTGTGTGTAGGGTAATTGAGTGGCCTCAGTGTAATAGCAGTAGGGGGATTTAAACTTGAGACAACGCTTCTCTTCTTTTTCTCCCACTTTTCCTTTACCCCATTCATGACATCTCGATCAAGGTAATGTATTATAAAAAAGTGCTCTTGTTGGCTGTGAGGTATTAATGTAGTTCTGAACATGCATTGTCAGGGAGTGAGTGTGTGTCCAAATGCTGAGGAATGAGCGTGGTTGGTGGTTGGTGGTTGCCATGGCGATATTGTTGCTTCCTTTTGCTCGTTGCTATTCCCACTCTACGCTTGGTGTCAACAGGTACATTCAGAGTCCAATGTTGCAGCCGAACTGGTTCCATTGACGAGTCAGCTTGTATAGACGGCAAGTTTGGTTTCAAGACGTTGGCTGGTTTGGCGTTTTGTTTCGGCTCAACTTATACTACACCATGGTTTTCGGTTTCCAGTAACCAACAACAACGGGTCTTTGTGTATATGGAAAAGGTAAGTGCAGTGAAGCAAACAATGAAAGGGTGTTTATTGTACGTGTGTGCTAATAATGAATTGAAATAGGTTTCTTTGGTCAGGCAAATGCAACTTGGGGGCATCATCATCTCTTTGGGTTCAAGTCCCAGCCTGTATCAAGTGGGCTGCGTCGCTCTGCACTAGCCAAGTGTGCTTGAAAAGCTTCTTGGAACGCGTCCAGGGCTCTACGGGCCTGCGTTTGAGTTGATGGGTCGATGACGATGGATCTTTGGAAGAGCATGGTCACTGTGTTGAGGTAAAAGGGGATTTTGGAACAGCTTGTGAATGTGTTTAACCAACACGCTCTTCTCGTGATAGGTTCGTTCTTTCCTTTGAGGATTTCTTTTCATGAGGCGAGAAATGATTGGAAGGATTGGGGATCATTCTTTCTTTTGGAGAGGATGAATGAAGACAACTATGAGCCCGGACTCTAAGTAAGTGAGTCTTTCCTTGCCATGGATCGAACTGGCCTTGCGTGATTCGTGCAGTGCTTTCTCAAGAACAAGGGATCGCTCGACGTTGCTCGTATGGTGGTGATTTGGTTTGTGAATTCCTTCTGATTTGCTTTCTTCCTTGGAGAGGATCGCCTAACGGTATACCGAATCGTCATCATTCCCGGCATCATATGGTCTAACTTGCTTGCTTTCTTATTTATAGAGACGACGATTACGATGATTACCACATTCACAACAATGACGATTACGATGATCACCTCATCCACAACAATGACAATGATAACGACAACGAGATTCAAAAGGAAGCCTGCAAGATCCCATTCTTTTCAACTTGTGTATTTTTGGATGTTGGTGTGACGGATGAGATTGACGACTGGTGACGAGTACGAGTAGGAATGATGACGGAGGACGACTACGACGATGGTGGTGGCAATGTACAGTACATAGCAAGATAGCTAGATGAAATAAAGCATTGTTTATTGATTACACGCTTGTTGGAGGTTGCTAGCTTGTGGATTACATACTATTGCTTCGAAGATGGAATAATAAAGGTGGTCCGGTTATCGGTCATGCAAAGAGTTCATGGCTTTTGTGATACAATAAGGAGGAGTGGGAAGTGGGATGAGCATGAGAAGAGAAAAAGTGAAGAGATTCCTCCATTGAGTTTCAGGGTTGTGACTCATTCAATATGTATATGTATCTTTTTACATATACAAATTGGTTATGCAGCTCGACTTTCTTCTACATGCAAATGTGATGCATACCTTGACACACCTTCATTATTGGATGCTGTTTACTTACGTACCTTCACAAAAGGCAATCATCATCATCACCCATTTGTGTAGCAACCTGTCAAGGACGTGTCTGTGTAACCACCACGTGCGGTTTCACTCAGCTCTTCATCTTTCCGTTAATGCAGCCGACACCATCCACTAGGAAAAAGCAACTCCATCACGCTTACAGCATAGTGAAAACATAAAGACGCCTGTATCTCCGAACTTTACAATGAAACGTGGGGTTTTTATTAGAGCAATGGGCTCGGCTTGGCCAACAGCACCTTGTGTGAAAGTTTCGCGTTCAATGTCGCAAACAGCCCAAAAAATATTTTTTGGTCGTCGTCGTCGAAGAGGTCGACCCCCAGATCCAGTTTGGCTGGTAGCGACATTGCGAAATCTGGGATTGGCAAGCTTGATCGTGAAACTTGCACCCAAGGTGCAGTTCGCCAAGCCGAGCACATTGCTCTAATAAAAACCCCACGTTTGATTGTAATGTTTGGAGATACAGGCACCTTTATGTTTGTAAGCGTGATGCTATATGAGAAGTGGTCTTTGTTTAATGTAAAGTAGTATGACTATCATAGAGCAAAAGATGCAGAGGGCGTGTTTGTGTAACTTGAGTCATTCAGCACAGGCGATGCATGATTCTTGTACGCTATTTAGGAATAGTTCAAAATGCCAGCTAATAACCTTAGTCCTCCCATTCTCCATTGTTGTCCAATCCAATGCATACGAACGATTATCCTGCTCCAGCCCAGCATGCCCATCATTCAACTTTCTTGATCCGATGAGATTTGACTGAAAAACGCTCAAACACAGAACATCATCCAAAACCACAAAAAATTATCTGGTTAGTTATACGTAAACTGCCGCTTGATAGCCCATTCCTCCCAGTTATCTTTGTTTCCCAAACCAATGCGTGTGAACGATTGTGCTTCCCCAGCCCAGCATGCCCATCATTCAACTTTCTTGATCCGAGGGGATTTGGTTGAGTTACGCTCAAACAAGGAAGTATCATCCAAGTCATCAGCTCAACTCATTTTAATTTCTACTTCTTCCACTCCCACCTTATCTTCTCTTCCTCCCATTCTCAACTGTTGCCCCATTCAAGTACAACTGCCACCTACGAACGATTGTCCTGCTTCAACTCATCATGTCAATCCTACACTTGTCTTGATCCGATTGTCTTTGGCTGAATGGCAACTCCATGGCGTGTACACAGCCTTCTTGTCACTCTATTACAACACACGCGTCTCTTGACACTTCACAATCTCCTGCACGTTCCTCTGCCAATCAAGTGTACAATGCTCATTCCTGCAGCTGCTATTAGCAAGGTCTTTACTCCACGTCTTCCACAGCGTTCTTTATTTGCAGCAACTTGCCTTGCAGCCTTGTTCACGTGCAACAGCGGCTAGCCATTGTATACAAGCAGCATTATTTACGCGTAACAACTTTGCTCAATACGTACGACTTCTTGTGGATATGCATATGGATATGGACATTGGCTTGGTGCATGGAATGGAAGGAATTGGATACCTACAACGGGTGGAAAATGAGTGTATACATTGCCAACTTGGCCGTTGTGCTTGACGCCATCGTTTGAACGATTGGTGCATTATCCTACTCTTAGCCCTATACCATGGCAGCTACTATCATCATCCTTTGTGCAACCTGGCAATCATCATCATCCAACTCTATGTTTTGACACGCCATAATTCGCCATCACGCATCCAGAGCTACCTCACATCCATCCATCCAACTTTGCAAAATGAACGCCCGGAATATAGAACATTCCCATATCGATGTATCTCCCATTACAGCAATTCATTGGACTTTTCCTCATTGTATCTCTTGTTATTGATGTTAGATTAAAGGGCTACTTTAGTGGATATGAGACTGTGTTGCCAACCAATTGCTACGTTTCTATAGTGTAAGGGATCACTTCTTCTTGAGTTGGACGCCGCCGTGTGTGGTCATTCGATGCATTGTCATAGAGAAAGGTTAACGCAGGATTTTAAGAGTGGATCCACTTGTAAATGCTGTGACAAAGGAAAAAGAAAGGAAGAGAAAGGGAATGATTGATTCATTGTGTCTTGAACAAAAGCTGCTTTCGATAGTATAACACACCTGCTCCCTTTTTGGTGATTAGGCCTTATGAAGATCGTCGTATGTAACTCATATTCCTCTTTTGTGATTTGGATCGTATAAGATAGTTTATGTAGCATACGTTGGAGAATGTAAAATGGCGATATTGCCTTTAATCTGAAGCTGCGTACTGTATATTAGGTTTGAGGAAATACTATAAGTGCTTGATTATTGTTTATAATCTAGTGGCCGTAAACGCCATATACACGACCGTAAGCGTCATCGATCTGGTTGAAATAACCTGCCATCTTATCGTAATGGGCTTCTGGCGTAGAGTTGAGGACAACCTTTTTGAGTTCATTTGTCTTGGCGTGCATGCTTTTTAGATTGTTCTTGACAAGTGGGCTGACGAGAAGCACCGAATCATATTGAGCTTTCTGCGCAGCAATATGATCCAGATATGATTCCATTCTTGGAATCATATCATCTAGCTGACGCATAGCATGTTCAGTCTCTTCTTCCGAAGGAGGGCTTGAATAGTGGCATGACTTTGTAGCACTAACAACAATACTTTGCAACTTGCTAGCTTCTTGTTGCGCTTTTAGAGCTCCTAGATATCCACCAATAGATGGAGTCCAGGATCTTGAAAGCTTATCCAACACATCGAATTGGTTGTCCATAGCGTCGAGGTCTTCCCCACATGTAGAGGTCGCACGGCGGTTAATAGAGAAAGCATTGACTGCACATAATAAGACGTGTGATGAGCACCTTTTTTCATATGCTGTTTCGGATGTATGACGACTTACCAGTGGTCAAAGCAACGGCAATAGCTGTAATGGTGGTGAATTTCATATTGGTGGACAAGAATGTGTGAGTTAAGTGAAATCTTGATCACAGATCAGCTCCCTTTTTTTATAAGGATGATGTCCACGGAGCATACAACAAGTGCATATGCATGATCAGTTGCAATCATGTATCGCTTGTTCCTTTTATTTTGAAAGAGAAAGCTGACACCATCATACAATCTTATTTACAACTACATTCAAACATTCACAATGGTGAGACATGCAATATGATTGTGCTATATCATATGAGACAATGTTTGCGTGTTCACGCAGCTTGGAAAGCATACAACACTATCAAAAAATGTACGTGTATATGGCTATTTGTTCACGAACATGGCCTGCCACCCTCCTCCTTCGCCTATCAACTCCTATAGCCGTCCCTTACGGAGGTATGTCAGACGCACGAAGACTCCTTGAGTTCAGCCCATCAGCGCTTACTCACTATGCACTGCACATATCCCTCCTTATAGATTTCAACGTATAATGCACCATCCGGCTCCTTGCAGGCAAGGCCCGGTTGTGTGATTATCTACTGGCACAAATTCCACATTCCGGTGTAAAAGCACATACAATGTAATAGATAATCCACTATTAACAAAAGCAGACGCCAAATAGAATGGACATGTCATAATCATTCTTTGTGATGGATTGCTCAATAATCTCGCGCCCTTAGGATATCATTTCTCGAAAGATGGGCATCATTCCGCTCTTGCATGCATGGCCGGAAAGTCGAAAAAGGATGCAGTTCAAATCTAAGAGTAGTAGTACCGCTGCACAACCGGACCGCAGCCAACCAATGCAAGATTTATGCATAAAGCCTTTGAACGCCAAACCTTGTAATTGGTTTTGAACAAGTCCTTACGATGTCATGTAGCAGATGTAATATCATCAGAGTATCTTGAACAATTATTAGAGTGCATTTTAGCAGTCCGTTGAAAAACCGATGTATCAATATCGATCATGTAATATCATCGCTCAATGATCAGTGTGAGTAGCACCGTAAGGTTTATACTGATTTAATGCAAAAGGGACTGAAGTAAAGGCTAAAGCATCCCATCATCCATATCTCAACACATAATTCATAACCACGGCAACCTATTTTACATGACGAAATGTAATGGTTGTCAGCAGCAAAGAAGCAGTGGGTCAACATTGGAGTGGTTCAGGTACAGTGTAGCCAATATCTTCATATAAGGATGCAGTATACGCATGGGGTAGATGACATTGATTGTGCTGCAAACTACCAACACAAGAAGCCCAATTTGATTGTCAAGCAAACGGTCTTCTCTAAAGCGAATTTTGGGAAAATGTGGTCTTTATTGCACCTTCTCTCCTCCACAACAACGCTATGGAAGACCACCAGGTCGCTTCACCAATGACACCACGCACAAATGCGCGTCGACGACTTCGTATACGGCCATCAGCGAAGCCTGTTCACATTGACGACGTTGATATCATTCCAGATCCCAGTTCTGAGCTATGGATCTCTCCAACAGCAATGTCAAACAACGACACACCAATCCACATGAAGCCCCCGTCGCCTGTCATTATAGGAACACCATCCACTGCCAATCGTTTACGGACACATTTCAACACGCCTGATCGCCCTAGTCCTCGCGTGAACTTTGCTGACAGGCTCAAACAAGTGGTGGATACGGACGACGAGTATTTGAAGACGCATTCATTTCTACCTATCACGAACAATCATCCGACGCGGGAAGCAACGATTGACCATGACAACGACTCCACACCAGAACCATCATATGAAGACAATGAAGATCATCATCAGCAGCATAAGAACAATGAGGATCAACAAGAGAAGAAGGAAGATCAGCGTGATAAAAGCTATAAAGTGATTCATCGAAAGGTACATGTGAGCAAGGATATACGTTTCAACGTGTGTATTGATTACTCTCTTTTCTCTAGGACCTCCGGCTTTTGGATGTTGAAGTTATTGTTCCAATTGGTAAATGATATCATGGACATGGTATGCTTGACATGGTAATATTGACATGAATCAATCACCAGATTCTTGTAGCGATGAATCATCAGAAAAGGAGCCAAATGATGACAATGATGGGATCCCTTTACTGCCACCTGATCACGAGTTGTCGGAATGTAAGTCCTCATCTCACTCAACTAGGAGTCAATGTTCTCAACGTGCCACTATATAGTAATACAAGATAATATCGAGGAGGGTTCCACCCCACTATCAGAAATACAAGTGACAAACAACAAGCGTGGACCATTGGCTGAATTACCATCATCAAACAACTATGGTAAGTGATCTACGGGTAAAGCGATTTCATAGCATGGCAATAACACTTCATCAGGCTTGAAAAAGTCATCATCGTATCATCACATTGGGTTATCATCAGGATCCTCAGGTACGTACATGATGCTCAGGAACGTGGTACATCATGCAATGCTCACAACGAATGTCTAGATGATCCTCTCTTTACGTCAATTAAAGCGTCTGACAAGTGGGTGGTGAAAAAGAATACCAAGTCCTCGATTCCTGCTACTACAAGTGAGTCTTTGAGCGAGATGTCTCTTGTTCCTTGATTGCTCATCATCCCTCTTTAGACTCACTATCAACAAGATCACGTGCACAAACTCACATGACTCCGCACAACCAAAGAAACGGTATGCGTTTGTTGTTATTGGCTATGAAATCAAATACTTACATAATTGGTTCACAGCATCTTCCCGTCAACGATGGCCGAAGCAAAAGGCAGCGATACCAGTATCAGAAAGAGTGATGAAGATTTTGAAAAAGCGCAAAGGACCTATGCGGCCATCAAAACGACCATGGAAGAAACGAAGAAGATCCTCTTTTCGGGTACAGCAATGTTGAACAACCCAATCCACCCACAACTCATTTTTAGCACAACAAAGAAAAATGGTATACCTGCTCTTTTTCCCCCACATCTCATTTCATTGTACTTTCCCCCCTCTATATGATCCTTCATCATCACATTCATTCATTCATTCCTGTATAAAAAAAAGCGTTTATGACAATGATGCAATATAAGGTTTGGGTGAGGAGATGTATCTAAGTATACGGAAAATCGATTACTAGAGAACGTATCGGAAATCAGGGTGTCGGTCGCCTGCAAAGGATTCGCCACCGTGCTTGGTAATTTCCTCTTGTCTTTGTTCGGGACTCATTTCGGCACGGCGTTTGTTCTCACGAGCTAATAAGATACGCATAATGACGACCGTAATGGCATGTGCTGTAAAGCAGCAAAAAGTGATGGTATTGCCTGCAAAGTAAAATGGTGGATCATAGTAAATAAAGCTCCCCACTACGCCTCCTATGTTGCTTATCGAAAGGATAGTCGCACTGGCAATGGCGCGACGTGTGAGACCCGAGCTTTTAAAAGGAAATGAGTCATTGAAGCCAAGGGTTGTATCTATAAACATCATCCACTTACAAGTTATTCTCAAACCATGAGAACTTGATGGTGGTATTCGCATACTTTTTTGGTTGTTGTTAGTATATGGAATGTAAAAAACACCTCTAATAGCAAAGTCTTACAGTGGCGATCGTGCACAAGCAAACGGCAAAATAGCGTACGCCCACTAACGATTCATCGATGAACATGAGCAGTAAATATCCAAGTATGCCGATAAGACTAGTGACAATAAGATGTAAGGAGCGATCATAGAAACGATCTACGTATGGTAATCATCATTGCTATTAGCATCTTTAAGCAAATTTGGCGTGGGATGTGTATACCTGACGTCCAGCCAACAATCAGGGTACCGATGAATGCCATAACGTAGGGCGGTGTTGTCAATGCTTGCGACTCTACAGTGGTCCATGCACCCATCCCAGCAACAATGCTAGGTAATGTCAAGGTTACGCCCTGCAGGGCAATGGTGCTGAATAGGCAAATGATGGTATACATGTAAGTTTTCCAATCCTTGGCAACCGTTGCTGCGATATCCCAAGACCAAGATTGATCGATTGTGATGTTTTGATCTACCCATGACGTGTGAGTAAGGATGATGATGGCTTTTGCATGATGAGCATTATTATTGGATTACCTATAGCTAGGCGTTCCATCTCAACAATGCGCTCTTCCTCGGTCATGAATTTGGCAGTCTCTGGCTTAACCGGAATATACCATAACGTGAAGCACGACACCAGCACTGTTGGCACACCTTCGATCAAAAACAGCCTACACAAGGAATAACATGGATTCTGTATGATTGATACCAGCTCGAGTAAAGATAAAGGTCCCATACCATTGCCAGGTGTTTAGCCGATTGGTGGGGATCATTGAGATGCCATACGCAATAAGACCACTTGAAGCACCTGAGATAGTAGCCCATCCCATAAAGTGCGATGCTCGCTTTCCGTATTCATCTCGAGTATACCAAATCGAAAGGAAGTATCTATGAACTCACATGTTTAATCACAAAAAGGCATTTACAGTGTAAGAGGATAATCATAGGTACTTACAGGCCACCAGAAATGAATCCTATCACCCATACATAGAATACAATTGAATGAGCAAGGAACCCTCTTTCATACATGATATAAACGTACCCGTTTGGATTGCCCCAAGCAAAAATCGGGTCACCATTAAGCCTGCAAAGCTGGTGCATGACGCCATACACATGGTGACAATGCCACAAAACCTATTGAGGAAAGCGTTTTGTATGAGATGCTACTATGCTATGGGTCACCTGAACATTGCAGCTTACAAGGTCAGCAGTGACAGCCAATATGATGCTACCCATTTTCGTAGCACAATGTTGGAAGGGATGTCAAAAAGAAAGTAGCCAAAGTAAAGAATGGACAAGGTCCAGCTAAATTCGGTGGGTGTTAAATTTAAATCTTCAATGATACCACCTAGTTTGGCATTGGAGATGATAGCTCTGTGGTAAAGATTAGATACGATGATATATACTAAGCTCACGTATACGACAAGTGTAGTAGAGGGAGCACTTGCCTGTCAAGGAAGATCAAAAACGATAAGGTGGACATGGGAATAATGATTCGAATGTCCATTTTCCTTTTTAAACAGACAAAGTAAGCATTGAATGAGACGAATAGCATAAGAAAATGGGACGCCCTGTCACTTACCGAAGTAATTTCTTTTCCACCATTGCCCGCCGTTCCTTGTCACCTGCCTCGGTAGCCATGGGAGTGGAACCATCCATAGAGATTTGCTCAGCATCATCATGCTGTGTTTTAACGTCTTCAGGAGTACGTGTCATTGTTTTCGATAACATGGTTACGCTGTTCTTTTGTATGCACCAAATGGCAGATCAAAAATGCATGCTTTGCTTTTGTATCCAAGTTTTTAAACAACTGCATTGTATTCGGATCTGGACGGGACCAGCCGTTACACAATCTTTCTTGATCCAGCATCATCTTGAAGAAACTTTTTCCAGAGATCACATTTGCGTTTGAAGGTCGAAAAGATAGGCTTCCTGCATTATAGGGTGTAAGAAGAAGCTATTTCATCCAATCCATCAGGTGATGCTTTCCATGTATGTGCTTGAAAAGCTCATGTGGCTCACCTATAACACCATCCATCCATATAAGCTACGTTCATTGGCCTCACGCAGATCATCAGTGGTTGAGAAAATTACCGAGTATTCCCGCAGCAGCATGTGGCCATGTCTAAATGCTTGGAGTGAAGAGCACGTCACCTACACATACATGTCACGAGATCAAGCATGCATTTTCAACGTATCGAATCTTCTCGGCGTTCTTGCAACCCCAGCATTGAATACACTTTCAACATCTACACAGTCACCAAAGAACACGTTTATGAGTCATTCTACGTGAGACAAAATAGGTAATAACAGGTATACAATATCGGCTTTATTGCATGTAATGATGACTAAATGGTCATTGAATGATGGAGCCAAATAGGGGTGAAATATACAATGAATAGAGGAGGGAGGAGGGATATTGACAAGTAGTAGCAGAAGGGATTGATCAAGAAAGAATGGACCTGTCTTTGTTGTTGTTATACGTTGATCTTGGCGTATCCGTGCGTTCCGGTGCTTCCCGGTGTGTTGTTCATTGTTGAGCACAAGCTGTGACCAAGGTGCATTAAGACAAGGATCCCCCGAAAAGGTAACAGGTCGCTTGGCAGGATTTGCGTATTGTAGTACAAGAAGGAGATTGTAGCACCTAGTCTTAATTGCTACTTGGGTTTGTTTGTGTGTTGTGCGTGCAGCCATGGTAATGGTAATCATTGTGTATATGCATGTTCGATGATAATAGACAAGTTTTATTCATAGCATTATCCCTTCTTTGCAGTGTAACATGTGTGTGACAAGAATGATCGACAATAGCCCTTGTTGATGATATTAAAAAGTAGAAGCACAACCGGAGCTGATAATGAACAACAGCAAAACGATGATCGTCGTCTTCTACTCCCTTTGTTCCTGAGTTCTACCTCTTCTCTTCTCCTACTCGGTGTCTACTTGAGCGTGTTGTGTTGTGTGTGCGTGTGTGGAGCAGTATGCCGGTCATTTCATCAACGCAACGCAAGCCGCTTCTTATCGCATTAGCCATTGTCTTTTTGTTTGTCATCTTCCAAACGGTCCCCATTCAATTCCAGCGAACAACATCAACAACAACTCAATCCAATGCATGGACGTCATCGTCGAGCGACTCAATGTCAGTAGGGCCACCTACCACAACGGCTCCATGGCAAAACAAGACTCGGGCCAATGCTGCTTTTGTCATCTTGACAAGGAATTCAGAGCTCGATGCACTTCGCAAGACTATGCAGCAGTTGGAGGCTCGTTTCAACAGCAAATACAATTATCCTTATGTCTTCCTTAACGATGAGGATTTCACTGACGAGTTTCGAGAGCTGACGACAAGTATGACATCTGCAGAAACTCATTATGGTATGTGTGGTGATGATGGTGACATGGCAACAAGCATATGGCATTCATTGACAGGGAGCAATTAGGTATCATCCCAAAGGAGCATTGGAGTTATCCCCCATGGATCGATGTTGAGAAAGCTGATCAAGCCCGTCAACGAATGGCTGAACAAGGTGTGCTTTATGGTGATAGCGTATCCTATCGACACATGTGCAGGTAATTTGGGTTTATATCAAGGCAATCATGATATTGATGCTGGTAGATAGATTCGAAAGCGGCTTCTTTTATCGTCATCCTCTCATGCAAAACTTCGACTATTATTGGTAAGGGATATGGCGTCATAAGGGAGAGGGAGAATGATCTATTTACGGTGATGGTATAGGCGTGTGGAACCAAGTGTTGAATTTTACTGCGATCTCGACTATGACCCCTTTTTGTTTATGCAAGAAAACAACAAGAAATATGGTAAGCATCATAATAAGCTAAGCGAAATTATCCACTAATAGCTGTCTTGTAAAGGCTGGACCATTTCGTTGCTCGAGTTTGAAAGCACGGTCCCAACGCTGTGGGAAACAACACGCGCATTCATGAAGGAACATCCAGAATACATCCCCAACAACAACTTGCTCAACTTTATCTCTGATAATGGTGGTGAAAGCTACAACCTGTGTCATTTCTGGAGCAACTTTGAAATCGGTGATCTCAACTTTTTACGAAGCCCTGAATACACAGCCTATTTCGAATACTTAGACAAGGCAGGCGGTTTCTTTTATGAAAGGTAGGATGGATGATGATGGTGATGGTAGTGGTAGGTACTTGAAATAGTAACCGGATGATGTCAATCTAGATGGGGAGATGCGCCCGTACACTCGATTGCCGTGGGGATGTTCCTCAACAAATCAGAAGTTCACTTTTTCGATGACATTGGGTATCGTCATGATCCTTTTATGCATTGCCCTACAAACCAAAACACACAAAAGAAATGTCATTGCAACGCAGAGGATAATTTCGGTAAGTGCACCATCTCCAAGGGAACGGACGTGTGACACATACTCATCTTTTTATTTCTGCAGACTACACGCCATTCTCATGTATGAACAGATGGCAGGCCGCATGAAGTGCACACGTGCATGTGTGTGTATGTACTATCTTATAGTTCCACCATAAAATAGAGCTTCATCTCTTCTTTCAAATTCACCCATTTATTGCACATAACACAATTCGTAATAATATCGCACCTTCCTGCATGGGCAAATGCCGCTAATATAACGAGGATGATGGAACAAACAATTGGGTGGTGCGTGTTGCTATCATTAGGATTGAAAATGTTTATGTATCATGTGGTGGTGTGTGCGTTGGAATGACGCTATTGAGCTAAATGAGCCCAAAACTATGGGTGACATATACAACAAAAGCCTCGTTGCTCTGAAATGCCAAGCATCCTTTATCGGTGTTGGGTAATAGCACATCCCGATCCTACACTGATGGACAATAAGACATAAGGCATGGAGCATCCACTGTAACCGCTCCACGGTCTTTTTTCCCTCTCTTTCACTTTCTTTTTTTGTGCTTCCTTTGCTCTCTCTTTCTCTTTTCATACGAGAATCTTTTATTCAACCCCCCACTCGAGCACTGTAGTAGACCCATTCATTGAAAAAGAACAAGGATCGCCAACCGTTATGGTCATGGAAACAAGCGACGTCGATGGCAGTAATGAGCAACGCAAGCATGTGAAGCTTTTTCAGCGCTCAAAGACCAGTCTTCGACGCATCATGAGTCGTTCATCCCATACAAGAGTCAATTCATCTGATTCGTTGGGCTCTTCGGTGTCGTCGATTCGTGTACGAGAAAGCAGTAACAGTTCTTCCGAGGATACGCAAACCACTGCAACCACAACAACAGCACCTCGACTTGTGCTTCGAATTTCAGTATTGCGAGGACGACAACTGCATGCATTCGAGGTAAATAAAGTTTTTCTTGTGTATCTATGTCCGTGTGTATGTGTGTGCATATGCAACAGTATCTCGGATAGGATAATTTTTATATGAAAAAGGGGGTGTAATTCTAAAACCAAAACCAAATCTTTATTGTTGCTAGGATACGGCACCCAATTCATTTGCTGTGGTTCGATGTGCTGGACAACAACAACGTACACATGTCGTCAAGAAATCGAGTGAACCTGAATACCATTGTACATTTGATGTACGACTATCGGGTAATCGGTCTCGAGGCACGCGTCGTAGATTACGACTTCTCCTATCGCGTGGTCTAGTTATTTCGGTGTGTGACAGGGATCGCTTCAAATCTGTATATCTTGGTCAAGTGCGTTTGCCAGCTGATGAGCTCTTTGGAGAAACAGATCCGATTGCTTATGATCAAGCTGAGGTATGTGTGTGGGTGTGTGAGTGAGAAACGAGGAGATGTTGTGTTACACCCCCCTTTTAGCTGACACACACATGTAATGCGGGTTTTAGCCAAAATCGTTTCCGATTACACGCACTGCTACCAGCTCCCACTTCAACAAGATGCGGCGACGCAAACTGGAGTTGGCAGACGAACTCGGTGAACTCGAGATCAAATATGGTCTTGCGGTTGAACAAGGCACCGACCCATTGAGTGATGATGAATTACGTGAGCTATGGTCCGTTTTGTTTGAACAACCCAAGGCAACAACGACAACAACAGGAGACTCTCAGGGTGATAGTTCTTCTTCCTTGCCTTCAGATCACAATCGTGGCCAACGCAAACACCGACTCCGTCGTTTGACCAAGCGCAAGGCACCAGGCCAGCAACGCAAGATTCGTAGACGGGGTCGTCGCCAAAGCAATGATGTGGCTCAATTTTACTCTGATGTCTTTGGCGCTGTATACATTGAAGTCATGAATGCAAGAGATTTGCCACCTGAAAGAAATAGTAAGTTGATGGACACCCCCCTTGCATGTCTCATGTCCCAAAAAAAAACATCAAGTGACATTTTTGACATTTCTTCTTCACTAGTGACTCGTACAGGGTTTGACATGGATCCATTTGTCGTCATCTCTTATGGCAAAACCACTTTCCGCACAAGCTCAGTTCGTCACAATCTCAATCCTGATTGGAATGAAAAGCTCATGTTTCATGTGCGTGCGAATGAGACACGCTACAGCATCAAATTTGCCGTGTACGACAAGGATAAATTCACAAAGAATGATCACGTGGCTTGGGCGGAGGTCCCCATCATGGACATTATCAAGAAACAACCACACGCTATCGATATGACGAATCAGCACACGCCTGTGGATGCCATTGAAGCTGTCATGGAGATGCACAAGGTCGACTTGGAGATGGTCAACAAAGGACATTGGGGTGATAGCCATCATCCTACTCTCACTTTCCGCGCCAAGTTTGTTCCCTACAGCACGATTCGCAAAATGTTTTGGACAACGCTTGCCAATGCATCTGGTATCTCGGCGGATGGTCGTATTGATCGCCTTGAAATCGTTTCACTTTTGGAAAGCTTGGGATCCACCATTTCAGATGCGACGTTGAACTCGTTTTGGAAGGATCATGGCAAAGATCCAGAAACTGAAAGCTTGACAATCGATGAATTTATCAGCAGCATTGAGAATTTCATGTCCTCCACTGATAAGGATCATCGACGCCGTTCGCTCACTACTGCCATGGAAGAGACCCAATTGGGTGAAGCGGATGATGAAGATAATGATGATCAAGAAGACGAGGCACTCTTTTCGGGAGACGATGCTTGCAGTAGCGATGAGGAGATTTATATGATGGATGAAGATGAAATGGACGAAGATGAGCTATTGAACTCGGATGAGGATTATGGCAACGATGTATTGGACGACTCTTATCCAGGCTCCAGCTCTTCAGGTGTCTCTGATGATGCAGCAGATGATGTATTGCTTGAAGCCCGCCAATTCCAACCCGAGCTCAAGGAGTCATTATCAGATCTCACTAACAAGGAAGAGGATAATGATGCTGGATTGTTGCCACAAGCAAATGAAAAGGTGATTCGACTCGCCGAATGCCCCATATGCCATCGACCTTTTGTATCGAAACGAGCACAAATGGATATCGTCACGCACGTAGCAACATGTGCTTCACACGATTGGACTGCCGTTGATCACTTTTTAATGGGCAACTTTGTTACGGAGGCCTATGCTCAGCGAAGGTAACAATAACCACATTCGGCATCGGTGACGGTGATTTAATCAACCTTGTCTTTTAGATGGTTTGTCAAGCTTGTAAGCAAGGTTGGCTATGGTACATACAAGCCTGGAAGTGTAAGTACTTTGTTATGCTTGTTTTGATCATGGTCTAATATGCATGCCATTCTTCTCAAGGACAATGCAAACATCATTGTGCAAGATCGTATGACAGGCCAATTGATTGAAGAGCGAATGAGTGTTTATGTACGACTTGGTATGCGCATCATGTACAAAGGAATGAAGACGGGTATCCAATCCAAGACCGGTAAGCATCTATCTCAAATCCTGATGAATGTATTGCTAATCTATAGGATAGCCCAACGCATTCTTTCCAACATGACGTATAGACAAGGTCGCCGTTACGATTCTCCTCAATCCGTGCGTGAAATTGCGCCATTTATCAAGTTCCACAACCTTGATATGAGTGAGGTGCTCGACCCAATTGATAGCTTCAAGTCTTTCAACGAGTTCTTTTACCGCAAGCTTAAGCCAAATGCTCGCCCATGCGAATGCCCTGATGATCCAACAGTGGCTGTGAGTGCAGCTGATTGTCGCATGATGGCATTCCCCACTATCTCGGACGCCACACGACTTTGGATTAAGGGTGTTGACTTTACTATTGAGAAATTATTGGGTGATCCCGACAAGGCTGCCTTGTTTGATGGTGGATCTTTGGCAATCTTCCGATTAGCTCCTCAGGATTATCATCGTTTCCACTCACCTGTGGACGGCCGCATCACTGAAATAACCAAAATTGCTGGCCAATATTATACTGTCAATCCCATGGCTATTCGTACCACGTAAGTACTTAAAGTTTACGAATCTTTGGATCCATGCTAATAATGTTGGTTGATGCAGACTCGATGTGTATGGTGAAAACGCACGTGATGTGGTCATGTTTGAATCCGAGGCATTTGGCAAGGTGGCTGTTGTGTGTATCGGTGCCATGATGGTAGGCTCGATTTGCCTCACAGCAGACGAGGGAACGTATCTTCACCGTGCAGATGAACTTGGCTACTTTGCCTTTGGTGGCAGTACGATCGTGGTTCTATGGCAGAAAGATACCCTTACTTTTGATCAAGACTTGGTCGACAACTCGGAAAAGACAATTGAAACACTGGTAATGCTTGTTTTTATTCACACACATACAACTCTATTAACACGTATGTTGTATTAGGTCCGTGTTGGTCACCGAATTGGTCATCGACCCCAATGATGTACTTTACTCCATACCCACAACACACACACGCACATTCATCTTACGATAATATTAAAACAACCTTACTAGTTAGAATTCTTCATTGTATCAATTTTGATGGTTGAATGCGATAAGAATGGACAAACCACAATACTTTACAAAAGACAACGTGATACTTTAATAAGTGGGTGCATGATAAAAGAAAAAGAGAGAGAGAAAGAAATACTAGAGATAAGATGAGAGATGGTACGAGGCAAATATACAAGGATCGATGATGAGAAAACAGGAAAATGACAAAAGAGATTATACGCCATCATTTTGAGGATTGAGACGCACAATGATACGTCTACGTCCCTCTCCAGTGATCTTGACTTCACCTTGTCGCTCCAAAGAACGTACAGCATCCTCAAAGGCGCGGTTTTCAACAGCCACTGTACTCTGGGAATTGATAGAAGTAAACAATCGGTTCCATTCGATATTGTTGGTTTCCTGGTTGTTGATAAGATTCCGCACTTCACGTTCCAAATCATCCTGCATATGACGTTCGTGGGCACCAGTACCCATAAGAATGAGATCCATATCGATTCTACCAGTCTTGGGATCGGTGGCGTAATCCTTGATAGCCGATTTCAGCAAACGTGCTGCTTCCTCCACATCCGATACTTCTACCGTTTGAGAAAGTCTATAATGGTGTGAGTGTGAGTAATGGATATTGGATACTCAAAGTGGGATATTATTTACCTCATACGAGCGTGTGCTTCGGACATACGGATCATGGATTCAAGTTGACGCGTAGTGGCGGTAACACGGTTGCTGCTGCTACCACGATCTTGACCTTGCTTACGAAGTTCAACATACAAATCGACCAAACGTTGACCAGCTTCTTCACTGAGAACAGGTTGAATGCGTTCACGAGCATAGTTGATATATCGAGTCAATCGTTCCACCGACTAATAATTCCCAATATGAGTCAAGAGTCCAATGACAACCACTCCCTCAAAAAACTTACCAATACATCAATACCAGCCGTTGCGACCTGATCTTCCATATAAAGAGCAACCAAATGGCGTGCAAGTTGTCTATCAGCATCTTCATCCACACGATCAAGAATGAGATAAAGCAAATCGAATCTAACATTCTAGGATGAGTAACTTCGTAGCAATCAACAAGTATATAAACGATGACTTACCTGGAAAGCAATGGTGGTGGAAGATCAACGTTCTTGGGTACTGACAAATTCTTATTCCACCGTGAACCAATAGGATTGGCACAAGCACAAATAGATGTACGAGCATTGAGCGTAGTGATAATACCGGCCTTTGCAACAGAGATGGTTTGTTGTTCCTGTAAAAAGCAAAAGCTGTGAGTAGGTAATCCTTTAATCATGCTGTAAAAAGGATACATACCATAACTTCGTGTAACACGGATCGGGTAGCATCCGACATCTTGTCAAATTCATCAATGCAGCACACACCACCATCACTCAAAACAAGGGCACCACTATTACACATCATGTCAGCCTTTGCACAACACCCTTCCTCCTCATTCGAATATTACCTTTCCAGAACCAGCTGTCGTGTGTCAGGATCACGTGTAATGTATGCAGTCAAACCGACAGCAGATGAACCTTTGCCAGATGTGTAGACACCACGGGGTGCAATCTTGTGTACGTATTGCAACAATTGCGATTTACTGGTACCAGGATCACCAACCAAAAGAACATTGATTTCGCCTCTGGAAAAGAGTACACGTTATGTTAAAATCGTCTTTGGTACAATCAAATCGCTGCTCACATACCTGAATCGAGGGGAGCCGGACTTTTTGAACACCTTTTGCGTACCACCAAAGAGTTGCAACAAGATACCCTTCTTGACATCATCCAATTCATAAATGCTTGGGGCTACATGAGATGTAGATTAGCAATTGAATACAATACCGATGATCAACCATGATTATACTCACCAAGAGAACGTGCAAGTGTGTCATATAGGTTATCCATTTGAGAGATTTCTCGAACTTCGTTCTCTTCATTGATGGTCACTGCTTCGATTTCATCGGTCTCATTGTACCTGATACGGTCCAATAAGTCACAAGATGTCCCCTCATGCTTTCTTCCTTCCTTCTCACTACTTACTCATCAGGTTGGTGTTCAGTACGCAATGATCGCTCCACTTGCATACGCTTATTATCAGCACGCTTGACATGAACGACATCCAGGTATGTTCTGAAAAGTGCACGAATGGTTCTTTGGCGTGGGTTGACACGAACTGGGACACCTCTAAAGATACCAGTAATCTCTAATCTGAAAATGTTGTCAGCGACATATCATCATCGCCATTGATGAGATTCACATACCGGTCACCAGGCTTGGCAACATCCACCAAATCTTCATAAAGACACAAAGTCACGGTTTGAGGGGTCTGACCATCAGGCACAACATCTATCATTTGAGTCAGCAAACCATTCCTTGATATACATCGTAGATTTCCTTCATACCTGGAGTTTCCTGCAATCGACATACTTGCTTATCGGCAAAGACACAGCGATTGTGAACCAACGACATGGTGTTATCAGCGCCACAGTTTTCACGAGGGCAGCGTGTGGGTTCCATAATTCTTCCACGATCCACTTGAACAGTCATCGTTTGTTCACATTGCAAGCAACGGAAGAAAGCTGTTTCCAAAAGCCATGTGAGTGCCCATACTTCTTCCAATCGTTTCCAAGCTTACCTTCTTTCATGTCAGGGATCACAGGCGAGGTACGAATCATCAAACCCTTGATAGTGACAAGCTGATCGACATCTATGTACACCAACCAAGATCAGTCATCTACCCTTTCCAATAATAAAACATCATCACTTACTTTGAGGATCCAATTCTCGCATGTTGACATTTGATTCAAGATTGAAAGGACGGATTTTGAGTTGCTCGTAGACCTCATCTTGCACATGATACAAATCAGCATAGAAGGTACGAATGGTGTGATCCATCAAAGGAATGATTTCTTGAGGGTACTTGACAAGTTGGTCGTAAAGCTTGTGGGTGCCACGATAAGCAAGCAAGTTGCGACAATCCAAATTAACAGCTCCTTTGCCATCATCATGAATCTATATAAAAGTGTGAGTTCAAACGCTATCATCCTATGATCAAATGCACTTTTACCTTGCGTAACAATTTTGGATAAAAGGGTTCATTGTCGCTTGCAGTAATAGGCTGATTATATCTGATTTTGCGATCGGCGAGTTTGAAATGGGTCAAGAAGCCACGGAAGGAGTTCATGGCTTCATGGATGTTGACAGTTGTACCCCAAATAAGACGCACAGCGAGGGATGGATCAGTTTCTTGCGTATCAGCAGCCGTGTTCTCAATGCCAAGTGACGAATTGGTAGCAGGTTGGTGGGGACGCATAGGGGTCATTGGGCTTGTTGCATGGCCGTTGAACATGGGAGTACGAACAAATGTAGCCGTACGAGGTGTACGAGGCGAGAAAGGCGATCCAATGCCACCATCGACTTGTCGAGTAGGTGTCTCTGGATAAAGAAGAGGCGAGTTCACATCGTCACCCAAAAGAGAAGAAGAGAATTCAGATCGACGAAAACGAGAACAATTGACTGATGGTGATCCTGGTGTTTGTGCTACAGACGAGTGAAATGGTGCTGGCGAGGAAGGTGCAAGAGACGAAGAAAAGCCATGGTGTCTTGGTGTACGTGCTGCCACTGGTGTTCCAGGTTGTGAATCCATTGGTGTCCCACTCATGGTTGCTTTGGTACAAAAGAGAGAGAAAGAGAAACGCCACTCAGGAACGCGTCCACGTCCCCAACACGAACAAAAATTCTCGCGGCTGTTCCACCGGAGCAGTCATTGACACCACTGGTTCTAGTGAATCTACATGATACAATGTCCACCTCCCCCCCTTTAACATTAGATAATGTCATTAATTATGGTCATCATCATGCCTTTTTGCAACATGTACATATATAAAAGTTACATTTCTTAATGCCTCAATGAACGCTACCATATAAAGTGAAGGAGTAAAAGAGGGATTACTAGCTTGCCACATTACTCTGTAAATCCATATCTAGTCCACTTTAATGCCATTAAAGGAATACTACATACAAATAAAGCTACAAGGTATTTGTGTCATCTACAAAGGGCCCTTCCTAATAGCAGGCAACCGAATATAAAAGGTCTATACGCGACTTGATCATAAACCACAAAGCATTCATTTGGCGTTTGGCTTGATACTAGCAGCTGCCATGACCGCCCACCGCACACTTGTAATGTCTTCTTCGGCTTGATCCACATGATTCTTAGCCTTTCGCCTCTTTCCAGTGGCCAACAATTGTGGGTAACAGCATACGGCATTCTTGACAAGGTATTGCTCAATCTCATCCCGGGCTTTATCAAATGCATCCGCTGTTAATCGATCACGCTTGGTCAAAACAACTTGGTATGATAATGGTTGATCATCCAACATTTGCATAAGCTGCCGATCCGTTTCTTTGAGACCTGCCGAAGCATCCACTAGGATAAATAGCCTCTTCAACCTATCACATGTGTTCATGTCAACCACCATGAGAGAGAGAGAGAGCGCGCGTCCCATCCCAAGAACTTACTGTTTGCGAGTGCCAAGATACTCGAGAATCAATTCACCCCATTCCTCCCTTGATCGAAAACCGTAACCAGGCATATCCACCAAAGTGATTTGTCCCGCAATATCGAAAAAGTTGAGCGCACGTGTATGGCCCTACATACCATCTTCCATGTTAACATAATGACCCTAGTGTTATATACCCATACATCATGCTTACAGGCTTGCTCGACGTCTTGACTAGCTTGCTGTTATTCACCAGCCGGTTTATGAGACTTGATTTCTAAAGAGAGGAGGAATCTATCAGCGCGATCTCCAATCGCAAGGTGTCATGGCAACTGCCTCTTACCCCAACATTGCTGCGTCCTACAAAGGCAACCTGGCAACGTTATGAGCATGCTTATATAAATGAAATGCATTGACGATGGGTACCTCAGGATTACGGTATGCAGGCAATGCTTTTGGATCTGGAATACTGAGCAAGAAACGCGTTGGTTTACTGAATAGCTTGTTGGCTGCATTCTTTTGGGATAATGAAAGTGGTGGTTGTTCAGGGAAAGAGACTAGTCGATAGGCGCTCGTGCGTTTGGTTGCTGCAAGATGAGAATTGTGCTCACCAAAGAGCTTGACCGCTGACTGAAAGAATAAACGTTGTGATGGATGCATTTCGGAGGAAAGAAGATGTAGAGCTTTTGGCATTTGTGTCTACTATAATGAATAAAAGCTGCATTAAGGTTACACACACACACATTCTCTCTCCCTCTCTTATAATGATTGCCCTCATTGTTTATTATGTTTATAGCTTTAAGTCCATTAGGATTCTACTACACAGGTTCTTGTATTGCCAAGAGTTGCCGCTGACACGCCTAAATTGAAGACCATGGACACCCAGCAACCAAGGCACTTTGACAATGTTGATCTCAAATTGGACACCATCTTCTTCACTGCATTCAAATAATCGAGCTGCTTCAGTTTCAACCCACATTAAATGCAAATTATTGAGCACCTGAATGAGATCATTGCGAATCACACCAACCGGCTTTGTGGATGTCGTACGCATGGAGAAGAGTCCTTTGAGAAGTCCACCACCACCAATGACATCTTGAGAACTATTATTATAGCCATCATCCGATGATGAATGTTGTTGTGTTTTGCTGCTGTTGGTGGATCGCATAAAGATGGAACTAAGTTTGCGAGAATGCCCATGATGACTTTGGCGCGCTGTTGTATCAGCCGTATTATCATTATCTATCTCCTTGTTATCATCATTCAAAGCAAAATCAAGGCCTGCATGCGATTTAGCCTTTTGATGTCCTCGGCCTGCACGCCTTGTTGTCACAGGTGATGGTTGGGGTTGTTGTTGCTGCTCAACTGGATGTGGTGGTTTACTCGTCAATGATAAGGCAGCAGTGGCTGTGGCTAAGCTGAAGCTTTTCTTGTGGCCTCGTTTCTGTTGTGGTCTATGTCGTAAAGTAGTAGCTGGTTGTTGTTGTTGATGACCTGTGGATGTTTTAATTGGATCCGGTAATGGAAGGCTGCCTCGTCTCTTGTTCAAAAGGTCCATAGGCGGAATATGCATAGGCGTAGAAGGCTCGGCACCCGTTGCTCTCTCACGTTCCATTTTTTCTTTGACCAGATAATAAATGGATACCAAAGGATGATATGCATTGGGGATCGATTGAGGATCATCCTGAGCTGCTGTAAATGTATGTGAAGTAGGCGAGCTGTTGCCACCACCATTGACAAATGAAAAGAATCCACCCCCTCCGGTGCTTGATGATGTGCTACTTGTGCTGCCATTACGACTATGAGATAAAGAAGAGCGTTGTGATCGAAGTTGAATGGCTTTCTGGAATTCCTCAGACGTAATAATCTCCTCAAGCTTGCTGTTGATCTCTTCCTCTGTGCCAAAATCAAACACGGTCATGCGTCGAATCACTTCGGTATCCAATGGCAACGATAATGGTGAACGTTGCGGTATATGGTTATCCACCGGTCCATCGTATCCACGAACCATCCATGGGTGCACAAGGATATCAGACACAGTAGCACGGTTATTAGGATTGACCACAAGCACCTTTCCCAATAGGTTCTTGCATTCTAAAATGTATGTACAATTGCATGAGATGTAGGTTATACGCAGGAAATCATCATCATCTTACCCAATGTTAAATGAGCGGGATATTCAATTGCACCACGTTTAATCTTGTCATGCAATGTTTGTGTGTTTTGATCATCAAAGGGCACCTTGCCGCATACGAGGACATAAAGTACGACACCAAAGCTCCACACGTCCACTTCAGGCCCGGTATAAGATTTGGCATGCAACAACTCTGGAGCAGCGAAATAAAGTGATCCACAAAATGTAGACATTTGTGACCATGGCGAGAAGAGATTGGATAATCCAAAGTCGATGATTTTAACATGGCCCGTGCGTGATACCAAGATGTTCTCGATCTTGAGATCTGTAAAAAAGAATGCATGAAACGGCAAGTATGATGAGTTCATTGATTCGTTTCATCCCTTGCTGCTCTCGGGATCCCAACCGGTGTGTGCTCCGTGCATCTTTTAATAAACAAATCCCAACTTGCCTCGATGAACAATGGAGTTGCGATGGCAGTAATCTATACTTTGATCAATAAAAGTGCCATGTTTTCGATCGTATACAATATACCTAAAGCGCTTATGATTTGTCGTGCAAAACGTCTCGCATCTTTTTCCCGGAGTTTCCCATGCGATATGATATAATCGAGCAGCTGACCACCACTCACGTACTCCATCATGAGATAGTAATAGTTGGTGTCCACAATGATAGGTGCTTCAAGGTTGACAATGTATGGATGATGCAGTAGATATAAAATATTCGCCTCACGTAGTGTACGCTCTTGTCGATACTCGTCGTCATGTTTCCTCTGGATGATTTTGACAGCCAGCTACATAGCAGAAATTTGCATGAAACCATGGTGAGACAAAGATCAAGTTTTCAGGTACAAGGGCCATCCATCATCGTTTTCATTGTATGATTATGTACCTTCTTTTGGGGTTGTTGTTGGTGAATACCCAGTTTGACCTTGCCCATACCACCCGATCCCAACGTCGTCGTAAGGTTGTAATCTCCCACCGTACGCTTGGACTTGATGCGATCGCCATTGCTGACGGATGACGATGACTTTTTATGGCGATGATGGCGTTTGCGACCTGCCGTTGTTCCACTCAAGCTCGAAGCCGTCCTGTCTTGTTCTTCTGTTGCCCATTTGACTGAGGAGGGTGATGGTGCTGATGCAACCTTCGATAAATTGATGGATTGGTCATCCTTAGCGTCTTGTTCCAAGGGGTGTAGTACCATGGAGAGAGAGATGTTCGAATTGGAAAGAAGAAACGGGTGGATTAATGCAATGGAATGACAGATAAGGATAGTAAGGGGGAAAGATGGGGGATGGATGGATGAAATAAATTTATTACGACGTCAGTGGATGATGCAAGAATCAAATATCAACATGCACATGCATTTGTTTGGGCTTTTTTTCTTTTTATTATGTATGAGTGTGAGTGTGTCAGAGTGTGTGTGTGAGTGAGAGAGGATGGGGTGAAGGAAAAAGGGATTGTGATCAATAGACTACAAATAAAGAACGAACAAGAAGAGGCGAATAAGGGGGGCTTGTACTGAATGGGAGGTGAGAAAAAGAAAGAATGTGTGTGTGCGTGTAGTAGATTTAATGTCCATAGTACGAAGAGCCCGATTGAGGGGGGTAACCTTGTGACGTGGGTGGATAACCCGAATAATAGGATTGTGATGGAGGATAGCCTTGTGTGTATGGTTGCTGTTGTTGATAAAAGTCGCCTTGTGGTGTAGGTGGATATCCAGCACCAGGATGACCACCATACATCGAAGGAGGGTATCCGCCAGCAGCAGCAGCAGCAGCAGGGTTCGAGTATGCTGGTTGTGCATTCATCATCGATGGGGTCGTCATCATAGATCCATTGTTGTATGTGTATGATGGTTGTTGCATACCAGCACCAGCATGAAGTGATACTTGGCTACCAGCTGGATCAGTCAAAGCATAAGGGTTGGGAGGAACAAGACCAGCAGTGGGAGGTGGCATCATTTGGGATGGTGGATAATCCACTGGTTGTGGTTGGGGTGTTGCACCATACGAATCAGAAGCATCGAATGCAGAGGTAAACACAAAAGTCTTATCACGAATGATACATTCAATCTTGATTTCCGTCAAACCAAAATACATGCGAATCGTCATGTTGACCTTTTCACCATTTCGCACACCTTCAAGGGTTGGCATACGAATAGGGAAGTGGCCCACCTTTTGTACAAGTGCATGTGTTGTAAGACGTGGAGGAGGTCCTTCACCATCAAATGCGAATAAATCTGCAATGAACAAAAAAAGTTAGTCTCTTTTCTTCTCTTTCCCTTGCATGAAGCAGGTTACTTACCAGAATCTGTGTCGTTCGGATAACTAATAACAAAGTTCTTGGAAACGCACTCATCCACTTTGATTGTTTGTCCCTTTTGCACGTAAACACTGAAGCGCTGACGACAATAAGTTTTCCCATCAACACCGACCACCGAGTATTCTGGAGGATCAAGTTCCTTGTTGAACAACATGCGAGTCTCAACACCATAAGTTCTTCGAGAAACACGCTCAGTGACGATTTGTGGATTGAGACCAAAGTAAACAGCACCACGAACAACAGCCAATTCACCACGAGGAGGGACACCAATCATACCAACTCGGTTGGCAAAGGCTTCTTCAACACGGCGGAAAAGATAGTTTGATTGACCAAAACCACCCACCAAGAAGATGGCTTCCAAGTTTGGAGATTGAACAAGCTGGCCTTCGATCAATTGCAATACTTGGTCAATAACAGGCTCAAACACTTGATCTCGCAACTCGTTGGCAGGAAGACACAATGAACCGTTCTCAAGACCAATGCTTTCATCTGTCAAATCACCCAATCCCATGGAAGCTGGCAACTCCAAAAAGTGATCTTCGTAACCATCAAACTCAGGCTATTTTTCCCATGATAAGTCATCCCATGATTGAAATGGATAGTACAGCAGCTCATTTACCTTGATAACATTCACAAATGCATCCATAATGTGTTCCATTGCCGAGTCATTGATGCTGCCAAAATGATAAAATTTGTTCTTGATGTATTCACGCATACGCAGATCCAGGAATCCAGAACCACAAGAGCCACCATGACCATTTGTCACTTCCTTCAATGTACGTCTATTCAACATCCATGTCAGAGGATCATGTTTGTAGTAGTAGTAATCATCAATTGTACCTTCCACCAGGTTGCTGATCAATTTCAAAGACAATCAAATCAACGGTACCTAAAATGATCATACCACGTGAGACAACTTTTCAATTGATAAAGAGGATCCAGTTGACATACCACCACCAGCATCACAAATCATGAAGCGTTGGCCATGAACCAAGTTGAATTGTTCAGATTTCTTTTCACAATACAATGCTGCGGCTTCGGGCTCAGAGATCAGCATGAGACGTTCGGGATGGTCACCTCGTTGTACAAGACCAGCACGGATAGCAGCCTCACGCATAGCAGCCTTGGCACGATCACTCCACATGGCTGGGACTGTAAGACACTATGTATATGGCATAGGTGGTATCAGTTGAATGGAACATTCTCCACTATCCAAAGACTCTCTTTTTCCTCCCCGATCATCATCATGAAGGATAGAAGATACTCACATAACGGAATTTGCTTTGATCATAATTGCCGGCAAAACCTTTGAGTAACTCGTTGCACACGTGCTGGTGGAATGCGCCCATATAATCAGCAATGACATCAATCACATTCAAGTTGTTGGGAAGGGCCTCTTGTTGCAAATGTTCATCGAGGTATAGCTTAAACTTGGATAACAACAAAAAGTCGACACTGTTGGGCTTCATCGCTTGTCGTCGTGCACCATGACCCCAATCCACCAACTGTGTTGATCCCTTCCGATATAATGACAATGTAGGCGTCTAAAATAGAAATTGTTGGATCATAAGGCTACGTTGCCAAGGAGAGTGTGTGTTCAAAGATTTACCTTGGGATACACGTGGTTGTTTTGCTTGGGCCTAGATACAAAACGATACGTCAGTTGACGAACACCCTAACACCCTTTGAATACTGCTTACCACTTGACAATGTCGATCACTTCTTCATTTTGAGCGAATGCGTAACAACAGCCCGAGAACGTGGTACCTTATTTTTTGTAAAGGCGACAGATTAGCAAGGCTGGCTGGACAAGCAAAAGTGTGCAATGACAACGCTCACCAAAGTCGATGCCGACAATGACGGGATAATCGGCGTAGTTGAATCCGGAAGATGAGGGCTCCATGTAGCTGTTGACGGGGAATAAAGGTTGTTGCGTGTTGCGTCTAAGCAAGGGAGAGGAAGAAAGTAATGATATGAGCGGCGAAAAGTATGAGAAATGAAGCCCACTGGTTCTTGGTCTAGAGTACTACTGTAAATAAGCAGTGACCCAAAAATAGCTCGCTCACCCAGCCCTTTCTCTTTTCTACACCGTTCTTCTGTTTGATACCATAGGTTTCTCGCTATTTTAGTTGATTTTTGTACCTTTATATGATCCTTGCTAAATAGCAACCAATAAGAAACAATGCCACCCTCCTTCTTCATGTCGTTGCATTTGACAGCACTCTCCAAGTTTAGTGCAGAGATAATTATCGATTGGGTTGCTGAGTGTTTTTATCCCCGCAACAATAAGTTATTAGTCGAGCGAGATCGACGTTGCAGCGTTCTGCCCTTGCACATGTTGTGTGTGAGTGAGTGTGAGTGTGTAGTTCGGTAGCCTTGGATCGTGATTCTTTTTGGTTGGCATTGAAACCATCATTTGTTTCACATCAAAGCCCTATCTTTGGATGCGGTAGCTGAAAGTACACACACATTTGATCCGCACTATGATTCCTTTTACCCCTTGTTCCTAGTCAGAAAGTGCTTCGTTGGAATATACCGCACCATCATGCTCCTACTCTTTATGGGTCCCTGTTCCATTGCAATGGCTATGAGCACAATCCACCTGTCCAAAGCTTTCCTGATGCCTTTATAATTAAACAAAGTGGCATCCTGCTCCACAAGAAACATGTACCGTTTTGGTATCCTCCAAAACAAAGCTCGTTAACACATTCATATGGATGCATGAGTCTCAATAAAATTCTTTATTAGATTTAGGCATAAAATGTCATAACATTTCGACAAAGATTGCGGGTGCGTATCATCACTGTGCCACCAAAACTTGGTTGTCGATCATAAATAACAACCACAAAAAGGCCATACAATGCTATGAGTGATAGGCGAAGAGTAATGAATCTGGTTTGAACACCCATGTAGACAATAAAGGTCGCAGCAGCGATCTCGTCATTGTCGGAGCTTTTTTCATCTTGCTTTGATGATAGTAATCTGCCAGGTCTCATTCGGTGTTGATAGAACGTGTGATGGCATTGTATTCCGTTGATCAAAGCTATTGGCCATAATTGCATGTTATCCAATTACACTCATTCTTGGACCACCACCACCCCTCCTCACCCATAAAACAACGGTACTTGATTATATCGTATGATCTTTGAAATACTGCATCTTGCTAGATCACTACTATACTGCAATGCCTTTTTTGTGGCAGTAGAGGCACCCCAAGCTCCTGTATCCCTTTCAATCGATACTAAACACACACAATAGAAGGCACCATCGTTATCACTTATACAACGTTCTTGTTCGCTATATACATGAGCAGAGTGCAATGGTTGTCATGGCAGCCGCTTTCAAATGATCTCTCAAAGGTAGAAACCTGGATACAGTCATAAGGCACGAATCGACAATAGTGATGATTGACAGCTTTTGACATGTATTCTCGATAATCCTTTTTAGCAAAGATAACTCAATAGATGACACAAGACCACTCCTTTTCCAAATCATAGCATACACAAGTAGAAGCATCGAACCCTATTAGCCCTGTTGCATTCCAATCCACTTCAAAGATGACGTTTTCGTTGCTGCAAATGAAAAAGGCTTGTTTATTATCTAACCCCATCAAGATGAGGCCTCACGCTATATGCATTTGATAAAACAAATTTAAGCCTTCTATATTGACAACAAAAAAGACAATGATTAGACCTCATGATACCACACATCTCATCTCCATCAACCAACCTTGGCAAAGCGGAAGCGTGGGGGAGGAGCACGGTTGCGACGATCGACAACAGAGCGGACACGAACAACACGAGCGTGAATGGCGCAAGAAACGCAGTAGTGAAGCTTGACGTAAAGCTTAGGAATGGTGTATTCTACACACGCAAGGTCTTAGTAACCATGCAAGCAGTGGAATTGAGTAGTGCGAATTTGGGCTTACCCTCATAGACTGAGGCCTCCTGAAGATCACGGACGGCAGCAGCCTCGACCATGTTGCGAACATTGAAACGCTTGATAGCCTTATCCTATTGTTATCGAATACAACTTCTCATTCAGTCCCTGTCGCCCTTGTGCCATTCAATAGTGGGTAATGTTGTTACCTTGGGGACACAGCGGGAGCAGTTGATGCAGCGAACAAACTTGTTGTGGCCGCGACCGTGCTTGTTACGTCCGTTGTTTCTTCTCTTGCAGGTCTAAATGGATAGCAGGATAATCAGAAAAAAAGTGTCTTGAATAAAGAAACAACCATCCAACGTTTTATCCATGATGCATATTGACGTTTGGATGGATATTTAATGGATGGATGGCTGCTTGTATCAATGGATGGATGCCTGAACGTACCATGATGAACAAAGGAGGAGCAATTGGATAGCGGCAAGGCTGGCTTCTTTGGGCACTCTGAGCGGAGCCATTGAGTGACTGTCGTGTACCCCCTCTGGCTAGGCAACACAAGCCATGCCGCTCAAACCCAACCCAACAACCTATTTAAGAGTCAGGCAGATGGTACTGTAGCACACACACACACACACCTACATCCATATTCTTCACATGTCCTTCAGCACGACCACCGATATATAAGAACGAGTGATAAATGAAAGCCTTCCTTAGCTTAGTATATGGATCATGACTTGCATGTATACACTACTTTACAAATGCATAAGCACGTGCCACCCAAAGATACATCACTACCATCAAAATCAATCCATCCGTGAGAGTGGATTTTGCTTGTTGATCAATTGCCACATACAATGCATATCCGCTTATCCACACCCTTACGGCTAGTGCCCCGATCCTGTACAAGATGAACTTTGCATTCTGCTCCTTCTTTTTTCCTCTTTTCCCCCCTTCTTTTTGTTTTCAATACATACATGAGCTCAAATCCGATCACTACGTTTGGGACACAAGATCCATACAACGAGATCATTCACCGTATGTGTTGCGTTATCATGTTCGCCTTCAACTATGTTGTGCTCAAATGGATTGTTGTTTTGTGGCGTTATTAGGGGTTGTGACAAACCTATTCTCGTTCGACACTACCAAGCAGGAAACGATCTTGAACCACTACTACTTTGATAAAGCCTCGTTTGAGTCCCCACTTCTTTCCACCGAGGGAGTTGAAAGTATACGCCGGTAAACTTATGCGTGAGCGGATATATAACATAGGTATCTGAACAACTCACGTCAACTCACAACACACACACACGCGTCCATCCTTAGAGTGCTACTCGTATGGAAAGCTTTGAATAGCAAAGAGCCACGGGTCGATAAGATTTGCTTTGACGGTCAAAGAACGTGCACGGTGTTCCTCACACAGACGCTATGTCCACGAATGATACCCTTCTCCCTCTTCCAAATGGAATTACCAGTGATGGTGACTTTGACATTTGAAGACGTGCCTGAGGATCGTGATTTAATCAGGGTAATACGTCATGAAGAACATTGGACAGCTCAGGGTAAGTAGAATTGGATGATGATGATGATGACACAACGATGGTAAAAATGATGCTCATGTATGATTTAATAAACAAAGGAATAATCCAAGCGATGCCTGGGATAGCACATTGTTGGTATGATCGATTGATACGTGCCACAGTGGGGCATCTACTAGCTACAGCAGGAGGAATGCTACATTCGGCAAATGAGACAGCACTTTTGTTATCGAAGCGAGGGCGTGAGATTGAACATGGTTGTAAACTATTGGAACAATCCCGAAAGCTTAATCCTGTAACGATTGCTACTGCCACTGCCACCAATGCTGCTGCTGACTCGTCGGCGGAAAGTTCTGCAGCTACCACTGACGTCGACATGGAGATGCTGGTACCAGCTAAAATGTAAAATGTAGTTTCTTCTTTCCCCCCCCCATCTCCCTTTCCCACAGCTCTTTCTCTCTTTCTTTCATTCTTTATACTTTGTAATAATAACAATGGATCCATTCGCACTTGTGCTCCAGTTCCTTTGTCTCTGGGGCATCTTGTATGCAGTGGTGTTTGCAGCAAAGTTTTATTGTACGACAAAGGCAAGAACGAAGTTGACGTCTTTCAGGCACGAGCCCTCTTTATTGTTAACACACACTGGCAACAGGAATCAGGACGACGTAGAAAGAGCTCAACAAACGATGGCATCCTGCCCACATTTTCAACCGAAGAAGCAGCCGATCAGTGGTCAATCAGCTTGTTCCAGATCAAGTACACGACTCAAAAGTGCAACAATCTCTTTCAACGCCTTGCCCATGCTGCACCTCGTTTCTGGCAGATTTGGTTCTCGATTGGTACGATCGTGGCTCTTGCTGTTATGGCAGTGGGACTCGTGGTTATTGCTTATGCAGCTTGGCGGATCATTGCTGTTCTTTGGTATGCGCTCAGGCCCACTACTACCACCGACACATCCAATGCAATGATATCTTCACCGAATCGATTCGCAAAACGTGCGTTTGAACAAGATGTCAACAACGATGTTGCCATGGTTGATGATGGTGGTGGTGATAATGGGGGACAAGTATTTCAACCAATGGTAAGTTCCTTTAATCTGGTTCGGTACGGGTGCTGCGTATGTGTCACACACACACACACACATGGAAAACTCACATTCTTTTCCACCCTAGATCCCCGGAATTACGGTTCCATTATCACACCTTGGATATTACTTGTTGGCATTACTCGTATGTGGTGTATTTCATGAGGCAGGACATGCAATTGCATCTTATTGGTATGTTGTATGCTTATACGAATGGATCCATATTCATGATTTCATGCTTAGTCAACGCGTACGCATCAAGAGTGCTGGTGTATTCATGTACTATATTTATCCTGGTGCCTTTGTCAATATCCCAGATCAAGCCCTTTCTCTTTTATCTCCTTTCAATCAGCTCAAGATCATTTGCGCAGGCGTATGGCATAACATCGTATTGTATTTATGGGTGCTCTTCTTCTTATCAGGCGGTCTAAAGCTGTGTCTGCTACTTGTTGGATGGCAATCTTTGGAAGGATTGGGAGGTGTCAGTGTTGTCAGCGTACGACATGATTCGCCTTTGGTCTATCATCTGCCGACATCTTCGATTGTATACCAGTTGAATGACTTTGTATTGGACGATAACATTGCAAGTTGGAATAACTATTTACTTGACAGCGAGCAACGACATGAACCCCAACAAGGCTTCTGTGCATCAAATACAACACGTTCCAATGACACAACATGTTGCGATATCGATGACGATTATCCATTTGGTCGATCATCCAACACATCCATCTCATGTTTCCGGGATTTCCATCCTACTACTTCCGAGGTAATTTATGCGTAGAACAGAGGGACAAGCAAAGAACCCTATCATTGATTTCCAATCCTTTATAGCCTGAATGGACATTATGTTTACCCACTACGCAAGTATTGGTATCACAGGATGCCAAACGTTGTTCCTCGAATGCAGATTGTCAATCAACCGACCAATGCGTTACGCCTCACACACCTTCGACTCGAGGACAATTTGTTCGCGTATACATCAAGTCATCCCCATCGAATATCGAAAACAGTGGCGCATTTGTATTTGAAGGAGAATTGGTGGATATTTGGGAGAGTGGCAAGTATCATGAGCGGATAAAGGGAAAAAAAGACAGTGGGCTAACTTGCCATGGAAAATCATAGTCAAAGTTGGCATCCTTCATCCTCGCTTTTGGTTTCTCCCTGTTTGGATACCCCACACTGTTGAGCTATTCCTTAGGTAAGACAAAAGGATAACGGCATGATCAAGGTTTTCTCATTGTGGCGCCTCAACCCTTAGATACATTTCATCATTCACGCTCGCTTTGGCACTCTTGAATATCTTGCCTGCTTTTCAATTGGATGGCGAGTTTGCTCTTGGCCAACTACTTGCGTTGGTGACACGACATGGTCCACAAAGCCCACTTTCAACCGGACACACTACGCCCTCACAGCATTATACCCGTCGTATTGTCAAAGTGACTTCAGCCGTGGTGGGATTCGTTATCATTGGTAGCATTCTGCTTGGTGTGGCACAACAATGAGTTATGTATATATATACGATAGAGAGAGCATTGTAACCATACATACAAAGAACAACTGTAAATGAAAGAAAACATATACCTCATTCTCCCTTAATTGATCCCATATTGCTCTTTGTTCAGCCCCTGCAGGTTATGCCATCCATGCACCAATAAGGACATGCCATATCTTGCATGATGACAATCTATCACTAAACCCCCTTTTTTCCTATCTTAATGAGTGGCCACACTTGCTCTCTTTCTCTCTCTTTCTCTCTCTCTCTTCATCCGGGAACTATGAATGTATTTCGTTTACTTGCCGATTTGATGCATTTAGCATCCATCTTTATACTTTTGCTCAAGATCCAAAATTCCAAGTCATGCGTCGGTAAATATGAGGTTCACTTTTACTGCCCACTCCGTGCTGACATGTTGTATGTAGGCATTTCCTTCAAGACACAAATGCTGTATACCATCGTCTTCATGACACGTTACCTGGACCTCACATTTCACTTCATCTCATTGTACAATACCTGCATGAAGATATTTTTTATTGCATCATCGGTGTATATCTTGTACTTGATGCGAGTCAAGTACAAGGCAAGCTATGACCCTGGATTGGATACTTTTCGCTTTGAATACCTTTTGGGATTCGCCATGCTTTTGGGAGTTGCTTTTTCATATGACTATACGCCTGTGGAGGTAAAAGGATCATTGAAGTCTATCAAAAGTGCAAGTTGGATTGATCATGCGTGATGTGTCCATAGGTGTTGTGGTCGTTTTCAATTTGGCTCGAGTCGGTGGCCATTATGCCTCAGCTCTATATGCTACAACAAACGGGTGAAGCCGAAACCATTACGACGCATTACCTCTTTGCATTGGGAGCATACCGTGCATTGTACCTGGTCAATTGGGTCTATCGTTACGTGATGGAAGGGCACACGGATTGGATTGCTTGGGTAGCAGGTCTCATCCAAACAGCACTCTACAGCGACTTTTTCTACTTGTATTATACAAAGTATGTGAGGGGAGAAAAGAACGTTTTGATTTTTATTGACATGACATTTTTTCATTAGGGTGCTTCACGGCAAGAAGCTTGAGTTGGCAGGAGGGTAAGTTGTGTAATGATCATACGGGGGAGGAGGAGATAAAATGTCTCACGAGTTAACATTTGCATAAAGGATGGTTTGAGTGTGGTTTTCTCCGATGGGTGAAACATGACAGCCAAAATTGCGTGAACAAGGAAAAAAGCCCTGCTATATTAGCTTGTAGGAAAAAAACGCCGTAGAGCAATCTATCATTTTCCTCTCATTGTTTCTCTGAATAGCAAACAGAACACAAAAGAAAAAACCCAAACCATTTGTTGCTATTGATTGCATTGTTTGATTTTATTATTCCTTTTCCCCCAATTTGATAACCATGGCCAAACCACAGGATGTACATCCATTGAGCAATGAATCGATCAGTATAACTACATCAGAGACACCACAACCTGATCCAACGTTTCCACCCTATCACCATGACGACGATGAAGCTGCTGAAGCACGCGACACCATATCGGATGACATTCCAAGTATGTTGCCACTGCCAACCAATCGAGGACGACGAGTATCTGTGAGTGCGGAATCCATTCAACCCTCCTTACACAAGACGCAGCAAGAGTATGTGGTACATCCAAAGAGTGATCAACAACGAGAACGCATCAAGGACGCTATCTGCAACAATTTTCTGTTTCGCAACTTGGATGACGACCAGCATCGGACCGTGGTGGATGCTATGGCTGAGAAACGGGTCAAGAGTGGTGAACAAGTGATTGAACAAGGAGCCCAAGGCGATTACTATTACGTTGTTGAGCAAGGCACCTTTGATTGCTTAATCAATGGTAACAAGGTGACGAGCTATGGTCCTGGTGGCAGCTTTGGCGAGTTGGCTCTCATGTATAATGCACCACGTGCAGCTACCATTGTTGCCACGTCTGACGGTGTCCTATGGGCACTGGATCGCATCACATTCCGTTCCATTCTGATGGATAGCACTGCTCGTAAACGTCGCATGTATGAACAGTTTCTCGAGGAGGTTCCAATTCTCAAATCGCTCAAGACGTACGAAAGACACAAGATTGCCGACGCACTTGAACCGGTGCAATTCGATGATAAAGAAGTTGTCATGCATGAAGGCGATGTCGGTCAAAACTTTTATTTGATAGAGGATGGTGAAGCCGTCTTTTACAAGAAGGATGAAGATAATCAGTTGCGTGAAGTAAATCGGTTGGGTAAAGGTAAGTGTGTATTGAAAAAAGAGATGATGAAAAATCTCATCGTGTGTTTCCTAGGCGACTACTTTGGTGAATTGGCACTCCTTCACGACAATCCCCGAGCAGCTACTGTTGTTGCCCATGGTCGTTTAAAATGTGTCACCCTTGACAAGAGCGCGTTTACTCGTCTACTAGGCCCTGTCATGGATATCTTGAAACGCAATTCCGAAAATTATCATGCCATCCTCAAAGAAGTTCATAGCAATGACCAGCAATCATAAGGCATCATTATCCTAGTAGCATGTCACCAACAACACATACATACATCTCCTCTTTCTCGTTTCTTTATATAAAGTTGATCCTAATAATTCAATGCATTACTTGTCATGGCCAAAAGCTTTCCTATTTTGGTTCCAGAATCTACATAATCGTATGCACAGATTCTTCCAAATATCACCATCACGCCCAAAGATGCATGTTTATTTTATCTCATACATCCATGTATGCTGCTGAATCATATGCAGCCCCACCACCATGTGTGGAACAAAGTAATAAGGGCAAGGTTTATTGAGATTCTACCCGAGTCGATGTATACGATCCTATGACAACCATTGACTTGATCCATCAAGCCTACGCAAACAGCCACGCTTTTGTTGCGTATTCAAATAGGACCGAGGATCACCTTTTTGAGTTCCTGAGAGGGTAGTACATGCTCTTGTGTGGGATTTGGGATTGTGTGTGGACCTGTGGGTTATCCAGCATGTGGTCAATTACATCGCAGCAGCTCTGACATGCCTGCCGTCTAATTGAAAAGACCCTAATCGTTTGATCAGTATAGCATCGAGTAGTAAATTAAGATTGAAATCTTATTTTGCTGCTCGTGCGTGAATGGAGGTATCTTGTCTTGGTGATACTATGTCACTTGAGGTTTATGTAGACCATGTTTATTGACAACAAGATTAGCCATGATGGGGAAGGGAATGTTTTACAAGCGACAACATGATGTCGTTTATCGGGTATAGTGAGCAGCAGAGGATGCTAGCATGTCTGAGGAAGATGCAGCATTCCAAGCGTGAAAGCCAACGACTTGGGGTTGTGGAGCAGGTGGTGGTGGTGGTAATTGTTTTTCAGGATCATTAAATGGGTTCATAGCCGCCGTACCTGCTGCTGCTGCTGCTGATGTACCTGCTCCAGTCATTGGCATAGTAGAAGCAGCTGCTTGTGATGGTGGTGGTGGCATCGATGATGATGTTTGTGGCAAATCTGTGGATGCCTTTGCAATTGGTTTCTTCCGTAGACATAGGAAAAAGATCCCACCGAGAATAGCAATACCAACCAATCCACCGATAATTCCACCTGCAATGGCACCAGGGCTACTACTATGACCACTACCAGCACTACCACTATTATCTATTTGTGCTGCAGGATCAAAAGTATGGGATGGCAAGGTTGATGTTGTAGATGCAACATGCTCAATAGTGGATGAAGTTACAGCATTAGGTGGAGCTGGTGCTGGCACTGGTGCCGATGATGGAGCAATAGGTGTAGAAGGTGGTGGTGATGAAGGACTTGCTGGTGCGCTGGGTTGTTGATCGATTGGGATGGGAGATGAATCAATAGGTGCTGTTGGATCTATTTGTTGTTTGCTTCCATGTAAGATGCAGGTTTGCTATGGATCATCGTGGCACTTGCCTTCGTTGTCACTCGGGTCATCCGAGTCATTAGGGCTATCTTCACCAGTGGGATCACCACTGAAAGCATCATCACCTGTAGGATCACTTTCGTCTTCCTCCTCAGACCCAACGTCCGTCACTAATCAAAGCCAGCATCTATTAATTGCATTGCGTTGATAGGAGACGAAGGAGGGGAATTGTGTGTATATACGTACCTTGTTGTACGGTGGATAGCGTCATCCATGAAAGTATTACAAGTATAGCTAGTGGTATCATTGTATGCAAGGTGCACGAGAAGAAGAAAAAAAGTGGTGGGAGAGAAGAAAAGGAGCAATCAATGTCCAAATACAAGAAATTGATCTTCTTATTTTGCCCTCTGCATGGGACAACAACAATTCCTATACCTTTTTTCGTCTATCCCATCATTTCTCCTCTTTCCACTCTTGGGCGTTCCCTTAGATGTGACACCACATGTTTGTAACAATTATGCATCTCTCTGCAACAGCTTTTATTTTTTCTTTTCATCGACGACGGCATGATCCAGATTTGCATTGGCCCTTTAAGGATGTTGGTTAAATGTCACATGACAACAAAAGCATGACGCCCAGCAAACACTACATACTAAAGGGCGATGGGTAATCTCCAATCATGTATAGGATGATTATCACGAGATATTGGATTGTGGCCTTCACTATATGTTTACATGAATAAACCCCTTTGAATATCCTTCCCCTGAGCCCGCTATTGGATCCAGGGGGAAGAGTGAATAAAACTAAACCCAATCGGTTTCCGCAACAACAACATGGTACACTCCACCAATCCCTTTTCCCTTTTTGTTTTTTAAAACCCTTCAATGTCGATCAAAAGATGCCTTTTCCAATTATGTACTGTCATCGTCGGTATATGGACTTGCAATTGTAAGGAAAATGCTATGGAAGGAAGGCTATCAATTGGGCTGTGATGTGGCAAAACAAAAAGTGTTACACAGGTGCGCCTCTGCTGCTGGCACAAAAGATGAAGTATGCTGCCAAGGCAATTCCCGTGATCATCTTTCGATAGATTCCATGTCGCTGTTTATTCTTTCTCATAATCGTTGTTGTCCAGCAATGAGACTTAGCTGCCACCTGCATGTGTGTATGTGTATGTGTATGTGCACACGTATATGCAGCGGTGTTGCTATCATCTCTTTCTCTTCACTGAATCAACCCGCATGATTTCCATGTGTGGGAAACCAGGTAAGGTTTTGGTTTTTAATAGGTCGTCGAGAATAAACAAAGCTTACGCACCACTCACTCACACTCATCCTCCCCATTGATTTGGATATACTTACCCATACGACGAAAATGGTGGCCACGATCAACTTGACCTTATCATTGCATCATTTGATTAGGATCAAGAGGCGCTATTCCCCTAATTGTAATTCAAGCATCTGCGCCACGAACACAAGAAAGATCTTTTTTGTAGACTGCGCCTTGTGATATCGCATGGGTTAAGCCCATCAATGATTACATTCAGTCGGAGGATGTACGAAAAAAGGCTACTTTCTGATCCAAAAGTAACAATAGATGCAGCCCGCTCTTTGCATATCATAGCAGTTGACACATTGCTGCTCTTTTATTTCCACTTTGTTGCTTTGGTGAATGATCGATGATATAACAAAATCAAATGCCCTGATGATTACCATCGACGATGTGTCATTGTCCTTTGACAAACGAGAGGGCTCGGCAAAGGCGGTGCTTGTGTATGTGTTGCCATGGGATAAAAATAGAGGGAAAAGAACAAGGCATCGGATGACGAGACCCGGCCAAGGCTTGTGTGTGTAACCTAAGCTACACCGGCTACGGAACGGACCTCTGGATAATGATATAAAAACGAGCGACGTGTTGTAATCCATTTCTCTTTTTTTTTCCTTGGTTCCTCAACTCTTTTACAAACAACAACATACAACCATGATCAACAAGTGCTGCTGTTGCTTTCCTTTGAGGTAATTCCTCAACATTCACCGAGGCAATGACGATCAGTTCGTGTTGACACGACTTTTTCTCTTGTGCAGGATTGGTGTTTTCATCATCGCTTTGTTCTCTTTTGTACGTTACACACTCGACTCGACTTTCCACGAACAACACCATCTTACTTTTTCCCATCTTTTAGCTTGCCAGCACTGCTTCTCTCGTTTGGTTGATCATCAATCGAAATCGTACGTTTATAATACACCCACAAAACACACGTTTACAATGATCGAACGACTCATAACGATGAATGAATGACACGATATAGAAATCCAAGGATATGAAGGCTACTCATATTTCAACATGGACGCAGTCTTTTACGTCGGCATTGGCCTCGCATCACTTAACATTGCTGCTGGCTTGTTTGGATTGATTGGCACAACGGCAGTACGTATATACGGAAATAGCTTTGTGTGTACGCGCCACAAAGGAAGTAGGCTGATTGAACCTTTCTTTGTATAGCAAAAAAGAGGCTTGGTTGGCATCTTTCAATTTGTGTATTGGATCATGGCCATTTTGACACTCGTGGTTACTGTTGCTACGTGGATCTTTTTGCTTGTCCGCCGATCCGATATTGAAGCTGGTTGCCAAGAAGGCATTGAGCAAATGGAATCGAGTGGATACACAACATTGGGATCAGAAATAGCAGACATGTGTTCTCGTGGAATGCAAGGTTTGCTGATCGGCGGTGGTGTAGGTGTCTTTATTGGCAACATCATCTCGGTAAGTGATGGATCAATGATATAGGTAATACAATCGGATGATCGGAAGACTGATGTATGAATGTAATACCATAGCTTTACTTTGCTTGTGTCGTATCAGCCTATGCTTCCCGTCTCAAGCGAAGCAACCAACACCTCCCCTTGCGCGACCTCGAAGACTTTCCCCAGCCTGCTTACAAGACTGCATACTAAAGCAGATACGTCCCATTGTGTGTATATTCCATTCCTTTTGTATTTTTTCATCTCCTTCTTCTGTCACTATATCCCTCTCACTACTTTGATCGCTAACCCCCATCCTATCATCCTTTTATTTGCATAGCCACCCCCATACAGTCTATAGTCCCTCTTCTTCTTCCTCCTCTCCCTATTTGTGTATAAAAAAAAGAAATACCTAAAGATTGAGGCTTTGCCACAATACGAGTGATACAGGGTGATGATATTTCTGGCACAAGCCTTGCCTCTTTAAGAGAGCACACACACATCTAAGCCTAACACAAATCGGATTGTTTTGCATTTGAAAGCGTTGTGTATGCGTGTGTGTGAATGCATGATCCTTTTGGGATGATGCCTTAGAGCAAAAGTGAAGTAGGCGACAATGGGAAGGTATGGCATGTGGTTGACTTTAGTGCATGATGCAGCATTAGCAGCAACAGCTGAAACACATGATGATACGGGTTGCTCAAGTGTGGAGAAAGCCAAGCCGAATTCCAAGATCTGTTCCCAAATAAAAAATAATTCCAAGATGGTGGTGCAATGGATCATATTCGGATTTGATTCTTCTCTGCTAATGTTATATTACTTCTGTGAGACATGTGGATCCAAGAAACGTACAACTTTGGGAGTCTGGGGCAAGGTGGTACAAAGAAATTGCACGGTGATCATGAGGAGGCAAAAAGAGGAACAATGGGTTTCAAGTGTCTCATTTCCCATTACAACCCAACAACGACATCGGATGTTACATGTTCAAGGGGAATCTCGAGTTTAATGATACGAGGAATCATTATGAATCATTCGAGAATGAAAAGTACTGATGACGAATCACATTGCAGTAAAGAATCGGGTACTCCTGCCTTTGTAGTGGGAGTACAAGTCAAGTTTATCCGATAACGTATCAGGAAGATATTGCCTGGCAAGAATAGTAGTCATGGCAACGGGGTGATAGAGTTGCGTAGTTAATTGATTGTTGTTGCCATGGTAATTGTTGCATTCTATTAATGGTATCTCATATATCATTTGGATGTAAATGTATCCTTTGATCAACTTTTGGGAGGAAAATGAAAGAGAAAGAGAAGAGCAAAAAAAGCTCATCTTGTCTCACATCTTTGTTGTGTTGGTGTGCGTGTACAGACACACGCTAAAGTACCCCACTTTTTTATGCCAGTTGTGTGCTGTCAATTCAACCACTGGTGATTGAGTTAGGGTGGCACCAAGCTGGCAAGCATGGCGGAGCCGTCGATAAAAGTGTGTGTGTTTCGCACCATTGCGTGTGTGGAGTGCTGTCTTTTCCCATCCTGTTTCCCGCTCATACCAGCTGGTATCGCCCTTTGCCTTTACCACACCACTTTTTATTATAATGGATCCCTTCACAATGGAATCAGCACTCACTGACCAAGTGCAACTCGATCTCTTGCATCACACTCGCCACGCCATTGCCCATCTCATTGAACTCTTCCCTGCTGAATTTGGGTGGGAGCGTCTCATTCCAGCCGATGCACGAACACTACCCCAAGTACCGGAAAAGCTGGGTCAGCTGTATCAAGAGGTAGAAGAGTATTGTAGCTCTTTGGCTGTCAAGTTTGACCATGATTGGGTAAGGAGACACACACACTTTTGAGTCTTTATTATCCATTTCTCACGGGTTTAATGTGTGCGTGTGCGTGTGTGGATATCAGCATTGGTCACTCATGTGGCGACAACAACTCTCGTTAAAGACGCTTGCTGACAGATACGGAAAAGATTACGTGATAGGCGCATGTCATCCCCGAATACGCAAGTTTGTGGCCCAAATCTACATCGAAGAGCTTGACCCGTTTATGCAATGGTTTCCTTGGTCCTGGTTCTCTGATATGCAATTCATCGGTGCTGGTGGTTTCTCGGCTGTCTATGCTGCTACCATATCCCCACCCTATGAGCTTGAATCCACTCGTGTTGCTCTCAAGGTGATTGATGACAAATTACTCAACGAGGTGAGCCATCTTTGTACTTTTCTCCTTTCCCCAGAATCTCTTTCTCTCTCTCTCGTTTATCATGTGGTCTTAATCTAACCTTGGAAGGTGGTTTCCCTTTATTTTTCTTTGCTTGTGGTGGGGTGGCTGCTGGTTGCTCTAGATTGTAGTGCAATCAAAGGTGTTCCTACCAGTGCTCTTTCAAGGCTTGACCGTATGTGACAGCACCGACGACTTGATGATGGTCATGAAAATAAGCAATGATGGCAACCTGGAGGATCATATGCAACATTTGCCACTGGGCGATCTGGATCTCAAAACGATTACGGGTACCATCTTACGTTTGGCAGCCAACTTATCTGATTTGCACAAGATTGGCATGTGCCATCGCAACATTCATCCACGCAACGTTGTCTGTACCGACAATGATTACTTCCTCGTCGACTATCGATTTGCCACACCTGCACACGAATCGTCTCAAGTCATTGCTATGACACGTGCCGTATATGGACGTCTACCTTACATTGCACCTGAGATACGTCAAGGAAGATGCACTGAGAAATCTGATATCTTCAGCTTGGGAGTCATTATTTGGCAATTGGTGAGCAAAGTGATTTTTCCATCACCCGAAGTACTATTGGCAGAAGGAGGGATCGACGACGTGTATCGCATTGAACCAGTACCAGGGGTCCCTGAGTGGTATGAAAAGCTATACATCGCTTGTATGGAGCCACAACCAGAGAACAGACCAGATACTGCCGAGATTTGTCAAGCGCTGCAACCCATTCATGATAGCTTGGCTTATTCAGTGCCATTGGATTCAAAGGTGACAGAGTATATCGTGGCGAGAAGAGCGGAAGCGGCGGCTCATACAAGGACTTGCACTAAACTCAAAGGAATTGTCCCATCAAATACAACATCGCGTTTGTATACATTGGCCCATCTTCCATCTACGACAGCAATGCTCGCACCAATGCCTTTTACCCATCGTCGTTTTTCCGCGGTCTGGTCCTATTAATTGACATCCACATCATAACATACACCCTCACGCACTCAACACTCTTATCATGCACATTGACGCATTTTACATATTAATACATCTCATACCCTTTGCTTATAATACAAACAACGCACACACATCAGCGCATACTTGTAGTAGTAATTGTAGTTCTTTAGTAGTTCAATCCTGAAATCAAACAATCACATTGTACATCCGTAATGAGCTCTACCATTTATGGTTGGTGTGTGTGGAGATGCAGCTTGATTTTCTCGTATCACAACAAGGTACCGTGATCCAATAATCTCAATGGGACTTTTCGTTGACAATGGACATAAACTGCTACTTGAACATGTGATCGCATTGGTTCCCGTCATAAAGGGAGGGTGGGGTGTGAATTGATTCTAATACAAAATCCTATGCAATGGTACGCTGTAAATCCAAACTCAAACGACGCTGCATGAATTTTTCGTTTCCGCTCATTGCTTCACACTGCCTTTTACCATTTTCCTCCTCCCTCAGGTATTCGAGAAGCCATCTCCCACCCCATTATTCGGCTTGCACTACGTCTACCAATGAAGGTGCCAACGACAAGTTTTCTGAAGTGAATGCTCACACAAACATCATCGAGCAACATCTTCTAGTAGCACAGCAGGCGATTTGTATAAAGATGGATGTCATTGTTGATGATGGATATAGATCTCAGATCCTGATGTATGTGTACAGGCGGTGGTACCCATTGCGTATCAGCTCATCGCAATTCCCAATAACTATATTACCACACTCTCCTCCTTTTATGATCACAGAAATACCCATGCCCAACATGCGCATATAAAGAAAGTATCTCTTCCTTCCATCATATCACTCTTTGATAACTGATACCTTCAAATCCCCAAGTTAATGTGTGTAGCATGGTAGATTGGCCTCTTTGTATGAGGATCCTCAGCTCTTTCATTATAATCCAAAGGTTGACAGGTTCCACAAAGTAGCAGCCATGGAGAGGGTATAAAGCACAATCATCGAATGCACCGAACTTTCAGTATGACAGCATCAAACACAACGATCAAGTTGACAATTGTTGCATAAGACCCAAGACTCTTCCAATGCGTTGTATATATCCATTCCTTCAATCCCATGTACCAAACCAATATCCATATCCATGTTCATATCCATAGGAAGTCGTATGTATTGATACCAAGTTGCTACACGTAAATAAAGCTGCTTCTATTCAATGGGTATCTGTTGTTCACGTAAAAAAGACTGTAAGGCAAGTTGCTGCAAGTAAAGAACGCTGTTTTGAGACAATGGACCAAAGACCTTGATAATAGCAACTGGTGGAAGGAATGCTGCTATGGTAGTCGTGGCAGAGGAGTATGCAAGAGCGTGTGTTGTAGTAGAGTGACAAGGTTGCGAATGCTGTTTGAGACAATGGAGTAAGAACATCGCAATAGCAACTGCTGGAACAAAGTCTGCACGTTTGATTGTAGTCGAGGATTGTACAAGAGCAGGTGAAGTGTCAAGAAACGCGGGTGATGTAATGGGCTGTACACGCCATGGACTTGCCATTCAGTCGAAGTGTTTCGGATCAAGGCTGTTATAGGATTGACATGATGGGATGAAGCAAGGCAATCGTTCGCAGGTGGTAGTTGTATACTTGAATGGGCCAACAGTTGAGAATGGGAGGAAGAGGCGAGAGGTGGGGAGTGGAAGAAGTGGAAATTAAATAGGTCGGACACCTCTTGTATAAATGCATGAACCCTGTACATCAATCCTTGATATTGAGATTTCCCCTTTCGAACCTGAAACTTTCACACAAGGTGGTATTGGTCATGCTGATCATGTTGATCTAAAAAAGACCTCATGTTTCATTTGAAAATTTGGAATGGGAGGGTACAATGTGGGTTTACTATGTAAATCGGAAATGGAGGACAGCGCCGATTCATGATTTATCGAAATAGTATGTACTACTTTGTGATTCCACATTTCGAACATGAAACTTTGTCAGAAGGTTCGCTAGGAGATGCTGATCAACTTCATTCATTTAAAATCTGCAGACTTCATTGTAAAGATTTAAAATGCGGGGAGGTCCAAATGGCGGATGACACGAACAAAAGAGCGGACGGCCTACCGCCCCGAAGTTGCCCACCTCCAACTTGAAAATTGGTCAGCAGGGTGCTCTCGAGCATGCTGATCAATATTTTCTAATAAAGATCTCACGCTTCATTTGAAAATGTGGAATGGGAGCATCCACAAGTTTGAAAGACGGAGACATTCGCAGGGTCTGTCTTTCAAGAATTTTCGTGTTTGCTGTTCCAGCGTAGCTCAGTCAAACCGGCTCGGATCAAGCAACTTGAATGATGGAAATGATGGGCTGGAGCAGGAGAATCTTTCACATGTAATGGATTTTGCAACAACGCTGATTGTGAGGAAATGGCTGATAACGCGCAATATATGGACTACTGTGGATAGCCATAAAGTATAATCCATCAATCCTTCCATTCATGCAAGATAGCTGTGTTACACAAACACGTCCCTCTGTATCTTTTGCTCTGCCAAGGTCCACCTACTTGACAATGAACAAAGACCACTCTTCATATAGCATCACGCTTACAAACATAAACGTGCCTGTATCTCCGAACTTTACAATGAAACGTGGGGTTTTTATTAGAGCAATGGGCTCGGCTTGGCCAACAGCACCTTGTGTGAAAGTTTCACGTTCAATGTCGCAAACAGCCCAAAAAATATTTTTTTGGTCGTCGTCATCGAAGAGGTTGAGCCCCGGATCCAGTTGGCTGGTAGCGACATTGCGAAATCTGGGATTGCCCACGATGAACTTCATACTTTGACACAAGATTCCTTTGACCCCGACGAGCACGTTGATCTATTAAAGAACCCACGTTTGATTGTAAAGTTCGGGGATACAGGCACCTTTATGTTTGTAAGCGTGATGCTATATGAAGAGTGGTCTTTGTTCATTGTCAAGTAGGTGGACCTTGGCAGAGCAAAAGATACAGAGGGACGTGTTTGTGTAACTCAGCTACGTTTGCATGAATGAAAGGGTCAATGTATAATTACTTATGGATCATCTAGGAACAGGCATGCATTGCTAGCTAACGGCCACTTTTATCCAACCATCATTGTTGCGAGATCCACTGCATGGGAATGATGCCCCTGCTCTAGACATTCATTTCCATGATTAAAGTAGGTTGATCCGAGCTGATTTGACTGAGCTGCGGTCAAAGAGAGATTACATCACTCTGGACATAGAGCACGCTCGATGTAGCTCAACCGATGTAATCTTGTGTGAGCGTAACTCAACCAAATCAGCTCGGATCAACCTACTTTAATCATGGAAATGAATGTCCAGAGCAGGAGCATCGTCCACCTACAATAGAATGCACAAAAGTTGGGAATGCACAAAAGTGGCTATTAGCTGCCAATGTATGACATAAAAGTGAGGGTAGCGTACCTATCATGCATTGTCCCTGAAGTCCTGACTTTTTAGCTGAGTTACCCAAAGAGGTCCTTCTGCATCTTTGGCTCTCCAGAGTCTAGCTACTTGGCAATGAACAAAGACCACTTCTCATATAGCATCACGCTTACAAACATAAAGGTGCCTGTATCTCCGAACTTTACAATCAAACGTGGGATCTTTGATAGAACAATGTGCTCGGCTTGATCAACAGCACCTTGGGTACCAGTCTCACGATCAAGCTTGCCAATCCCAGATTTCGCAAATGTCGCCACCAGCCAAATGGAATCGAGGGTCGACCTCTTGAAACTTTTTCGATGACGCCCAAAAATATTTTTTGGCTGGTAGCGACATTAGGCGAATCTGGCATTGCCCACTTCGATCGTGAAACTGGCACACATGATCCTTTCGACCCCGGCGAGACTCTTTGTTCTATTAAAGACCCCATGTTTGATTGTAAAGTTTAGAGATACAGGTACCTTTATGTTTTACATAAGCTGTGAGCGTGATGCTATATGAAAAGAGGTCTTTGTTCACTGTAAAGTAGCTAGAGCCTACTAGAACCAAAGGTGCAGAAGCACTTGTTTGTGTCACCGAACCCTGGAGGACGCGACTTAAAAGGGTCGATCCTATTGGTGGAGAGTGCATAAGGATGCTTTGCCCTATACGCCTATAGTAAGGTCCGCCTATGATAGCTCGTATGGAACGGCTCTCTCTTGTACAAGGTTGCATAAGATAGTGTGAGTTGAAATTGGGATAGGTAAGCATGGTATGTCATGTATTCGTGCCCGATTGTATCACAGCTCACTCTTTCTTGAGCATAATGAATTAAGCTTACAATGAACCAACCTTCTGTAGCAAGCATTTGTTTATTCATCACTCTCGAATTTATTATCTTGCAATACAATCATTTGAGGATCTCCCCTGCTTTTCATCTATCCGTACGTGTACTTTGAAACATCAGCGAATGCAGTATGTAGTATTGTGACAAAAGAACGAAGCATCTTAGTACGATTAAATGATCCAATCTCATTTCCCGCCTTCAAATTTCTATTCCCCCCTTCGATCCGGAAGCCAACCAAGTGATCCACATCTTTCAATCAATGCACAAGTCGAAGAATAGGACATGATAGTATAGATGTTTATAAAGCAAATACGATAAAGGAAGAGCATACTTGAAGAGGGTGGGGTGAATCATATAGAGGCAACAGGGATCATTGTGTCATTGTGTTCTTGGTTGCTGCCGTCATAAACATCCTTCATCCATGATTGTCAAATAGCTGCTGCATGCCTTGACTTGAGCCTTCCAATATCATCCGTGGCTGTAAAACACCCTTCAGCAAAGTCATAATCCTCTCGTCGATTCCATATAATCCATCATCATCCTCATCCTCAGCCGTATCCACGTGATATGATCCATCGTTTCTGCTGACGACGCAACAAGTAACCAAAGCAACATTCCAAGGTTCCCCATCACTGCACTTGATTGCATCCATCCATCACCATAACCATTGTAAGTCCAATAAGAAAGAGCCTCTGTGATTGTTGCTGATACGCTTCCTTTTCCATCCGACTGTTGGTCATTTTCATTGCAGCAACCAGGTGAAGATTGCTAGTATTGCGGTGGATTTGATAGGTGATATGGCATCCCATCTACTGGAATCCGTATGTATCGAAGCAAGTTGCTGCAAGTAGCTTGAGACAATAGAGTAAAGACCTTGCTAATAGCAACTGCTGCTACGTTTGATCGTGGACAGAGAGGCGTGCAAGAGAGCTTGTGTTGTAGTAGAGTGACAAGGCTGTGAATACTGTTCGAGACCATGGAGTAACGACATCGCTGAAAGCAATTGCTGGGACGAAGGCTGCTACGTTTGATTGTGGTAGAGAAGCGTACAAGAGCGTGCGTTGTGTCAAGAGACGCGTGTGTTGTAGTGGGGTGCAGTACGCCATGAGCTTGCTTGCCAATCGACCAAAGACAATCGGATCAAGAGAGTTGTAGGATTGACATGATGGGCTGAAGCAGGATAATCCTTTGCAGGTGATAGTTGTATACTTGAATGGGGCAACAGTTGAGAATGGGAGGAAGAGGGAAGAAGCCGGGTGAGGAAGAAGTGGAAATTAAATAGGCCACACACAACCTACAAATTCATGAACACTGTACATAAATCCTTAATGCTGAGATTACCCCTCTCGAACCTGAAACTTTGACACAAGATGCATTCATACACGCTTATCAACGTTATTCTCATAAAGACCCCATGCTTCATTATTAAAGCTTATGAGTGAAACGAGCAATCCGGGACCCTGGTCTATCCTTTTAGACAACCAATTATCCAACATGCGAGAATTGCTTTCCAATTTTGAATCATTGTCATGTCATCTCTTCCATGCCATATCTACAACGTTGGGAACCCCCGACTCATGACAGTAAAACAAATGCAGCATGAATTCATTACCATCTACTAGTAATTTCAAGTCCAAAGTCGGGGCCAGAAGCATTTGTTGTCAGCTCGAAGCGGTCAAAAGATTGACCGATGTAATAGGTTGTTCCCATGGATACGGTTACAGGGTCATCAAAGAGATTCATTACCTTGGCGTGATTGAATGAGTACACCAACCAATTTAAGGTTCAATCGTACACAAAGGGGTACAATCTTATCGACAGCAATGGTAAGCTGCATATAGGAGGCTCTACGCTTCTTTGTTTTGAATCCCATGATAATGTACCTTTTCATGCTGGCGATACTAACACCGATACCCAATTCTTTTTCATTGTTCCTGCAGGTCATCATTATACGACAAAAGCTAAAAATAAGCAGCATACAAAATTGATATTCCGCCGATACTCATATGCAATCTCCAAGAACCACCCAATTGGATAATGCAATGGGTGCACGGAGGACAATAAACACGGATCAACTCCACTGCTTGCGTGTCCCATGCGGCGTTACACCGTTAAGAAAACCCAGCAGCAGCTAGCATCGTCTGGATAAACCTTGCGAGCCCAGAATACGGGTCGAAATCTTGATATGGTGGTGAGCGGTAATGATTGAGCTTTAATTGCCTTGTGTGGGAAATCTCATCACGACACACAATCATCGTGGATTTATCCATGTGGGGAGCGTACGGCATATAAAGATGGCGAATGGTGATACGGTGATGTCTAATAATGTTGCAACCATATCATCGTGTAATGGATGTTTGATTTGTGCCACGACCCGTTTCTTGTGTGTCGATCGATTCTTTGTAAATACACACTTTCACATGATTGCAATCGTTGCTGCATTCAATGATACATGCAGCGAATTGCAAATACCGAGGATTCTTATTTGCGGAGAGAAATACAGTGACCGGATTTCCAACTCATTGTTATTGTCTCTATACTGCTGGCTTTTACGATTACATTTAAAGTGCATGGCCGTTCCACCAAACGTAAATTGTTAAAGGCTTAGCATGTACTCGCGGCTCTTTGTGGTTTCTTTCTCTTCCTTTTGTTCAAATTGTCCCCCCTCCCATATCCGTTCCCTTACAACTTTAAGCAGCTCGCTATAATATCTTGATAGACAATGACCCATTTGAGGTGAGAAACACCCTATCAACATGCAATCGGCCATTCACTAATATACTTTCGCTTTCCCGCTACAGTGATTTCTCCTATGTCCGTATGTGTGTTGGTCACTTGCGAAACATGTAAAACCACATCTCCTAACCTTTCACTACCTCGCATAATCTTAGAGCGATGTTGCCTGGAAGTCTACATCACAGCATACCTGATACATAATATATGGCGACATGATCGATTCCAGTGCCTAAGACCCTCCAAATTGCTTGCAGGCGAGCTCAAGAGTATTATTACCTATCTAATGTTTCTCATGATGGTACTACAGGCGTCATGGGGTATGCATGTAGTGTTAGCACTCGACCTTTGTATCGTTTCACTCATACATGGATGCTATTAGATATAATTTCAACATGGATCAAGTATAGAGAAGGATTCATGCCACTGCCCAATGGCGACATCATTGCCAAGCCGTTTGCCTATTGGGATGAATATCACCAGAATTTCATTCAACCCATCGATTACGTGCAATGCATTTCGTTTGCATTGCAAACAGGCGTGTTCTTTTTGTTACAATGCTTTTGGCATTATTTATCCAATAGCGTGGCGCGTCGATCGTTTATGGGTTCTTGGGAATTTCGATTCTATATTGTATGGGCTGTATGCAGCATGGCTATGTTTCCCATCCTCCAATGGCGGTTCAATGAAGATCAATACAAGAGCGAGGCCGTGCCACAATTGGCTTATGGTTTGGAAGGTAACAAAAGACATCGCATCATAGGATCGTCTTTTTATTAACACACTATTGCATACTCATCCACAGTGCTCATCACGGCTGTGCTTGGTGTTCGCTCACATTTCCGATTCACGCGCATTCTTAATGCTACACGTGAACGCAAGATCGTGCATCGACTTGAATACTTTCGTGACATGAATGTGATGTTGACCATTATCCTTTTCATCTATGGCACGTGCCTGGTAATTTTATGCGTGGATGGCTTAACAGCTGAGAAGCCTATCAACTCGCACAAATTTGGAACCGATTTGCTGATCGTCAATTGCAACATTTGCATCATCTTTTTATGGATTGCCTTTGTATGTGCTATGAATGGGGGATTGTGGGTATGCCATCATGAGACTCACGCTATGTCATGTTTTAGATATCCATCTTCCATCCTCGTCGTACCTATACCAAGGATGCTACCTCTCAACTTGCAACGGATGAAGAAGAAATGGTATCAAGAAATGGAAGAGTGACCAAGTTTGTCATGCAAAATGCAACCAAACGATACAACGACAGCAGCCAAGAACCCGCCGGTACAGCTTCTGAGTATCGTATGCCATCCTACTATATCAATCCCGAATCAAATCCTCCTCAAAGCAGCGTACATGATCCAATGCCCGACCACCATTACCGTGCATGATAAAAAAAAGCTCTTCCTGTCAACGTATAAAAACGCCGTTACACAAACCATTGCGTTGGGCTCTCCCACTGCATACATGCAGCCCAATTTCTTTATTGTGAGACAAGCCTTCTTATGGATATCATATGGTGCATGTTGTTATCTATACGGAAGGTGGGAATAATGAGAAAGAGAGAGGGAGGGAGTCATGGAATGGAGTACTGCTGGTGGGGGTGGCGTGATGAAATTTTCGGATTTGGCATCCTTTGGAAGGTGGACCAAACGACGTCATTTGGCATACACACTCTAATAAATAGGTGTAGGTGGTTGCTAATAAACAAACAGACTTACTTTGTAAGGAGCGTGTGTCAACTGGGGAGGAGATTGATATGTTCATATGACCTCAGTGCACCAATGAGAGCTCTGTACCAAGGGTTGATCATTTTCAAGACTCTATTCTCACACACACACAGCATCACCAGCTATTGAAAGGAATGTGCATAAGCTTTCGTTTCTTTCTATATATATGCCTACGACTCCTTAGTACAAGGAAAGATGTGCGTATTGTGTTGCTGCATGTAGGTATAAGCGCAATGCGTGTGCATTTCTTTTTCTCCTCACGGTAGCACTTTTATGGCATGCAAGGCTGGGTAATGTGGCACTTTTTGATGTCACGACAAGACCATTTTCCAGGAAGCATAAACACTACGTCTGTAATACAAGGAAGGATTTCCTGTATATATAGCAAAGGGGGGGGGAGAGATGGTGGAAGGGGGGATGGTTGGTTGCATACACGTATCGGATTGCTGTTGTTGGCTGGGTATGTATCCATCACAGCGAGTTTATGATGTTGAACCTTTTTTACATGACACCTCCTCGCTTAATGTACAGCGACGTGTGTCTTTCATTTAACAAAACAGCAGGGGAAATGGAGGATTCACCATGATTAAAGAGACCGGGCCATGGTCCGTGCTACTTTTTTTTGGCATGTGTGCACACAAAAGTGGTCAAATGGGGATGATGGGGGAATACACATAACAGGTATGGGCAAATCACCTGTTACGCTTGTATACACACATACACGGGCACTGTAGTACGCAAGTAGGGCACTAGCCGAGGCAACAATAGCAGCAGCATCAGCAGCAGCAGCAGACGCCGATCGTTCGTTTTTGGCGTGTGAGAGTATACTATTGAACCACACGGCTGACTTGGCATTTACCCACTACTATTTTCCGTGTAGTTTTTTTTATATGCACATGATTGATGTGTACAACAAAGTGGTAGGGCCAAGAGGTAGCAGTGTTCAAGAGGGTGTTGTGGGAAAGCAACGCTATGGAGATGGTGGTGATGATGGTGGGGGAGCGGAATTAATTGGTTTCAAGAAGGGGTGGAAGGGCATTAAGCAAGCTACTTGATGATGATGATGATGATGATCCCTTGATATGCTGTAATGGAACCATACCACAGCTATGTTATATAGAAAGTGATCAAGAAGTTGCTTGAATGTGTCAGAAAAGGAGCACCAATCAAGACACACACAACAAGGAGAGGAGGTTTGGACGATGAGCGCCTTTTTCCATCAGGTGTCTTGTTACATGCCTTTCCACGACAACAAAGCATGAACCTTGCATTCCTTTTCCCACTCTTTTTTTCTCTCTCTTTCTCTCCCTCTCTTTAACTTTTTCACTTTGACCTTCCCTCTTTTCTTCTTGATGAGCTCCAGCACACGATAATCATCACTCCCCCCCTCCATATACGTATATATATATACACAAACACAGCTATTTCATTGATATATCAAAGCAGTGACGCAACAAGTAGCATCATCAGCACTCGTTCATAAAAAGTAGATACAACACATGGAATCATCTTCTTCACAACGACAGCAGCAGCAGCCTACGCCGATAAAGCAGCAACCACCTTCCAAAGTCCGGAGTGTGCCTATTCCGCAACCTTTGCTTGTCAAACGCCGTTCCAGTCGAACCTCTCTTTCCTCATGTGACGAATGGGCTGATGCAACCGCTTCATGTCAGTCTCCCAATGTCTTGTCAATGACACCTGCACGTCCCAACCCACCTTCTTCTCACAATTCCTCACTTCAGCCTCCATTGACCACCAAATCGTCATCGCCCAGTCTAATTGCCAAGGCTGTATCCACAGCGAGTCGTAACAATAGTTTGAAAGGGTCCTCAAGCATGAAGCAGCAATCGAATGACTTGACAGTGGTGACACAACAGCTTGCCATGGATGACAAAGGAGCATTGGATGACGGCAGCAACAACAGCAACAGCAGCAGCAGCAGCACCAACAACGTTAGCGTGAGTGGTGGTACGAGATCTCCGCAACACAAGCAACAAGGCAACAAATATGCGAGTCCACCTGTGGGAAGTGCTGGACGTTACAGGCTAAAGACAAAGCATGCTAGTTTGATTGATGCTACTGCAGCTGGTATATCACCATCATCACCTTCAAGTTCACCTACGGGAACAACGAGTAGTTCACCCTCAACACCCCTCTCGGTTCCTGAACGAAGACTCAAGGATGTAACAACTTCAACAACAACAACAACGACATCAACATCCTCTTCACCACGACGATCAGGTTCACTTTCACGTTTAAAAGATGATCCATGGGATTGGCATCATCAACAAAAGATGATATGGCCTCACTCCTTCTCATCATCATCGGGTAGTAGTGGAGCAGGCGAACGTGCAAGAACAGCTTCTATATCTTCCATTGCCACTGAGGATGATTTCCCTTTTTATTATCAACCATTGCAATTACCAAGCACTGCTATCAAAGGTAAATTACCTATTTATTCTCTTTGATGATTGATCCATTCACACTCTTCTTTTTAGGCAAATCAGCAGCTGTTCGTCGTAATAAACAAGGTGCAGATACGACTCATGCACGATCCAATAGTGGCTCCACAGCCGATTCTGATACCAATGACAAGATTCCTGCTTATCGACTCTCTTTACATTCACTCATGCAACGTCAATTATCCAATAAGAGCAACAACAAAGCCAACGATGACGAACATGAATCAACAACCTATTTGGATGCTGACAAGGATGTCGTCGAGATGGATCTTGATGCGATTAATCACAACAACAACAACAACAATGAAGCGAGCAGCTATGATCCTTGCATTGCATATGACGGCGGAAATGGGATGGATGGAGCATTCGAGAATCTATCACCCTTGTATCCAGCGCTGGTATTGGCAGCCAACAGTTACAGTTGCTTTGGATCAGATTCGGTGCAACATGTTTTACGACGTGATTTGAATGATGACACTACTATGCTACGTAACATGGCTACGTTTGGAGAGAATGACATTGATCATCAGCGATTTGAAGGTAAAATACATATACACCAAGACGGATGTATCGCTCAACTAGCTGTTTTTATGTAGATGACATGTTCGCCAAACGATTGTACATTGCACGCATGACCAAGTTACAAAGATGGAAGCATACAGGCACCGGGGAAATGCCCAAACTCCCATCATCATCATTACCACCGCCACCAGTATCCTCGATCCCTATGACTTATTGTCGATCCGCTACTGCCACGTTGATCAATCCTCATCATCACCCTACAACTGATTGGACAATGCAACATCCCCTTGACTTGGATGAGATGCCATGGACCGATTGGACTACCTATCTTGTGCTGGATGATTATCAACCATGTACACGTGACCTGATATTGCATAAGCTATTACCTTGGTGGGGTAATGTGAATGCCAACGTCAAGCAGTATGCCGAACGACAACGTCAAGTGGCGTTTCATAACAACAACCATCGACGACATTGGCCTGGCAATGAAAAATCATCTACAGATTCAACATTACGACGAAGGAAACAACGTAGCTTATCGGTGGATGTCACTGATCTCGCACGACGACTCACATTATTAGGCGGCAATGGAGGAGGAGGAGGAGGAGGAGGACCACCACTACCTACAGCCAATAGCAATGTGACATCTCCAATGGTGATCCCCACTTCAAAAGAAGAACGTTCAGGATCACTTGTATCAACAACTTCAGTTTTATCCACATCGACGTGTGCTACAGTGGGATCACCTTTGCGACAATGTTTTCGTCCTCCTTCTTATTCAAATGATGATGGGGGTCATCCTAGCTTGAAACCTAATTCGGCATCTCCAGCAGCAGCAGACATGGCAATGGGTGGTAGCGGATTCAGCTATCAGACCGAGTATCTACGCACATCGGGTGATCTTTTTGGTGTTCCTGATCGTGCTTCAGAGGACAAGGCTGCAGTCAGAGCTCGTCAAAGTATCAAATCACGATTGCAATGTGCCAAATCCATGTGTGACAATATCCTACTCAACGTGATGCATGAATTGAATCTGTTTGTGGAAGAAGGATTGCGCTATGGTGATGCCGAACAAGCACTTCAAGATAATGACGATGAGGATGATGATGAGATTAAAGAGGATGATGAAGAAGAAACCATGGATACCTCCTCAGCAATGATGAGCGATACAATGCTATTACACGATATGCAGCAGCAGCAAGAGAACGATCAACATCATCATCATGCTATGAACACGGCTTCTGATCCTATCAATACACCAGCTCTTGCCATGATTGCAGAAGATAGCTATTCACCTACGCCCTTCATCTTGACATTGCAAGAGTTGGTGGGCCTGGCACAAAAGATTCTCAGCACGCCATTGGACGTATTCTTGAGTGAACCACAAAAATATACGGCATTGGTGCAGAGTATACAAAGCTTGGGCGTTGAATGGGAGCAACATCTTGAATGGCCTTGTCGAAAGTTGTACGTGCGTTTGTTGGTTGGTGTGGCAGCATTCAACCGAGCAATTGAATGGTGGGAAGCCGAGCGTCGATTTTGGTCTGCAGCATGGCCAAATAGTACTACGCCATCCGAGCAACAGGATCATGAACGTGCCATCAATAGCAAAGAGGATGATATGGATTTGTTTACCAGCAACAACAACAACAACAATTCAACCAATGTGCCTTCATCACGATGCTCATCAACTGCACCTGTGGATTTGGAAGAGGAGGGAGATATTAGAAATGATGGGGATTCCGAAGGCGAGGAGGATCAGCAATCATCAGAGAGCGAAATGAATCTCAAGCAGTTGCAAGAGGCTATTGATCGTGGACAAATGCATACTATCGTTATGGAAATTGGACTTGATGCCGATACGATCCAATACATCAGTCCAATATGGCACAATGTCACAGGGTAAGTTATACTTTATAATAAAAATGATGCACATTATGCTAACTATGAGTTAATCAGGATGGATATCGATCGAGTGATTGGGACCAAGATCTCACGCATGCTTGCAGAAGAAGACATGGATGTATTTGAAGCTGCAACTTCCGAATTACTTGACGATGATTCAAGGACGGTGGAGATCCAGTTTACAGTGATACGGCAGGATCAATCAGCAGCCAACGTTATCCTTGAAGGCAAAGGAATGCTTATGCATGACCACGTGACTGGAGAACCAAGCCATACTATGTGGGCGGTGAAACCAAGAGGATCATCATCATCCATGAATGACACCACAGCCGAACAACAATCAGCATCCACATCAGCGTTTTCGAGAGAAAGCATTATCTTCGGTGGTGGTGATGAACAACAGAATTCTTGTGCAACAATAAGCAATACTCGTAGCCGGTCGCATTCGGAGCCTGCTTCCGAGATGAAGGAGGAAGGCGAGGATTCAGCAATGGCCATGCGACGAGCTATTTCCCATGGTGGTGTACCTGTGTCAGAAAGCCTCCTTGCATCGCCATCGTGCCTTTTGGAATTACCCCCAGTGTTATGTCATATTTGCGAACGTTGGGTGGTGGTAGCCTTTTTTGAACAACATGCCGAATTATGTGTTGAGGTACATCGGACCGAAATGGATGTGATTATCTGCAATGACAATCTCAAGGAGGCAACCTATCACGTTCAGCAATTGCTTGAAGCGCTTGAATCACCTGATAATGGACCTACAGCGGCGGACATCAAAGAGGAGGAGAAGAACAATGAAAGCAGTGATTCCATCTTTGGTGATTGTTTACCTGTTGAGGAACAAGACCCACTTGAATTGCAAGAATCAGAACGTGCCGTGTACAAGAGTCTATTGGAGATCTTGGACGTTGCATTTGGTATCCCAACCCCGGGTACAGATGAATTTGATCAAGATCAAAAATGGCGTGACGCTATGATTGAAATCCTTTATTGGCGACCACCTCATGTGGATGATTCAGAATTGACTTCCTTGATACGAGATGTGGAGGCATTAACGAAGGCCAAGGTAGAAGCTGTCAATCGCATGCAGGATCGTTTGGATTATAACGAACGTGTACGTGCTGAATACCAAGGTCGAATGAATGAGCGTGAGGGGTGGACCGAATTTGTATCAGAGGAAGGCACAGCTATTACAAGTGGAGATAGCAACAACGCCACCAACACCACCGCAAAGCAACAACAAAATGAGGCGTCGGATAAACCTATCAAAGAAAAAGCTGTCAAAAAGTCTTTGATTGGTCGTTTCAAGCAGTGGAAATCAAAGAGCGTGAGTCGACTTACACGCAGGCAACAGCAGCGAAAACGAAAGGCCAAGACAAGACACACACCGCCATCTTCATCATCATCATCAGGCTATCGTCAGCAGCAGCAGCAGCAGCATAATCGACAACAAAATCAATTACAGACCCCTACACGCTTGGATGTGAACAACAACCCATCAAAGGTCAAATCAGAAGCTTTGGGGCGATCACCAACATCACCATTACCAGCACCCATTACACCACGGCCTAGTCTTCCAAGCATCACTGATTTTGATATCATCAAACCTATCAGCAAAGGTGCATTTGGATCGGTATTCTTGGCCAAGAAGAGAACAACGGGCGATTACTATGCGATCAAGTTTCTCAAAAAGTCTGATATGATCGCCAAGAATCAAGTGACCAATGTCAAATCGGAGCGAATGATCTTGATGACACAAACCGATAGTCCTTTTGTGACCAAGCTTTACTACACATTTCAATCCAAGGACTATCTATACCTTGTGCTCGAGTACTTGAATGGCGGGGATTGTTCAGCACTGATCAAAATGTTGGGTGGATTACCACACGAATGGGCGCGTAATTATCTTGCCGAGGTCACATTGGGATTGGCATACTTGCATAGCAACAACATTGTTCACAGGTAAGAGAAAAAAAAGTAAAGAGATTGAAGACAACGATATTAACATGGACAAATACAGAGATCTGAAACCAGACAATTTGTTGATTGATCAAAAGGGCCATATCAAGCTGACAGACTTTGGATTATCGCGCATTGGCTTTTTGGATCGACGTGTTCGGGATGAATTATCCAGCAGCAACAGCACCTTTGAACATCCCCAACCACATTCACCCGCTCCTTCACGATCAGGCACACCACCTCAATCACCAGCTGTATTGGATGATGGCACATTATCAGCCAACCTTTATCGCCCATCGTACTTTAATTTGCTCTTTGATCGTGAACGTCGACGTGGATCGATGGCTAGCAGTGCAACATCAGGCGATGGATCAAGTACACCTGTTACCGATTTCACGCCATCCCTTACACGATGCGACACTGGAAGTACACAGCCACAACAAAGACATCGATCCAGCACAGGCTATTCAAGTAACTTTGGTGGAATTGCAACACCTGGCATCATCACACCCGGCTATATGCATCCTGAACGCATGCGTAGACAAGAAGCATCCACAGTGGGTGCTGTTGGTACTCCTGATTATCTTGCCCCTGAAAGCATTCTTGGTACAAAGCAAGATGCAAGAGTGGATTGGGTAAGTTGGTTTTTTTGCATATCAGCTTTTTTTCTATGTCACTAACACGTATGAAAATATAGTGGGCGTTGGGAGTGATATGCTACGAATTCATATATGGATTTCCACCTTTTCATGCTGAAACAGCCGACAAGGTTTTCGAAAACATCCTCTCGCGACGTATCGAATGGCATGAAGATGTCATTGAATTGCCAGCTGAGACACGTGATTTCATCGAGCGATTATTGAGCGTTGATCCTGAAAAGCGGTTGGGTAGCAACGGAGCTGAAGAAGTCAAAGGCCATCCATTTTTCAAGGACATTGAATGGGACACGCTTTTATCACAATCACCATCATTTGTACCCAATCCTGTGAATGCGGAGGATACTGATTATTTTGATGCACGTGGTGCTGTGATGATTGATCCGGAGATGAAGGATATGGGTGGAAGAGAAGAGTTGACATGTGCTGCCAAGGAACAGGTGGAACGAGCCAAAGCGATCATCCAAGAACAGAATCCAGAGAAGCTGACATCCATTGGCGGCAACCATATTAATGCAAAAAGTGGTGGTCAATCTGTTGGGGAAGCTGATTTATCCATGTATCGCGATGATTTTGGGACATTCGTGTACAAGAACCTGCCCATGTTGGAGAAGGCCAATGAGAGTGCGATTAGGAAGATCAGGCAAGATAGCATTGCTGTTGGTGGTAATGGTGGTCGATCGTTGCCAGCCATTCTTTCTCGCAAAAAAGGACTTGGAAAAAGGGGATCAATTTTCGATTTGGATCTACAGCAACAGCAACCACAGCAACGGCAATCAATTTCATTCCCCAACACACCTCATAGTCTATCGCCATCAAGTTCTGCCAAAGTGACACCACGTAAATCAGTTGATCATCCACCGCCTCCTCCACCGCCTCCACCATCAACATCCTCTCTTCCAGCATCATCTCAACCACTTATGATTAAAAAGTCGTCATGGTTACCACATCGAGCAAGATCAGCTTCATCACCAGGCGGTGGTAAATCCAATGCTTCTTTACGAAAACAACAACATCAATCATTATCTGAAAGTTATCCCACTCCTCCACTTGAAGAACAACAACAACAATTCTCATCTCCAACCATGGTCGCATCTACCACCACTACCGATATGAGCGACCTGATATTCTCTATTGCAGATCCACCTCCAGCACCTCATCCACTGGAAAAGTCGATACCACTACCACCTTCATCTTCATCATCAACATCAGCCAACAACGCACCACGTAAAACACTGGATTGCTTGGTGGCCGATGACAATCCCATCAATTGCAAGATTCTCGAGACGATCCTGACCATGCTGGGTTGTCGTTGTGTGATTGTACGTAATGGAGCTCAAGCTATTCGATGTGCCATGGGTGACGATGTGCAATTTGATCTCATCTTTATGGATATTCGTATGCCAATCAGTAAGTGTAATTTGAGGCGGTATCATTATTTCTCTCTCTCGTTCTCTCTCTCACACTCTCTCTTCTTCTTTCTAGTCGATGGTGAAACAGCTTCACGAATGATCAAATCTACACAAAACATCAATCAGCAGACGCCCATTATTGCAGTGACAGCCTACGAGCGATCAGCACAACATGCAGGTTCTTTTGACGACATCCTCTTGAAGCCTTTGAATCAATCCATGGTATTACAACAACTTCGTCAATTTTATCCATCCACCCGTAGCCGAAAACCATCATCCGTTTTTTCATCATCCTCACTTGCAGCAATCAAAAGCAAAAGCCTAAAAGCTTAATGTTCATTCTCATCTTTACGACCATCAACCCACATTCACCACCACCTTTGCAAACTCGTTATTATTCATCATATACGCACACCAATTCATCTACATAATAGAAATCCACATCCCACTTTTCTCTCTCTCTCTCTCGCACACACACACACACACCCATCATCCTGTAAATGATCAGTCTTCTTGTTAATCAACTATTTCATTTATGCCGTCGTTGTAACGTGCAAATCAAATCAAATCGTGACTTTGGCAAGGGATGTTGTGTCTAGCTAAACATGTCTATAATCGTATCTCCTTTATCGATCCTTGAGTAGAACTTTGATTAAATGTCCATGTGCAAAGGAATCCTACATGTCGAGAGAGCCAACATCTATCAAGCGCAACACACCAAACACCTTGTCCTTGTCCTTGTCCTTGTGGATTGTTACCATAGCAACATGACAATGTCACAAACACAGCAGTACACACACAGACATATTGCATCCATAATCATCAACACAGGTGTACGTAACGCAGTTGAACTTGCCCTACACAACAAACAACAAATAATGCTGCAAGGGGAGATACAACATGGAAAACATTTATAGTCGCACACAACGATTGACAGGTGACACACACAACCAATAAGCAAAGTGAAGCGCACTAATGTGAAAAAGATGTCTGTATAGGCCTGTAACTCCCCCTGATTCTTGAAAGGAAAAGGGCACTTTAGCTTCTAAGAGCACAATTAAAACAAAAGGATACCGCATGTTGAATCATGCATACATAGATCAGGCAATTATTAATACCTCCTAATCCTTATGGATGGCTTTTATCATATATCACAAATTGAACGAAACACGATACGTAATAAAGTAAGATGCAAAAGGCTGTTTATTTCAACAAGGGACGGTAGTAGTAAAAGGGCTACCGTATATTAAGAAGAAAAGATTCTTTTTCTACTACATATAAATGTCGATGAATGCAAGAAAGGGCGCTTGAAAGTCGCAAAAGAAAAGGTAAAAAGTAGAAGCAAAGGGGATAAAGAAGAATGAAGTGGGAATAAAAAAATGAATCAAAAGATGTCGCGCCAATCAAGGAATGGATGAACCCATTTAATCATCTTGGACTTGAACGTTCTCGGATTCATGGGCCACATCAGACAAAGCGGAGAGGTTGTTGGCAGCATTAACAGCAACGGGACCGCTAGCACTAGAGCCATCATGGGCGTTGTTGATTTGAGTGCCAGTATCACGACGATCGTTTTGGACTTGGACATTCTTGCTACCCTTGCGAACGTTGCTCAAAGCAGAAAGATCATTGAGAGCATTGGCAGCAATGACACCATTGGCAGTGGAGCCTTGACCAGCGTTGTTGACTTGGGTGCCACGATCACGACGATCATGTTGGACTTGAAGGTTCTCGGATTCATGGGCCACATCAGCCAAAAGGGAGAGGTCGTTGGCAGCATTAACAGCAACGGGACCGCTAGCACTAGAGCCATCATGGGCATTGTTGACTTGGATGTCTTCATCATCATCATCACCGAAGGGGTAGTCGCGACGATCGTTTTGGACTTGAACATTCTTGCTACCCTTGCGGACGTTGCTCAAAGCAGAAAGATCATTGAGAGCATTGGCAGCAATGACACCATTGGCACTTGAGCCTTGGCCAGCGTTGTTGACTTGGGTGCCACGATCACGACGATCATATTGGACTTGGGTATTTCCGGTCTCATGATCCACCTGAGACAAAAGAGAAAGATCATTGAGAAGGTTGGCAGCAATGACGCCTGAAGCAGAAGAACCATCATGGGCATTGTTGACTTGAGTGTAGCGATCATCATCATCATCATCACCGAAGGGGAAATCACGACGATCGTTTTGGACTTGGACATTCTTGCTACCCTTGCGGACGTTGCTCAAAGCAGAAAGATCATTGAGAGCATTGGCAGCAATGACACCACTGGCACTTGAGCCTGTACCAGCGTTGTTGACTTGGGTACCAGTGTCACGACGATCATGTTGGACTTGAACATTCTTGCTGCCCTTTTGGACGTTGCTCAAAACAGAGGCATCGTTGAGGGCATTGATACCAATGACACCGTTAGCACTGGATCCTTGGCCAGCATTGTTGACTTGAGTGCCACGATCACGACGATCATGTTGGACTTGGACGTTCTTGTTTGTCTTGTGGACGTTGCTCAAAACAGAGGCATCATTGAGAGCATTGACACCAACGACACCGTTAGCACTGGAGCCATTGCCGCTGTTGTTGACTTGGGTACCACGATCACGACGATCATGTTGGACTTGGGTACTTCCGGTTTGATGCTTCACATTAGATAAAGCGGAGAGATTATTGAGAAGGTTGGCAGCAACGACACCTTTGGCAGAAGAACCATCTTGGGCGTTGTTGACTTGGGTACCGGTATCACGACGAGTGTTTTGGACCTGAGTATTGGCGAGCTCATGGTAGACTTGAGCCAAAACAGAGGCATCATTGAGAGCATTAGCAGCAATGACACCTTCAGCATGAGAACCATCTTGTGCGTTGTTGATTTGAGAACCGGTATCACGACGAGTGTTTTGGACCTGAGTGCTCTGGGCTCCCTTGCTAACATCGGACAAGAGAGAAAGATCGTTGAGAGCATTAACAGCAACCTAAATGAGTGATGCTATATTAGAATCGATAATATTCATACAAGGATGCGTGCAAAAACCGAAACTTACGGGGCCATTAGCGCTAGAGCCAGTGTGGGCATTGTTAACTTGGGTGTTATGATCGTCACCACCATGGGGGAAAACGTTGTCGTTAATGGTATGAGGACCACCAAGAGATGTGGTATCGGATCCAGGCATACCGCAAGGAGCAGCGTTAACAGATGAAGCGGCGTAGAGCGCGGCAATGGCGAATGAGATGGAGAACTTCATTTTTTTTTGTATATAGAAGAGATTAGATGGGTGATTAGAAGAGAAGATGTGGTGATGAGTGATCGTAATGGCTTCTCCTTTGGCCGTCCTTTTATATTCTTCATCGAGCTCGATGGATGCTGCAATGGCTCAATCAATCTCTCTCTCTCCGTAAGTCTTGCATGACAATCTCCTTTTTGCGTTTTTGCCTCCTTCGGATGATGCAGTGTGTGTATGTGCAGGAACACAATTTTTGCTCACTCACGTCAAGCATCACTCCTTTTCGGTTATGCTTCCGTATACTTTGCTGTGACCCACCTGCTATTTCGGGCCCATACCTTGTTTGAGACTGCTTCTCTATTCTCATTTGCCATCATACCTAACCCCCTTAAAGCATCCTCACTCCTATCCAATAAGTACCACACAATCAAAACAAGGCCGAATGTAGGCCATAAGATGACAATCTAATACTTTAATTGCTCCCTTTAGCAATAGAGTACTGAATGCGTACGATATTATTTGCTCATCTACATTGCTCCTATTTCTCAAGATAAAGCGCGGTCTTTTTGTTTCGCGTAATGTTTTGCTTTGTAGTTTGCACGCGGCATAATGTGTGTGCTACGTATGTTTGTACGAGTGCTACATGCTCGTTTTGGCTCCCGCCATCGTTGCCAATGGTACCATGATAGTGCATGTCGTATGCAAGTTGTGTGGTGAATGGGCTATCCTGTCATCAACATCAACAGCCCTCCCGTCTTTTTCGTGCGTTTCCATGATTTCCGCTTTGTTTTGAAAAAGCTATGCAAGGGGCACATACACCTGATGGCTAACGCTCCAGGGATAAGTTTTTTTTTCTTTTCTTCTAAAGATGCATTCACATAGTTGGCACTCTAAGCGATATTATGCTCCAACTACCAACCCCTTTCACCAAAACACTTAAGCACATTACCCCCGTGTCGCAGTAAGCGTTTGTTCACTTACAAGTCGATCTGCTCTGTTTTTTTTTCTTCCACCGCCATCATTCTCTCCTATCATGTCGTTTTTCTTTTGCCTGCACATTACACCATTTTTCCATGACTCGCGTCGTTTTGCATGTATAGCATGCATATACAAGCTTACCCCTCGTATTCTCCTTTTTGTTGTTCCCCTTTCACTTTCCCCCCTATTGATACGTCTACGAATTGAGATCTGGCCACGTACAGAAGCTTCCTCATAACCCCCTCGACGACGGGGAAAAGGGGGCAAAGCGAAAAAACCAAATGTACACAATGAGCGACTACACAACCACAACCACACTGTGTACGTATGTAGCAGCAGCCACAAGCACATTCCAACCCAAATTTTTCCTCTCAATCTCTCCAAACAATCGTAAGCGACCGAACAATGTGCAGCGTAAAGAAAAAATGTGAATGTGTGTATGTGTGTGTGATGTACGTGTCATGTAGGTATCCATCAATTTGACTTTATAGATCTCACGTGTCAAAAAATTATAGCTGTGATGATGATGATGATGATGAATGGGTAGAATTGTTCCGATCATTTGACCACCGAGGTTGGGTTGTGTAAACATTCTCAAGCTTGTGCTTGTGCGTATTGTTATTGCGCAATGCGGCGGTTATCGTTTTTCAGCTCAAGGCGATGGCGTATCTTGACAGCTGCAGTTGCCGTGACAACGTCGGGTATCTACTACAAGCAGCATTGCGGATTGAATCGACCGTCGCCAAGGGAACATGACAACCAACAAGTGGAAGAGAGCATGGTGGGCGACCAAGTAGCTCATTCACATACAAAGCACCCTTTGATATTTCAGTGGTCAAGTTTGCCAAAGTTTATTGAAAAACGTTATGATCCTCAGTGGCAAGGAGAAAACGGATGGTTATGGCGTGCTGGAAGTACTCTCGTTGTCGGTGGTGTTGGCATGGTTTCGAAGGTTGTCCTCAAGTATCTGGAATACACACGTGTCTATAATCTTGACAAGTTTATGGCGATTGTGGATCAGGAGCATCGTGATCGTGCGTTGATTACAGGTTAAGTTTTAAGGGTAGGATGGGTTTTTTTCATTGAGGTATACGTTATTGATAATGATGATGCTATAGTGTCAAATCACGAATCGGTGTGGGACGATCCTGTATTGTGGGGTGTACTACCTGTGGAGACCTTGTTTACTATTGACAAGATGCGTTGGGTTCTTGGTGCAGCTGACATTTGCTTTACAACACTGTAAGATCCCTCTTTTTTTCCTGCATTGTATTATCTTGGCAGCCACAGATCTAACATGGACGCACACATTCCCAATGTATAGGCCAAGGTCGATCTTTTTTTCACTTGGACAAGCTATTCCCACGATTCGAGGAAGCGGGATCTACCAACCTGCTGTTGATTATGCGATTCACAAGGCCAACCAAAATGGGTGGATCCACATTTTTCCCGAAGCCCGCGTGAACCAAAGTGATGCAATGATTCGTTTCAAATGGGGTGTTGGTCGAATCGTCATGGAATCGGAACGATGCCCGATTGTGATACCCGTATGGCATAATGGTAAGATATTTTCAATCTTTTTCTGTGTTAATTACGGGTGATGATGACTTTTTTGGGAGAAGCATGGTTAAAAGATGTGGGGGACGTGTGTGAGCAAGGGGGTAGAAATGGGATCTGGGAGCACGGGTGTCGATAGGAGTCAGGGGTTATACTTTGGAAAGGGCATATTGGTTTATGATGAACGCACACAATTTCGATGCAAGGGCAAAATGCAAAGGAAAAATGAGGAGATACATTACAATGGATAGATTGTGCGCGTCTTTCGATAAGGTAAGTATGGAGGATATGGTTTATCGAGCATGAAGGATGAGATGGTGTGTGTATATGGATGGTATGGATGGCTAGGGATTATTACCCCCCACATGAGAAAGAGAGGTGTTGGTTGATCTTGAGCTTTTTTCCTTTTCTCCGCTGTGCGCGTGTCATCTCTCCTTGCATCCCTTTCCAAAAGGAATGGCACAAGTGAGACCACTACATGGCCCACCGGTGAGATTTTTTCAGCCCGTAACATTGGCGTTTGGTGATCCTATCGATTTTCAAGAAACCTTGGATGCATGGCGTGCAGGCGAGCTTACTGAAACTGAAGCAAGAATCCGCATCACATCCACAATCTTCAACGCACTCGCCGAGCTAAAGAAAAAAACCGAGTCCATGATGCAAGATTTGACATCGGGTCACGAAAGGGATGATGCTGTCAAGCCATAAATTTTAGGAGGAGCACAGGGTGCGATGTATAGTTTCATGCTGTATATAGAGAGGAGATTTAAAATGATAACAAAGACAATAGACTAATACACGTGATACAGGGGAGTCAATTAGGCATCATTATTATGGGTCTTCGGTAAAGGACGTGAAAGAGGAGGGGGATGAAGTGGTGGTTGTTGAATGAGATGTGTTGGGATCTTGTATTAAGACCGATCGACGTGGTGACTGGGAGGCTATTAAGGAGGATGCAAATGGCTGTTCTTCATGCTGAGATGCTATAGTAGGTTGTGTATGTTGTTGCTGGTGTTGTTGTTGCCCAAAAGCCAAATGCTGATTATGATTGCGTCCCCTGTAATTTGGTCTCCTCCAGCAACTACCATAACCATAACACCCACCGAGAAGGATCATTAAGAGTCTTGAGAGGTGAATACCAAGGTAAACGGCAAACACAACAAAATGGAGGACCACTTGAGTATAGGCTACGTACTGCTTTTGGCGATCAGTGAGTGCAATTGATGCCAAGAACAAAACATTAAGAGCATCAACGATGGATCTGACAGCTGCTGTAAGCACAGCTAGAAAATTCGCTACACGATCGACATAAGGTGAAAGCGTGGCGTAAAGTGCGAGCATGGCAATGTCCATTATCAGCAATACGCCTGTTTGAGCCTCCCCACTCATTTGAAATAAGCCAATCATGCCACCTAATAGCAATCGATGTAGCTGTACAATAATAAAAAAGTAAAATGTGTCCCTTCGCAATGGCGTGTACAATTGACCATAACGTAACAAGAAGCTTGGATCGGATGATGTGCCATGGCGTTGTGTCACAAGGATTACAATGCGGCTGTAGACTCCGAACAATACACCAGCTAGCATGAATGACGATAACGCTGTCAGATACCATGGGCCAGGCACCATCAGTTGGTAAAACGAGAGTGCTGTCAATGGGAGGTATGCGATTGTCGTCAATTGAATGATCCAACCTAATAGTGGTAATCGATGTCAATACATCTTGGTATGTCTTTTTTGACATGTGGGTAAACATGCGACGCACTCCACAATTCTAAACCCTTTTACCAATACACACGCTACCAAGCTTTCTTCGATTTCCACTGAATCGGTAGGGATTTGATACGGCGAGGATCTCATAGCATATCCAAATTGTAAGGCATATCAATACAAGGACGACAAGGCATATGCCAAAGAATAAAATACTTGTAAGAAACAAAGCTCGAAGGTCGATCTCCATAACATTTGCAAGATGGGTCAAGTTGGTTGATGCTGCCACACCCACGTCTTTTGCATCGGGATCAAGAATGTGATGTAACCACGATGGCGAGAACAATAGCCAGCTCCATGCAAAGTTAGCAGTAAAGAGCGCATAAAATTGTGGATACGCAAGATTGAGTGTGCCAGCTGCGAAAACAAATTGGGCGTAGGCTATGGCATCGTCCATTGTGATTCCTGATGATTGGATCACCATCACGGCAACGAAGAAATCGTAGTAGCGGCTACCATCGCTGAATGATAATATCGCAAGCAGTGTGACAAATGCAGCAAGCGCAATTAGACTCAATGGCATATATAGGAACACCTTTTGCCATTCATGATTTATGTATCCCACCGGTGCTACTTCCACGCAAACCACTGGGGTCGATCCTTCCATCATTAACTCGTATCGTGCACCAATGTCTAGTAATGGAAACGATATTTGCATTGTCGAGAAATTCTTTCGAGGATGTGAGTTGCACGTAAATCGAATACGTGTATAAAAGAGGCTACCTTTTCAAGTTGAATCAAGCCATGTTGAATACAGTTTTCACAGCTGAATTGATTATGGTATACTGTAGGCCAAAATCCAACATCCAGTGCAAATGTCTCCATGGCATAGGCTATTGTTACATGCATGCGTATCATGATGCACAAATGCAGCATTCATCCATTCCAACATTAATCCAATGGCCTTGTATATAGACGCAATATCTACATCTTCTTCCCATTTGTATGTACCTACTTTCAACGGGTGGATAAGTGATGCCGGGCACATAGCCCTCAATGAGTAATTGGTAAGTTTGGGCATGTCGATCGTATTGGCGGGAGATTTGTGTGACGTTGATCAAGGCGTCTGCCACGCAGTTTGTGAATTGTGTCGATCCATATGACGAGCCGTCCAAGAGCCTGCTAGTTGGCAACAACGACATGGATGATAAAACAAAGGAAAAAAGACATTGAGCGACTCATCATGCAAAAATCATTAATGTGCAAGTGATGGAGAGAGAGAAAAAGCGTGGGGTTCTTTAATGCTTCATGACGTAAAGAGTATCGAAAAGTGAACTAGAGAATGATAACAAGGCATAATAGCTTCCTATTGTTGTTGTTGATGATGTTGCTTTTCTTGCAAGAATGGGCATTCGTTTGCCTGCTTGCCGGTCATGACGGGATTATCATCCTTGTCAAACTGCATTTCAGCGCCACCAGCTACACTTTGATGAAGCTTGTTGGCCATTTCTGCAAGCTCTACTTTTTGAGTTGAAGGTGGAGCCTATTTGGGTATGGATACACATGTTAGCTATCATCGGCGACAATAACAGCAGCCATCTACTTGCATGTTGAAGCTGGTCAACGGCTTGTTCAAGAATAGCTTTAGGATTGTGTTGGTCCATGATCAAAGAGTGGGGGCGAAAAAGAAAAGAGAAACAAAGATCCCAATCATTGCTGATTGCTATCGCAAATAAAAATCGCGCTTTTTTTCTCTCTATGAGCGACTTAGTACGTGTGTGCGTGTGTGCACATTATGGGTGAAATGGGTGCGATTCGGCATAAATAAGAGCGTCTTTCCAGCATCATCGTCTCAGGTGCTTATCCATTTTTGGGTTCATACCCACAGATTCTAGATACTGGTACCACCAATGGCTCAAAAACCCATGCTCTTTATTATTACATAGCATCGTTTTGCATGACACGTTCTACCCAATACCCTTGAGACTCGGAGAGATTATTATCATTTCTTGTCGGATATTTCACCCTTGAAGAGTAAGCGAAAACAACAAAGCCATTGAGCTAAACCTTATGGAACTAGAATGAGCTTGGCTTAGCAACATCATCACAACAAAAATAGGGGGAATGTTTCAAAGCATGAGAGAGAGAGAGATCAATAATGAATTATGCCGCCGACATAACACACCACACACGTGTCCACCAAGGGCACTGCCAACCCCTTAGAAATCCCCGAATCCTTAGATGATGGGTATCACACCCGAGTCTGCTTTGCAAGATGATAGCACAAGAATACACATAGCTCATCAACATTGATAAAGATCCATTCACTTTGAACTTCTTGAGGGATTTTTATTCTTGGGAAGGAAAACAACGGCGATCGAGTGATGAATGGTGGCAATGGGGAGTGGGCAGATTGGGCACTACACGATTAGGGAATTGGCGTCTTTCCAAGATAAGATCATGTATGATGGGTCGAAAGCAGTTGTAAGCAGGGGAAAGGAGGGCGGCTGAAGAAAGAGGGGGGGCTTTCTTTGTATGTATGCGGCGGGGATGTATCATAAACCCTTCACTACATCATTATTGTTGCCACCCAATCTACCTTCAAAAGATAATCGTACGGGATAGAAATCATGTAAGGGGTGTTGTTGGGAAAAAAGGGATGATCTGACAGCAGCGAGAAAACGAACGACGTAAGGTAGATCCTGAAAGCTGCAGTGTGATTATGCACCAGTCTCCCCATGTCTCTTTTTTACCATCACAGCTACTATTATTACCCTGCTCCTAAATGCATACGTTTCGTTGTCAAACCTGTTCTCGACTCGATTTGTTTGTTTTCTTTTCCCCTTCTCTTTTACGATACTGCTTTGTTTTTTATACGGGTGACCATCATCATCTGCATTGCATGTACCCCGTGATGATGATTTTGCCATCATTGACTGCTTGAAGCCCGGGGTACACGCTTGTCAAGCTTGAAGCCATCGATCAATACATATCACTTTCACAAAAATATGGGAGATGATGTGAGAAAGAAGACCCTTAGGTCGTTTGTAAACAAGATAGCACATGTGCATCCCTTTTTGCACCCCTCCAGCAGGAGGCTTTTGACCGCCTTATTTTTCCATGTATGCTGTTGTTGGCTAAGTTCGCTGATCCATGTCCCGGGCAAACCGACGCTGTAGATGTACATACGATAGTTAGGAATAAAGACGCCTATACGGCTCTTTGGCATGTGAAGACTTGAAGGCACTAAGCAATGTATATGACATCTCCTTGTTTCAATGGATCAATCCATCCTTTATATACAATAGTTACCATATCGCGTACGACAATTAATATCTCTTCTATAATCCTGGTCACATTTTGACCCCTCGAATTAAGTTGCAGAATGGTGAATGTTGTACCTACCGAGGAAGAGTATGTGCAACTCTCCCAATTCCACTGCTTTATCCTTAATAGATGAGGACCCATGACAGCCAATTTAGAGAAAGTAGGCTTATACTATATGTTGGTCTCCATGAAACTATATCACAAAGTGTTCCTACTCGAAAATTGTGCGTGCCTTAAACAAGGTACCGTTGAAAAAAGAATCAAGATGCATAGCTTATCATTATGGTAGTGGATCAGGCATATAATAAAGAAGGGAGAGTAGCATAATCCAATTTTCGTATCATGGACAATAATTTCTCATTCAAGGAAAGAGCCTTTGCTTGAGGAAAACAGGCAATGTGAATCAACTTGAAGCTTGCTTGGTATCAGCGTTCTTTCATGCCGAGAACAATTACTCTGGATGCTATGTACGTCGTTGTATGTACCACTCTATGACGCCTCCAATGTACAATAGGTGCATAGTACAGTAACCGATTTTTATTTTATGTACATGATGGGGCCACTTCTCATAATATAGATGACTATGACACCTTGGGTAAATTACAATTTCCATATGTTACGAGTGATATCCAAAGATCCCAAAGAAGCAAATGAGGCATAGGAACTGCCTACTGAATATATTTTGACGTGTGTAAGAAAAGGTGGAAGATGTCACCACGGCACACTACATCTGCTTTATTGTGTGTAAGGTGAGGTGTTATGATTATGACTAATTATGGTGATTGTAAGAAAGTGATGGCGTGCTCAAGGTTCCTAAAGCACAAAGAAAGGTCTTCCCTTGGCCTCATTATTCAGATACCTAATGACAGAGGTGAGCTCATTGTGTCGATTTGTACCAAGATCACGTGATGATCCCTACTTACAGCCATCCCGTTGTTCTGGAATATGACATGCATGCAAGACCATGGTAACTTGATACATTCTTCATCTCGTTATCCTCAAAGCATCATCCTCAAGCAATGTGTCACCGTGACTTGGAGCACCAGAAGAGCAAAGTATCAAAGTGTGAGTGAGTGTGTGTGTGTGTGTGCGTGCGTCGGTGAATAAGGAAAGGACCTTTTGGGCTGGATATCAATCAAGCAAGCGCTTTTATCTCTTGTTTTCCTTCACATACAACACCCCCCCACACCATGGGCGATTCTGATCCATTCGAATGTCGGTTGACGTTTCTCTCGCTATTGGAAAAGTTGAATGCGTCGCAGCAATCGATTACAAAGGTCGCCAATTACGCTGTGAGACACAGAAAAGTAGCTGAAGATCTATACCGTTGTCTGGTGGATGAGTTGGAACAGGTAATTGTCTTTCTTTTTTCTGGAGGTTGGGTGTGCTGCATGCATATGAGTCGGTCAGTTACGTCGCCTGGCTTGTGTGTTTGAAGGAGCACGTCTTACCATGTGTGTGGAAAAGAGGTTCGGCTTCAAGACGTCTATACGACTTTGCATTCTCATCAACGCCATAATACACATCACCATCACGCATCACCATCAATCATTATCACCATCATTGTCATTACCTTTGAATTGCACCCCTTACTTAGTACATCATATTCCAATTTCAATATTCTATAATACACGACACACAAACACACTCACTCACACGCTCAAAACACGCAAACGCTCACACACACGAGAGAGGGGATGGATGGGACAGGGGTTAAAGATGCTATGCGAATTAGCAGCATGATGTTGATACTTGTCTTCTTTTTTTATATCTCTTTCATCCCATGTTGGATCGGATAGGCGTCCATTAATGCACGGCTGAATATTGTGTACGTCCTCGATGCCATCTTCGCTCTCAGTCATAAGGCACGCTTCACCGGCTATCACGATCTCACTCGAAAAGATTTGACACGTATCATTGAAGCGGTGGTACCCAATGATTCCAAAGGCATTGTCAATGTTGCCAATACACGCAAGGTGAGCATAAATACAGGATGAGTTAAAATAAACTTCATGCTAAGGTCGTTTGTATATAGATCATCAACAATTGGAGGCGACGAGGGTATTTTGAACCAAGCGAGTTGGATGAGGCTGAGAAACCATTACGAGAACGAGAAGCAAGGTAAATTATTCAAGTGGGACTAGCCGAGATGGAGGAAAAATATACTGAATGAAACCGTATTAGCGCATCATCTCAAACCGGTGGATCCAAAGCGGATGAAGGAGGAGGATTTTCAAAAGAGGACATGCTACGGCGTATGGAAGAAGATCGTGAACGGGTAAATTGGACCGGAAATTACATGTTTCAGTTGTCAAACGACTCACATCTACGTCATAGCACAAGCGATTCAAAGAAGACCTTTGGATTCGACCCTCGGATGAATCGCTGGATGCCGAGTTTCAACAATTGTGGGATAACACCGAGGCGTTGGTGCCAGAAAACGATTATGAAGTGATGATGCTACAAAACATGCTCCGCCTCCCTCATTATGCTTGGCACATGATGTTGTCTCAGCGTCCTGGTAGTGCTACACAACAACCACCACAACACACAAATGGTTCCACCATCAATACTACTACAACAACCACAACGGATGATAACATTCCCACACAAGAACCCAACAACGAGAGCAATAATAGTAACGCCACCGCCACATCTCCCATTCCTACTACTACAACTACTACTATGACTCCTGATCCTACCGAAGATATCAGCAGCAATGTTCCATCAGCGCCGCCACCTCCCTCATCATCATCTCCACCACAACAACCACCGCCACCACCGCCATCGTAAGACAAATCCAAAAAATATCAGTCCATCTAGTTGTTGAATTTATACATGACCCACATACTCATCTATCAGCATCTTCAACATGCAATAAAACAGCAACAACAACATACACACGATTATGACGGGCGTGGATGGGGATCATATGTTTCTTGTTTGGATCACAGCTGTTAAGATTTTCCCGGATCTCCACCTCATTTTCATTTTTTTTTCCTTTTTCGACCTTTATATGAAACCATTGTTTTGTGCCTTTTTCACTCTCCTCCCGTTGATTTCTCTCTTCTCTCTTTCTCTCATTCTAGAACTTGCATCTCTTTTTATTCCCTCACCTTGTCCTCATCATCATCAACATGACATACCACCACGACAAATACAAATCACCATTGAGGATATGGCTACCAGACAATGGTCAACTTATTACATATCAAGATGAGCCTATTTCATTCCGCGGGTCTTTATCGTTAAAGTGTCGTCAAGCTCGTATCAAGGCAGTGACCGTGAAACTCGAAGGCAAAATGAAAGTACATTGGTCTCAAGATGGTAAGTTTGAGGCTTTTCTTGATAATTGCCTCATGTTACATTGGATGTCTTGGCGCATTCTTTCGCACACACACACACGCATAGACTTACATAAATGACTCATTTACTTTGCAGGCATTAATTTCAAGGATGAAAAGACCGTGTATGAAAAGAAATGGGACTTGATGCGAACAAGCACAAAGCATTGCGTACATGTGCATGGTACCCAGGAATGGTAAAGTCATGTGGATTGTGTGAGAGTCAATCATGCAAAGCTAACAGGTTGCAATCAACAGGGACTTTATAGCCGAATTGCCTTCAGATTTGCCAGCAAGTCTTAATGTATCTGATGGTCGACATTGCGAGATTGTTTATCGAATCAAAGCAGTTGTTGAGCGACCCACATTTTTACCCAACTTTGTTGCCAAAAGAACAATCCACGTATCACGTTATTTAAGGCGAGCATCCATCGTACCCACGATCAACAACCATAATCAAGTCGCTGTTGCTTCACCTGCCTATTATGATGGGAGTCAGGATCAATGGATGGATTACACAATTCGATTAAGGGGAGGCACCGTATGGCGACCTGGCAGCACTGTACCCATTGAATTCAATATCCATCGTGTCAAACGAGATGTAACCAAGATACGATCCGTCACATGTTGTCTCAAGAGCTACACGACCCTGACAGCCAAAGGACGCCATGTACGTAAATGGAGCTGGCCGCTGATGTATTTACGTGATGATCATTTGGTGCGTCATGGTACACCGTTGCCATGGCGAAAGACCGAATATTGCAAGATACCCAACCATGTAGCTGCTGACATGGCAACCTCCATGATCCACATCAAGCACAAGTTGAAGATTACTATTACACTTTTACGTGATAATGGAGCCACAGCTGGTAAGCCTTTTTTTTATCATGCAAGAAAATAATCTCAGCAGCTGACCATCATCATGCTTGGTTGTACAACAGAGGTCAAGACGTCTTTTCCAGTCATTGTGAACCACATGGATGAGCCGATCCCCATCGGAAATGAATTGGATGATTATGAAGAAGATCCAATCCTGCCATCGTACGAGGTTGCTTGTGGATCACCACCATACGATTCTTTTCTTTTCGGATTACCTTCAACACCACCCGATGATACTGCTTTATGTTCCCCGCTTTCTATTTCACCATCACCACCTGTTCCTTTGTACAACGACCTCGTTACAGAACCTGCAACACCGCATGAATCATGTGTACTACCAGCTTATGATTCTATTGTAAGGCCACGGTAGCAGTAGTAAATTTATTCTTTTGTAAATTTGGGAGTCGCAATAATGTATATTAGCAAAATAGATATCATTGATATGGGGAATGTGGTTTGTTGTTCTTTTGGTATAATAGTAAGGCGGATATAAAAGTGTGTGTGTGTGTGCGTGTGAATGGATCTTTACCCAAGAATACGTTTCCACCATGGCTTGGATTTCTTCTTTGGCTCAGGCTTAGTAGGAGCAGCAGCAGCAGCAGCGGCAGGGGAGGGTGCACCAACAGCAGCCACGGGAGTCATTTTGTTGGATGGTTGAGAAGGAACATCATCTTTTGTTGTGGAAGGAATAGGTTGCCATTCATCAAACCAAATGCCATAGACACCAATAACAGGCATATGATCGCTGACACCCACCAACGCATGATCCAATACAGCGCCATAAAACCAACACACGGTATCCTTGTTGGGAGGTGGCTGTTGTTCTGCTGTTGCTGTAGTGATCCCCCGTGTGGCGGCACCTGTTTGCTTACGTTTCTTCCACCATGGTTTCTTTTTATCCGTAGCCGATGCTTTATCACCCATCGATCGCTCTTTGGTCTTCTTTTGTTGCTTTTTGTTCTTGTCATTGTTGTCATTAGGGATGGTAGTTACGGCCGTTTGGGTTGTATAGACATGTTGATCATTATCCTTGAGAGGGCGATCGTGCCACAGGATGCGATCCGTCCAGCTGGGGACTCGTTGCTTGGGACTAGAATCGTAGCACAATTCGCTGGGTTCTACCAATCTCCTTTCAGGGGCACCATTATTTTGTTTTGCGCCCATCACTGGTGCTGATAAAGATCGCTGCTTTTTATGCCGTGTTGTGTTTGCTTTGGTTGTGGAAGTAGTAGTAGTATTAGTGGTGGTGGTGGCAGCTGATGTGCTATTAGCCTTTTGTTTCTTGATCACCGGCTGCTCTTGTTGCGTTGTTGTTGTTGTAGGTGCAGCATTCGTAGCAACCGTTGTTGGTTGTTTTACAATGTCCTTGGGCAACGGTGGCACAGGTGGCACTGCAGGAGTGGTTGTTGCTGTAGTAGTAGATGTAGCTGTGGTCGGGGTCGTATGTGCTGTTGAACGACGTGATGACGATGATGACGAAAACCAGTCAAATGGCCAATAATCATCATCCTCATCATCACTGCTATCGCTACTACTGCTGCTAGTATCACCTCTTTCATCGTCATAGGGGATGGCATCAAGCTTGTAGGTGGGTGGAAAGTTGATGGGATGTTCCCGAAAAGCGGCCAGTGGGCTATTGGGTGATTGACGTTCCACAGATAATTGATCATATTGCAAAAGCGACTTGTGCGGAAAGGTTATTACCATGTATGATGGATTGGACCGAATAAAGATAATGATTTACCTTGAAATCGCCTCTGTGGATAGCATCCACCACTTTGGTACGTTCAGCATTGATGCGGTAATTGGTATCGCCAAACATAAATACGTGATCGAATCGATCAAGCACACTACGATGTTCATGCTCATTTTCGCCTAATCGCCGTATATGGTATCGTGTATATGTATTGGTGAGCCACACGATGCATCATCCCTAACACACACCAACCCCCCACTTTTTCTTATCCTCCTCCTCAGTCTTGTCTTTAACACACACACACACACTCAATATATTAACTCACCTGTAAAAATAGCTTCCACCTCTGCATAATAACTCGAATGATGATGATGGCTGTTGCTGCTACCAGTACTACCAGATTTATCCTTCCCCTTTTTATCACGTAAGCTTTTGAGCCGAGACATGGAAGATGAGGCGTGTCGATGCAACTTTGTGCTATCACTATCGTCGTCATGGCGACAGTGGTGAGGGTGTTCATCGAGAGCCTTTTCAAAGTCAGGCATACGTAGGCCATGTAAGATGCGATGCACATTGGCATTGCGTTCCGTGACCTTGGTTTGATGGGCTGCATAAATGTATGTAAGCAACTACTAAATGCAGGATAATTGATGCTGTCGTAGTACCTCGAAGATGGCAATTGATAAACAAAAGTGATCGTGAACCAAAGAGCAATGAGATGGCAACGGCTCCCTTGTTACTATTATGTGTGGCAAAAGAAAGAGCAAGACATTAATAACTTTTTGTTCCCATTCAAGTATAGCAGAAGCATTATTATTTACGTTACCCAACCATATTCGCCCAACCGGTTTTGATTCTGTCACACTGCACTGCCTTTACATGATGACTGACAGGTTTCCAAACAAATACAGCCAAATGAAGCGCTGCTAATGTTTCTGTTCTCAGCAGCTTGTAACTAGGGCCGAGATGTTCCTGCAACCTTCGTTCCCATAACTCTTTGGATGGAAAAATCAATGATTCGGAAATGTCACGTTCGCATTCTTGTGTACCGATCGCTAAGATGTGATACGGGTGGCTGGTGCTGCTGTCCAAAAGTAAGCGTTCCTCCGTAGGTGTGGGATGAGGATGGTGCTTTTTGTTTTCGTCAGTAAGGAAAATACCAAGATCGATAGGTAAAAGTCGGCCATACATATTCCATGTTCCGACAAAGACTTTGAGCCGATCAGGGAGTAGTACAGCTTTATTATCCACATGGGTTGGAATAGGCGGCGATCCTCCACCTCGCGATAACGATGCCTTTTTCAGAAGGTTGGTGAATGGGTTACGACGAATGATCTTTGGTGTCATTGTTTGTATCGACATGCTGGATTGCTGCTTTTGCTCTTGATTGATAGTAGGTCGTGGTGGGAGTTGTTTTGTGGTATCTGGTAGAGGAGGTAGAGGAGGTGGTGGAGGTGGTGCCTGGTTTGTTTTAGATGATGCATTCGTTTTGATCGACAAGCTGGCCATCTTTTTCTTTTTCTTCTTTTTGTTAATGCTACCAGTACTTGTAGCAGTAGTGGTGGATGATGGAGTATTGCTGGAAGAAGATGTGGTTGTATCTGGTTGGTTGCTATTGGCAACAGCCGATGGCGTTGAATGATGACTGCTACTAGTGCTTTTCTTTTTGCGTATCAAAAGATGTGTAGCAGCTTGCAACTTTGGCCATTGATTAGAGGATGGAGGAGGTGGATGTATTGGTTGTAGTTGTGGGGAAGCAGTGGCAGCTGACATGATGGGGGGAAGAGTGGGAAGAAAAGAAAAAGAAGAAAGAGATGAGAGAAAGAAGAAGGGAGGAGAGAGAGAGAGAGAGAGAGGAGAGAAAAAGAAAGAGTGTGCGTGTGTGTGTTGTGTGTCAAATACAAACAACAACACGCTATCATTAGCATAAACACAAGAGAGAGCGAGAGAGCGGTGATGACCGAGAGAGAGTACAAGATCGGGGGAGTAATGGGGTTAAGTATAATAGAGTGTGATTACGATGAATGGGGTTTAGCAGGTAAAAGAGCAATGATGGTAATGTGCAACAAAGAGCTGAGTTGTGGTGGCGAACAACGTGCCCAAAGCGCCCCTCCCTCTCTCTCTCTTTCTCTCTCTTTTGTGCTTTACAAACAGCATCAGCGATTTGGTTCCACACACTCACACATCTTTCTCTCTCTTTCTGCACTTGTTTCAATGGCCATATCAATAGCCAAACTAAACGCATCCTTTGCTGCGTTTGGTAGAGCAAGTGCAGCTCGCAAGTATACGCTCCTTTTCTTCTCTTTGACAATCGCTTTATTCCTCTCTTGTCCAACCATTCAACGTCTTCGGGATTCTCTCTACGCCGCTTCCATTACAGCAAACACTGACAATGATCACTTTTGGCAATACTCTTCTCACGTCCATCCTGCTCCATTCCACCACAATGCTCAATCCGATTCCCTGGTCGCTTATCAGATTCGTTTGGCAGCCATGACAACCCATCAACAACAGCAACAGCAACCTGTTACCCAACACTTTCTGACTCGGGCCCAGGCCTGGTACAGGGCATTTACTACAACCAAAGTTGCTATTGATGACCAGTACTATTCACTCATTGATCTACCAACGTCTCAAATAATGCTCTATTCACCCTTCGATGATTCATATTGGCAGCAACAAACGGATATTCCAGAGCAATGGGAGACAACACTCGCATCAATCATCAATGGTAGCACGCATGCACTTGACCCTCTTTCCGTCTTTGACAACGTCACTTTGGACAAACATGGGCGCTTTGTATGCGCCGATTCAATCATAATTACCGCACTTTTGCACCAGGACAATGGAAGCAATCTAGCTGAACGTGTATGGAAAGCCGTAGTGGAGCAGCATGTAAACACGTTATCGTCATGGAAGATTAGGCAATTGGATGCTCCAGTACAAACGTGGCAATACAAGGTATCATCAGAGAGAACGAGATATTTATATACATTTATATATATATACATGCTAATGATCCTCCTCTTGCAAATTGTAGTTTAAGCCGTTTGATTATGATATTCCTCTCAAGGTGTACCTGTTTCTGGTGGTTCATACCATCATTTTCTTTTTGGTCTCTGGAGCATTTGGCAAGACTCAATTTGTAAAGTCGCAATATGGTCTTGGTTTGGCGGCGGTTTTTACATCCATCACATGTGTTGCTGTGACACTGGCGGTCCTTGACTGGTTTGGTGCAAAGGTGGATGCTGTTCCTTGGTACCTGTTTCCACTGGTTGCCAACGTGGCTACTCTTGAGAATGTGCTATTGCTCACGAATGCCGTGCTCAATGCTGGTTGTGACATGCAAGTCAAGGAAAAAGTGGGTCGTGGTAAAGTATCCTCCTAATCTCGATTGTGTAACGAGTGCGGTGGTGGGCAAAATGTTCTCTCGTATTCTAACTGGGTCATTGTTAGGCCTTCAAAGTGTGGGCGTACCAATGCTGGGGACCCTGGTGGCGGAACTTATCATTTTGGAAATCGGCCGTGCTATGGATGTGCCCACTATCAAGCAATTTTGTCTCTTTGCACAAGCTGCCCTGATTGTTGAATACTTGCTGGATATGACCTTCTTCATTGCTATTCTTGCCATCGATGTCAATCGTGCAGAGGTAAAACCTTGTCATCTTTTTAAAGGAACTTTGTGTAACTTATCCTCATTCAATTAGTTGGCCGATCTGGATGACCGCCAAGTCTCTAAACGTCTTCGTGAACTTGCCATTGCTGGTACTGATCCCGATCAACGACCACCTGATTATTGCCCTGTTCAATATGATGAAGATGAAGGCGATGTTACAATGACATGTGCTGACTGCAAGGAATTCAAAACTCATCGTGCAATGAATGCGCTCATGGTATGAAATGTGGACATTCTCCTTTTTCAGTCATCTTCTAATAATGCTATTAGTTATGCTTAGTCATTTTGGGCATATCCATGTTCCATTCCACGCTTGAAAAGTACATGGTTCCCGAGACATTCATGCTACCACCCGCTGTCAATCAACGTGTACCATTACCCAGCAGCATGATCCTCAAGACTGAACGATTACGCACCATGTCAAACCAATTTTGGGATACCATCAACCCTGAACGACAAACGCAATGGATACGTGTGGAACCACCTTACGTCGCAACATTCAGTATGGAATCCGCCATTGACAATTCACCCATATGGACTTCCTATGAAGAGCAGTATCTTGAACGATCCTTGTCGCTGGCTCAAAAGAACCTTGGCAAACGACCACCATCGCGTTTACGTAGCTTTGTACTTGGCCATGTGCAACGGATGATTGTTCTCTTGTGGCACATCAACTTGCCGATCTGCGCACTGTCCATTGTACTTATCGGCATGTTACTTTGGCTAAATCCATCATCTCGGGACCAATGGCTTGCTCCCATGTTTAAAAAAGTGGCGTTCAAGTTATTATCGCAGAATTTCATGTCGTGTAACATTATCGCTCGTCGTATCCGCGACCATTTCTCAGAACAATCATCATCCAATCATGAATCAGTACAACAACAGCAACAGCAGCAACAACAGCAACACCGTGAAAATGTCACCATCAAAACGCTTTCGGGTCAACATGTGGCAGATGTACGGCGATTTGATGCTAATGCCAAACATCAATTGGCTGTATCTTGTGGTCAAGATGATCGCATTGTCATGTGGGATATGGAAAAAGGTCGTGCAATGGGTCGACTAGAAGATGCAGCAGATTCATCATCATCATCGGCCAAGCATATCAAAATTGATCAAGGCAACAAATGGGTTGTTGGTGCTATGAGTAGCGGCGTCGTACGTATATGGAGCGCATGTACATCCAAGATGGTACGAGATTTTTATATCGAGCGTGAAGAATTGGCCTCTGTGACGACATCCCTCTTCCCATCCACCAACATGATGCGTAACAGACGCACTGGTAACGCCATAACACCCATCAGCAGCACTACAAGCTCCACCACTACCAGCACCACACACAACAGTAACCATAGCAACAACAACAACAACAACAATAGCAACAGCAACAACAATAACCATCATCGACTTGCATTGGGTGCTTTGGATCGTGCATTGGATGTGCAATTCTTGGGCGCTGTAGCCGAATATTGTCATCCAGCAGTTGAACAAGTGGCAGCCAAAGCACAACAAGGTGGTGTGATAAAATCGCAAAACTATGTGGTGTCAGTGCACAAGAGCGGCATGTTACGTGAATGGGACATCTTATCCGGTGCATGTATGCAAACCATTCCTTCAGGCCACACACGTGATGTTTCTATTCTACATGTCGTTGAATCCAAACGCCCTCATCGAAAGCATGGTGTATCATGGGTATTCACTGCCGGCAAAGATGGCCGTGTTACTTGTTGGGAACGTCAATTGGTGTCGCTTGGTGGTGATGAAAATGATCAAGTTAGTCAATGGACGTGTGCATATACCTTTGTGGGTCATGAAGGCCATGCCATTACATCATTGGCCACTGAACTTCCTGTTGGTGGCATGGGTATTCTCGTAACTGGTGCAAGCAATGGTAGTGTCAAGGTGTGGAATTTTGAAACAGGTGCACTTGTGTGTGCCTTGACCGCTGAAGAGCGTGCAAAGGATGACACAGCGGCGATGATGGTGACCACCAGTGGCAACAACAGCATCGTACAATTGACTGTGACACGATATTGCGAAGTCGAATACGGTGGACGTGGCATGTGCCGTGGATGTGATACGTGCTTTGGCAATGGTTTCCTAATTGCTGCATGTACTACTCATGATCGCGTTGATACTTGGCGTCTCGAACGTGTGGGTGGTGGTGGAAATCATCATGGCAGTTGTACCCTTTGCAGTAAAGATTATCATCGTACACAATATCGTAGTAGTCGACGTCGTCGTGCCGATAGCAATGCATCAGCATCTTCTTCTACATCGTCAACATCTTCACCAGCGGTTGCCATGAGACGAAAACGTCGTCATGTGATACGAGGTGGTCCTCCCAAAAGACAGCAACAGCAAAATCAACATGACCAAGGCAATGATGATGACATACTTACAGGCTTATTGGATATCGAACAACTAGCAGGCGAAGGCGAAATTGAATTGACATCTACTTACTTGGGAAACATCGATCAACCCGCTGGACGGGGAATCACGTTTTGTGGCAGCAACAAGTTACTAGCTGGTGTACGTCGTTCTTCTTCTTCGTCTACCCAATCCAACAGCCAATGGCAAGTATGGTTTGCACAATTACAATACTTTGATCCACCTGGTGAGATACCCATCGATACTTTTGACCTGGAAACGAACGAGGACGAGAACACTATGGAGCAGCAACAACATCATGATGAGAGTCGAGATTCGCTATTTGGTCTCTTTGGCAGCAATAGTATTACTTCATCACAACGACGACCTTCTATGCACAAAGCTCGAAATCACAGCAACAAGAGTCTGTTGAAAAAGATGGATGACATTCAAGAGGATGAGGAGTTCGATGAAGAGGCCTATGAACTATTGCCATTTTCCATGGTGCGACATGTCTTACCGCTTGATGGTCTTGGTCTAGCATGCGATTTTGGCAACTTCATCAAGCTCATCTATCTCGATCGTGAACAATCATCCAAACGCATGGGTGGTGCTGGTGCTGGTGCTGCTACGATGGACGATTGTAGCAAGTCATCGCTGCAAAGTAGTGGTACTAATAGTGCTGTATGTGCTGTGCCGCCTTCAGCATGTTCCATTCTGCCAAATTGTCCAAAGGCATCCGAGTGTCGTGCGATCGCAAGCAAAAAGCATTTGTTTTCTTAATACCAAAGAAGAGAAAGAAGAAAAGAAAGCTCCAACACACACACACATACATTAAATAGCATCTGTAAATATACAACACACCATCGTTTTGTTTCGGCTTTGCATTTCCCACCCAATAATAATAAAAAATTGTCGGATGATTCCCTTCAAAACCACGCGATTTTTTGAATGTAGATGTGAAACGTGTATTCCAAATGATCGCTCCTAATGACCTGGGGTACCTCCTGGTAAAAGCGAATACACATTATTGTTGACATCAAAAAGCTGAAATGCATGATCATGAATGCGTTGATGCTATGAACCAAGTCTCTGGGAAATGGCAGGCTCTTGTATTCAGGCACCAAAATTTGCATAAACAGGGGTATCGTTATCCAAAGAAAAAGAAACGAATGATGGAACAATCGAAAAGGTCTTTCCTCGTCTAGGCCAAAGAGTTTTACAGGTGGTGACGAGGGGATTATTTGCACTACACGATGTAGGATTAGCGTTCACATTAATCAAAGTCGTAGCAGAGACAATACCGCCACACGATTAGTGTACCTGGTCAGAGTACATTAGATGAGAGAGGCATCCCGGGATTCCTTCCATTCGTGGATGCGAGACCGATTCTATAAGTAGTAGCAATGACGATACAAATTTTATGGATCCTTTCTTTTGGATCGTCATTATCCTTACTATCCAATGACATAGACGAAGACGCAATAGGTAACACTTGTGATCCCTCACTCAACGATTTCTCGGAAAAAGAGCATTATTTAAACATGTTTGACATTTCATATGCAGCATCGCACTAAAATATGCTTCAAGTAAAAGGATTGTCATGCAGTGAATGTTGTCATTTTAGGCATAGTGGATGTTGTACAAACAGGGATCCGCCTTTGGTGCATACACAGCACAGCAAAATAACATAGGACTACACATTAGAAGATGGGTTCAATGTCACAAAGGTCAATGGTAAGTTCCTTGAAGGGAGGTATGAATTCATTGTTCATTGGGAGTCAATGCCTTCAATCACGATAACCGGATGATCGGATCAACAACTGCTGTGGACATGCAGTATCCATGCAACTCCGCGTCTCTTTCGCCCTTCAAGGCTGCAGTGTGTTCGCCACCCACAGCGTTTCTTTTTGTTTCCTTTTACTTTTATTTCCATGACAGCAGACCAACCAACGATTATCGGTGAACTTGTAGTGGTGGCATTGAAAGCGGTATGGTATCATACAAGATGCGTGATTGCAATGCGATCTAACCTCGATTGTCTATAGCGTGATCTCCCCAACATTGAAGTATGTCGTTTGCACACGTACAAGACGCCAGTGATAATAGTAACCAATTTTATTATAGGTAGTTGGAAAGCAAGATCCATTCTGTGTCTTTCGCTTAGGAGAAATAGCCAAGAGAACAAAGACAGATTACCGTGGTGGCCAACAGCCTTTGTGGGATGATCAAGTGAGTCCATTGTTGTTCCCTTTTGATAATGAATGAATGAATGATGTTGATAGAGCTATCAACTAGGTGAACCTTCCTGTTCCAGAAAAGAAGACCAAGATGTATGTTCAAGTCTTTGATGAAGATTCCAAGCGCGAAGATTTGATCTGTGAGGGGGAGGTTGATCTTTCGGAAGTGCTGCGTGAAGGCGAACAAGATTGTAAGTTTATTTGATTCTATGTATCCATGTGCATATGTTGACTTGAAGAAATGATAGCTTGGTTCCCATTAAAGTATCGAGGCAAGGATTCAGGAAAGATCTACTTGGAGTTGACATTTTATTCAGCTGTAAGCAACGTGATAGTGGATTATGTATGTAACTGCTTTCGACTCATGTATGCAATGTAGCGCCAACCACCAAAGCGCCAACCTACTCGCCTCTACAACAAGGCACGCCCACAACATCTATATCAACGTGCTCAACAAATGCAGCAACAATCGCCTTATCCTAATCATGGTATGGTGCCACCTATGCCTCAACAATCATCATCCACACCTGTAACAGCAGCTGGTAAGCCATCAGCCGGTCCACCCATTTATCGACCACCTCCACCACCAGGTGCATATCAACAAGAGCACATTGTGAAACCACATATGCCTCCACGTATGACTCCATCCACATCCACCAGTACCAATGGCTCCAATGGAGGCCTTTCAGCACCTTATCCACCTCGTATGACTCCTTCTGTATCTACTGGTACTGCCATGTCTCATCACGGATACCCACCCCAACAACAACAGCAACACTATAGACCTCCTGGAGGAAGACCCGCTTCTTTTGGTGCAGGTAAGTTTTGGTTGATTGTGTGTGTTAATACCAATGGCTCATTATTGTGTGTATCGATAGCTCCAATGGGTTTCCATATTCCTCAACAGCAACCACCATCCACACCAGCAATGCCAGGATTGAGTTTCCCTGAACCACAAGCCATGCCTGCAGGTGGATTTGCTCCTCATCCTAATAATAATGGCCAACCTTTTGCCGCTCATCAAGCACCTTATCCACCACCCACTGGAACAGCTGGATACCCACCCATGGCAGCAGGAGGATACCCACCACCCCAGCAAGGTTATCCACCTTTTTAGAACATGCAGTCATATCTATTTAATATCTTCTCGTGATTCCATACCATTTTGCATATACATCGTTAATGGATCCAATCAAATATATGTATTCTTTGAGTAAATCGAAAGCCGTATTGTTGTATGTAATTCAAATGTTTTATTACGCAAGTGGGATTAGTGTAGACAACATGAGTTTAGGCGATGAAGGGGAACATAGCCTTGCGATTGCGGGGATAATCCTTGAATTCCTTGCGATAACGCTTGTGCTTAGCAACAGCCCAGATGTACATTTGACCGGTAGCTACAAAGTTGAAGAGCCATGCTATTTCCACTGATATCAATATCCTTGCATCATCATTACACCCATATACACATGTACAAGACTTACCTGACCAGCTAGTGCTGAGCAAGGATACCACGGTCCAACCAATGGTTTCAAAGGTGTAATTAGGGCAGGAAACCAAATCAAAGCCGTAACCATAGGGGATGTTGCGTTGACGAGTACCAGCAGGACGCAAGTTGCGAAGAGTGATGTGGGTGATCAAGTTGGAAAGCTCGGCCCACTAGGTAATAGAACAATGAGCACAAATGTTCCCCCTTATCCATGTATATCCATCCATCGAAATACTTACAGCCCAAACAGCAATGGAACCATATAACCAAACGTCGCTGCGTTCAGCTGCAGCCTTACCAGCGGCATACCAGGGACCATAAATCCAGTAAGCAAGGTTGACACCCGAAAGGATCCAATAGTGACCGGAATTCTTAAAGACGTTGCGGAAAGGCATCGTGCCATGAGAGAAGCGGTGAACAAAGATGGTTTCAAATTCACGCTTAAGGAAATGCAACATGCACATATAAAAGACAACCGTTTGCATAGTCGAATGTTGGAAAGCATCGCCGTAAATGTACTTTGAGAGATAATAAAAGATGGGATGAATGACGAGAGGACCACCATACTCGATCAAAAACACGGTACGCCAACCAATTTGAGGGCCTAGTGATTATGTCAGAATGAAAACAGAGGCATCGCATGATATGGTGGATTTACCGAGATCCTTGAACTGGATAGTGGCACCGTCAACAATGTTCAATTCGGCGAGGGTCTTGTCATGGTCCAATGGCTTCTTATCCATGTCAGTGAGACGTTGACGATCGGGATAGTACTTTGGGAATTTCTTCTCAATGGCCTGGCACACTTGGAGCACAGTGACCTTGTCAGCCGAGCCCTCGAGATCCAACGTAATGGGGAACTTGGTCGACTTTGGATTACGCGATGCCACAGTCAGCTTCATCCTGTTGTAGGTTTCTCCGAGTAAGCGTTGCTGGGAAGAGAAGGCTCGTAATAAGCGCGCGTGAAAGTGGCCAATTTTTGGGTCACCGTGATCGGCACACTTATCCGACATGATGTCAATCACTCCCTCCTCCCTCTCTTTTTCATGTCCCCACTGCCCTCCTCATTATCATCATCATCATTACGATAGCAATGATAAATCAATGATCAATAAATGTCTTGTGAACATGATATCATCTACTCGTCATTGGCATGAAAATGATTGCTCGAGCTTTTGACTGAATGTACACGTTGCATTACCCTTTATAGCATAAGCAAAAAGAAATAATACTTGATGATTCAGCAAGCAAGCAACCAATATCATGGCTAATGGTACGTGTGTTCGTTGACAGCAATGTAAGATTGATGTACGTATGCAACCACCTTAAAACAAAGGCGCCACCTTCCTATTCATGCACATCGATCAATATTCATGGCGCCAACACCTCCAGAGTGAGAGGAGAATGGTTGCAAATATGCAATGACAACTATATAAAGCATATCACGTGCATCATTCCTCCCAATTTTTTTTTTCGTTTAGAGCAGAGTTATATACATTGGTATATCTTTATAAAGCTGTGTACATAGAAGACATGACCTTTTTCACTTCACCTTCATCTTTGACGTCCGCTGATGCAATGGGAGCCACTACCATGGGATTTATGGAGGCCAGCGACTTCATGTGGTAGACTATGCTATTCAATCCACCTCTACGGTACATCAAGGGAGGTACGTAAAAAGCTATACTAAAGAAACGCGAGATGTGTATATGAGCATGAAGCTCATTGCATGGTATAGTTAGGTTTCACCTTATCACGAGAGTCAAGTATCACAATGACGACCGCGACAACAATGAAACTATCATTCACACCTTTCACGTCTTGCACTCTCGGTTTGGTTACACGAACACGTCCCTCTGCATCTTCGGCTGTCGGCTCTATTAACATCTAGCTACTTGACAAAAGACTACTTCCCATATAGCATCACGCTTACAGCATACGTAAAACATAAAGGTGACTGTATCTCATAACTTTACAATCAAACGTGGGGTCTTTAATAGAACAAAGCTGCTCGGCGGGGTGAAAGCGATCTTGTGTCAAACTATGAAGTCGATCGTGGCCGATCCCAGATTCACCCAATGTCGCTACCAGCCAAAAAATATTTTCGTCGTCGTCGAAAAAAATTCAAGAGGTCGATCCACTTTGGCTGGTGGCGACATTGGCGAAATCTGGGGTTGGCCACCTTGATCGTGAAACTCGCACACAAGGTGCTGTTGGCCAAGCCGAGCAGGTTTGTTCTCATAAAGACCCCACACTTGATTGTAAAGTTTTGAGATACAGGCACCTTTATGTTTTACGTATGCTCTTGTAAGCGTGATGCAGTTGCTTTTTCCTAATGGATGGTGTCGGCTGCATTAACGGAAAGATGAAGAGCTGAGTGAAATGGCACGTGGTGGTTACACAAACACGTCCTTGATAGGTTGCTGCACAAATGCATGATCATGATGATTGCATTTTGTGAAGGTACGTAAGTAAACAGCATCCAACCATGAAGGTGTGTCAAGGTATGTGTATATCACATTTGCATGTAGGAGAAGGTCAAGCTGCATAAACCAATTTGTGTATGTAAAAAGATGCGTATACGTATTGATCGGTCACTCATCCTGAAACTCAATGGAGGGATCACTTCTCTTTTTCTCTTCTCAAGGTCAGCCCACTCCTCCTTATTGTATCACAAAACCCATATACTTCTTGCATGGCCGATAACCGGGCCACCTTTATTATTCCATCTTCGAAGCAATAGTATGTAATCCACAAGCTAGCAAAGTCCAAGCGTGTAATAAATAAGCAATGCTTTATTTCATCTATGTATGTAGCTATCTTGCTACATTGCCACCACCATCGTTGTAGCCGCCGTTCGTCATACGTCAGCAGTCGTCAATCGCCTCGTGGCAAATATCAAAACCACACAAGTTGAAGTGAATGGGATCTTGCAGGCTTCCTTTTTGGATCTCGTTGTCGCTATCATCGTAATCGGCATTGTTGTGAATGCCGTTGTCATCGTAACCGCCATCGCTGTGAATGTGGTAATCATCGTAATCATCATTGTGTTGAATGAGGTGACTATCGCAATCGTCATTGTTGTGAATGTGGTAATCATCGTAATCGACGTCTCTATAAATAAGAAAGCAGGCAAGTTAAGGAAGAAAGCAAATCAGAAGGAATTCACAAACCAAATCACCACCATACGAGCAACGTCGAGCGATCCCTTGTTCTTGAGAAAGCACTGCACGAATCACGCAAGGCCAGTTCGATCCATGGCAAGGAAGACTCACTTACTTAGAGTCCGGGCTCATAGTTGTCTTCATTCATCCTCTCCAAAAGAAAGAATGACCCCCAATCCTTCCAATCATTTCTCGCCTCATGAAAAGAAATCCTCAAAGGAAAGAACGAGCCTATCACGAGAAGAGCGTGTTGGTTAAACACATTCACAAGCTGTTCCAAAATCCCCTTTTACCTCAACACAGTGACCATGCTCTTCCAAAGATCCATCGTCATCGACCCATCAACTCAAACGCAGGCCCGTAGAGCCCTGGACGCGTTCCAAGAAGCTTTTCCAGCACACTTGACTAGTGCAGAGCGACGCAGCGGCCACTTGATACAGGCTGGGACTTGAACCCAAAGAGATGATGATGCCCCCAAGTTGCATTTGCCTGACCAAAGAAACCTATTTCAATTCATTATTAGCACACACGTACAATAAACACCCTTTCATTGTTTGTTTCACTGCACTTGCCTTTTCCATATACACAAAGACCCGTTGTTGTTGGTTACTGGAAACCGAAAACCATGGTGTAGTATAAGTTGAGCCGAAACAAAACGCCAAACCAGCCAACGTCTGGAAACCAAACTTGCCCTCTATGCAAGCTGACGCGTCAATGGAACCAATTCGGCTGCAACATTGGACTTGAATGTACCTGTTGACACCAAGCGTAGAGCGGGAATAGCAACGAGCAAAAGGAAGCAACAATATCGCCATGGCAACCACCAACCACCAACCACGCTCATTCCTCAGCACTTGGACACACTCACTCTCCCTGACAATGCATGTTCAGAACTACATTAACACCTCACAGCCAACAAGAGCACTTTTTTATAATACATTACTTGATCGAGATGTCGTGAATGGAATAAGGAAAGGTGAGAGAAAAAGAAGAGAAGCGTTGTCTCAAGTCGTGGAGCTGCTGTCCCCCAAGTTTAAATTTCCCTACTGCTATTACACTGAGGCCACTCAATTACCCCACACACACACTATCCACCCATCGTCATCATCACCCTCACGATAGACAATAGGTACACATAAATAAAAGAAATGATCCTCACGCATAGCAAAAGGGTGTGTGCCATTTTACACTTTACATGATAATGATGATCCAACAACAGCCATTGCCTTTACTACCAGGTTAGCTCGAATCAAGAAAGTTAAATGATGGGCATGGTAGGCTGGAGCAAGACAATCGTTCGTATGCATTGGATTGGGCAACAATGGAGAATGGGAGGACTAGGTTATTAGCTGTCATTTTGAACTATTCCTAAATAGTGTACAAGAATCATGCATCGCCTGTGCTGAATGACTCAAGTTACACAAACAGGCCCTCTGCATCTTTTGCTCTATTACAGTCATACTACTTTACATTAAACAAAGACCACTTCTCATATAGCATCACGCTTACAACATAGTAAAAACGTAAAGACGCCTGTATATCCAAACTTTACAATGAAACGTGGGGTTTTGAATAGAGCAATGGGCTCGGCTTGGCCAACAGTACCTTGTGTGAAAGTTTCACGATCAAGCTTGCCAATCCCAGATTTCGCAATGTCGCTACCAGCCAAATTGGATCTGGGGGTCGACCTCTTCGACGACGACGACCAAAAAATATTTTTTGGGCTGTTCGCGACATTGAACGCGAAACTTTCACACAAGGTGCTGTTGGCCAAGCCGAGCCCATTGCTCTAATAAAAACCCCACGTTTCATTGTAAAGTTCGGAGATACAGGCACCTTTATGTTTGTAAGCGTGATGCTATATGAGAAGTGGTCTTTGTTCATTGTCAAGTATTTATATGGAGGTTGTTAGCCTCGTTTTATTGGGAGTGCATCGGAGAGTGGCACCCCAAAATCGAAACAATATTGGTCAAATTGATAATCATAAGGAGATATACATGAGAGGGAACGAGATGACAAAGGGTGGGAGCGAGCTAATTGGAATCATTAAGTCTCATGGAAGAGACACTCCCCGACGAATTGGAAGGAGTGGCAGAAGACGGAAAAAGTTTACCCCGACTTTTAAGCTTAAAATAAAGGGTGGTAAAACTTGATAAAGGCAAAGATCGAATCATTTCCTTGGCTTCATCAGACATGGGAAAAGTCGTCAACATACGATCGATGGACTCGGGCGGTGTTGGTGCCTTAGATGTTTTGGCTGATGGTTTTTCAGGGGAAGATTCTGTAATATGAGTACTGATAATCATATCGTTGTGGGCTTCAAGGGGTGAGTAATCAGTGCTAAGCATCGATACATCAGAATGGCTGGCGGCAGTGGAAACAGAAGACGATGGGGACATTGGTGGGTCATTGATGGGCTTGACAACAATAGGGCGACGATTGGGACATTTAGCGGCACGGTGGCCATTTTGGCCGCAAGACCAACAGGGGCGATATCTGCTTGGGTGGGTAGGACATGAGGACATAGAATGACCGGATTTGTGGCAATGAAGGCAATGAAGCGGCATTTCAGCCCATGTTGCATAAAACCAGTCTTCGGAGTTAGGCCATGAAATCGTGTGTGTGAGCGATGATGATTGTTTTGAACCTGAAACGTTTAATGTTGTATATCCGTGTCCCATGAACAACTTAGAGTCATGATCACGGAGAATACCATAATCAAGAACATCACCAAAGGGTGAGAGAGCCTTATAAATTCCATCGGTAAGCTTATCTCGAGAGGTGAAAGGAAGGTTGCTGAGTCGAAGATGAATGAGACGGGAATCAGATGGTAAAGGTACACTAGGCAAGATACGCACACCATCCTTGAAAACAAGGCCTGACGTACAAGCTTTCTGGTAAACGTTGGAGTCATCGATGAATAATTCAACAATACGGCGAGCATGATCCGAGTGAAGGCGAACACCACAATTGTTGGGAAAGCTTTCGTTTATATGGCACAAAAGCTGGGAGCGATTTTCGGAACGAGACGTGAAATCAAAGAACAAGCTGGTACAGGAAGCAGGAGAGCCACCGGCTTTCCACACATTCGAGTGCAAAGAATTGTCATGAGCTGTTGTTTTCAACGAATCCCGCGTTGGGGAATGAGTACGTGCTGAGGAATGAGTGCTGGTAACCTTGGCATACGAAAGCCGTTGTGGACGATATTGTGTGCCTGTTTCCTTATCAGGCGATTTGGTTAAATTCTGGGAAGACATGTTCGTTCATTGTCAAGTAGCTGGACCCTGGCAGAGCAAAAGATGCAGAGGGACCTCTTTGGGTAACTCAGCTAAGAAGTCAGGACTTCAGGGACAATGCATGATAGGTACGCAACCCTCACTTTTATGTCATACATTGGCAGCTAATAGCCACTTTTGTGCATTCCCAACTTTTGTGCATTCCATTGTAGGTGGATGATTCTCCTGCTCCAGACATTCGTTTCCATGATTCAAGTAGCTTGATCCGAGCTGATTTGGTTGAGTTACGGTCGAACAAGGATTAATAAGCTGAGACATTCGAATGTATGCTGATGTGTGGATTGATGTAATCTCTCTTTGACCGTAGCTCAGCCAAAATCAGCTCGGATCAAGATAATTGAATCATGAAATGAATGTCTGGAGCAGGAGAATCATCCTCCCAATAGGTCCCTAAGTTGGTGACTCCCCAAAGTGGCTTGTGCTGCCAATGTATGACATAAAAATGAGTGCATACCTATCATGCATTAACTGAAGTCTGACTTCTAGCTGGGTGCAAAAATGCCACATCACGCTCTGCCAGGGTCCGTACTTGACAATGAACAAAGACCACTTCTCATATAGCATCACGCTTACAAGCATAAAGGTGCCTGTATCTCCGAACTTTACAATGAAACGTGGGGTTTTATTAGAGCAATGGGCTCGGCTTGGCCAACTGCACCTTGGGTGCCAGTTTCACGATCAAGCTTGCCAATCAGATTTCACGTATGCTTCACCAGCCAAACTGGATCTGGGGGTCAGCCTCTTCGACGACGACGACCAAAAAAATATTTTGGGTTGGTTGCGACGGTGAACGTGAAGCTTTCACACAAGGTGCTGTTGGCCAAGCCGAGCCCCTTGCTCTATTCAAAACCCCACGTTTCATTGTAAAATTTGGAGATACTGGCACCTTTATGGTTGTAAGCGTGATGCTATATGAAGAGTGGTCTTTGTTCAATGCCAAGTTGCCCAACCCTGATAGAGCCAAATATGCATAGGGGCATGGCTGTGTAACGGAGCTATTTTGCATGACTGGAATGGCCAATGTTAGATACCATATACGCTATCGATGATTGGCAGCTAACAGCCATTTCCTCACAATCGGCACTGTTGTTCATTCTATTATATGTGAACAATGCTCCTGCTCCAGCCGATCATTTCCATCGTTCAAGTTTCTTGATCCGAGCCGATTTGACTGAGCTACGCTTGAACAGCAAACATGAAAATTCTTGAAAGACAGACCCTGCGAATGTCTCCGTCTTTCAAACTTTTGGATGCTCCCATTCCAAATTTTCAAATGAAGCGTGAGGTCTTTATTAGAAAATGTTGATCAGCATACTCGAGAGCACCCTTGTGAGCAATTTCCCAAGTTGGAAGTGGGAACTTCGGGGCGGTGAGCCGTCCACTCCTTTGTCCCTCTCATCCATCATTGGGAGCGCCCCGCATTTTAAATCTTCACAATGAAGCCTTCGGTTTTTAAATGAATGGGGTTGATCAGCATGTCCCAGCGAGCCTTCTGACAAAGTTTCAGGTTCGAAATGGGGAATCCCAACGTAATACATACTATTTCGATAAATCATGAATCTGGCGCTGACCTCCATTTCCGACTTTCATAGTAAACCCACATTGCACCCTCCCATTCGATATCTTACAATGAAGTGTTGGTTCTTTTTTAAGAGAAAGTTGATCAGCATGTCCAAGTGCACCTTGTGTGAAAGTTTCAGGTTCGAGAGGGGTAATCTCAATATCAAGAATTGATGATTTACAGTGTTCATGCATTATACAAGAGGTATCCGACCCACTTCTTCCACTCCAGCTTCTTCCCTTTCCCCCACCCCATTCTCAACTGTTGCCTCATTCAAGTATACAACTACCACCTGCGAACGATTGTCCTGCTCCATCCCATCATGTCAATCCTACAACTCGCTTGATCCGATTGTCTTTGACTGAATGGCACGTCCATGGCTTGTACAGCCCACTACAACACACGAGTCTCTTGACACAACACACGCTCTTGTACGTTTCTCTACCACAATCAAACGTAGCAGCCTTCATCCCAGCAGTTGCTTTCAGCGATGTCGTTACTCCATGGTCGCAAACAACGTTCACAATCGTGTCACTCTACTACAACACACGCACTTCTTGCACACTGCTATGCCGCGACCAAACGTAACAGCAGCTGCCATTAGCAAGGCTTCCTTTGTCTCGCGTTACTTGCAGCAACATGTCTTGAAGCCTTTTTCACGTGAACAGTGGATTGCCATTGTATAAAAGCAGCTTTATTTACGTGCAGCAACTTGCTTCACTACATACAACTTCTTATGGACGATGCCATATCAGCTATCAAGTTCATTGCAATGCAAGCAATCTTCACCTGCAGTGACCAAGAAAGAGAGAGACCGGCAACCGGATGGGAAGGAAGCATACCAGCAGCGATCAAAGAGGTTCTTTTGACATGTGATGATTATGATGGATGGATGCAATCAAGTGCAGTGATGAGAAAGAAATCTGGGAATGTTGCTTTGGTTACTTGTCGCATCGTCGTCATCAGGAACGATGGATCATGCCATGTGGATACGGCTGAGGATGGTGATGATGGATTAGATGGTATGGATAAGGCATGGTATACGCAAGTCAATGCATGCAGCAGCTATTTTACGGCCATAGACGAAGATGGTTATCACAGCAGCAACCAAGAATACAATGACACAACGGTACCCCACTGATTCCATGTGATCCACTGGTTGGTTTCTGGAAAGCGAGATTGGATCATCCACATCGTTGTATCGAGACGCTTTTTTTTCCCTTTGTCATATTTACACTCGTAATTAAAGCTCCTTGTTCATATGCTGATAGACAACAGTAGGCCGTGGCAATCCCCAGAATTGTACATAGGTTTAAATAGGCGTTTGTATCCTAAAAGATAATAAACCCGTAATAATGGTACCCAACAATAGTACTTGTTACAGTAATCAGTAAGCTTAAACCATTATGTTATTTAAAAGAGCGAGCTATGATATAATGTGACACGAGTCCATACCTATAAGTAGTGTTTAGCCATTCAACAAGAAATCAAGTTTACGAGCGAATCATTGAGGACGCTCTTGTATGTCATGCTTATTCAAAAGAGGCTTGCCATTGTCACGTAATCGTTTGCTCTTTATAATGGCATGCGAGTATATCTAAGCACTCGAGTGCTCTCAGCAATGGTCCAATTATTATTGATAACAGCAGTAGCCAAAAGGATGTTGCATGTAGAGCAACCAAGGTGGATGAAAGATACACATGTAATAATTGAAGGTAGACACAGTGATTCTCAACAAGCTTGCTTATCCCGCTGTCATACATCATCATTAACACAATGCTTTATCGATGTCATACATTTTTCACATAAACAGCTATATACAATATAAGGCATAGGATGTCTACCACTCTAATGATTTGTCACCACATCCACCTGACGTGCCACATACGGATGTTTCTTGCATCGATACGATCTCGGGTTTGATGACGTTACGTTGGATGATTGTTTTTGAGGATCCCAATACATTGGAGAGGATATCAGTGGGTGGTACTTGTAGATACACCTGGCCATCTTCCACCTTGACTTTGAACGTTTCAAGCCGATACCTCTCCTCCTCGCCTGGTACCATACAATTGCCCGAGTCTAAATCAAAGTTTTTCTAGGAGAGTAATGGTGTATAAGTAACTTGTCATGGGATGATCATCGTATTTTTGCTATTACCTTGTGCATTGGACAAGAAACGTAAGGTGTATCTTTTGATCCATTGACACCAAGCAAACCGGATGCCAGCACCAATGCACGCTTGTGGGGGCACATGTTTTGAGTCGCATACCACTTGCCGCCAGTATGGAAAACAGCTATTTGTGCATCGCCTATGCGAACGACCTTGCCTTCATCTTCAGGGAACAAATCGGTTGATCCAACATGGAGCCAATCCAGCTTATCCTTTTTTAGGGATGGCAAAGAAGGGAGCTCGGCTTTGGGCCAATCAATAGGTCGACGTTGACCACGCTCATCCACCATTTCAATCACGGTATCTGCTGCTGCTGTTGTTGTTGCGTCTGATCCATTGATAAACTCCTGAAAATGTTTACGGCGTTCGGGATCTCGTACAACTGTGGTCCACTCGCATTGATACGCACCAATCAAATGATTCATATGCTCTTCCAATTCATCTGCAATGCCGAGATGATCCTCAACGACAACCTTGCGTAGATACTGTATCCCACCATCAAGCTTCTCGAGCCACCGAGCTGTGCGTGTGAGCTTGTCAGCAGTCATAATATAGTACATGAGGAACCGATCCAAGTATTTGATGGCGAGCTCTTCAGTAACATCAGCCACCAATAGTTCAGCATGCTTCGGCTTTGAGCCACCATTGCCACACACATAGACATTATATCCCTTGTCGGTTGCAATGCAGCCAAAATCTTTGCCCTGAGATTAACAAATTAGTACTTGGAAGTTGAAAAAATGACATTGGGTACCTACCTGTGCTTCAGCACATTCACGAATACAACCAGAGACACCTCCCTTGAGTTTGTGTGGTGATCGGATTCCTTTGTATCTGTTTTCAAGCTATACGTTGTTGCATGTCAATGATAGGCATCCAATTGAGGAGAGGGGAGTCATTGTCCTACCTTGATAGCAAACCCAACAGAGTCTTGTTGACCAAATCGACACCAAGCCGTTCCCACGCAACTCTTGACAGCTCGCAATGATTTTCCATAAGCATGACCACTACGTTAGGGAGGTATCCACAACAAGGTTAAGACTTTCGTTGTTGAATTGTGTGCATCATTCTTTACCTTTCAAAGCCAGCATCGACGAGCTTTTCCCAAATTTCAGGGAGGTCTTGTTTCCTTGCACCCACTATAAAGTAAAAGACAATCAAATCAGTAACCCATTCCATTCGCAGCTTGATATTTACATGGCATACTTACTAATATCGATTCGTTGAGCACCAGTGATTTTGGTATACAAGTCGTATTCCTTGGCGATGTCGGCAATAACACCAAGCTTGGCAGGGGTGACTTCACCTGCAGGGATACGTGGTACGATGCTGTATAGACCTCCACGTTGGATATTGGCGAGATAGCGGTCGTTTGTATCTTGCAGAGGGCGTAACTTGGGATTGAGGATGTGCTCGTTCCATAGACTGGCAAGAATGCTGGCAATGGCTGGCTTACAGACTTCGCATCCCATGACACTCGCTTCTGATACACCAGCATGTTGAATAAAGTCCTCAAATGTCTTCAATTGCTTGACCTTGCCAATAGTAAAGAGTTCGGCACGGCTGTACTTGAAATGGCTGCATAAAGAATTGCTGATGGTTTGACCAAGTGACTTGAGTTCTGCTTCAAAGATCTATGATGTACATACACATAATGAGAAGGAGTTCTTCTTTTTCCACATTGGCGTGACGTTACCTCTTGAACTTGTGGCATGCATCCACCACATCCAGTGCCTGCTTTGGAAAAGCATTTGACTTGGTTGACGTTCTCGCACTTTTTGGATCGAATGATCTTGCGAATAGTGCCCTTGGTGACGTTGTTGCATGAGCATATTTGTGTATCATCTGGGAGCGTATCTGCACCACCATGTTGCTCTTCTTTGGTGCCCTTGATACCGAGGATAAGCTCGGATGGAGGCGTTTGTAGTCGTTTGCCGGCTTTCACCATCCCCAGCAGCTTGGCATAGTCGTTCGTATCACCAATCATCATGCCACCAAGAAGCTTCTTGCCGTCCTTTGTGAAAAGGTATTTCTTGTATACGCCACTAAAGGGGTCGCGATAAACCAGAGGCTGACAGGTGTCATCGGCTGCAAAGCAATCGCCAAAGCTTGCCACATGGATGCCCAGCAGCTTCAATTTGGTGCTCATGTCGGCGCCTTTGAATGTTGCCTTTCGTGGATCGTGTCGACGCGTCGTAATGTTGCGAGCAACGACTTCAGCCATGCTTGAATGGTAGGGAGGTGCATCATGGTGAGTGAAACAAGTAAAATTTATGCTCGTTGCTGAGTGGGTTACTTACTCGTATCCAGGTGCTACCAGGCCATAGATCATGTCATTGAAGGATGCACACTCGCCAATTGCATACACGTTATCAGCTGTTGTCTCCAGTTGTTCATTGACTTGGAAACCACCACGAGACGCACGTAGTAAACCATCATGGGCCAATTGATCACGTGGACGGATTCCGATGGCGTAAATAAGCATCTCTGTGGGTCGCACCTCCTTGCTCTCAGCCATAACAACTGCTTTCAATGCTTGTTCTTCTTGATCATCATCCATTTGGAACATGCCAGGACAATCACCAACACATGTCTCAATGTCCAACTTTTCAATTTCACGTTGTAACATTTTGGCTGCATCATCATCCAGTTGGCGTGCCATGAGTCGATTAGCACGTTCGTAAACGGTGACATTTAATCCAAGATCCTTGGCAGCTTTGGCAGCTTCTAATCCAAGCAATCCACCACCCACGACACCAGCATGCTGTACATTCTCACGTGAAGCCCATGCAATGATAGCTTCCAAGTCTTGAAGAGTGCGATACACAAAGATGCCAGGGCCAAGTGAAACATTGGGAGGAAGGGCCGCCGATGAACCTGTCGCAAGTACACAAATGTCGTACGATGTCCAACCACTCTCCCGGGAAAACACTCGTTTGTGCAACGTGTCAATCTCTTCCACTGGATCACCAAGGTGCACCTCAATGCCTTGTTCTTCGTACCATGAACGTGGTTGCATCAATAGTTGATCCACACTGCGATGTGTAAAGTATTGCGTCAATCCAACACGGTTATAGGCCACTGATGCGTGTGAAACAAGGTTACATTAGAAACATTCGATGAAAGAGCATTGTATCATGTTTACCTTCAGGCTCTTCAGAAAACACCTTGATTCGATACATGTCGTCTTCAGCATACTCAATCACCTTTTCCATAAATGAGACAGCAACCATGCCCAATCCCACTACAATGATCGTCTTTGGTGGTGCACGTGGAGGAGGTGGAGGAGGGTGCTCATTATTGTTGCTCGAGGATTCGAGCACTAGATCAATAGCTCTTTCTGTGTTGGGAGGCATTCAATAATAATGTAAAGAGAGGGATAGAAAGGAAATGATGATGCATCAATGATGAACAGGAAAGGTGATCCTTATAACGGCGATATCATCCGAGTACAATACATCACGTGCTTTTTGAATACCAAGTCAGATTACCTTTTCAGATGTCGAATGGCATGTCCTCATATGGAAATATACGGGAAGAAATCACCAGTTCTTTGGGTGGATAAGGATGATGGACATGCTCTCTTCAAATGATTAAGCATGATGATAAGGACTTGTGCGCTGGAGCATTTTGTTTGTTTTCCGATTTTGGATGAGCTGCTTATCACTTTAATTGATAACGGAAAGTGGAACACTGAAAATCAACCGATAATGATGATGCGTAATGATAGCTTTTGCATGAGATAGAAGGTGCTACTATAATGACCATTGACATATAAGGCTACAAACAAATGTGCGCTCTAAAACGATTACCCTTGTATGATGTTCGCTTATCAGCGAAAACTTTCCGTTATCAATACACCAGGGGTCGGGGTATGGAAAGGAGGAGCAATCGATTGCATTAGGTTGATAGCATGTCATTTTGGTTTTTAACATCTTCATAGATAAGCAATGATGGTGACTTGGCATTCATTATCTCTTGTTTGTAGTCTTATTTGGTTAAGTAGTGTTGTAAGTAGATTGACATGTGCGGGTTGTGATAATGATGATCCGGTGTCGGCATCATCACGGCGCCAAGATGAGTTAGTTGTATGATGATTCTTTATGATAAACACGCACAATGGTAGTAGAGTTGATCTATCTATCAAGCAATCCAATGTCTTTGAAAATGTAGATTTTTATACAATAGGAATTATGATAAATGCAATCTTCTAATAGCTAGAATACAAAGATGTTTTTCAACGCAAACTCGTCACCCATTACTTGAGCAATCAATGGTTTACAACAATGTTCAATCATAGTATCGGACCCACACAATAAGACCATCTTGTCATTGTCGCTTGACGTTCCATGTGGAAAGAGGTGCTCGGAAATCTCTGAGGCTGTGAGTCTACCTTTGCCATGTCCCCAATCATTGCCAGGCCTAGAGAGGATGAACCTAGTAGTAGTGATGTTAAAAGAGTTGTTCACTACAAATGATGATGCTATCTATACATACCTAACATGGAACATGTGAGCACCCAATACGCGTTGTAATTCCATGATTTCTTTGGCGAGGACCAAATCTTCATAATGGCGTGCGCAGTAGATCAGAGATACTTTGGGTGGGTTGTGGTCGTGTTGAATAGCATCGAGAATTTGCCACATGGGTGTGATGCCAGTGCCACCAGCAATCATGCCAATGTGTTGTACATGTCGAGCTGGCTGACGCATGAGGGAGTAATGACCATCACCAAGGTATTCATATTCGCCCAATGGACCCTTGACATCAATCGTTTCACCTATACGCAGCTTATCCAGCAATTGAGTGAATGCACCACCAGGCTGTCGATGATCCGGGAAATACACCTTGATGATAAACTCGACAAATCCAGGACCAGAATCACTAGGTGTATAGGCACGCATGATTGATTTTGGTTGTGTTTGCCGTTGTTGGCGATCCGTTTGCTCCTGAGGCATCTTGAGATATACATGTTGACCAATTGGCAAACCAAGTGGCTGATTGCATCCATCAAATACAAAACGAAAGAGACGAATGGTGGGCGATAATGATTGTTTGCTGTCAAGAGTCATCTTTTTCCATTTCTTGGGTTCGAGGAATGATGTATGATCGTCATTGATGTTGATTGATGATGACAATGTGATTGTGCTGCTGTTTGTGGTATCGGGATGACTGAAAGCATTGGATGATGCCAATGATGATGTGGTTGAACTATGTTCGGATGATGATGATGAGAGCTGACCGATCAGATAATCTTGTAACATGGTGTGTGCTTTGCTTGAATGAATGGCATCGAATTCTTCGGTTGTATCAGTGCCAGCTGTTATCAGGATGCTTGATGCCCCACCAGGATGATCTTTCATAAAGGGTGTACAATCGTATACGAGATCATGTACTATAATCCAGCAATCATCTTCTTTTTGGTGCATCTCAACTTGAGCTAAGGTGTATGTTGGCAATGAAGAGGGCTGCTTTGCTGTTGTTGTTGTTGTGTCTGGTGTTGTCGATACATCGGCATTATCATCTTTCTTGACCAATGCTGCCATCCATCCACCTGGTTGAGGACCTGCCAACGTAGGGTGCTCACATCGAATAGCCAATGACGGTTCACGCTCCATTGACAACTTTACACGGAACCAGCAATTGTTCATCATGCCCATGAGGTTCCATGTCAGGTTCTCGGGCTGTGTGTTTTGCGATTCGTCCCATGCTCGCACCACCATTTCATCGGCACGCACCAAGTCTGCAACTTCCAAGTCGACATGCCACAATGTCCAACTCCAGTAGCGTGAGGATTGATAGTAACCAGGACCAGTCAGCTGACCATAAGCAGCAGCAATTTGATGGGAAGGGGGACGATGTAATGTAGCCAGCAACCATGTCTTGCCGCTATCAAGGGATATTTCTACACGTGTGATTCGTCGATTGCCACCCGTATATGCGTATCCACGCGCTGTATACGTTTCTTGCAGGTTGTGTAGCATGATACGCTCATCATGGTTGGGTGTTGAAATAACGCTATTAACATTGAGGTCATAGAGTGTGTATTCAGGTCGTGGCCACCATTTCTCATCCGTTGCTTGTTCAGCTGATTTCACTTGCGTTGGGAACACTTTATTATCACCGTTATGGAATGGATTCGTCGATTCACTATCGCTTGCTTCAATGCGTCCAAGCCATTTGACGCTTCGACCACCAATACATCCAGGAATAATGACTCGAATTGGAAATCCATGGTCGGCTGGCAACAATTCGCCATTCATTTTATACGCCAACATGATATCGTAATGATCAGACATCACCCGATTTGCAGCTATTGATGTACCATAGCCACCCTACACACATACACTCGTTAGATAGGCAACATTAAAAGAATGAATAGTGAATTATGTACTACCTTGGATGTCTTATCAACGCCTTCAAAGCATATGAACTTGGCTTCATCTTTCAGCCCACCACCAAAGCGATTTATAACGTCTCGTAAATAAACGCCGGTCCAACATGCTGTACTTGCACCAGCTGCGCCCCTAATAGTGAGCACACAGTTATTAATAGGAGTGAGTCGGTATATTAGAAGTGGTTAATAAAGATGTTAAGAAACGTACCATCCAAATCCAATGGATTGCTTGACCATGTTTTGCTCTTTTCGACGATTGCCAGCACAAACCATAGTAACGGGTAATGTGGTCGGTGGCATGGATGCAATATCATCCATAGTGATGGTAGTGGGTGAATTGACAAGACCAGTGATATCAATGCGATGCTCTTCCCATGTAAGCTGTGGTACTGGTCCATGGTTGCGTACAAAATGAAGATGATTAGGTGTGACATAGCCGGCTTTCTCTAATGATTTTAACGGGGCCTCTGATAACACGTATGGAATTGTAAGCAAACATGCGAAAGTAATATGAAGTATACGTACCAGCATTGAAGGGGTGTTTTCCAGTAAGCCGAACCATGGAAGGATCACGCAGCACAAAGGCATCTGGTGTATTCTCGTCTCTAGGATCGATAGTGGTGGGTGGCTTCATGATGTTGGATTCATCCATCTTCGTGTTTTCCAGGGAAGGCATATGAATAAAAGTCGTCGAATGCGATAGAGGAAGATGAAAGAAATAAAAAAACGAGTGCTACTTAGCCCAGTAAATGGTGGTGTGCTAGTAGCTGGTTCTCCATACGCCGTTGCCTATATTTGTGTATCATGCCTTTGATTACCGTGGATCGGAACAACATGTGCAGCACTCTTTTTACATATCAAAAGCCACGCTGGGATCATAGAGATAAGAGTAAAAAAAAGATTGGAAAGGGGGAGGAGGTTTAAAACATGGTTGCCAAATCGAGCAAAGTGAGATAACGACGTGCCTGTGTAACTTTGACAAGAAAGATCAGCTTTTGTCCTATGCAGCACAGGGTGCACTTTGAGATCGAGAACGCTTCGACCATCGTTCATTTTCTTTACCCCTTGTACATACCCCGTTTTCGATTACACCAATCAGCTATATACCGGGAATTTGCATTTTCAGGGTTTTCATCCAATTGCTAATATAGAAGAGGGTGGTGGTTTGCTCATCCTCAAATCTTCATCCATTTTATTTGAAGAGTGCTCGGGTTTTGCATGTGAGTGCGTGGTTTTCAAATGAATTACGTGATTTGTGTTCTTCAATCCCGACACAGTGGTAGTGATATACATGTCGTGGCAGGTACACAATTCATTGTCATGCTATGTACAGCGGCAATTGGCACACCACTCATTCACAATGAAATGTGATGACATTATTAATAACTTCAAGCCGTGTCATTATCAACAAGGAGTAATGGATTAATGCATTTGAAACAAAGACCTGCCAACATTGACCTTACAAGGTGACATTGTGTTCACATACATTAAACGACACCCTTCAAGATCGACCAATTATAACAGCTGGTCGCATCAACCTCTCAGAGTCTGGGTTTTTTCGGGTTCCTTTACTATCACACGGCCGTCTCTTTATCTCTCGACCATACTCCTTCTTGTTGTTTGTTACCTTTTTAGAGGTGATGGTAAAGAGCACCATGATCAAATTAAGTAGATCACACGTACACCATTATCAAATTTGACAATGCCCATCCTTCTTGGGAGCAACAAGAAAACATGTTCCCTAAAGCAGCCTATTCTATTATACAATGCTTGGGTCATTTTCGTTTTGATTGATGTATTGTCATCAGCTCATAGCATAAGCTGATCACAAAATGCTCCAAGGTTTACTGCATAGGAGAGGAAAAGATAACGGAGGATACGATCGAATGATGGGTAGGCTCACATGCAATGATAAATTCTTATCGCAGTCCCCACTTTTTCCTCTATCGTATTCTTATCTTGTATTTTGATAACCATAATCCACCAAAATGAGTGTGGAATGCTCATGCCTGTCAACCTATTGAACATTGGATTGCAGATCCTTTCGGCTTGATAGCCATTTTCTTGAAAGGGATCCCTAGGATAATCAAACGTAAAGCGTTATCGGATCGAGACCATTGTTTTCTAGATGATCCCATTCAAAGGATTTACATGTTGTATATAAAGATCCTCCTTTGTTGGGCGTCACCAACATTGTCATTCAACCCTATCATCCACATACAAGCTTCTTCAATAACAATCACTACGCCTTTTTCTAATTACTATCCACTTCCCTTATCTAAATAAGGATACCCCACTCACAAAATGAAATTCTTTTCAAGCGACATTATCATTGACCAGCATGGCAAAGCTGTCAACTTCAAGATGCACTCACTACAAATGCCACATATGCGAGCGTTACACTTGGTAAGTGCCAATCGGTACATCCATTTCAATCCACCCAGGACCATTAATGATATCTTTTTTGGGGGATGACGCAGGCATGGATCTCTTTTATGGTTGCCTTCTTGGCGTGGTATTCAATTCCACCTGTGATCGATCATATAGCAGAAGACTTAAACATCCCATCGGTGGAAGTTTACGATTCCAATATGGCTGCTGTTGCTATCACTATTGGTGAGTAGGCAATAATCAAAGTTCCAAGCATATTGATTTCCCACTGATACGTGATAAAACTATAGTTGCACGGCTTTGCATTGGTCCATTGTGTGAGCGATGGGGTCCACGTAGGATAATGACTTGCTTGTTGATCATTGGTGCTATCCCATGCGGTTTAACGGGTCTCTTGACAAACGGCACTGGATTGATTGTACTTCGGTAAGATTGCTTTTATTTCTCAAACCTCTATCTCGATCGTAATTCTTATGCATGTTGGTATACGTAGATGCTTTATTGGTATCTTAGGGTCAGCTTTTATCCCATGTCAGCTTTGGTCGACATTGATGTTTGCACCTTCTGTGGTTGGAACGGCTAATGCCATTTCAGCTGGTTGGGGTAATATGGGAGCTGGCATATCCTACTTGCTCATTCCAGCTTGCTTCGATGGCATTGCAAAGTACACAGGTGCATCGATTGCATGGCGTGTTGTTTTCGTTATCCCAGCTGGTATTTGCATCCTAGTGGGATGTATCGATTACTTTTTCTCGACCGATACTCCTCACGGCGATTGGCTAAAGTTGCGACGACAAGAAGCTCAAGAAAACGACGTCGTATCTGTGATGGAAGCACCAAGCGACAATACTACCGCTGATGGTATGGCAACGACACCTGCTGTCGGCGTTGACAAAAAGTACCCAGCTTCCAGCTCATCTATGCACCAAGATGATGCATCCATTCAAGATGTCAAACGCACACAAACAGCTGCAGGCGCATTGATGGGTGTATTTCGCGTGCTTATCAAGCCCAATGTGCTTATCACTGTATGTTTTTATGCATGCTCTTTTGGCACAGAATTAGCCATTGATAACGTTATTGGACAAGTGTTTCGATCCAACTTCCATCTCGATCCCTCAACAGCATCATACATTGGTTCAATCTTCGGCCTCCTTAATCTCTTTTCACGCCTTTCAGGTGGTCTCTTCTCCGATTTTTGGGCACATCGACTCTCTTTACCTGGTCGTATTTTGGCACAATTCATTCTCATGTTGGCTGAAGGTCTTGCGTTAATTGGCTTCAGCTTTGGATTGGATACAAGCCTCGGTGGTGCTATTGGTATCATGGTTGTATTCAGCTTTTTTGTGCAAGCAGTATGCGGATCTACGTTTGGCATTGTCCCATTCATCGATCCTGCCAATAATGGCAAGGTCATGGGTATCGTTGGTGCAGGTGGCAACCTTGGTGGTTTAATATTTAACCTCATGTTCCGCCAATTCCAACCCAACTTCCATGGCGCGTTCTTGTGTTTGGGATGCATCACCACAGGTGTCGCTATTCTTGGTTGCTCGTTGATAACAATACAAGGAAAATCCATTTGGCATTCATTCAGCAAACTCAATGCATAAATTACAATAAGGAGGATCGTCCCCAGTAGTACATAGCATCTTGTGTTCACGTCGCCACGCGAGTATATATTATACATATCATTGAAGTAATAAAACCTAATACTGATGAAGGCAACAGCACATAGACCTCCACGTGAAATACATGAACCATCATGTGATGGGCTGGCTATTACCTATGCAATGCGACATAGCACACAATCGCCGCGTTTTTATGTTGCCATGGTATCCATGCCAACTATCGCAATTTGTTGTTGCGTTATGTACATGTATCCATGTTGCTAAAAGTTTACCTGGTTGAGGTGTTTTATGGTAGCAGATAGTACGAATAAAGCGTAATGATACTAATAAATGATAATCGAGAGATGTTGCCTAGCACGTTGCCATCGCAACTATATATAATTGTTGTATTAGCAAGGCTGGTATGATATAGCTATAGCATCAGCGATCATAGATCATGGCTTTTAGAGCGTCATGGCTGTTCTATGTTTGTAGTGGCACCAAATGTTAGGCATGGATTTCAGTTCGCACCGAGAAGTGTTCAAAGATTTTATTACGAACGTCGACAAACACTATACGTGCGACGTTCATCACATCTGGGACCATATTATGGTAGTACGATCATTCAGCCTTGGACCAACAAGATTTAAGCTTATTTCTTGACCCTGTTGTTGGTGGCATTCTTATCGATTAAGAATGCTCCTATATGATCGATCAGCCTATACTTTCAGCTGGTTGATTACATCTTGTGATTTGGATTCATCCATGGAAAGATGTTGATCAAGACCTGCTTTTTGGATTCCTTGATTGGCTCAATGACAATAACAAGGTTACTTGGATGTACGTAAAATTAAGGTTTTAAGGTTTGTTTGTTACCTTTTTGGGATTGAAAGCGCAAGGATCAATCATACGAACGTGAAAGGGCGAGTAGACATGGGGGAAGCGCCACTGGCCCATATGACTGATGGGTGCAAAACATTACATTCCTATCGGCATTAATATCGTATGAATGATAAGCAATCGTAATCGCATTCCAGGAAAGATTCTATCATCATCATTAAAGATAAGAAGGATCAAAGACGTTGATGCATAGCAGGCTTATCTTGCATCTCATGTTTGATGCCATGTGTATACTGCCCGTAGATAACTGGACTCCGAAAAGCACAGCATCGATCTCTTGCCATTCAGGACATATCATTAAATTAGGTTTACCATTGTTTGTTATGTGATGAAGGATACCAAGTAACCACTGACACATCTTCATTTTCATGCGGGTAGCGATGATAAACAAGTCCGAGAAATCCGGGAACGACACGTTCTGCCGCATGATCGCTTACCATCATTCTGGATGGATCAACGACACTCATCTATGAGGGATCACCAGTATTTAAGGGTGTTTTTGTCTTGCAACGTTTCGCTTTTATACCAATTCATCAACGTCCTATCATTAGGAAAGTCATAAAGCTACCTTTAAGCAAGCAGCGTACCTTGGCAAAACCCCTTACTTTACATACACAATACACAATACACGATCATGCAATTCTTTGCAAAAAGCATCACCGTTGATCAACATGGAAAGGCCATAAATTTCAAAATGCATTCAATACTACAGCATCCGCACATGAGGGCGATGCATTTGGTAAGGGAGATAATGATCATGTCAAGCCATCACATTTACTGATTGGTCATGGGCACCTATTCTCTCTACTCTAACAATAGGCATGGATATCGTTTATGGTTGCATTCATGGCATGGTTCTCCATCCCACCGGTAATGGATCATATTGCAGAAAACTTGAACATCCCATCAGCTGAGATGTATGACTCGAACATGGCTGCTGTTGCTGTTACTATTGGTAGGCCAATCATGGTATATGACCTTCCTTCATTGACTCATTATTGATGATGATCCACTGTGTTGTGTATAGTGGCACGTATCGTTATAGGCCCGATGTGTGAGCGTTTTGGTCCTCGACGTGTAATGGCAACCATATTGATTGTTGGTGCTATCCCTTGTGGGTTGACTGGGCTCTTGGCAAATAGTGCTGGCCTAATCGTTCTTAGGTAATTACAATGATGCTACCTTTTTTTATTTATCTCAACCATGAATCTCATCGCATACATAGATGTGTCATTGGCATATTGGGTGGAGCGTTTGTTCCATGTCAATTTTGGACCTCACAGATGTTTGCTCCCTCTGTGGTTGGAACAGCTAATGCCATTTCAGCTGGTTGGGGCAATATGGGAGCCGGCATAGCCTACTTGCTCATTCCAGCTTGCTTCGGTGGCATTGCCAAGCACGCGGGTGATTCCATTGCATGGCGTGTTGTTTTCGTTATCCCAGCTGGTATCTGCATCCTAGTGGCATTTATCGATTACTTTTGCTCAACCGATACTCCTCATGGTGATTGGCTAAAGTTGCGACGACAAGAGGCTCAAGAGAAGGATGTTGTATCTGTAATGGAAGCAACCAACAGTGAATGTGCTGACACGACATTAGCGCCTGACTCTGAAAAGAAGTTTCCACCATCAACATCATCAGCACAAGGAACCAATGATGATGATGAATCAATATCCGATGTCAAGCGCACCGAATCCGGTATGGATGCACTTTTGGGTGTATTCCGAGTCCTTATCAAACCAAATGTGTTGATCATGGTGGTATTCTACATTTGCTCTCTTGGCACCGAGTTGGCTATTGATAATGTCGTTGGCCAAGTATTTCGCACCAACTTTGGTCTTGATCCAGCAACATCGGCATACATTGGTTCAGTCTTTGGGTTGCTCAACTTGTTCTCTCGACTTGGTGGTGGGCTATTTTCAGACTTTTGGGCACATCGTTTCCATCTCCCAGGACGTATCATGGCCCACTTTATAATCATGCTCATTGAAGGGATCGCATTGATTGGATTCAGCTTTGGATTGGATACAAACCTCGGTGGTGCTATTGCATTGATGGTCTTTTTCAGTTTGTTTGTGCAAGCAGCAGCAGGGACTACCTTTGGATTGGTACCCTTTGTTGATCCAGTCAACAATGGCAAGGTCATGGGCATCGTTGGTGCAGGTGGTAACCTTGGTGGTTTAATATTCAACCTCATGTTTAGCAAGTTCCAACCCGACTTTCCTGGTGCCTTTTTATGTTTAGGATGCATTACTACAGGGGTTGCCATACTCGGATGCGCATTGTTACGTGTGCAGGGCAAGACATTATGGCACCTATTTGGCAATCGCCATCATTGAATTCATCATCTTTGTACAATGACCCTTCCATGATAACAAAGTGTATTATATTTTATATGTTTATTCATAGCAATAAAGGAACATAAATGTAAAGAGCAAACTGCCATCATGGACATCTTTCTCCTGGAACAAGTTGCATGCATGGTTGTGGGTGGTGGGGAGACTAAGCTGAAACAGTTACACAAAGGAAGGTTGACACAAATATGCCGCCACCATGTGGAGCTTGATCAATTATCTCTTTCTCTTTCCCCCCATTTCGTGTCTTCCAAACACACCTCAATTCCTCAATGGCAGCTCGCAATTCAAAATCGCAGCAATCCTCAGGTCCTTCTTGCTCGAATGGAGATGACAAGCAGCAACAGCAACAGCAACAGCAGCTTCAGTTGAAGACGCGTTTCTTTTCAGAAGTCGATAACCGGAACGGTTCCGTACATTGCACTCTTCAAGTTACCCACGTTCACTGGATGGAAGTCAAGCACCCAGACGGCATAAAACCTGTTGCGATAGGAGTATGTGGGGATGTGGATTCCTTTAAGGATAAACATGCTTACATTTGCCCATCATCAGGAACGTTTACGACAACGAGCATTACAGCAAGAATCAAAGGACGAATTGGATGGCTCAAATGATGATAGCTCGCATGATGATTCGGATTCGCCTGTATTGGAAAGGTATCAATGGGTAGATTGGAGACACGTTGAATGGCTTTTTGCTGACACGTAAACGCGTGTAGTGATAACGACCTCGAGATTATCCGCAAGGAGAACTTTTTCAAAGAAGAGCTTACAGAAGAGGAACGTGATCTTGTTGCCAAGCGAGTATTGATGCACCAAAAGTTGGTCAAGAAGCACGAACGACGCGAGAAGAGACGCAAATCAAAAAAGATCCGGATCATGTTTGACTATGTGAATGATGAGGAAATTGATGAGATGTTAAACGACTGCAACAGAGACGAGGTACGTGCGCTTGAAGGTCCATGTGATTATATCTGACATATGGAGCCTCTTGTATACTATCGTCAGGATGAAGTCATTTGTCGCCTCGCTCAACAAGTTGGCTATCTCAACACCATACGCAAGCAAGTTGCCATGAAATACCCCCAAGAAAACACCCAAGCATCAGGTAATGGAAAAGGGAATAAATGTACTTTTTATTCTAACGCGTCTAATGTAGGGATGACGATGAGTGCGGAGCAAAAGCAAGCTTATCAACAGCTGGTCAAAAAGCGAGCTGAGACATTGAGGAAAACCACTACTGACAGAGCCAAAAAGTATGCCTTGATATTTGAGATACGTCACCATGTTAACATGAGGCTTGATTAGGCAATATCGAATGGGCAGTCGTCTTTGTTTGGATGAAGCGGTCAAGCAAGCACAGCAACATCAAAAAGTGGATCCTGAAAAGGCATTTGAAGGATGGTCTGAAGCACGCATTTACGCCTACAGAATGATCGATGAGAACCCCAACAGCTATTATTATCGTTTCAATGCACCAGGAGAAGTTCAACGTAGAGGACAATGGTCCAAGGTAAGTAATGTTTTGGATTGCTCAAGCTGCATGAAGCACTCATGGAGTCGACATTTACATAGGAGGAAAAGAAGCTATTCTTTGCACGACTTGCTGAGATTGGAGCCAATGGACAATGGGGCATCTTTAGCATGAAAATACCAGGTCGCGTTGGTTACCAATGTTCCAACTTTTATCGCCTCTTATTGGAAACCAAGCAGATCACTGATCCCAACTACGTTCTTGATGAAAACGGCAAAGCGCGTTATCTCTTTGATAAGAAGGATGCCAGCGGCAAAGTCCACAAAGCATTTCGTACGCATCGACCCACTGTCATCGAGGAAGACAACAACAATGGTAGTAGTAGCAATGGAAAACGTCGACGTGCCACTACTCGATCATCCTCATCATCTGCTGCTGCTGCTTCTTCTTCTGCTACTGCCAATGACAACACTACCACTGCAACCAATGCACAACAACAACGATCTGGAAAAAGACGAAGACGACGATTTGCTGCATCCGATGAAAGCGATGACGATGATGATGACGGTGGTGCTTATGTGGATGGTGAATATCGATCGAGTCGTTCTAGAGCAAGGATGATGGATACGACACAATCGAATGATGGAGACAATGTGGGACGTCGACGAAGCAAACGACAACGAAAACCCACAGCTGCGGCTATCGAGGCGGGGTTGGTTGCCGAATCCAGACCCTCTTGTTCTTGGGAGACTTCCATCACTGGTACAACACACGACCAACAAGGAACACACTCAAAGGACAATGATGATGAATCCACACTCAACAACAATGAGCAAAATCCTCTTCCAGGGTTCATTGATCCAATCACATTGACCGAAGTCGTTAAGCCTGCCATTTCAAAATATGGACATGTAATGGGGTACGTGCCACAACATGAGGTCGTGTGATGGATATATATATGTATATAAACTAATCACGGTATTTTAGATATGACAGCTGGGTGCGTTGCTTGACGCGTTGGGAAGGAAAGCAGAACATTTGCCCACTCACAAAGAAACCTCTGACAAAACGTGACCTTGGTAGGTTGTGGGGAGGAGGAGGGGTTGATTTTCATGAGCCGAATGCATATTACAGTATCAGCTGATACATCCCTTCTTTCATAAAGTGATTCTGGACTTTGATAATATTGAGGAGTACAGGTGAGGTTCATGATGATCATCATCATTCTTTCTCCATCGCAAGATTAATTCATCCGTTTCTATTTGTTTGTTGTAGGTCTCGGATCGTAAACCTGTGAGATGCACTCGTGGTGTCCAAAAGGTTCCGGCATTTCCCGTTCCGAGGTACTCATGCAGCCCATTTTTACAGAAATCATGAAGAAAAAAAGGAATGCAAAAGCTGTTAAGGAGTCAAGATTTTTTTATTTACGATAATGAATGTCACTTTTATCAACCTGTGAAGACATTTTGGATCTCCTCTTTGAGTTGTGGTGCGCCTTTTACGCTGGGGGTGTTCATAGATATATATATACGATGTGGTGGGTAGTGGAATTTTTGTGTTGTTATATGGCGTGTTGTGTGTTGTGTCGAAAGGATATGCAGATTTTGCGGTGGTTGTTGGGGAGCACAAGGAGAGAGATGGGGAAGAAATGTAAAAAGAAACTTGTGGTCCGGTCCTACTCTGTACTTTTCCCACAAGCATAAAACGAGAACAGAGATGGGATTAGACTCCACCGCCGCTTCGGCTACACAACGTGAGAGTCCCATATTAGTCAAGGCTATTCATTTTCAAGGAGTATGTGATGATGGTGATTGCGACTGCTTCTTTACTAATGGTATTATCAACTCACCTCACATCACGCAATCCAATGCCTTGGTTACGCTGCTTCCAATCTTCTCGAATACGTTCCAAGTTTTGATGGTCGCTCGATGGCTCTCCCGATGGTACAAATCGTAGTGGCTGTACTGAAGCTGCTCTGCTTCTAAGCGAATAAAAGGCTGTTGCTGCTGCAAGTGTCAAAGGCACTGACCTGTTGTTACGTTGAAGAATTAGTTGTCTCGTGCATGGCAACGCCTTGAAAAGGGGAGCATTATCATTACCAATATAAAGCTGAGCCGTGAACAGGTCTGGGCATAGTGTTTATTTAAGGATGTGGTGAAAGAAAAAGAGAGAAAAATGCGGGGTGGTGTGGTGCGAGCAAAAGGCATTTTTATGCAGGCTTTGGTTACCATTTTGGTATTGTATGGAACCAACTTGTTTACCCCATTGATTCACCCATCGCCCACCATCACCATTACCACCACAAACCACACCCAACTTATTCACACTTGACACCACTTGCTTAGTTGCTGCAGCCTATTTACATAATCTTGGCATGAATCATTCGGCATGCCAAGTGCATTCATGCTATTGCAGCAGCGACAAAAAAAAGTCAGCCAATACGCATTTCTTAGACTCCTTCTGATTATGGCAGTCGGCCCGTTTCACTTCCCAGGGTGATTTTCGTGGTCATGGTAACACATCAATCATTCGAGTTGTCTCTCTCTCACCCTCTCAGTTCTAATTTTTTGGATATGCATTGACCTCGTGACCCCTAGCCATAGAGACGCCGTTATCGTTGTATAGCTCTCACGCGGTATCCAGCACCTCCATAAACGGCAAGCGCATTGAATAAAATAAGCTTTTCTTGATCAGCCTGCAAACAATACAATGTAACCATGGTTGTTGGGTGTCGGCGGTTTCCAGTTATCTGGATGATGGTTTGGGTATCCAAAATGCTACAACGGCCTAATTCCATGATCCCGCTGTTGTGCAATGTACGGCGAATCCATCAACTTTGAGTGCAGTGCTGTGTAACTATCTTAGCAGTCAACACGTTACACTCATCTAAAGAAATAACGGCTGGTTTTTTCCCCTCGCAAGTGGCCTCTTCTACCCACACCAATATGTGATTCGCATGTGAATTGCTTTGTCGTTGGGAAGATGCAAGGATAAAATGTCACGTGGACTATCATGCTAAAAAGTGATATGTATGTGAATCCCCTTAATAGCACAAGAGCATCACCTCTTCGCTATGCGCGATGATTGGATAGTGACGGTGAAGAGTATACATTACACCTTGTAAACGGCTTCAATCATACAATGGATGGATCATTCACAAAGTATCTTTTCATTATGCCTATGAAGCCATTCGATTGTATGGTCAAATAAGCCTTTGTCATCAGCTGTGGAAGAATCCCAAGGAGATGTGGTACGTGCTTGAAATTGTAACAAGGAGCTGGTATCGTCGTCATCCATATTGTGCAACCAGCTTGGCACGTCAAATGATTTGTGAAACCCAATCGTGCAGCATAATCCATGTCTCATTGACCCAATGGCGTCATTCAAATGTTGGATTTCATCAATGCAACAGGTATACACGTACATAGTCATTATGGAAAGCTCTGTTACGAATAGTACAGGCATGCAGCTTATTAATCAAGCTTGGTGGGATCATTAAAGAAGCGATCTATCATCCTCCTTGTGTGATGTGATATGCTTTATTCGTTATCTACTTCTTGTGTCAATGAGTAGACTAGCTCATTTTGCACCGAAGCGCCTCGCTGATTGACAAAATAGGGAAGGGACACGTACAATCTTGATATCGTGATCGGCTGCATTGTCTTTTATTGGAAGATGATGATGGGATTTCCCCCTGCTGCCGTTCAAATTGACAATGGATATTGGCTGACACATCCATAATAGACAACGAGGATGCAACAATGCGATGCTGCTGATATCAGTAGTAATTTCTGGAAGGCACTAAAAGAGGCATGTTCGAAACTCCTGATGAATCGCGCCGCTTACAAATTCAGCGTAGCAAGGAACAGATTACAAATCAAAGGGATCGGCGGAATTCCAAAACATTCAAAAGCAGATTGACTGACATAATATGGTATTTGACAACAAACACCGAGCAATATAAAAAGGCCAGCCCCATTCTTTTCCTGTCAAAAGTATTATTCTTTAATTAAAACTATCATCGCTATGGTCTCATCCTCTGCTCTTTTCAGCCCTATCCAACTTGGTGCTTCCAAGCTTCAACATCGTGTGGTCTTAGCACCCTTGACTCGTTTTCGCAGCGATGACAACCACGTTCCTACCGAATTGAACAAGGAATACTATACCCAACGTGCTACCCCTGGTGGTTTATTGATCACTGAAGCTACGTTTATCTCACCTACCAGTGGCCTTTATCCACACGCTCCTGGTATCTACACTCAAGAACAAATTAATGCATGGAAGTCTATTACCGATGCTGTGCATGCCAAGCAAGGAGTTATCTATTTGCAGCTTTGGCACGTGGGCAGGGCATCAAGTAAGATTTTCATGAACGGCCATACACCTGATTCAGCTTCTGCCATCCCTATCAGTGGAACAAGTCTTTTCACCGGCAAGGAATGGGAGGTTCCTCATGCATTGACCGTTGAAGAGATCAAGGGTATTGTTGGTGACTATGCACAAGCTGCCAAGAATGCTATTGAAGCCGGTTTTGATGGTGTTGAGATCCACAGTGCCAATGGATACCTTTTGGATCAATTTATCAACACCTCGAGCAACAAGCGTACGGATGAATATGGTGGCCCTATCGAAAACCGCACTCGTTTCACTTTGGAGGTGGTTGATGCTGTCACCAATGCCATTGGTGCTGAGCGTGTGGGTATTCGCTTCTCTCCTTGGTCCGAATTTCAGGTAAGGCGACACATCTCCACTTGTTGTTATCATTCAAACTCACTCACATTATCATTTCTTTCCATGAATTCTTAGGATATGGTTGATGAGATTCCTTATGATACTTGGGGATACCTTGTCAGTCAACTCCAAGAGAAGCACTCTGACATGGCTTACATCCATATGATTGAACCACGTGATGATTTCTCTCGCAAGACCAAGAACGATACCGCCAACACACTTGATCCTTTCCGTAAGGTCTGGAAGGGTGCTTTCATCTCTGCTGGTGGCTACACTACCAATCCTGCTCTCGCTCAAAAAGTTGCCGAGGAAACTGGTAACTTGGTAGCTATCGGAAGAGCATTTATCGCCAACCCTGATATTGTTGAGAGATTGAGAAATGGATGGCCCTTGACCAAGTACAACCGTGACACCTTTTATTCCCCTGGAGCTGTTGGCTACACCGATTATCCCTTCTACAGTGCATAAATAGAATAGACTTTCATCCCTCAATACAATTAATATGATACTTTATTAACCATTTCATGTAAAAAGTAATGTTGACTTGTATAAGGATAATGATGTCTTTGATAGAGTGTTTGCCGTTGTCAGGGATGTGATTGTTTTGGTTGAGGGAGTGCTCTGCAATGTGATGCATCTCAGATTTGTGGACTCAGCTGTTGTCAATAACACCTGGTGGGAGAACGCGACTGAGAAAACACAACCTCTTTATCCGCCATTGTCATTTACCATGCTGCGATCTGCCTTAGTGTCTCGCCCTCTGCTATCGTCAACAACTAAACGTGCATTCTTCAGCACCGTCAGCAAACGATTACAGCAACAACAGCAACAGCACGATCCCAAATTGACTCACTTTGGCTTTCGCAATGTCCCCGAGGAACAAAAGGAATCACTGGGTACTTTATCCAATCCACTCAGTCCATGTAGCACATACTAAAGTGTGGAGAACTATAGTGCACCAAGTGTTCGCCAACGTTGCCGGCAACTATGATGTTATGAACGACGCTATGAGCTTGGGTATTCACCGTATTTGGAAAGACCAATTCATTCGATCAATGGCTCCTGGTCCTGGTACCAAGTTACTCGATGTTGCAGGTGGAACAGGTATAGTACGGTGAAAGGAAGAGTGATGCTGTGATTCTTCATCCACTCATTGTGTGTGGTATAGGTGACATTGCTATGCGCTTTTTGGACTATTGCAAGAACATCCATCGCGACAACACATCTCATGTTACCATGGTTGATATCAATCCACACATGTTGGAAGAAGGAAAGAAGCGATTTGCATCATCACCATACGCTACCAGTAAGCATTCAATCGGTACAAAAAGGGGATGTGCCATTCATTGTGTCTATATACGTAGCCAACCAAACCGAATTCATGGTGCAAAATGCCGAGAAGCTTGAGAATATACCTGATGAATCCATGGACGTGTATACAATTGCATTTGGTATTCGAAATTGTACCCATGTGGATCGTGTTGTGAAGGAAGCCTATCGTGTACTCAAGCCAGGAGGTCGATTCATGTGTCTCGAGTTTAGCCAAGTCGACAATCCTCTTATTAGCAAGTACGTGGATGCGAGTCATTGTTGACTTATTGGGGTTGCTCATTTGTATGTTTGTGATAGGGTGTATGACATCTATTCATTCGATGTGATTCCTGTGCTTGGTCAGGTGATTGCCAAGGATCGAGACTCATACCAATACCTTGTTGAAAGTATTCGCAAGTTCCCACCACAAGAAGAGTTTGCACAAATCATTCGTGATGCTGGATTCTCAACGGTTGGCAAAGGTTATGAAGATTTGACATTTGGCGTTGCAGCTATTCATAGTGGATACAAGATTTAGTATCAGCATCCCCAGCACATTACACACCATTTTCCCCTTTCCTGCATCCTTTTTTAGAATACAATCAAATTTATTGAATATCTTAAGCATTATTGTTATCCCGTTGACAGCCATTGGCAGCGTTCTTCGATTGGGTATCATTATCTTCATAATCTTTGGGATTCATTCGCACACCCCAAATAGCAATTGCTATATTAAAAATAGCAAGGACGCCCCAGGGAAAGGTGCTTCGCGAAGAGGATGGGATCCAACTTGCATCTTGAAACCTTTGTGTGTATGGATGATGGTGTCAATTCAATGCAAGTGCATGCATAAATCATCACTTACATTCCCCAAAATAGGGTAGGTGCAGTCGAACCTACCACCCTTCCGCATTGCACAGCAACTACACAGGTTCCCATCAGCCAAATGTAGTTGGATTCCACACACACACTTACATTGCTCCAAACCATTGGTGGTGCCCAGCAAACTAGGACTATTTTTCCTTGCTGCATTATTGACAAGGACAATGGAGACCGTCATTGTTGAGCTTGAAAGCGAAGCGATGGGCGTCAGCAATCCAATGAGGCTGATCCACACAGCGTAGTTGACCATCGGTGTATCCATAACATCAAAGTAATGCACCATGCCAAGTAACGTGTAGCACAATGACAAAATGATAAATACAATCCAAACAAGTCTCACAGAACCGAAACACCTGACCAAAAAGGGGACAACGATTGCAAGTGAGAAGGTTTTGATCATCCCAAGGTAAGACATGGCAGCGGCAATTTCGACCGGATCAAATCCGAGACCACCCAAAGGTATCTCGCATGTAGCATAAACAATAAATAGTACTACCCAAACAATAAATGTTTTGGATCAAGACCTTCGATTGCATTGATTGCTCTGTCAACCTACCTTCGAAGGCCAAGTAGGCACATACGGCCAAAAAGCTCTTTGAAATTGCATGAGCCACTGGAGGAGTCAAAGCTAAACGCATGCGTTGGAAAATAGAGCAATCGAATTGGATCATGTTTTGACGAGGTAGTTGCCGTTGCATGGTGTGTTTATGTGGGGACTCAAAAGTGCTGTAACGCTTGACACGCGTCTCTTCGATGAATGTGGCTGGCTCTTCATTGTGTTGGTGTTTCTTTGTATCCTCCATTGTCTCTTCAACAAAGAAAAAGGTGATGAAACCAGCAAAAAGTGAGTAAAGCACGATCGAGAAGCAAGGTAGAAAGAAAGGATATGTAACCAGGAACGTCTTGATTTGACCATCATGGTGAAATAGTCCAGGATATTGGTTGACAGGGTCCATCAAAAATGCTGTGTGGCCATTAAAACTATGCTCGATCATTTTTTCATCTATACTTACATCCTACAAGTGGGCCCACACAAATGCCCACACCATACCCGATTGACGTAAGAGACATTACCATCGCACGTTGATCTTCAGTATTGTTTTTGGTGATCTCAGCTAGCATACTGATGATAACACCAAGGCTGTTATCCTATTTTACAAACATCAGCCATAACCATCATTAGCATCTTTACTATGCCTTGCATACAAGAAAGCCAAAGATGCCTCGTGCAGCGATGGCCCACCATATAGAACGGCATAAACCAAGAAGGAGACATCCAATGATAGGTCCCATGAATGACATTAGCAACACCTTGCGTCGTCCGATGTAATCAGAAAGAGCACCCCATGGTATTGCTTATCCATCACAAATGTTAATGTATTGCCCTTGAGGGATCCCTTATTGTACTTACATCCAATAATTAAGCCAATGCCGGGAGCGGCCGACATTAGGCCTGTGTAATAACCCACATGCTCTTGATCACTGTGCCCGCTCAATTGCTTTACCATCTAAGATACATCCTTTGTTACTTGACCCAAGTACATCTCTTCATACAAACGGTGCACTCACTGGAACGAGAAACGGGTATATCACAGCCACACCAAGAGGATTCTACCATAACGCGTGTTATTAGGAGGATGCTTGGGTATACCATCTTGCTCCAACATTGTTGCTGTCATACACACAGTTAACCGGGCGATGAAAATTGGGATCAGCTGTCGGTATGGCAACGGTGGTTTAGTTGTCGATTCCATGGATACGGCTGGCAGAAGAAATGCTGTGTGAAGGAAAAGATAAAGAAAAGGTCAAACGAGGCGTATTCGATCTCACTAAAAGTTTTATCCTCGTGTATGTACTACATCTTTGCTTCTTGTAATGCCAATAGCGCATCTAATGGGTATACTTTAAACTTTCGAGAAGAATGTTGATGACTACCTTTGGCAAATAAAGATGCAACTAGAGCAGTGCACACAAACAGAGGCGATGAAATGTTTCTAAAACAGGGGGAATATTTATTGCATAAAGCGTTTCAAAATGAGGGTAGTAAATATGTATAAACAAGCATCTTCCTATTGTTGAATGGAGCATTTTGCCAAATGAATCCCACTCTTGTCCTGCGGCATCACTGTTACTTTGGTCTCTGTGCCATCCACAAATACTGTAGGAGCAACACCATCATCCACTGTAAACCAAATGTTGAAAGCTGACGACTTGATGTTTTTACGTAACGAGATGCGGATTGTTTGACCTTGTTGTTCCTGATCCCAGGTTTCAATATCCCATCCAGGCACAAGATGCCCTGTCGATCCAGCAAAGCGATCGGTGATATACATGAATGATCTCGTTTCATGGGGTCGTAAGAGGATTTCATCTCCATGCTCAGGCTTGTACCACGCCACCTTGGTATCGAGGCCTTGCTGATCCACCAATGGATTCTTTTGTTCGAAAAAGTAGTAAGCGACTGTTTCATCCAAAGGCAGCTTCGTTTTGAACAACACAGGTGACAAATTGATCAACAAAATATAGCGACGATTGTTGCATGTGTAATCAAGCCTGAATACGTCTGGGCCAATGGGTATCATTTGCTGGATCGATGCATGGACTTTGGGAAAGGTGGATGCATAGAGCTGATGTTCGATGTCGTTGTACTTTGTAATATCATCTGACATGAGGGTAAGCTGACCGATAATCATGTTGACAGTGCAAGTGGTGAAGCGCTCATCAGGTGTCAATTTGTTATCATTGGATCGCAAAAAGAATACGTCGGGATCGGTGCCAAAGATATGTTTCATAGGCCATCGATGGAGTGTTGACATGAGAGCATTATGCGTAGCCACACGTTCACGTACATGTGCCAAACGTAAGACTGAATGATCCCAAAATGGCGAAGCATCACTGCTGATACGGCAATAATCCAATCGACCCCATGTAGCAGCGAGTGGTACACCCGAGCCCAATAATAAAGCACGACCTTGAGTCAATTCATTGAGCAAAGTGACAGCATCCCAAACAATCTCGCCTCGTGTTTTGCCCAATCGTGGTATCATGGCTGCTGCAAAGATAAAATCGAGCTTGAGGAGCCGATAACCCCAATCATGCAAGACTTGATCAAACACCTCTTGAAGATACGCTCGTGCTTCTTGATTGTAGATATCCAATGCATAGAATCCACCCCAATTGGGACCTGCTACTACGACCTTGCCCTTGTCATCGCGTAATAGCCAATCTGGATGCTCCTTGGCAAGTCTGCTCTTGAATCCCACAGCATACGGTGCCAACCATAATCCTGGAATGTAGCCTGCCTCCGAGATCTCTCGAGCCAAAAAGTGCATTCCTCTTGGAAACTTTTTGGTATCCACATCCAACCAATCACCAATCGCTTGCTGATAGCCATCATCAATTTGCAATACATCAATCTTGTAATCATAGCTCTTGAATGCTTCCAATACTCGAACGACATCTGCTTCTGTCACTCGTTCATAGTAATTGTACCATGATGACCAGCCTGTCAAATGGCGTTGTTGTTGTTGCTGTTGCTGTAAAGCGCTATGGTCGTGGTAATACTCGGCGTATTGTTGCCACATGACATCCAAATCTGTATGTTGGGTCACCAGGTATCGTAACTCTAGAGATTCGCCGGCTGCCAATCGTTTGCCTTGGATGTCCTTGTAGATGGTGAATTGATTGTGTGGGATGTCGGCTTTAAAGTAGGTGTAGCCACTGGATTCGGATAATGAGCCCACGAACACCGTCGTGTTGGCATTGCGGAAGTATGTGTAACTGTTGGAATGGATGACACCCACTTGACCTGAATACTGGTAAAAGTTGTAGTCTCTAATATCACAATGTCAATGAACAACGCTCTCCCTCTCTATGTATGTGTGTATGGCTGCCAACCCACCCTTGGAGATCAAATTGGGTCCACCATGCCACTGTCCTTGAGATAGGTGATATGCTACCAAGCTTGTCCAGTTCTCGTGAGTGTGTCCAACACTGAAAGCCATCGGCCATCATGATTGTATTCTCAATGTCCATGTGGAAGACGAATTCCAGTTGTTCAAGCTCAATGGGCTCTTCATGTGCAGTGAGTTTGAGTTCCAAGTCAAAACGGTTGTTATTGTCATGATGATCAATGATACGCCTATCGATAGTGATGTGTGGTGATGATGACGCTGATGTTGAATCAAAGGTGTTGGTGGTGCCTTTGTGAATAAAAGAAGCTACAATGGCTGGTGTGTTTTCATGCAAGGTGTGAAAGGGATCTTGGATGGTCATAGCAAAGGAGAAAGGGGTTAAAAACAAGAGAAAGAGAGGTAGCCATGCAACAGGGGTTCTCAACCCACAGTAATAGCGACGCATGATGTGCTAATCTAGAACAACAGCACACATTGTGGATGCGCTCTCGTTGGGTTCCACCGCAGAGACATTTCGCGCCATTCCCAAAAAAGGCTCTTTCATTTTTCTCTCTCCTCTCAGCGCGTTCTCGCGTTGTTTCTCTTTCTTCTTCTTCTCCTCCTCCTCTCCATTCTTCATTGACATGGCCACCTCAACAAAAAAATACTTTCAGACGACGTAATGTCTTGAATGGATACATCTCAATACGCTCATTGACACTCATTCTATTGTTAGACTCTCCTTCACCCCACTCAATAAGGGCAAGGCCAGGGCCAAGGAATCACTTGTCGAACCACCTGCAAGCAAGAAGCCACGCATAGACAAAGAAAACCAATCCTCCTCCACAACACCCAAAAAGGTACATCTATTTACCAGCATGGATCTTTATATATACATTGTATTTATTGTTTTTGTTGCTAGTCCTTGTCCTTGAACAAAGCAAAGGTAAATGGTTACACAACCATGAGCTACTTTCAAGCATACTGATTCTGATATGAAAGAAAAACACTGGCAACAGTAAGCCTCAGCTAAAGACCAGGTATATACATATCCATCCTATCATACCTTAGTATATCATCTCTAACATGTGCGTTGCATAGCAGCCGTCCTTTTGCATTCACCAAAACCGACCCTATCGAGCCACCCACGTTTACACGGATCCCGCTTCAGTTTTCAGAAGAAGAGATATGGGCTCGATTGCAAATACGCGAATTTGTATTCCGATTTGGAGAGCATTTCAATATCGACTCACGTGTTATCACGAGCATGCAAAATGTTCAAGGCAATTGGCGTATCAAACGATTGAGCATCAACATCGCCCTCGAATTATTGCAGAGTATGGAACAAGGCTATATTGAAACACCTGTTTCGTCGGCATTGGCAACACAAGATATCTACTTTAAAGGTGCACGTACGATGCAAGCTATTGGCACTCAAGTGATGCGTGAATGGATGGAGGATCGTGGATTGACCGACCACAAATACATGACAGCCGATGTTGCACGTATCACCTTTGTGGAAGAACTTGAACGGGATGGATTGACAGCAAGTCATTGGGAAGATCTCGGCTTTGTACTGTTGGCGGCAGGATTCAATGATCATCTTTCACAAGCACTCAAGAATGCATCCAAGCTCAAAGCCACTGACCACATTTACATGATACAAATGATGTGTGATCTCTTGCTCTTTCATTCACAACTACGACGTCAATGGGTGATGGCAGATGGGAACAACAAAGAACACAAGACGGTGGAAGCAGCATTACGAGTGGAACGACGACGATGTGAGAATTCAGAGGATTCAAAGATATATGAAAATCGACTTGCATTGGAGAAAAGATATCTCGAATTGACGATCGCATCACACAGAAGCACCAAACGATTGGAACCAGCAGGATATGATAACAAAGGCAACGAATATTGGATTTTCAATGATTTGATTACGGCGCATGGTGGATGTGGAGCTGATTCACGTAACAGTGAACCATTTTGGGCATACAGCGTGGTGGCCATTGGACCTGGACCAGCAAAAACAACAACGAAAGAAAGACAATGGTGGCATGTATCGGACATTGAGGACATCCTTCAACTTCGCAAATGGTTGGAAAAGGAAGAAGCACCATCATCTCAATTCACTCAGCAATTGATTCAACGTGTTCAATACTTGCACTCATTACGATGGATCGAAGCCCAAGGAAAGAGTGGTCGAAAAGCTATAGCAAAATGAATTGGATACCACATGGAATAAACTAGTTCTTATGCAAGACGCCACTTTTCTTTACGAGGAGATTGGATATATGGAGAAAAAGAGTGCTTGTTGTGGAACGAGAGAGAGAGAGAGAGAGCGAGGTTTCATTCAAGGGGAAACAAGAAAGGATGCAATGGATTAACTCCTATGAGGCTTTTGCTGCATGACAAGTGGTTCAACATTGTATGGTGTATATAGTCGTTCTCCCGTTCCTCCTCCGCCCTCGCATGAAGAAAACCAACCCCTTCACATCCTTTCTTTGTCCGGGGCAATTCTCACCCATATTCACATACACACACATACACATTTGGTCCCCCCAAACAACCCCCTTTGTTAGTTGCTCTAACTATTTCTTTCTGGAGAAATCCTTGTTCGTCTCTCTCTCTTTCATTTTTCTCACCCACTATGGTTCACCCGACTGCTGGTATACATCCATTTGATTTGCCACTACCACCACCACCACCAAATCCACATCGCCATTCTTATACACCAGCTCCTACTCGAAGGGCTTCTATGATCTTACCTAGCCTATCACGTAACAAATCACTCAAATCATTACGTGATCGACGTCGCAGCTCTGGTACACTTTCCGCATGCAGCTCGCCCCGAAAATGCATAGGTGAATACTACATTGGCAAAATCCTCGGTAAAGGTGCATCAGGTAAATGTGTATTCTTTTTACTTTTGCATTAGGAATTTGGTCATTTAAATCATGATGGGTCAATTTCATAGGCCGTGTCAAGCTTGGCATTCATCGATACACTGGTGAACATGTAGCCATTAAGATTATCAGCAAGGCGTTTTTGGCGGCTAACCCGACGATCGAAAAGGCTGTGCGGCGGGAGATCGCCATCATGAAACTTATACGCCATCCAAATGTTGTGGGTCTCTTGGATGTTATCGACGATGAAGCTTCACCTAATTTGTATGTTTACTTTACTTTTCCCCGCTATCATCCCTCACACACACACACTCACTCACACACACACTCATTAATGCTTGAAAATCAGGTACATCATCCTTGAATACGTCGAAGGTGGTGAACTCTTTGAATACCTTGTTAGCAAAGGAAGGCTCACTGAAAACGAGGCACGACGTCATTTTCAGCATATGATCTTGGGACTTGATTATTGCCACCATCATCTAATTTGGTAAGATAAAAATACAAATGATGATACTACGCAGATGAACCCTTACACCCACCATGTGGTTTGCAGCCATAGAGATCTAAAACCAGAAAACCTTCTGCTCGACAGCAGTAATAATATCAAGATTGCCGATTTTGGTATGGCCTCATTGCAGCCTGCAGAATCAATGCTGCAAACAAGCTGTGGGTAAGTAGTAGATGCACACACACCATGATCCTTTCCTTTCGTTATTAACAATATTAATTATGACAGATCACCCCATTATGCCAGTCCTGAGATCGTCACGGTAAGGGATAGAATGGCTTTTGCTTAAAGGAATGAGGGGAAAGAAAGAGAAAAAGAAAGAGGGAAAATGGCCCTAATACACCACCCTTGCTGTAGGGAATGCCTTACAATGGTGCAGCATCAGACATTTGGTCTTGTGGTGTCATTCTTTACGCTCTCCTAGCTGGCCACCTCCCATTTGACGACGACAATATACGTAGTCTATTGAACAAGGTACATGTTAACATACATCACTTTTGAACATGCTTTCCTTACCATGGCACCTTTAGGTTAAGGCCGGCAAGTATGCAATGCCCAATCATATATCACGCAGTGCACAGGATTTGCTACGGCGTATTCTTGTCGTTGATCCAAATAAGCGCATCAATGTAAGTAGGATTAGGATCAAGCATAGCAATGCATGGTGAACACTAACCCTGCATTTCTTTTTTCACTACTAGATGAAACAAATCATGGCTCATCCATGGTTTCGTGAGCATATGCACAAGTTGGGTGACCCAGCTCGATTTCCAGTACCGCCTTCACCACAAACGACCGAACAACCTGTACAAGATCCATCCGAGATTGATGACCGAATTTTGGAGACCATCAAGTTCTTATGGGGAGAATCAAATCCCGATGCAGTTGTCCGTGCCCTTATCAGCAAGGAGTAAGTTATTACTACTTTTACTACAACACACATACATACACACGCCTATGCATACTAGAATCATTCTCCTTCTCAAAGCAAGCCCCTAACATGAACATTTTTGACATGTAGACCCAACATGCAAAAGGTTGTCTATGTGCTATTACAAGAACACGCTGAACGCTATTGGCAAAATGATCATGATGATAATGTATCTGACAGCAACGAAGAGGAAGAAGAGACGCATCGATATCATACCATTCGTCCTATTCGTCATTGTCGATCTATGGCTGAGAGAGGAAGAGGAGGAGGACAAAATCGCTATCGCCCTGAAGCACCCTGGATGCCAGAGTTGCCTACTCCTCATCGTCGTTATTCTGCAGTGAGCATGCGTGTCAAGCAGCGTACTAGTGTAGCACCCCAACAACAGGAATTACTAGAGTCCTCCCCTGATAATGGTGTCGCTGATATCAAAAAGAGTCCTACATTATATGACCGTCTAGTCCGACGCATGCGTTTATCCAAACGACAAAGCAAAGAAAAGTAAGTCATCATCACGAATACACATGCAAAATCATGCTTGTTATTAACACACCGCATCATGTACCATCATCACCATCATCATCATCAGGGTAGAACCATTATCACCTGCATCATTTCCTCTACCGCTACCACCAGCACCAGCACCTGCAACTCAACATCATCAAGGAGGTGAACGTACAACAGGCACCATGCGACTCAAAAACATGTTTACGCTTCGAGCCTCCAAGACCCCAGTTGTATCATCAGACAACAAAAAGGATACAAGTTCACCTTCTCAAGATGGCACTCTCTCACCACGTCTATCAAAGGGATTCACTTTACGACGTACTGGTACTACCACTGCTACAACAAAAGGTCGTCGAAAGCAAATCAACATGGGTATCTTTGAGCAGCCATCTTCATCCAATCCTGCAAATGGTAGCAATGTCCGCCACTCTATTTTGCTTCCGCCTTCGTCTCCTGTAATGAAAGAAACCAATCAAGATAACGACATGCGTCGTCGTATAAGTCAAGGATCATTCCAATCATTCGACCGAAGAAGCAGCAGCGGTGGCGAAAGTGGAGGATATGGTCCTAGTAGTAATTGCACTGCTGGTACCCCAAGTCTCATGTCTGATGAAACATCCACCATCACGTCAAGCTCCAGCAATAATAATAATAACCAACAGCCAAGTCATCCTAGCAACAAGACATCCACCGCATGGATACAAAATCTTTTCTTTTTCAAGCAACCCAAAGTTTGCTCACTGGTGATTCAAGATGAAACACATGTACCCAGCATTTTGTATGAGCTACATTCGGTCCTGAATAAGGTCTCTGAAAGTCGATTGTATGAAAAGAATGACAAGCATGGTGTGAGGTACAAGGCTGAGATTCGAAAATCACAAGGTATGTGTGTGGATGGGGGAGGGAGAAAGAAGAAGGATTCATCCCTACATGCAGCAATGTCCTCCTAACATCCAACATCATGTTTTTGTATTAGGTGGCAAGTCGCGTATAGTGAAATCTCGAATGGAAATCCTTGTATCGCATCACCAGCGTTGTGCTCGAATCCAATTCACTCAACAACAAGGCGACGGCATTCTGCTCACATCCATCATCAAAGAAGCACAGCATATTTTTGACAAGCGACATCATGAAAAAATCACCATTTCTGTACCACCTACACCTCCTCTTCCTGCTACAATCACTCGACGGCAACCCATCCCATTCTAATGACATGTTATCGAGCATTCTGTAGATAGAACATAATACTGCACCAATCCATTTTCTATAATTCACACACTCACTCACACACATATTACATCTATACAAGTCTGCAATACAAAAAGGTGTTTTTAATCATCATCATGTTTTCCCTTCTTCTCCTATGTGGGGAGTACAGTGGCAAAGGAGACACCACCATCATCCTTGCCACCCACTTGTATATCATAGCACTCCTATTTTAGTAGTAGTTATCCTCACGGACTCCTCCCTGAATGTTGGTAACAAAGAATATGATATCATAATATGATGAAAGTGGTAACTTTTATTACTATTTATCTATATCGTACGTACTATCAGGGAATCCAGAAAGAGCATCATCCATGGGGGGTTGTACATGAGATTGATCCAGCATACTTGTACTGAAGAGCCTTTCTCGTAATTCAATGCATGCATTCTCCCAATGATTCTTTTCTTCCCAAAGCTCACGTAGTTTCTTGTATGCCAATCCACTCAATGTTTCAAAATGATCACATGTCTCATCCAACGCCGCCTGCAGCTGCCTTCGTTGCTGTCGTTCATGTGCTAATTGTTGTTGAAGTTGTTCGACCAACGATGCTTCACTTTCGGATGTGGCTGACGTAGGTCTCGATGCGTTATTGTTGTTGTTATGATGAATGGTGGTGGTTGTGGTGGTATGGGTGGTATCCTCAGCAGCAGCTGTCATGCTATTGTTGTTGGGTTTGGTGATCGATTCATCTGAGAATGAGGATGTCATTGTTTGTACTTGAACATGTCGTACTTGGCGTTTGGGTGAAGAAAGATGATGATTGAATAGGTTGTCTGTTTCAGCCTGGTCGTCCAGCGAAGCTTGTAGTGCCTTGATATGCTCCGTTGCCAAGCCAGCAGCAACAGTATCACTTGGTTTATCCATCTTGGCCAATTGAAATCGTTCCAATCGTTGGATCAATGCCTTTTCCATCACCTCTAATTCTTGCGAAGCCATATGTGTAACCAATGCTTCGGTCGCTCTCTTATCACGTTCTTGTCGATATTGCTGTTGTTGTTGTTGCATGCTGGGATGTAGGGGTGGTGGTGGTGGTCCTGCAACAGCTGCTGCTGCTGTCACAATATTCCTCGAATTATCAGGATTTGACATGGTGCCACCAAAGGTATGCTCACTCATTCTTCTTCCAAAGGATACAGTTGTTCCAGTATCATGACGCATTAGCGGCCTGCCGCGAATCGAAGGATAATTGTTGCTATTCACGGTGCCATTGTTGTTGTTGTTGTTGGTGTTGGCGGCTGCAACAGACATGGTAGTGGTACTTTTGGAATGACGAATGGATTCACTGTAAATGCTGGATTCTCGATGTTTGATACTACGATTGGATGGTAGAATTGGACCTGGATCATTGGGTGTAATGGCTGCTGCTGCTGCTGCATTGGATGATGATGTATTGATGCCTTTACGTGGAACGGGTGTGCGTGAAATCAATGATCCATTCTTTGTTCTACTCGCAATACGAGCCAAAGACGTAGAAGGTGGCCCATCATTGGCAACGATTTCAATATGATTCATACGCTGTACTGTATTAGGTGCAAAGGATCGTATCGATGAAGCGGTCGTGCTTGGTGTAGAGGGTTGTCGTGAATGCTTGTTTTTACGACGGCGAAAGAAGAGGTTGGAACTGCGTTTGGGTGGGTTCGTCTTTTGGAACTCTTCAGGACTTGTCGTAATCAAAAACTCGGCTAATGCTTGCGTTCCTGTCATCAGCTTGCGGCGTGGACGGGGCGTCACATCCGATGAACTGGTAAAACTCCAATCGTCCAACTCGTCATCGTCGTCTTCGTCCTCGTACATGTTGGTGACTCGGGCATCTTTGGGTTCGAATGCTCCTCTGTGTGGCATGGCGGATTAGCAATAGTAGTTGTAAAAGAAAGAAAAATAAAAGAGACTCGGAGTAGCTCGAGGAAAAGGTTACAAAGAAAAAGAAAGAGAGAGAAAAGAGAGAGAGAGAGAGAACAGGCTTGACTCAGAGAGAAAGAGAATGGCTTTCCACCAATTTGGTGATACACACAAACACACGCTGTACGACAATGACAAAGAGAAAGTTCACAGCGAGGGCAGTGCGCAACAGAATACCTTATCGATAATACATGCCAAACTCTGTTTGGATTGGGCCGCCATATGGTACAATGCAATCGCTATAAGAAAGTAAGGGGACCCTGTTTGAGATATAAATGACACGAGCCTTACTCCTGGATAGACGATTGACTCAGCTGTACCCAGTTTTCGGTACCTTTAAACACGATAGCCACCAACGTCGCGTGATTCCTTTGAAGATGGCGACCAACATTTGACACCTATCGTACAATAATATCCAATATCAGACACTGAAAAGCATTACAAACATAAATCTTTTCATAGTTAGTGATACAAAGGAATCTAATCGGTAACTGTGTTCATTTATCCGCCGCACTCCATCCGTCATCATCTCCTCCTTCTCATAATAGCGTAGTTGAATTTCCCCAATTGACCTTTTTCCTCCGCATAAAACATGTACAGATACTATCATGTATGTTCTTTCCACCAATTAACTTTGTAAAGTGAAGGCAACATCCTTCACAGCAATCAATTTGTTCGCCTTTCACACATTTGAAGTGATCGACAATCCAATCCCAGCTTCCGACACATATTGGCAGTTGTACTCGTGGACCAAATCATGCTTCCAAAAATTCTGGCACTTTCGGATATACTTTAATTCCGACCCCATCCATGTATCTTCCATACCTTCATGAGCCTTGATGAAATTTATCATAGTATGATACTTGGAAAGTAAAGCACAACATGTACTCCGTCCAAATAGTAACGTGACACGGCATTCGGATCAGTAAACATTGTATCATGAAACGGTTGTTGCTTCACCTACGATGAAGTATCATGTACATACGATCGACACGGTCTCGCAGGGACGCCTGATAAATGAAACCTTTTTATTTTAATCATACATGGGTTGTCTCTTGTCGTCTTTCTTCCTGATTTTGGTTCCTGTATTTACAAAGGGCTTCCTTTAGCCACCATGGTACATGGACGTGACACCGACTTTCCATATAAGCAGATATTGCTCGCCTTCTTCTGCCAGACAACAGTAAGCGTACAACATGGTTCACTTGTACTATGAAATTTCGCTTACATGAAAAAGTCTGCTATTGCCTTTAGTGTGCCCCTACCCTTTCTAGTGTTTGTAAGTAGCCACCTTTTCTGATCCCAGCCTTTTATCACAATGCCTTTATTAACCTTGTCTTGACGTTTGGGCATATAAAAAGATGGTCCAGGATCTTAATAGCTCGATCATAAAGGACAATGTGGGTTTTTATGTTGGGCTTATTCGTGCAGCAACGTGCATTGGTATCTGCATTTCCAGTAAGCACACAACTCACTGCATAGTTATGCATAAACAGCAAGATCATGCACACTAAGCTTAAACGACATGTCTTTTTTTTCAATCAAAGGTATGCCATGGGGTATGCTCTCTGATCGCATTGGCAGACGACCCGTAATACTTTTGAGCATTGGAGGATCAGCTATGAGTATTTTTATGCTTGGCATGTCAAAATCCATAACGTGGATCATTTCATCTTCTTTCCTTTTGGGGCTATTGGTAAGTCAATGCAAATGAGTACAGCTGCAACGTCTCATTTCATGCATACATTTGCATAGGATGGCAGTTTGCCTGCTCTAAGATGCTTCGTATCAGAAATCACAATCCATCACACCAATACGCAACGCTCGCTTGCCATGTCTACTCTTGAATTGGGAGTTGGTCTAGGGTGTGCTGTAGGACCTTTGATAGGATGTAAGTATACTTGCCTGTGTATGGAAACAGAACAATGCGGCATCGTTATTAATACGAAGCAACCATTTTTTCTTTCAAAGCACTCTTGATGGATCCAGCGACGCAATACCCAAAGATGTTGTCCACCACTAGTTGGCTCAAAGACTTTCTTGTAAAGTACCCTTATATACTGCCATGCTTTACATCCACCTGTATCTCCACGGTGGTAGCTGCATGTACATTTGCCATTCTCGAAGAGACTGCGCCGCCATGTACAATGAACCCAAAAACGTATTCCTCGCTGGAGTCCCATACTATGTTAAACAAAAGAGCAAGCTACAAGACGTTTGAAAATCGGATATCATCGCCGCCATTGAAAGATCAGAAATCGAAGAGAAAGGCATTGGGGATATTCAGATCATTAAGGGAATCGCTTACACGCTCGATTTTCCTTGGTATCAACATGAAATGCCTCAATGGATTTTACAGCTTGTACTATCAAAGTAACGTATCGGATAAGGCATAGCCGATGATTGCTACTACTAATGAATGACTCTTTCCAATAGCACTATTTGCTATATGGACAGCTTGGAACGTGCATCAAGGTGGGCTAGGATTTTCACCATCTGACATTGGATCAACCTTTTTCTACGCCGGCGTGTGGCAAGTGGTCGCCCAATTCACTATTCTACCCATGCTCACCAAGCGATTCAGCAACTTGCATCTGCTACGCATGTTGCTTATTGGGATTGCAATCAGCTTCAGCATATCGGGAATGATTCATTGTATTTACGATATGGGATCCATTGATGCTGGTAACAGCAGCAAGGATAACAAAAGGCTATGGGTGTGGATCTCAGCTCTTGTCTTGATATCTCTCATCACATCACTTGATAATATGACCAGCGCTGTTAGCATGGTGTTGGTTAACAATGCAGCATCTTCACGGCCATCCACATTAGGTACCATCAATGGATGTACCAGTTGTAAGTGCATAACACTTTGAGCCATCGCTGGATTATAGCACTAATAGGATTCATTTGTTGCATGAATACATAGTTGGTCTTGGAATGGCTTTGGCTGCAGGACCAGCGACAGCAGGCGTAATATGGTCAATGTAAGAGCGCCCATTTCTTTATTAACATCATCACTCATCCATTTACATTAGAGCGCAAAATATTGATTGGATTGCAGCACCATTAAGAGGTATCCTTCCATGGCAGTTTATAGCTTTGTTTGTTGTAATCCCCCTCTCTATAAGCTTTCTCATGAACGCGCGTGATTATGAAGTCCCTAGATCTATTGATACGGCTGAAGAATCAACTTCAATAGAGCCTTTCATAGAGTGCTGCTAATTTACGACATTATGGTTTAATCATGAAAGCAATCAATACATGGAAATGTGATGTGGGGTGGGTGAGATGTGGTGCGAAGCTGTCGTTGTCTGAAATCCGCATTAAAAAGGGTCGCGTTGAGGGGTTCAGCTTTCTTCTTCTTTGTACTTTTCACTCCAATGAGCGAACGATGTTCCGCATTGAATCTGTAGCCATGAAAGCTGGAGGCAAGAGAGCGATACTTGAAACGTAAAAGAACGAGGTAGGCTAGGAAACAAGTGCAGCGTTAATCGTGCAACTCAAATGAGACCATCAGGAACCCATCAACGCCATTTGCCATCCGCGCTTCAATGGTTCTTTTCACGCCAAGAGAACATACCATGGACGACACAGTAGTTGCGTTGTTGAAGGATCCGGCATGCTGCTCACTGATATTGATGGTCGTTCAACTACCCAATGCTCGAGAGAATGACGTGTATGAAGAGGACAGCAACACCAACAAGCAGCAGCTACAATACCCTGATCGACATGATTATGGCAATGGATGTATTGGATGATCTATCAAACACCATGCTTCTTTTACATGTTACGGATGGACCATTCTGATTGTGGACACGAGGATCGACACATTGCGTATTACGAGCTCTTCGACATGCTAGCATCAACTCTCTTGATTCATCAACTTCCTTCCTTTTGCATAATACGGATCACAACCAGTACACAACACCTGGCGATATCCAACATTGTTACAACATAGCCACAGACTTTGGTGACGCAAAGCATCATGTACGTAAAAAGTAGCAGCAGCGGATCATCGATCAATGACCAAGGGTACTACGGTGATGGCTACACTTCCACATCATATCATCATTGATTCAGCCAAGTACGCGATAGCAACAAATGGCCAAACCCGAGGGGAAGACCACCAATAATTACGACGACGTGTACAAGGAATATTCATTACGTTGTATTTAGCTTCAATCCACACATAAGAAACGAGCATCACCAGCAGCACAAGATATTAGCTCATTGTTCATTGTCGTTATTGATATAAAGTTTGATTGTTAATACAACATTGGGATATACTAAGATGAAGGACGCTGAGGAAAGATGTTGAAGTTCTCTCCAACAACGATGGGAATGATATTATGGCAGCACCATATGGAGTGGATTTACTTCTACGTCATGGCCTTTGGTTACATGCACTATTTGGTCCATGTATGGAGTGCATAGTAAGAGATGGGTCCTTGCAATTAGAAACACAAGATAACAATAAGCTTCCATCATCATCCAAAGGAATTGTTGACTGGCAGTTTATTGCTACGATCACTTTAGTACGCGTATTTTTATCTTTTGCATGAGAGCAGCGGATACAAGATACTCAGAGAATCTCAATTAGCATCACCTTCAAACCATTATAGATACCACCACAATGCTGTTAAGCTTCCTTGGAACTCTCATATAAAAGCAATACACCCTATTATTGTATACTTGTAACCTGAAGATTGCAGCCGACAGGCCAGCATTATGCCTTGATCAATGATGTGACCTGTCGGCCGTTTTATGACTAATAGCGAATTTATGCATGGGTTGACGTAACAAGATCGGCATTATACTAAACAATGTAATCGACCCGATATTTGTACCGCCATTCATTGAAAGTGTGTGTGTGAGGAGAAGGCACCATGCCTTTTCCTTTGAGTAATGAAATACATACACCGATCGAGCATGATAAGATGAAAAGATAGGGAAAAGTACAAATGCCAAAGGTTAAGTATACGCGGGGACCATCTCGGCATTTCAAGGAGAAAAAGCTGCAGTGGTCTTATATAAATCTCTCCTTTTTTTCTTTTTGTCATCCTCTAAACATGACGGCCACCAAAGCTAACCATCAATCGGTGACAACCACTTTGGCGTATTTGCTGACGGCTCCATTGGGATACCTACTCTGGTCCTATATTGCACAAGTACTTGCTCCATTCAATAACCATACTCGCCTGCAGTGTCGCGACCCAGCGTTCCTGACTTCCACATACGATGCACCAACATTTTTACCCAGCCTTTTGAATCGTGTTGGTTGTGTTCTTGTACACTTTTGTAGCCATGCGATCAATGAAGCAGCGCCCTTGACACTCGAATTAATAGCTGCAGCTACTACGGCGTTCGCTTCCATGTCGATAGAATGTGCACGTCGTGGCGGTGGATTGGGTCTTTCCTTGTATACAGGCATCTTGTTGCTTGGTGGCAATATCATTGGGGCGGGGATTATGTTCCCGTTGTTGTGGGTACCTGTTTACGGCGTTTGCAGCTCAAAGTACAAACCACAGCCTATCCACCATGCACGCATTCTTGGTGTCACTCTTGCAGCAGTGTTTGGCCAATGTGTAACCCCTGTGCTCATGCTCACTGTTCCAACTCGTTCAATGTGGCAGCATAATATCATTGGAGCATTTTTGATATCACCATTAGTGTACACTGCTTTCGAATGCTTTGTACCTCTCATTGCTTCTCAGCTTACAAAAGACCAAAAGCAACAGGAATCCATTCAACGTTCACGTGACAACTTGCGTACACTGTGGGCTTGTTTAGGCACGCTATTCATGCTCATGCATTATATCCTGTTAATCCGTTACTATGGCATCTGGAACAAGAATTGGCACGACGACCCCATTACCTACATGCTCGTCATTGACATCTCTGTCGTTGTTGGTACCATGGCATACTGGGCTGGCATTGAAGATGGTTTCAAGCGTGGTACACTGTTTCTGCTAGTGGCATCACTTTTCCTAGGCCCTGGAGCAGGCATAGCTGCTTACAAATGGAAACGAGAAGGACGCATTGCTGATGAATACCAACAACAACAACAATTGAAAAAGGCATAGTAATAAACAATGATGTAAAAGCATGGAGATTATTATCTGTAGCAGGAGCATAGTTCACATGCAGTGGATTGGGTAACATTTGCAAGTGGGGGGACGTGACTATTAGCTGGCAATTCATCAACTATTATCCAATAGTGTACAAGTGTCATGCATTGACCCTCAGCTTAATGCATTCTTGTTGCCTCTGTTACACGAACAGGTCCACCCTGCCTCTTTGGCTCTGTCAGCACCCAGCTACTTTACAATGAACAAAGACCACTTGTACTATAGCATCACGCTTACAGCGAGCAGCTTTGTCCTCTTAAAGACACCACCCTTCATTGTAAAATCTTGAGTTAAAGCTGTCTTTATGTTTCCACTATGCTCGCTGTAAGCGTGATGCTATAGTACAAGTGGTCTTTGTTCATTGTAAAGTACCCCAACCCTGAGAAAGCCAAAGATGCAGAAGGACTTGGTTGTGTAACAAAACCGGGACTGAAGGGCCAATCCTATTGGGTGGAAAGTGCATGAAGGATCTTCCCCTCACACAAGGCCCGCCAATGATAGCCCGTATGGATCATGATTCATTCTTATATAAGGTTGCGTAAGATAACATTAGTTGGAGATTGGCACAAGTAAGCATGGTATGCTCATGTACTCGTGGCATTCATTATATCACAGCTCGCTTTTCCTTGAACACAATGAGTTAAGCTTACAATGAACCAAGACAAGCACTATCACCAACGGCTCTATTAGTGGGATATTTAACTGAGCAGGGTACCTAGAACATAGGATTAACGTTAAGCTTTCTTAATTGGTGTAATGAATAAACAGTGTTTCTAGGTTGTTGATCATTACAAAGGCCGTCTGTCTTACTGCAAATATAGATAATAGCAAAGGATTTCAGGCTTCCTTGAATATGGATACTACGACATGTGATGTGGTTGTATAAATGTGCAAGCTTATTATAAGAGCATTATGGATGTAAGGACTATGTAATCCAAAAGATGATGTTAAGGTATTCACTGAGAAATCGAATGATTAAGAGCGAAGTGAGCAGCCCGGCTACACGCATTTATTTGTATATGTAACTCTATTGATTATGATGGTCCAAATAAGGCGTTGCGTCGAATGGTACGTTGTCTTCTGGGTGGATCAGGAACAACTTCATTTTCCTCCTGTTCACTTTTTGCTGGTAGGGGTGGTGGTTGTTGTTGTTCAGCAGTAGCTGATGTTGGTGATGACTTGCTGCCGGATCGCTTAGTAAACATACGTCGCAGCGTTTTACTTCGAGTAGCGAGACGTTGTAATCCGTGGCGTTGATGTGGGGTTGTTGATGTCTCCAAATTAGGATTTGAATGAGCACTAGGTGAGGATATGGTTGGTGAAGTAGGTGTGCTGCGTAATGACGATGCTAGTGACTTGAATGATGGCGTATGACTTGGTGAACGCAAAGATTCATGCGATGGTTTTGGTGATAGGCTTTGATCGTCACCTATGACAGGGCTTGCATTTTGTGCTGAAGGTGAGGTGGAAAGTGGTGTTGAATCAGCATTGTTATCAGAATACTCAGGCGTCAATGAAAGAGGGCGTTCAACTTCGGCAGCTGTGTTGGCTGTCATATCCTTGGCATCCAAAGGAAATCCATTCAAAGTTTCATATCCAGGAGGTAATCGATAAGTCCAATATTCAAGATCCCGTTGGAAAACGGATACCGCCAGCTCCCATCGATCTTCATCAGTCCATAGCCTTCGTTTGCATTCGGCTTCACTCGGTATAGAATCCATGGCCCATGATTCTTTTGGGATGGGTGGTAGGACTTGCATACAATCTTCAAAATAGTCCACTTGCGTGTGTCGTTCTCTGTGAAGAACATGTAAATTAGCACAAGTAATTCTAAAGATCACACCACATTTACTCTACCTTGCTCGATCAGGATCATGCAGCTCCACCTGTTTCAGCTTCTCCAATTCTTGGCGTGCATCTTCAATATGCCGTACGTAAATGTCATATTCAAGCTGTCGAGCAATTGGATCCGTTTTCTTATCGAATCTGAAAAATAGATGCATGAGTTATCCTATATGCACAAGCATTGTATTCATCAAGCCTTACTTGAACTTGAATTTGAGATTCTCATGGTCCTCCAACCTAATCGTTTGCGCCAGCACTTGACCTCGATTTGTGATCCCGTAATAGCCTGATATTTTGGTCTTGGACGCCATGACTATATATATACAATTAGTATGCTATCATAACATTGGGAAGAGCTAGCTACATACCACGACACACGGCTCCATTGGCAGTCTCAATATCCTCACCCACGAATACAGGCAAGTTTTCCTGGCGACCCCATTCACCAATACCAATAGCACTGGGCACCATCATTGTATCGGGTTCACCATATAAGCTGTTTCCCCACGGATCATCCTCATCGCCGTAATACTGATGTTTGTTGTACTCACTCCATGGTGCTGGGATTGAAGAATTAAGCCATCGTTGCCATAGCGCTTTTTGATCAGGTCGAATGCTGGAAGGTGGCGTATCCTTTTTACTCCATTTTGCAGTACGAGCATGAGCATCGGCCACAGACACGCTATCACGAGTAAGCATCCACATGCGCATGGTGCCATCATTGGATGTTGTCATAAAGTTCTCAGGCCGCATGTTCGACCATGATAGCTACATTGTATACGTAGATAATGTGAGTTGACGGGAGTACTGAGTATGGATATGATTTTCTTATTACCGATCGAACAATACTTTCTTGTCCAGCAATCCTTGCGACGGGTGCATGATAAGTGGAACGAAGATCAAATACTTGGGCTAAGCAATCTTCTCCTGCAGTGCCAATCCAATATGGAATAAACGGGTTGAATTGAGCATCACGAATAGGTCTTGAATGGGCATTCTCGGCTCGCCACACAATAGCTGCTGAAGGAGGAACTCTTGTATCAATCACCTTTAGAGCCTTATCACATCCACCAGTGACAATCAATGTCTGTGGAGCATGGGGTGACCAATTGGCAACATTCATGGGCGTTTCATCGACCTGTGGTAATCTTTTATGAATATTGGATCATCGATCTTTGGTCACATGGTCTTACCTTGTAGGATAATGCTGGTTTTTGTTCACTGAGAGCATCCCAAATATTGATATGGTTACCAAAGCTTGATAGGAAACATGTCGATGCATTTCCAGATGATTCGGTAGCGTGTGTTCCAAATTGGCCCATTGGCTGCCATTGCTCGTACACATATTCAGGTGAATAAAGCGGTGCAAAGGATGCTGAATGGATGATGCTGTTGATAGGATAATTGCTGGGAACGTATTGGCCCACCATGGATAACTGATTCATGTAAGCGATCATCCCATAAACTCTGCTTTCAAGTTACACAAACCTGTTTTGGAGGTGCCGTGTATTCTGCAATGAGGATAAGGCGTAGCATGTTCTCCGTAGTATCATCATGACGCACAGCGTATAACTGAGTGATGCCATTTCTTGAGCCAACCAATAAGTGTGAACCGGTCCAATCGAGAGCATGGATTGGAATATCCATCTTTTCCACTTGTGTATGCTAAAGAACAAGAAAAGCCATGTTGTAGCCTATGCTGTGTACGCTTATCCATAAATCCGCCACGTCGTCATCATACCTCAAAGCGTGGTCCCATAGTAGACAATGCCTTCGATTCAAGCGTGTCCCGTACGAAGTATAAATTGTATCCACCTGCCGTTTGCTTATACGCTGAGCCAATCGCCAACATATTAAGTTCCTATTTCAGTGTTCAAGTTGAGTGTCATGTTGCTAGGACACATTTACAACAATGGCATTTACCTTAGACATGGCCAGACTTGTTGTATATCGCTCATCCTTAATCGTATAGCAATTGGTTCTTAAGCCTTTGGTATATCTAATGATGATGATAGTAATATGGATGAATGGTAATGCGTTAACATACAATGTTGTGTTACATACTCGGTGACGCCTTCGGAAATAATGGGCCAGCCCATCGACTCGCATACAGCACTGAGGTAAGGCATACGTCTACCACGCTCAGCCCGTCCAATCTTGCGAACAAGCTCTGCTTCGGTAATGCGCACCATGTTGGAATGAATGGAAGAAAAGAAAGGCGTGTTTGTACAGCAGGGGTCACTGAAACCGAGCTTTCAACCGGTTGTTGTCTCTGCTGCTGGGGGTCAAAGAGAGCGAATCGTAATATGCCGACATGAGAACCGATAACAAGAAGCTGCAGTCATTTCGACTATTGTATCCCTTGACAATGAATGGCCACTGGTTTGTTGCATGGTTGTGCGTAATGGTTGGTTGTAAGAAGGGGAAGAGAAGAGAGAGAGAGAGGGACACGTGTATTCATGCAACAAGGACTTACTATGTGCGTGCAAACTTAGTCTCAGCCACCAGTTGAGAGCTTTCCCAGCTTCTTCACCAAAAAGTTTCGATCCCCATTTCTTCACTCGATCGTACACCACACAATGGCACGTCCTGCAGCACAACGTAAAAACAAAGCCGGCAATGCCAAGAATGCACCAAAAAAGGCTTCCTCACCAGCTAAGCCTACAGCTGCTGTCGCCAAGCAAGGCAACAAGAAACGTCAAGCTGATACATCCGAGACTCGTGCTCAACAACAACAAGTTAAGCGACAAAAGAAAGTAGAGGAACAGCAAGAGGAATCAGATGAAGAAGAATCCTCAGAAGAAAGTGATAGCGATGATGATGAATCACCCAAGAATCGTTTCTCGCGTATGGAATCCATTGCCAATGGAGAGGATAACGAGGACAATGACAGCTCTGATGATGAGGATATTGAAGAAGATCAAGTGGACGATGAGGATGAGGATGAGGAAATGGAAGAGGATGAAGAGGAAGAGGATGATGAGGATGAAGAGATGGTTACCACGTTCCAATGCGGCATTTGCCCTGATAAGGTGCTCAAGACACCTGAACAAGTCGATGTTCATCTTAACAGCAAGGTAATTGAATTGATTGGATGGATATGGGAATGACATGAGGGAACATGGAAGCTTATCCCACGTGATTTTGGAATCTAGACTCACAAACGCCGTGAGAGATACCTGACAAACCTGGAAGCTGAAAACAACAAGGAAGAACAAGAGCCTGAGACCAAATTAGATGATGAACAACCTGAAGAAACTGAAGAACAAAAGGCAAAGAGAGAGGAAAAGGCGAAGAAGAGAGCTGAATTGAAGGCTAGAAAGTATGCAAAGAAAGCTGCAAAGCAGGCAGCCAAAGAGGAAGCTGAAAAGAAGCAAGCAGCTGAGAAGAAGCAAGTAGCCCAAAAGAAGCAAACAGCCGAAAAGAAGCAAGGAGCTGAAAAGAAGCAAGAAGCCGAGAAGCAAAAGGTTGTAAGTAAAAAGGCTGCTGGTGGCAACAAGAAAACTGCACAAAAGGCTGGTGGCAAGAAGGTCAACAAGAAGTAATCGTTTATAGTATAGTCATACCAATCATATCATATAAAAGCATTTGCATCCTCATGAAGAGTTGTTTTGGGTAATGATGAGTCAATAGTTTCCGAAAAATCGGCATGCGTTGAATGAAACACCATAGGAATTCGATTCTGGATGCCACATTTGTTTTTTATTTGTTATAGCGGGACCATCCGGAACTCAAAATGGGCAACAACCCACCCCACATGGTTCATTGATAAGACTTACATTATCTATAATAAACATTCCCCCCATCACCCACCCCCATTTCAGGTTTTTCTTTTTCTTGCGACTCACACAATATTATATCCTACGTCTTTTTTTCTTGCTAATCGTGCCCAATGTCGTTGCGATCGGGTGTCGTTGCACCTCGAATACCTTCCAATACAACAGCGAATGGTCATCATGCAGCAACAAAAACTCAACCACCATTTTTCATTGGAGGAGTTGCTTCTTGTGTCGCCACGCTTGTATCCCATCCATTCGATCTCACCAAAGTGCGACTACAAACGACAATTGGAAAACAACAACCACAGCAACAACAAGTATTCTTTGCTGCTGCTACTAGAAAAGGTCGACGTCCCATGATACATACCATGTGGTGGATATCAAGAACGGAAGGGGTGAAGGCTTTATACAATGGACTTTCAGCTAGCTTGCTCCGACAAGGGACTTATTCAACCATCCGATTCGGGTTGTATGACAAGTTTAAAGGGATTGTTGCAGGCGATGACAGTAAGTTGACTTTGGTTGCCATGGTGATGATACGTATTTACTAACGATGATTCATTATAGAACCTACCTTTGGTCAATTGCTGTTTTGCTCGACAGCTGCCGGTATCCTTGGTGGTGCGTTTGGCAATCCAAGCGATGTGGTCAATGTACGAATGCAAAACGATGGTCAACTACCACCTTCTCAACGTCGCAACTACAAGAATGCCATTGATGGAATTGTACGCATATGCCGTGAAGAAAGTCCTCGTGTATTGGCACGTGGTATTGGATCAAGCACCAATCGTGCCGTGCTTATGACTGTGTCTCAGATGACGAGCTATGATATGTTCAAGGATTGGGCAATTGGATATCTCCATGGCAACGAGGGCTTAATGGCCCATTTTGCTGCAAGTTTGGGAGCGGTAAGTTTTCATTCTTTTCATTTTCTTTGTCCATGATGCCTAATACATGGGATCTCTATTTTAGGCATTGATAGCAACCACCGTATGCTCTCCTTTGGACGTAGTCAAGACGCGAATCATGAACACGCATTTTGAAGACACAAGCGTCAAACGTCCATGGCGAATGATGATCCACATGGTTGAAAAGGAAGGCGTAACATCATTATTTAAAGGATGGATGCCAGCTTTTGTTCGGCTGGGTCCTCATACCGTCGTGACTTTTCTCGTGATAGAACAACTTAAAGAATGGCTGGCCACAAACAACATTTAGAATACTATTCTCTTCTTTTGTATATCTTCCATCTTACTATTACACCATTGTAGATACAACCTTATCCCATTTTTATGTACCACCTTGACATTGATATCCACATGATGCATGCATTCAATAAAGCAACATAACCTACTACAATACTTATGCTACGCCGATCCCGTGTACTACTGTAATCTTTGGTAGCGAAGGCTAAGATTTGCTTATATCAGCAATCGATTTTGCATTCCGAGAGCATATACCTCGCTTGCACCGATCCCGCACATTTTCATCTACAGCAGCTTTAAAATACATAGACTAGCAAGCGGGCTTCAATGAACCCCACCCCTTCCCATCCAGTCATTCGTTTTCCCCAGGAACCCTTTTTGTATTGAACACAGGGCAACGTTACTCGGAAAAACAAAACTTTTAGACTCAATCTTACCATTCTCGGTTTTCAAGATCTAATTGTCTCGATTCGATTGGATTGTACGCATTAGTGTTGTACTTTAGGGATCCACAGGGGCGTAAAAAAGTCTGTTTGGGCCTAACGCTCGGCAAACGGCTAACCGCGGAACCAGGATTCAACCTTTGTTCCATCATGGATCCCGCTCTCTCTCATTCACTTTTTTGCTTTATATATTGCACAAGCTGAATTATACAAAAAAAAGTTTTTGCAATAACTTTTTCATCTTTTTCCTCTTTCTCTCGACGAGGCGATATGGATTCTCGACAAGCAGGAGTGCGACCTTATGTCTTGTTTTGTTCAGTGATTGCTAGTCTCGGCACATTTAGTTCCGGTGTCAATACTTCAGCATTCAACATCCCTGGTAGCTACGTACGCACCTGTGAGCCTGATCCATCAGCTGCACTACCTCTTTGTATCCCAATGAGCGATTGGGTATGGTACGTTAAGGCATTCAAAACATGTATCATAGGGCTGATTTGTTATTAGGGGTGCGGCAACGGGTATGTTTGCAGTGGGTGGTCTCGTGGGTGCATTCTTGTCCGGACCTATGGCCGAACGATTTGGACGTAGAGATGCAATGATTATTATGAATACAGCTTTTATTGTGGGTGCAGCATTGATTTCAACATCCACTACAAGTGCACAATTTGCCATTGGGCGTGTTGTGGTGGGTATAGCATCAGGCTTCATGGTACGTTTTCATGATTTATATATAGTTGGTTGCTTCTATAATGCATATTGATGGTGTATGTAGACTGTAGTGGTGAGCATGTACATTACGGAAATTGCACCTCCCCCGCAACGCGGTGCATTAGTCGGTTTACTGCAACTATTGACGACATTGGGCATCTTTGTTATTGAAGCCATCGGCCTTGGTTTGCAATCAGCCGTTGGATGGCGCGTATCAGGCGCCATCACTGTTGTGCCTGCTTTGGTCCAAGCGGCTATTCTTCCCTTTTGTGCACGTTCACCACGATGGCTCATCTCAAGACGACGTGTGGATGAAGCACGCTCACAATTGCTTCAATTGCGTCGAGGGGATATTGAAATCGAATTCACCGATATGATCTCAACATCAACAGCAGCTGCAGAGGATGACATCAAAGATGTGCCAGCGGGTTTAACAACGAACAGCGATAAGGATTCGACACTTGTGAGCGCAGCTGGTAACAACCTTGATGATGACATTGAGCACAAAAAAGCAACGACAGCCAACAACAACAGCAACTTTGATCACCAACATCTATCGTTTCTTCAAACAATGCGCATTCCGGTATTAGCTATGCTGATCTTTAAAATGTCAGTGTTGCATTCTGGGACACAGCTCGCTGGAATTAATGCGATTATGTACTACTCGACCAGCATCTTCGAAAAGGCATTCGATGATCGAGCAGCCTATGTCACATTAGGTGTTGCTGCTCTCAACATTGTCATTACCGTGTTTGGCATCTTCTTGGTGGATTTCTGGGGAAGAAAATTCTTGTTGGTGTTGTCATCAAGCATCATGTGTTTGGCAGCTGCGCTAATGACCGTTGGTATGGCACTCGATATTGCCGCATTACAAGCCGTGTGTGTTTTTCTTTTTGTCGCTGGATTTGGGTGTGGGCTTGGCATTGTTCCTTTCCTTTATACACCAGAGTGTGTGCCAACAGCTGCCATTAGTGCTGCCTGCTCCGCTGCCCTCGTGTGCAATTGGTTCTTCAACTTTATCATTGGTCTCATCTTCCCTACTTTACAAAGCGCATGTGGTGATTACGTATTCTTGATCTTTGTCGGTATCACTTTTCTTCTCGCCCTCTTTATTTTCTTCTTTTTGCCCGAAACCAAGCGTAAATCTATCGAAGACATTGGACGTGACCTTGGCTGGTATGACCTTGACCTTGACAAGGCGCTCGGAAAATAGTGACACGGCATCATCTTCATCATCACCAACATTTTTATTCCTCTTTGCATTATCACATCGTAACAATACTAATAAATACTTCATACTTCAAAGGATGGCCAATGCGTGGGGAGATGCATAATTCCACGTGTCTAAACTTTAACCTTGCATATGCTATTGCATCTTGTGAAACCCTACTACTACTACCTTACCACACAAAGAATGATCAATGCAAGGTTTTATTGTTGTTGTTGTTGTTGTAAATTCACGCAAATGTAATTCAAAGCGAGGGTTCTATTGTAATATGATGTGTGTCCAATGTGGCTTTGTGTGTTGTTCAGAATTTCTAAAACCGGGCCCATGAAGGGAACAACCCCATACGTTAGTGCACACACACAACAAACCAACCTGCTTCCGGATGAAAGAATCACTTACCCAATTTGGTCCTACGGTTTGTGCCCACCTGAACTTTTCTAGGAGCGTCTTGTTGAACACCTTTTCCACGGGAATCTCGTACTTTTTACACCATGATATGCTGATACGTGGATCGATATAGTTCATCTTGGAAGTGCCAAGAGCAATTTCCTTGTTCTCTTCCTTATCAGTAGCCTGAACCTTGACAGCCGCAATGCGTTGATCCAACTTGGCGAGGTTGTTGATAAGCTTCTCGACGGTGGCACTTGACTTGGGTTCGGAACGTCCTGTCTTGCGCTCCTTTGCTAATCGCTTCGCCATCTCGTCAACAGCTTTCAGGTCATCCTTGAGTTGAGATTCAGGGAGTAAGGGCTCCTTGGCTTCCTTTCGCTTTTCATTCTGCTTGGCAAACTTGTTCTTGACACGCTCACGCTCCTTGTTGATCAACATCTCCTCATGTTCAGCAATCCAATCATCCTCCAAATCTGATTCAGGCTGGGCATACTCTGCGATCTTTTTGTACTTTGCATCCAATTCAAAGATCTGCTTCCGGCATTTCATGCGCTGGTATTTCAGGGCTCGGATCTACAATTATTTGGATAAGTAAATACAAATAAAGAATACATCTCTCCCTCACACACACTTACCCTATCCTGGATTCTTCCCATTTGTTGTTCGTGGCCCTTGGGTGCCGCACGTTGATGGTTACACAAGACTGCCACATCTCGATTGGCACGATTGAATGAGAGCATCTTGTCAGGGATACTTTCTTCCATGTTGGTGAGCTTCTCCAATTGCTTCTGGAAAGTGTGCGATGCATTGTATGTACGGAACACTTTGGCTGATAATCCCTTCATGTAGCTATTCAAGTGCTTGTTCAATGCACCGGTCTACACATATCATTGCTATTAGATCGAGCACACCCACCACATGAACAGCATTATCATCACACATACCGATAAGTCATCAAAAAGTGACGTGATCAAAGGATCAATCTCGCCCTTTGGATTCTTCTTTTTTGCTTCAGCATATCGTTTCAGAGCATCGGCCTTGAATTGCTTTATGTTCTTGAATACTTGGGTCTCAACGGCCACCGAATTGACGTAACGAATGGAATCTTTACCCAAAAAGTCAAAGTGAAGCGTATTGGGTGACTCCAATTCGATATGCTCAGCACGTAAAGAACAGCAACCCACAGTGTCAGCTTCATCGTCGCCCTTTTCATTGCCAGCTCTCAACGCCAATCGATCAATGAGGTACATGGCCGTGGCACGTTGACGAGTCAAACGATTCTGGTCCTTCAAGTGCGATGTATAATCCTTACGGATCTTGCTCACCAAGCCCTAAGTGTTTCGACGATTAGCTTTTTTTTGCTTTCAATGTTTCATACCAACACACATACCTTGAGTTCGCGAGCCTTTTCAAATTTTTGCATATCACTTTGACCCTTCCATGCTGAAGATTGAGCCAAAAAGACGTACTTGATGGTACCATTGACATTCTCCTTCCAGGTAGCAAGCCATGTGGCCGTTTGGTCATGAACAATCTTGGCCCATTTGTGTCCCGGAGGAGCTGGTGGCACTTTGGCATCCTTGGAAAGATTGAGGGTCACCTGCTCCGGAAGTACACGTTGCTGCGAGAACATCATTAGCTCAATGTTGATAAATATATAATCATTTTTGTTTACCTTGAGCATGCCAGTCTTGGGATGTGCACCACGACCACGGAATAAACCTGGTGGTTCGATACGGAAGTTGCCAACCTTTTCCTTACGATTGTCCACATAAGCATACAAGAAAGGCTCCTCTAACTTGTCCTTTTCCTGCTTGATTCTCTACAATACAGGTCATGTGAGTGAGTGAGTGAGTCAATGGTCAATAACACACATAAAGCACTTTATCACTTACGAGCTTTTCTTCCTTGGTCATTTGCTTCTTCTTCTCCTTGTCGCGTTCAAACTTTTCCCAGATAGGACGGAAATCACACTTTTCAAATGATGTGATTTTTGGATTCTACATATACAAGCATGTAAGCGATCCTGTATGACATCATCGAGGCTACATTTAGAGATATTTACCTGTGGATCCTTTTTGAGAATCTTGAGCCAATCATTGAAAAAGTTCTTTTGGAAGGTGGGGTTCTTGCCATGATCCGTTTCAAGTAGAGCGGCATAGAAACTGGCCACTTCCTCAGCTTCAGGAGAGAGCGTAATAGGCTTGCCATCATACTTCATCTTGACACCGTGAGGAACGTAATCAGGTGGGAAAAGGACACCATTGTGCTCCAATTTGGTCCATTTGATGGTATCATCTTCGGCCATTCCCTTTTGCTCTTGTTCTTCCCACCACTTGTAAATCTCCGCCTCTTGCTCTTCCTTGATCTTCGCCTTCTTGGCTGCTGCACTCGTCAATGGGGTGGACTCCTTTTTCCCTCGCTTGGCCAACGGTTTGTCATCACTCTCCTTCTTACGCTTGCCATTGGACGACGCCGATGATGATTCCTTCTTCACCTTTTAACAACATAGGATTATTCATTAATATAATGAAGAAAATGGATTGATTTCTCCTTCTTACCTTGGGCTTGTTGAGAGAGAGCTTTTTACGCTTCTTTGCCTATAGAATAGAGTCAATTGAATACATGAATAAAGATAGACCATTATCTACTTTACCAAAGGAATCTCATCGTCCTCGCTTTCAGACTTTACAGAGCCAGCACGCTTGATTGATCGACCATTGAGACGCTGAGCCAACGGCATGTCGTCGTCCGAGTCTTCATCGCTAGCTTTGGCTGTAATCACGTAATCGCTAGGTTCTTCCTTTTTGACTGGAATAGAAGGTGTGGCATTGGGAAGTGCGAGACCTGGAAATGAGAGGGATGAGAAAAGGGGTTGTCGCGTAGAAAAAAGGGAGAGGCCATTTTACCTGAGAGGTTGTTGTTGATAGCAGCTCGTTGAGAGAGCGGCAACTCATCCTCAGAATCGGACATGTGCATGTGTGTGTATGTATGTGTGTGAGAGAGTGTGTGTGTAAGGGATTGAGAAGAAAGAAAGAGAGGAAGTCGGAAGGGAATGGAAGAAATGGGTGGTGAGTTTTCCTTTGTCTCTCGTTCTTGCCTTGCTCCCAGCAACCAGCACCAGTCGGCAAAATACCCATTGCCCGTCGTCGCAGCTGACATTGAAAAAGTACATTTGTGCTCTCTGCCATCTGCATTGCTTTGGTATTCTACCCATCATTGCCGTACTTCCTCTATTCATTATCACTTGTCTTTGTTCACTTGTACTCTCTTTGTCGTCATCCTATAATCATCATTTCCTTTTTTGAATCTTCCAATACATTCATGTTCCCAAGGATAATGTTCACAGTCATTGTAGCACATGAGGGAGGAACATGTTGATAATGCAAGATGTGTGTTCAATATTCCCGCTCAATCCAATAAATGTAAAATGGCAATGATCAAAGTTCTTTTATTCTATTATGTATACAATACAAGGATGCAGGCTTTTACTCTTATTGATTGTTTGTATGTATATCCAAGTAGTTGGGTGGCTACTGTAAAAATCATCCCCCACCTCGACTTTGATGGTGAAACCTACTGAAAACAAAAAAAAATGCGGAGTCGGCTGGGCCCTGGTCTTTTTTCGCATTGGACAGCTTAGGAAGCCAAGTATGTAAAGGGATTGCAGTTTACCCCAAATCTCATCAAAGACGAAGCCATGGTAGATATCATGTTTATAGGGTACTATCATATGATTCACATGTCAAGGTACTATGGAATGAAAGAGGAATTACAAGTGATGATGCCATTGCCGACAACAACCTCCATGGATGGTGAGTATGCAGTCACAGGACCATGTGCCAACCACCTTTTTGATTTTTTTTCTTTGTGTAGGTTTCATTTGATTGTTCCTATCTCTCTTCCTTCTTCTTCTTTCAGCAATCCATCATGTCGTTTGCTAGTTCCCTATTTGGGGGACTACCTGGAAGGGCGGCTGCTTTCCGTCAAGCAGCGTCAGGTCTTGCCCAAAGCATACCTCGTCAAGCATTCTCTCTTCCTGCTGTTTACACCTGTCAACGCTTCCAGTCCTCCTCGGCTGCAGCTACAGCTACTGCTGACACCGACGATGACAATGTCGATTCCAAAGATCTTGTAAGTGTTCTTGTCATGGTTGCTCATTGGGTATAGCAAGGGTACTTACAAAGGAGAGTTGTACCTGTCAAATAGGCACGTCTTCGCAAGCTTCGTAACATTGGTATTTCTGCACACATTGATTCTGGCAAGACTACTTGTACCGAACGTATCTTGTTCTACACCGGCCGTATCAAGGAGATCCATGACGTCCGTGGTCGTGATGGTGTTGGTGCAAAGATGGATTCTATGGATTTGGAAAGAGAAAAGGGTATCACTATCCAGTCGGCTGCCACTTATGCCAGCTGGGGTGATAACAACATTAACATTATTGATACTCCTGGTATGTCCAATTCAATGTCCATCATCCTCCTATAGATTACTTACATCAATGTATGATAGGTCACGTTGATTTTACTATTGAAGTCGAGCGCGCTTTGCGTGTGCTTGATGGTGCTGTCTTAATTCTTTGCTCTGTTTCTGGTGTCCAATCACAAACTATGACTGTCGATCGCCAAATGCGCCGTTATGGTGTTCCTCGCATTTCGTTTATTAACAAGATGGATCGTGCTGGTGCCAATCCTTTCCGTGTCATCGATCAACTCCGTACAAAGCTCAAATTGCCTGCTGCCGCTCTCCAAATCCCCATTGGTGCTGAAGATCAGTTCCGTGGCGTTGTGGATTTGACCACTTGGAAGGCTTATTACAATGAAGGCGAGCATGGGTAAGTTGTTAAAAGATAATGATGGTATAAAAGCCATACTCATGTATTATTCATCATAGTGAAAACTTGGTTGAAAAGGACATCCCTGCTGAATTAATGGACTTTGCTACTGAAAAGCGTCAAGAATTGATCGAACAATTGGCTGATGTTGATGACGAGATTGCCGATATCTTTTTGATGGAGGAAATCCCTACCGCTGAACAATTTATGAACGCCATTCGCCGTACCACGCTTAGCTTGAAGTTTACTCCCGTTTTGATGGGCTCCGCTTTCAAGAACAAGTCCGTGCAACCTTTGCTTAACGCCATTGTCAACTACTTGCCCGATCCTACTCAGGTTAAAAACACCGCTTTGGATATCTCTAATGATGAAAAGCCTGTGGATCTCTCGCCTTACTCTGCCAACCCATTTGTCGGTCTCGCTTTCAAGCTTGAAGAAGGTCGTTATGGTCAGCTCACCTACATGCGTATCTACCAAGGTACCCTTAAGCGTGGCTCCTTCATCACCAATGTCAAGACCGGAAAGAAGATCAAGGTTCCTCGTCTCGTTCGTATGCATGCCTCTGATATGGAAGATGTCGATGAGCTCGGTGCTGGTGAAATTGGTGCCATCTTCGGTGTCGACTGTGCTAGTGGTGATACTTTTACCGATGGCACTCTCAAGTACACTATGGTAAGTTTTTTTGATTCACAAACATTGACATTGGATCATTGATACTGATTCTTTCTTTTAAAATAGACCTCCATGTATGTTCCTGAACCTGTCATTTCGCTTTCGCTTAACCCCGTTGGCCGTGAATCCCCCAACTTCTCCAAGGCCTTGAACCGTTTCCAAAAGGAAGATCCTACTTTCCGTGTGCATGTTGACAAGGAAAGCAAGGAGACCATTATCTCTGGTATGGGTGAACTTCATTTGCAAATCTACGTTGAGCGTATGAAGCGTGAATACAATGTCGAATGCACTACTGGCAAACCTCAAGTGGCTTTCCGTGAAACCATTACTCAACCCGCCAAGTTCAACTACACTCACAAGAAGCAATCTGGTGGTGCTGGTCAATTTGGTCGTGTCATTGGCTCGCTTGAACCCATGAAGATGGATGAAGAAACTGGCAAGGATATTGCTTTTGAGAACCGTGTTGTTGGTGGCAACATCCCTACCAACTACATTCCTGCTTGTGAGAAGGGCTTTATGGATGCCCTTGAAAAGGGTCCTCTTATTGGTCATCCCGTTAATGGTATCCGCATGATTTTGGATGATGGTGCCGCTCACGCTGTCGATTCCAGTGAAATGGCTTTCCGCATTGCTACCAAGAACGCTTTCCAAGAAGCTTTTGCCAAGGGCCGTCCCACCATTTTGGAACCTATCATGAACGTCTCTATCACTGCTCCTACTGAATTCCAAGGCTCTGTCATTGGTGGCCTTAACAAGCGTAAGGGTACCATTGTCGACACCGATATCCAAGAAGACTTCTTTACTGTCACTGCTGATGTTCCTCTCAATGACATGTTTGGCTACTCCACCGAATTGCGATCTGCCACTCAAGGCAAGGGTGAATTCTCTATGGAATACAAAGAACATCAACCTGTCCAAACCTTTGTCCAGGAACAACTTGTTCAAGAATACAAGAAGAAGGAAGCTGCTAAAAAGTAAAAGCATCGTTGCATCATTATTATCTTCTCTAAACCCCTCTCTATCTCTCCCTCTTCCTCACACACATACACACACACACTCTCTCTCTCAATCCCGCTTTGAATGTAGATATATTATAGACAAAAAAAGTAAAAGTAGCTTGAAGCATTCGTATACAAAAGATTTGATCTCTTTACTACTGTTGATGATGATGACATGCAAATGGTTTATAGCTAAGGAGAGCTGTTGTTGTTGTATTGAGTTGTATCAAAGGCATGGTTTAATAACAATGAGTATATCAATCTATCAATCCTATGGTGGTGTTTATGCATAAGAGTGCTTGGTGGAGATAGCTTGCTTGGTGAATCGATTGGGCAGCTGATAAGTTGGCTTGGAAGCAGCCAACCAAAGCAAAAATTCTGCGGTCCGCATTTGTGTTTCCCATCTTGGTTATACACCTTTTCTTCCTTTCCCTATGCCAGCCAAACAACCCCAACCCAAAGGCAGTGGTGGATCAGCACTCAAACGACTCAAGACCTCCTTGCGATCAGCAGGCGTCGTCGGCAATCAATCGAAATCGAGTCGATCCAAGAAGCAAAGAAAGCGGGGTGTCCCCTCTGAAGTGGGCAAGAACTCGACAGCCGACAAGCTCAAAGTGATTCGAGACGAATTCAACCCTTTTGAGATCAAGCAACAACGCACCAAGTTCGATGTCATGGGTCGTAAAGTGAAGGGTGTCGGTGGCAAGCCTGCATTGAATAAGCAAATTGGCGAGGAGAACGTAAGATCAACGAGACGATCTATGCGTGATCGAGTGGCTAACGAGGCTATCTATCTTATAGCGTAAAAAGACGTTGCTACAAGAGATGCAATCCAAGGGTCATGTGGGTGGTATCATTGACAGACGTTTTGGTGAGAACAATCCCAACTTGACACCTGAAGAAAAAATGTTGGAACGTTTCACTCGTGAAAAGCAGGTAAGATAAGGATGATGGTTTATAGGATGCATATAGGCTAATAGGCTATATATTATATAGAGAGCTGCCAAAGCTACGACATCCTTGTTCAATCTTGAAGACGATGATGGTGAAATGGGCTTGACGCATTATGGCCAATCGCTTGCAGAAATGGATGATTTTGATGACACTGGCTTGCGACTAAGCGATGATGAAGAAAGTGGTCAACTCAGCAAAGATTTGGTCTCACAAATGCATTTCGGTGGTTTCGACGATGATAAGCAAGTGGACGATGATGGCAAACCAAAATCGAGAGCCGAGATCATGAAGGAGATTATCGCCAAGAGCAAATATCACAAATACGAGCGTCAAATGGAAAAGAGAGCCGACGAGGATATGCGTGAAGATCTTGATGAGGAGTTGAAGGACATTCGTGAATTATTGGATACAAAGCCAAAGCGTAAACCTCTCGTGTCACAGAGTGCTTTGTTTGCCAGACAATACGCCGAAGCTGACGAGAAGGAGCAAGAGAAAGAAGAAGAGGAGAACAGCAACAAGTATTCAGATTACGACCAATTGTTGCAGGAGTTGGCACGTGACAAGCGAGCTATGGCAACCGATCGCACCAAGACTGAAGAAGAGATTGCATTGGATGAAAAGGAGAAATTGGAAAAGGCTGAGCGTGCAAGAAAGCGACGTATGGAAGGTCTCGATTCAGAATCTGAAGATGAGGGCAAGTTCAAGAACAATCGCAAGAGAAGAAAGGGTGAACAACCTCAGGGTGACGATCTTGATGATGACTATCTTGAAGAACTCGATGAGGAGGTGAATCGCTTGGGTGCTGGTCTTACTCTTGAAGACATCCAGAATGCTGTTGCTGATGAAGATGAAGAAAGCGGTGATGAAGATGAAGACAACGATGAAGAGGATGAAGATGAAGAAGAAGGAAGCGATGAAGAGGATGACGATGACGACGATGAAGAAGAGGAAATGGAAAGCGACTATGGCGAAGATTTGGAAGGCGAAGATGACGAAGTACCAACCTTTGATGACGATGACGATGATATGAATGAGATGGGCACCAATGGCATTGTCAAGAAAGCAACAAAGAAAAAGTCAACAAAGAACACCACATCAGAAGAGGGCGAGATTCCTTATACCTTTGAATGTCCAACCACACACGACGAATTCCTTGAGATTGTATCAGGTCTTGCTCTTGAACATACGCCAACGGTCGTCAAACGTATTCGCATCTTGTATCATATCAAGTTACATCCTGAAAACAAGGCCAAGATGGCCACTTTCCTCAACGTTTTGGTGGACCATATCGCTTATCTCGCATCAACAGCTTCTCCTTTCCCCAGTACAATTATCGACACTTTGATTGGCCACGCATTTGAAATCTCTCAAAAACTCCCCAATGCTGCAGCAGATGTCTTTTTGGAAAAGTTAAAGACGATGCATTCGACAATGTCTCAAAAGATGAATCACAGCAGCAGTTCCGCTTTCCCGGATGTGGAGGATATCACAGTGTTACGATGCTTAGGCAAAGTGTTTCCAACATCTGATCTGATGCATCCAGTTGTTACACCAGCCATGTTGTATATGAGCCAAACGCTGTCACTTTGCAGAGTGCGATCGGAAATTGACATTGGCCGAGGAATCTTTGTGTGCCTATTGTTTCACGAGGTAAAAAGATGAGACGTATAGAGTGGGACAAACATACTAACTATCTCTCGGCTATAATAGTATCAATCTGTATCTAAGCGATTTATTCCTGAAGCCTTGAACTTTTTGCAGCGTGCCATTGTTCTCTTATCACCCAAGGATGTCTTTGTGGATCAAGTGCCGGGCACCTTTCCCATGCCAGATGAAGTCACCAAGTTACATATCGCCGATACCAATGGCTCCGATCTTGAGACAATACCTGACCTGGCCTTAGGACGACTGTCAGTGGAGACCGTCGAGAAGGAAGAGCGAAATACATTGCGATTATCAATGCTACAAAGTATTGTACGGTTGTTGACACGCTATATTCAATTATACGCTTCCACACCAGCCTTGGTGGAAATCTTTGAACCAATGCAGGCATTGATTGCGCAAACATTGACGGTATCATGGCATGATGACATTCAGGTAAGGTTGCGGGAAATCGGATTGCCGGATCGGTGCATACTATGAATGTGGGGTTCAATGATGATTTACATTCTCACGCGTATCTTTGTGTGTTACGTTTGTAGACTTTACTCAATACACTTCAAGACCGACTTGCCCGACAAATCAAGTTTTGCAAAGATAAGCGAGCCAAAATGCCATTGCGGATGCAACACCACCGTCCCATACCCATTGCACAACACCTACCCAAGTTTGAACAACGCTACTCGCTTGACAAGCATTATGATCCTGATCGTGAGCGTGCTCAACGCAACAAGCTTGAAGCTCAAGTCAAGAAGGAGAAGAAGGGTGCCATTCGTGAATTGCGCAAGGACGCTCGTTTCATGTCTCGTGAGAAGGCTAAGCAACGCAAGGAGAAGGATGAAGAGTATAACAAGATGATCCGAGGCGTTATGACCATGCTTGAAACGGACCAAGCTGAAAAGAATCGTTTGGAGCGACAAAAGAGAAAGTAAAATAGCATCTATATTTTCACTGCATCCATTACTTAGACAACATTGACCAATGAATTCCCTATTGCATGTACAAAAGATAACTCCATTTATGGTTATATGGTGGGATGTGAAAAAATTGATAGATCTTTGCATCGGGCATAAGTAAGAAAGGGTACAAAAGATCATGTTACACCAGCCGGTAGCCCCAAAACCACCCCGACCGGTATATAAACATTGAGATGCACAGGATCAGCAATATGCAGGCACGCTCTTTTTCTCTTTTCTCTTTCACATGAGGCTTGACCTTTCATCATTCTTCGCAGCGGGTGCCCTTTCACTCGCTGTGAGTGCACACCCTTTGGCTCCCCGTCAACAACCTGAGGCTGTAAATACTCCCAAGCTTGATTTGGAACCACTTTCGTGGGGCGACGTCAATTTCATTCAAACCACTGACACTCATGGTAAAAAGGAAAAAGACACACTCTGAGTTTGTATTCATTGCTTACATATATACCCTTCCTTTAGGTTGGCTTGCTGTAAGTACCTTCACATCTCTCTCTCCCAAATGAATGCATGCGTGTTATACGGTGCTCTGATTGGATTGGATTGTTGCAGTTGACTAAAGTCTTCATCCCTCGGATCTTAATAGGGGCACGTGCTTGAGCCGTCCTACAATGGTGATTTAGGCGACTTTTACTCCTTTGTGGTAAAGTGCATTTGGCATGATCTCGTGATATGCATAGCATGCATGCTTGTTTACACGTAAACTCCACCATTTATAGATTCGCATGAAAGAATTGGCCAAAAAGAAGAAAAAGGACCTCTTCGTTGTAGATTGTGGTGACACCCACGATGGTAAAGATATGGCTCTTATCATGTTGGAACTTTGATTAACCACCACATGTAATGATAAGGTGCTGGACTCAGTGATGTCACTTTTCCCCATGGTCTTTTATCGCAACCCATGCTGAAAAACATCCCATACGATGTTTTGGCGATTGGTATGTTGTTTGTGGCGAATGATGGTGCATGTTACTTACTCTTTGTATATAGGCAATCATGAGCTTTATGGTAATTTGCAATATGCTTGGTGCTATCTCTCATGGTTTTCTCACGTGTTGCTGTGACATGCATCTAGTGAATGAGGTCACTGAAGATGTTTACAAGAATTTCATGCCACACTGGAATGGCCGTTACCTTGCATCCAATGTTTACTTTAAGGATGTCAACAACAACAAGACCGTTCCTATCGGGTAAGGGTTATATGGGGTGGCGTATTGTTGGATCATCACCATCATCAGGGTACTGATTTAAGATGATGGTTTATCATTACAGTAACAAGTACACTTACTTCGAAGGTGAATTCGGCACCAAGGTCCTTGCATTTGGTTTCTTGTTTGATTTCACTGGCAATGGCAACAACTCGATTGTCCATAAGGTGGAGGATGAAGTCAAGGAACCATGGTTTGGTGAAGCTCTTAAATCGCACAAGCCCGATGTTATTGTAAGTGGCATAGCGCATGTTATACGAAATTATGCAAGTAATAACCCCGATGTAGGCATTGATGGGCCACACGGGTGTTCGCTTTGAGGAATTTAAGGTTGCTCTTAAGGCTATTCGTGAATATTATCCTTACTTGCCTGTTGCTGTTCTCGGTGGTCATGTTCACGTGCGTGACTTTGCCATTTATGACGGCTGGGCTGCTGGTATTGCCTCTGGCCGTTACCTTGAGACTGTCGGCTTTTTCTCATTGGATGGTGTCAAGGAAACCAACAAGTTTATTAAGAAACATGGCCATGACAACACCCAAGATGTTCCCAAGAATCTCACATTCCATCGCCGCTACTTGGATCAAAATCGCAACACCTATCTTTTCCATTCAGAGAGCAACGAACATCATTTTGATACCGAGTTGGGTGAAAAGATTTCACGTAACATTACCGAGTGGCGCAAGAACTACAATGTATCCAATCGCCTTGGTTGTTCTCCTCAAAATTATTACCTCTCGGCTGCCAAATTGCATGATAACAGCAGCATCTTTGAACTCATGGCTACCGGTATGTGATGTTGTTGTTGTCAGTGCTCTTTTGTTGCCTATGCTAAATATCCTGGTTACCATTATAGAGGTATTCCCAAAGACGGTTGCCGATCCTTCACGTCCCAACCCTGCTTACGTTGTCATGAACAGCGGTGGCATCCGTTACGATATCTACAAGGGTCCTTTCTTGGAAGATAACGTATACAACGTCTGCCCATTCGCTGATGACTGGGTCTATGTGGCTGATGTGCCATACGACGCTGCTGCAAAGCTTTTGGATGCCATGAATGGTGACTCCGCAGCTAGCAACTACAAGCGTAAACGTGATCTTGGTGGCCTTGAGCGTGCCCTTCATCCTCTTAAATCATATCACTCGGAAGAATTCCAAACGTTCTTGGAACGTAGAGGAGATGATGGTGATGATGATTCACAAAATGTGACCATGATCCCTGGCTATACGACTGTTGATGATATGGGTGATGATGGTATGGCAATCAACAATCCTTATTCTCTCTCCTATCATTTGCTAATCTTTTGCTTTTGAATGATTGCATGTAGGCGATGATACAAAGCACATCAAGGTCCCCTATTATGAAGCACCTACATTTGTAGCTTCCTACTTGCCCGAAAACAAGACCGAGGTGGTGGATGTTGTGTTTATCACATTTGTGCAAGAGATCCTCCTTGATACTTTATACAAGTCCACTGGCAAGAATTACACCGTTGAGAGCTATGGCAACCCTAATATTACATCAAGCACCATGTGGAATAAGTTTGCCCAAGATCACTGGGCCAGTAATTGCTAAATAGCAATACTTTGTAAATAAAAAGCGTTTATCTACGATGCTCAACATGCAATGGATTAGTTATTTGAGCGGGCAACATCATCAATCTTACTCATTGCAAATCATTGGATGAATGAAGCTTGGCTCACATACACGGCTTCTCAAATGTCACACCCCACCAAATGACATCAAACCATCAACCACTCATTCACCGTATATATTGTATCAAATGCTGGTAAAATTTTCATTTGCATGGATGGGGAATTCATCGTACTTGGATTGATTACAAGAAAGGGGAGCGAAATGTTTTATGTATTGTATCGTATACTATGGTTGGTTGGTTCTAGATATCTATATTATGCCAGCCACAACGGGATAGTGTCGTCAACCTTCCGTTTTTGTATCACGGCTACCACTTTATAGCCCGACTTGATCTACATGCATTCTCGAACTTCTTTTACTGCTCATCAAATCAAAACAAACATGGCATCGTGTACAGGATCACAGGATGCTTGCACTTCCAATGATAACAATGAGAAACCAACACGCAACGAGAATCATCAAGAAGTGTGCTATGAAACACCCACCTGCAAGTTTGATTATTGCGTAAAGCGGCCTGATTATGTGGCTATGCAGTTGACTTCTGCTGAAGCCAATGAAAAATCTGTTCATGCTGGTGGTAGGTATAGCTGTGCATTCGACATGCGAGGGTGTTCACCATTATGAATTAGCGTTGGTGCGGCAATTGAGTTTCCTCGATCGGTTCCTGGTGCTATGGATCTTGATTGCTATGATTGTGGGCGTTGTCATTGGATACTATGTGCCCAGCGTACAAACGGCGTTCCAAACAGTGCAATTCCATTCCGTATCAGTGCCTATTGCTGTTGGCTTGCTGGTGATGATGTATCCAGTCTTGTGCAAAGTGCAATACGAACGACTCCCTTCTATTTTGGTGACACGACAAGTTTGGGTTCAGATTGGCATCTCCGTATTCATCAACTGGATCATCGGCCCCATCATCATGACAGCTTTGGCATGGGCAACATTACCCGATTTACCAGGCTTTCGAACGGGTGTCGTCATGGTTGGCCTTGCACGATGCATTGCTATGGTGCTGATATGGAATCATCTTGCGGATGGTGATGCCGATTATTGTGCATTGCTAGTTGCCATCAATTCGATCTTGCAAATTGCCTTGTTTTCTCCATACTCGGTGCTATTCATCAACATTATCCCTTCATGGTTTGGTGCTTCGATTGATTCAGCTATTCATGTTGACGTGGAGCCCGTAGCTATATCGGTGTTGATCTATTTGGGTATTCCTCTAGCAGCAGGTGCCGTGACACGCTTTACTTTGATGGGTCTCTTCGGTCGAAAATGGTACGAGAACAAGTTTTTACCATGGGTTGGTCCTTGGGCATTGATTGGCCTACTCTACACGATCATCGTCATGTTTGCCAACCAAGGTCATCAAATCATTGACAATATTGGATCCGTGTTCCGCGTTGCTGTACCGCTCTTTGTCTATTTTGTCATCATGTTCTTTATTCCATTCTTTGTTCTCAAGCGTATTGGTATTCCTTATGAACTCGTGGTGACCCAAGCATTTACTGCAGGGAGCAACAACTTTGAATTGGCCATCGCCGTCGCCGTTGGTACCTATGGTATTCATTCTGAACAAGCTCTTGCTGCTACCATTGGCCCATTGATAGAAGTGCCAGGTAAGGATGGCTACCGTTTATCATATATGTTTTCACTCACAAATGGTATCCCATTTCTTAGTATTACTATGCTTGACCTATGTAGCATTATTGTTCAGGAATAAGCTTCAATGGCATGTGCGACCATTCTTCATCAGCGAAAACAAGAACGAGGACCAATAAACACATGTGATATCATCGTAATGTAAATAAACTTCCCAATTAATATACAATGAGGGAAAAGAATGAGCCATAGAATATCTTTGTTGAAGGGATAAAAAGAGAGGGTCAAACAATGACACACCCACACTGGTGGAACATCCGTGCAACCGTTCAAGCTAAACCTTTCGGGATTGAAAATTTCCAAGCTAAAGCCCATAGCATCCCGGTCTTACAGTGCCCATTGAGCCTGTCACGCCTTTCTTTCTTGTGTTTTTTCCACTCTCGAGTACCACACACACTATGGCAGAAAACAACCAGAACCAGCTTCTTGGTATGAAACCAAAGACGGCCGCGTTGGTGAGCGTCGGCGTTGTTGCAAGCGCATTGCTCGGCTACCTTGTCTACTTTGATCACAAGCGACGATCCGATCCTCACTTGAAGAAGCAACGAAGTAAATGACACACCCATTTTAGCGCGTTTATTGTTACAAGAGTTATTCACAACTAACAAATAGAGCGCGAGAAGAAGGAAAAGAAGAAAAAGGAACAAGCTGCTGAAGAGGAAGCCAAGGCATCCAAGGCGCGCTTGATTGAAACCGTGTTGGACGCTGTTGCCAAGGAGACTCTCCCCACGACTGCAGAGGCTAAGGAGCAATACTTTATGTCCCAGGTGGCTGCTGGTGAGCAACTCTGCAATGCTGGTAAGGATAAAGGATTACAAAGAAATGGATTTGCATAAACATGGTATTAATGCAACGCATACCAGGTCCTGAATTCTACGAGCAAGCAGTGTTGCCATTCTACAAGGCTCTCAAGGTGTATCCCGCTCCTTTGGAATTGATCATGATCTACCAAAAGACTGTTCCAGAACCCGTCTTCCAAACCGTTGTTCAAATTATGGCCCTTGAAGTACGTAAAAAGAAGCCTTGTATAAGCTTACGAGGAAGGATACTCATATTGTGTGGTGTTTATTCTATAGCAAACCAAGCGTCAAGCCAAGTTCTATGAAGATTTCCCTCCCAAGGATACTCATGTGCGTTTGGCTGAGTTACCTGCTGGTGAGACTCCTGAAGGCAAACCCATTGTGCGTCGTGGTCTTGTTGCCAATGAGGATTTGGAAGAAGGTCAAGTCATTTACACTGAGTCTCCTCTTGTCTCTGGTCTTTATCCATCCTTCGAGGTTTGTATCTTGCAATGTGACAAGGATGAAGGTATATTTATAAAATTGACATATGATGGCTATAGGGATCCTACTGCAATTACTGTCTCAAGAAGGTCACTGATGAAAACAAGGTTGCTTGCGAGAACTGTGACAAGATTGTGTACTGCAGCAAGGAATGCGAGAATACAGCTACTGAATCATATCACCGACATTTGTGCTCCAAGGATGAAAAGGCATTGACGTTTGTGAATTACGCCAATGAAAAGCAAACAAAGTATCCCACTATGGTTGCCAAATTCTTGACCACGATGGTAGCCGAAGAAGTCGAGCGCACACGTACAGGAAAGACTGTCGAATACAACGCTTGGGATCACATGGATCGTTTCCGCTACCTTGATACCCAGGGCAATGATGACACCAAAAAGGAAATCGAGATGCTCAAGGATTTGCTTGGTTCCAAGGTCACTGGCATCAATGAATTCTTGACGGATGAGATCTACTTGATGCTCAAGGGCAAGTTACTGTACAACGCATATGCTGTCAACATTGCCGATGATACTGTTGAGGTTCCTGTAAGTAATCAAAAAAGTCAAAAGCGAGTGATCCGGATTCTATAGTAACGGCTTTGTTATAGGAAACGAGTGAGCACATGCGTAAGACTGAAACTGAAAAGAAGCCTGTTGGTGCCGCATTGTACAAGATTTCCACCTACATTGGTCAGTCCAAGGAGGAGCCTAATGTCAAGGTGGTGTTTGGTGACAACCATGACATCAGCATTGTTGCTACTAAGGCCATTTCCAAGGAGACTGAAATTACTGCAGACTACACCTTGCCCGTTCCTGTTTAAACATACCGAGGAGACACATTGCTCACAAAATAAAGTTTATATTCTGTACAGTTACTATGCTATAAGAAAGATCAAAGGATAATGTTGGGATCAAAGTGTGCTATGGTACAATTTCCAGCTCATGGTTTTCATTTTCATTTTGTGAGACGGCACTATAGGTAGGCTTTTCATCAGGATTTGGAAGGGTGGCAAGGTTCACGATAACAAAGCCAGTGATGACTAATAATGCCCCAACGATGTATTGCCATCCAGGTATGATGTGCTTGATTACAAGGTCACCCACAAGTGCCAAAGGGATCTTCATAGAATAGACACATATGAGCATATAGAATCCCATAAAATGCCATAGCCATACAAACTCACCGTAAGTGATATACCCAATGTTACTACCAGTGGCGATGTCATAAGCATTGCTAGTAACCAGAGGTAATCCGATCTAATACGAAATCCTGTATCAGCTCCTACGTATCGGGATGATTTGCATGAATCGAGGACGTACATGAATGTTCCAACAAAGGCATTCAGCAGCAGCATGAGCCATAGTGCAGGTCCATGGGGCAGCTCAAATGTCTCAATGCCAGTATAATGAAACAGTGGAATGATGGGCCATAGCAATACCACGTTGAAAACACCCACCCATCCAAAGAAACGAGGCATGTCGATACGAGATTCGCTCCCAATTTGACGCTTCAATAAAATGGTGTACAGCCCGTAAAATAATGCTCCTGACAATGCCAACATGTCGCCTAAGATACGTCTTCCTGTGCTATCGGAATAGGAAACTAGCACAGCCCCCGAGAAACTAGAAACGTAAAAGTATTATGTATGCGTTCTTCTTTTCTCAAACCATGATCCCATTATTGTTACCTGATAACCACAGCTAGCACCCGTGTAATGGTGATGCTTTCAACGCCGAATAGAGCACCAAGTGCAAGTGTGAATAAGCCCGATGTTGATGAAAGGATGGTACTGCTTCCGACACTGGTATAGGCAAGGCTCGCATTGGTAACGTAATTGGCGACAAACCACAAGAAGCAAAACGACAGGGCAAGATACATGGTTTCTTTCGGCTTCAACTTGTCATCGTCACATGGCTACATTCTTGGATCAATATCATGACCATCCATCTTTTGCATCTTTTTTGTACCTGATCCATTTGTGATATCTCGTGCATTGACAGCACCCTATCAACAAATTGTCAGCTAGATCAATGAAAACGTCCAAATGATACAAAACTTACTCTTCCGTTACAGCTTTGCTATCTTTTCTCTTGAAGCGAGCGATCAACAAGTAAAGCGAAAATGTGGCAGTATTAAGGTACGTGAGGAAGAAGGGCTTATCGTAGTGCTGCTCTCCAAAGATACTCTATTTTGGAAGTCTTTGTGAGTATGCCATTAGGCTTACGACATGCTTTGAATGTTACGTTGACCGCAAATGACGAGGTGACCCAAATGAAGACGACGACGATTAAGGCGCACACACCAGCAATATAGCGTCGTCGAGGATGCCATTGGTGATCTGCCATGATGAGAGTGGAGGAACCTGAAAAGCATCATGCATGGATAAGCGCGACTCCAATTACAGCCTCCATTCACCTCTTTACAGCCTTGTTTATTGTTCATCCACAACCATACAGTCTCATAGTTCAATAAATGGATCTTTACATAATGATACAACTTTACTTTTGATACGTACTTGCAATGGGATTTCCTTTGAAAGTGACCGAAGTGATCTGTACTTCGTTGTCATTCGCAGTCGTTTATCCTGGCACAAATTACCGTACATGCCTCATCAACTTTTTCTGTGAGTAGACCTTGTATTTGTGTAGTATGTAGATTACCTCGAAGCAGCACCCATCCATGCCTCATTACATACACCAAGTATCATATTTTCTCGAGCCGACGTGGAAGTTGAGCCCTTGCGTAGTAGTATACAGTGGAAAAGTCATGGCCATGGGCTGGTATTACAGTAGAAAACGATATTGTTTGATCATGGAACCAGCCCTAGCGATTGGATGGTATCAATGTAGAGGACAGCTTTGAATCATGCAATAGAAGCTATCAGCATGGTACGATAAGGGGCATACTTCAAGCTTGGAACTACTGCATGAAGCATCACGTTGTCGACGCGCTGAGTTGAGAGCACAAATTTCTAGGCATTGTCAAACGCGCCTTCATCACTCTCCACACCCACCCTCACTATCACTCACAACCCTCCCCCTTCAACTTGAGCAATGGGTATCGAAGATTACTTTAAGAAAGCGAATAAAAAGGTATGTTTATAGCACTCTAGTTTTCCATTCACTACTAATTCTCGGTTGCTGTTGTTCTAGGCGAGCACTACAGGTATAGATCGACGACATTGGAATGTTACAACTGCGTATTGAAAATCGACCTCTACAACATAGCACCAGCCGCTCCCGAACCTGCAAAGAAAGAAACGTATGTGTACAATTACATTCTACCTCGTACGATCTTGTGTATGTCTGATTGGCGGTTCTTTCTAGTGCTCGTAAGCCGGCAGCTGCGAAAAAGACTGAAGTGTAAGCTGATACATACCATATGACAACCCCCACCTTCAACAATATGGCTCACATTTATCATTCACAATTCTAGTGAGCCTACCAGCTCTTCCAGCGAGTATGTATTGGTGTATGAATAAGGCGTATCCATCTAAACGATCATCATAGGACGACAAAGAAAACAACTCGACGCAAGAAGAAAGTGGAAGACGACGACAAGGACTTTGTTGAAGAAGCCGAACCACCCAAGAAAACAGCCAAAAAGGAGCCCGAGACGGCAACAGAGGATCCTGCACCTGCACCTGCACCCAAGAAGAAGAAGTATGGAATTGGCAAAAGTGTATTGCATAGGATCGTGGATTAACGTTGATAACATACATTTAGCTTTTACCAGCAAATGAATCGAGAGGGACCAAGAGCACTCAACACGCGTCCTTTGCCTGTGGGCAAGCCCAACTGCTTCCAAGGAGTGACGTTTGTCATCAGTGGTATTCTTGAGACAATGACAAAGGAAACGGTGGAGGATTTAATCAAGCGTTATGGAGGGTAAGGATCTTTGTCATATACGTCACATTTACAAAATCCTGATTGATTGAGGAATAGACGTACCACTGGCTCTGTGAGTGGCAAGACGACTTATTTGCTCAGAGGTCGTGATTCTGGCGAGAAAAAGACGAGGGACGCCAACAAGCATGGAACCAAGATTCTTGATGAGGATGACTTTTACAAGCTTTTCGAGACCGAAGGTGCAAAAGAAGTTCCCACACCTGTCATGGAGATGCCCAAACCAACAAAGGGAAAAGGAAAGGCTGCTGCTGCTTCATCGGCAAAGTAAGTACATCATCAATGGCGTTGGGGGGTTACCAAGTGCTCACTCTTGTTTTAGAGCACCTGCCACAAATGGACAATCTGACAACATGCTCTGGACTGAAAAGTATCGACCTACCACCATCAAGGAGATTGTTGGCAACAAGGAATTGGTGCGTAAAATCTCTGCATGGCTTGAAATGTGGTAAGTGTTTTCCGATATCAATGGGATACGATGGTATTGATAATGGTCATGGTCTTTTCTTAGGGATGAATATCGCCAAAAGAACTTTAAAGCACCAGCTGATCTCGACGGAGGTATCCATCAACACCGCGCCTTGCTCTTAAGTGGACCACCTGGTATTGGCAAGACGACCACTGCACTTGTTGTTGCGCGAACGCATGGATACGAGCCTTTGGAGTTCAATGCAAGTGACACACGTAACAAGAAACGACTTCAGGTAGGGGGGAGATGTCTTGCTAGGGCTCTTGATCGCAATTTACCAATGCATGTATGTAGGAATTACTATCGCCCATGGTCAACAATCGATCCATGACTGAATTTTACCATGACACAGCCAACAAAGCATCAAAGGAGAAGGAAGAAAAGATATCATCAGGCAAAGTGTTGCTCATTATGGATGAAGTTGATGGCATGTCGGGTGGTGATCGTGGTGGTTCTGCTGAGCTTGCTGCATTGATCAGGAAAACAAAGGTGAGATGGGTATTCAAGTTATTGATTCACTCTCTCTATTAACAAGCCCAAATTATCATAGGTCCCTGTGATTTGCATTTGTAATGATCCGCGATCTGACAAGGTCAAGCCGCTGTTGAACGTCTGCTTTGAAGCCAAATACAAACGGTAAGATCAACTCCTATCATCAAAGTCGGTTACTGATATATGAGCTATCAATGTAGTACACCAGCAGCACAATTACGCTCACGGCTTATGACAATTGCCTACAGGTAAAACTCAATGATGATACCAGGATGTAAGCTACGCATGCTGATATAGCTATCTATTACAGAGAGGAGCTCAAAGTGGAACCCAACGCTATTGATCAACTTGTTGAAAGCTCACACAACGACCTGCGTCAAATCATCAACATGCTTTCTACGTACAAGCTATCTCAAAATCAGCTGAGCTATGACCAAGCGAAGGAATTGTAAGTACTTTTATCTACCAAAGTACATGGTGAGCTAATGTTATGTTATTATAGGGGCAAGAGCAATGAGAAATACGTTATCCGAAACGTCTTTGATATCGCCATGGACTTATTGACTGCTGGCCGTTGGCACTCGTTGACTTTGCCCCAAAAGACCGATTTGTATTTCCACGACTATTCACTTTCACACTTGATGATGTTTGTAAGTGGCACCTCCAAATTCTCAAATCGATTCATGTTACTAATTTCATGTTGAAATAGGAAAACTATTTGCGGGTCAACCCTGAAAAGGCACGTCTCCTATCCAAGTCTGGTAACCCCAAGGAGGAACAAGTGAATGCAATGCGGATGGCTGCTAAGGCAGCTGATGCCATGGCAGAAGGCGATTTGGTTGACAGCAAGATTCATGGGTAAGTTGGATATTTTCTACAATACAACAAGTGATAGCTAACATTTACTTTTTAGAACGGTTCAACAATACTCCCTTATGCCAGTACATTCGGTCATGTCATGTGTGGTTCCTGCATATTACATGGAAGGCTCAGTGAATCAAAGGCTCTTCTTCCCTGGGTAAGTAGGAGCTTGAACAACATGTGTGGATTATTGTTGACAACAAGGGGTATCCTATTCTTTGCAGATGGCTGGGTCAAAACTCGAAGGCGACCAAGTTCAAGCGGTTATTGACAGACATGCGTAGCCAAATGCGCTTACAGACATCTGCCAATGCATACGAGATTCGGGAAAATTATGTTCCTACAATGACAAAGCGTATCTTCAACTACTTGGCAAACGTAGGTGCCTCATCTTTTGGAAAAGATTCAATGTTTCTCACATGGGTAATCATAGGATGAGACTGATGAAGCTATTGAAACCATGGATTCATATTACATGCAACGTGATACGCTGGATACTCTCAATGAGCTTTGTTTGGAAAACAAGAAGCCAATGAGCGCGATGACCACTTCTCAAAAAACCAAATTTACCAGAAAGTAGGTTGAGATAGGAGTGCATTCGATGGATTATTGACGCATCTATATGAAATAGGTACAATGAACGGGATCACCCAGTACTTTTCCAAACAAGTGAAGTTATCAAAAAGAACGTTGCCCTCCCAACCGAAGAACCAGAAGGCCAGATTGTGGAAGAAGAGAGCTATTTTGGAGAGGATGTGTCTGAAGAAGAAGGGGAGGAGGAAGAAGGGGATGTATCACAAGACAAGCTTATCAAGTCCAAAAAGCCCTCCGGTAAAAGAAAGCAAAAGGAACAAGGTGGTGCAAGCCGATCAAAGGCCAAGAGGAAGACCAAATAATGTTGTCCCATAGCATCATGCAAAGTTCTTTTTTTTCATTAAAAAGTCCATCAATTCTTGAAAGTAATCATTACATCAATGTGATTGTTTATTGGTTTTATAAAAGTTATGCTTGATGTGCTAGTGAAAAGATGTTCTTGCTAGTGAAAGTGAAATGTGATCCCACACACACGCCACCAAACCAAATCCCTCGCTCCAGCTCCGCTCGCTCGCTCGCTCGCACAGCCTTCACACTACTCTAAATCCAACGTGTGGATGCCACGACGCCCGTCAGTTAAAAAAATAACGCATACAAGAAAGAAAATGCAATAATCACCTCGTATCCACCATAACAAAAACACTTCCCACACACGCTTCGCCCCAATCATTCTCCTCAATAAGCGCTAGCAGGGCCACCTGCATGCGCTGAAGGATTCATCATACCGCACTTGGCACATTGTGTTCGTTTCGCAAAGTCTATAATACACAAACGAGGGCTCCAGTTAGCTTTGTCCCATCTTACACACATGTAGGTAACTTACTGTGGAAGCCACACGTTTCGTTCACGCAAATCCAATCGCCGGCTGCATACATATTACATCAGCACATGTTGAACATGAAATGGAGGGAGCATCATACTTACGTTTCATGCCAGGATTACCCGTACCACCGTAAGTCGGTTGAGGACCTTGGCCATTATGGGGCTTGGGTGTTGCACACTTGAGACATTGGAATCTTGAAGCAAAGTTGTGCGAGTTGCATGAAGGGCTAATAATGAAAACAAATCAGTGAGCGATAGGTATGTGATTGCATGAATGAATGAATGAATATACGTACCAGTACCAATCACCAGGACGGAAAGGAGCTTGTGTACCACTTGGAGGACCATAACCATAGTTCCCAGCACCACCAGCAGGTTGACCATAAGAAGGAGCACCATAAGAATTGCCTCCATAACCATAAGCGCCTTGTTGTTGTTGAGGAGGTGGTGGTGGAGGATATGAAGCACGACCCGCTCCAGGACTAGGATTGGGTGTATGGCACTTGAAGCAGCTTGTACGTGAAGCGAAGTTTTGAAAGTTGCAGTTTGGGCAATACCAATCACCAGGACGGAAAGTGATAGGTGGACGAGGTGTATAGCCCATGCCTGGTGGTGGAGGTTGAGGACTGCCAGCATTTTGAGGACGATACGTGCCACACTTGAAGCATTGGAAACGGGATGCATAATTATGGAAGCCACAAGAGTAGTTTGGACACATCCAATCGCCTTGAATAAAGTTGGGTACATGATGAGGTGGTGGAGGTGTTGGCATTGTAGGTGGAGCTGCAGCCGCTGTTGGAGCATTGGCCATGGAAGGTGGAGGTGGTGGTGGTGCTGCCATAGGAGCTGCTTGGAAACCACCAGGAGGTGCAATTGGATTCTCAGTGTTGCATTTGAAACATGTACGTCGCGAGGCAAAGTTGTGGAAGCCACAAGTTGGGCAATTCCAATCGCCTGGTCGCAAAGTTCGGTTCTTGGGTTGAGATGGGAATGGAACAAGCATACTGCCAGCTGCTTCAATGACACGTTCACTGCTTGGTGATACCTCAACAGCTCGTTCTCCAAGACAACGTCCATTCAATGAAAGTGCTCGCATTGCATCGCCATGTGCACTGAAGACAACAAAACCAGAGAGGTTGGGTTTGGTATAATCTGATGTTTGAATCATCCATGTCGATACAGGTCTCAAGCCATTCGATGAAAACCATGCCTCCAATTCTCCTTGAGTGACTTCAAATGGTAAACCAGCCAAATGCACCACCTTCGATTCCTCCTTTTTGAATTGCTGTAGATCTGCATTCGTATCAATGGGGTGTACAAACACATCCGGATGTCCAAAATCAGTGAGATATCGAATCACGTTGACAGTGGTCAAGCATGTGTTGAGTCCAGCCGATTCATTTGTCACCCTTTCAACATGGAATGCCTCGCATAAATCCTTGAGTGACATTGACCAAAGATTGATTTCTCGATGATGCACCTGCCAACGCTGAATCTCTTGCTTCAAATCAAACATGCGACAAAATGACAAATACGATGGGAGTTCAATGCCCTTGTCGCGTGCTTCTCGTGGGAGTTGTATCCGAAGTGTCCATGCGCCATGAGTCACGAAGCAAAATGACAATTTGCCTTCAATCTCCCTTTGAATATAATCGTCAAGCTTGTTGATTGCATCTTGAAGGGTGCCAGCTGATTCAAGCTTATCATTCGTTATGCCGGTGACCTGAGCACAGTAATCGGTGAAAGGCGTATGTTCAGGCTTGACGTAGATTTGCTCAGTGTGGATCACATCCATATTGGAAGCATTGATGATCACAAATGACAATTCTAATATATAAATGTTAGGATCCCATCTCACATAGAAAAGAACCACAAGTTTGTTTGCTTACCGATCACTTCAGAGTTCTCCTTTGTTACTTGCATAGAGCCGGGTATCGAAGCTGAATTCTCATCACACGTAGCCGATACAGTGAGCACAATCAATCGATCAAAAGGAACCACCGTCTTCACTTTGCTAGGAGTTGCTGATGATGATGCTGCCACTTCTCCAGGTTGTTGATGATTCTCCTCTGATGATGCAACGACGCCTTCAACGTCTTCCTTGTTGTCGTCACTTTGCTCGGTGTCTTGATCCTCTTTCTCGGTAGGTTCTCGTTGTCCATTCGTCTCCTCAAGAGTCTCTTGTGATGGTTCAATAGGTTCATTGGAAGCACCATTTTCAGTAGATGGCTGTTGCTCCTGTTGCTGTACAGTGTCAGATGGCTGAATCTCGCTCGATTGCTCAGTTGCTGAATTCACAGTGTTGTCGAAAAGCTGCCTTTTGATATCTTGCTCATTGTTGCCTTCTTCTTCATCAACGTCATCAGCTTTACGCTTGCGATCGTTTTTTCCAAAGATAAAATCCATGACTGAAAAGAGGGTAGAGGATGATAAACAACCAAATAAAAAACTTGCTTTCCCTTCCTTTTAGACTATGCGCGGAGTAATACCACCATCCAATGAGATTGCCATACGCTTTGGCAACTCCCATTCTATCACACCTCGTTGACGACATCTTTACTTCGGCATCGAACACTGCCCATATTGCACATCGTTGTAAATAAATGATTGCCAAAGCATTTGCCCTTATCAATTCTTCATTAAACATTCCATTGGATGATACTCTTATCATCCATGTTTTTTCGTGCTTCAAGCTGAGGGATTTACAGTAACAGGCTTTGCTATTGGCACCATGCCTCTAGCACCATCCTTTAGACCAAGATCGGGCAATGCCAGGTGAGCTTTGATTGCCGATATCAAGGGTGATCCGAACATCCTCGCTGCTTACTGAACACGCATACCAATAGTAAGAGTAGGTTGACAACAATGGCAAATCACCTTTGTAATAATGGGGATGTGCGTTACGCATACCAAGTGATTAATTTCATTGATAGATTTCTTATCACCTGGCCTAATTTGGCCGATGAATGTATGCATAGACAACATTACACGTAGGCTCCTCAAACTTGATTGTAGTATATGCGCCCCATCGCTTTATCAGCTCATGGATCAATTTATCAATGCATCATCCCCAACACACAGAGATACCCACGCCCATCGTGCACAATAAAAGGATGTTGTCGCCTCCCATCATACTCCCACACGTCTCTTTCCTCTATCACACTTCTCTGATTGCTTACAAGGTCAAATTTCCAATGTTCTGTACGTATCCCATTCCTTGCAACCTTGAGAGTAAGCGTTGATCTTTGCGGTCATTCATAGGGTCCTGCTCTCATTGTTGTCGTCGTCCTCATTGTGATATTGGATCCTTATAATAAGGTAAAGCCTGTTTATGCTGCTTGATGAGTCAGTACTCATACACATACCTCGTTACTTTCGATATAGCTATCTCCTGTGATGCATCTGCAAAGGAAAGTTCGGTGCCATGGGCCCACATAGGGCGTTGAAATACTATAGACATGGTGCATTTGGCATGGTGCAAATACAAAAGCCCTGGTTGACCGCTCACCAGATGTGGATCTTGAAGATAGCTTTGTACACAATTTCATCTCCAACCTATTCGAAAACGTATTTGATCCTGAACCAACTCTCGAAGCATCATGGTACATGTGTGAAGAAGTTTGACCTTTTAAATTACAAGACTTACGCAGGATTTTTATTAGGGAAAACGGTCGACAACGAGGAAAACGATCAAGGGGTGATAGCACATTCAAGCCTGACTACACGTGGTTTTCATCACTCAAAGAATGCATCGCATCGACTTGGCATGTGCGGAAGCAAAAACTCCATCCAACATCGCCACTTTCCCTCGCTCAGATCTCGTCAAACTCGGTCAAGAGATGCGATGGATGGTAAACAGATTGATTGCGGAGGGTGTCCACCGGCCTGTAGTGGGAGGAATTCTTATCAGCGGCTTCAACATGGCGATTTACAAGACTTACAAGATTTTACAATATGCAAGTGACAAACCTGGCATTTACATAATGGTTGAGCAGAGCCGAATGGCCTTATTCAAGACCATGGATGAGTTGAGCTTCGTCCCTGTCATTGTTTCCGATTCGAGACAGCTAAAAGTAAGTCTATAGCATGGTTGTTATGCCGTTCAGTGTGCTTACATGATTGGAAATTAGGATATCACGTTGGATACCGCCATAAAGGCGAAAGATTACCTGAGGGAGAGATCTCCGGGAGTGATGCCAACAACATACAAGCCGCCACTGTCATGGTTGCGATCAGGATTTTACGAGTTGGATATATACAATCAACAAAAAGAAGAAAGGGGACCAGTGACAGCAATCAGCAACAAGTAGTAATATTAGCAGTAGCAATATGAATAGCAACAGTTACCATTAAATGGAGACATAGCTCTACCTATACTGATTAATTTGGGTTTATTTGAATGCATCTATGCTAGATACTCTAATCTCAAGGCTGGTACATGAAAGAAGAGCTCCTGGATGCGATGCTTGTGGCAATCAACGTGGGGATTCCAGTATCAGACTATGTATTGCAGCCCTTAAAGATCATCCTCAAGGTAAAATTACAAATGGATACAGTGTAAAGACGTCAATTGACGTATATGAAGCATCTCTGTAAGTACGCTTTGTACATTGTGTTTATTGCATTCAATCGTCTCTATGGATACGGTCGCTATGCTCAAGCCTGTCTGTGATGCAATATGCAGCTGAGAGTAAGTCTGAGTCATTTTGCTGGATTGCCTTTATATTTCGGCAGATCGCACTTATGGCCGGAAGTACAGCTTGTGCACATACAAAGAAAAAAAAACGACATGGCAGCACCTAACGATTGGACCCCAAGCAGTTGGAAATCGAAACCCATTGTTCAAGACGTTGTCTATGAAGACCAGGACCATGTTGATCGTGTGCTCAACAAGTTGAATCGTTTGCCACCCATGGTGTCTCCTCAAGAGGTATGCGTGTGTGGGCTACAAGGAGTGCCATTTGTTAATTGCTCACCCATTCCTTGTTGTAGATCGAGAAGCTACGTGAACAGCTGAAGGATGTGGCACTGGGAAAGGCGTTCCTCTTACAAGGTGGCGACTGTGCAGAACTTTTTGATTATTGCTCTCAGGTGACCTATTTGACACATCATCTACCACCATGTCGCACATGTCACTCATGGATGACCACGTGGATACATATATCATAGGACCCCATTGAAGCCAAGTTGAAGGTGTTGCTGCAAATGTCATTGGTGTTGACTTGGGGTGCACGTACTCCTGTTGTTCGAGTTGCACGTATGGCTGGTCAATATGCTAAGCCTAGAAGCAAGCCAACTGAAATGTATCAAGGCGAAGAGATCTTATCTTTCAGGTAAATCAATTGTGGTAGGTGTGTGTAATCATCATACTAAATACCATATTAGAGGCGACAATGTGAATGGATTTGATCCCAAAGATCGTAAGGCCGATCCTGAGCGTTTGTTAGGGTAAGGAGATATTGGATTAAGGTACGAGTTGGTATTGAAACAACCTTTAATAGCGCTTATTTCCATTCTGCTGCCACCCTCAACTATGTACGAGCATTGCTTGATTCTGGATTTGCTGGTAAGAAGGAGAAGGAGTAAAGAAAGAAAGAATGAAAAGAGGATTCATTGTATTGGGGATAGATTTGCATGCACCATCCAATTGGAATTTGAATCACGTGCGATCCGATGCTGTACGACACGAGTACCAAGAAATTGTATCACGCCTTACGGATGCTTTTGATTACATGCAAGTCGTCGATGCTGGATCAACACAAAATGCTGCTTTACGCTCCGTTGACTTTTTCGTGGCCCATGAATCCTTGTTGCTTGACTACGAATCCAGTTTGACACGACAACTTACTTCCCCATCATCCAAAACAAAGAAATGGTACAACACGGGCGCACACTTTTTGTGGATTGGTGACCGTACTCGACAACCTGATGGCGCCCATATTGAATACATCCGTGGTATTGAAAACCCCGTGGGTGTCAAAGTTGGTCCAACCACTGAACCTGAAAAGTTGGTCGAGTTGCTTGACAAGATCAACCCATCCAAGGCTATCGGCAAGGTGACGCTCATCACACGCTTCGGTGCAGACAAAGTCGATAAGCATCTTCCAGCACATATTGAAGCCGTACGCAACTCTGGTCACATTCCAGTTTGGGTATGCGATCCAATGCATGGCAATACTAAGAACGCTTCTGGAGGTGTAAAGACCCGCCATTTTGTTGACATTATCCAAGAACTATCACAAACGCTTCGTGTACACAAGGAATGCGGTAGCAAGCTCAATGGTGTGCACTTTGAATTAACCGGTGATTCTGTAACGGGTATGCCTTGATCATGGCTTGATGAAGTAGCTTGTTTATTAACTTGTATGCATGCATGTATAGAATGTGTGGGTGGTTCCATGGATTTGAAGGATACGGATTTATCAACAAACTACCAGACTTATTGTGATCCTCGACTCAACTGCCACCAATCGCTTGATGTTGCCTTTTTGATTGCCAAGTATTACCAAAAGGAGCGGATTAGCAGCGACTTCCCCAGTTTGTGACAAGAGACCCAAGATCCATTCATGACCTCCATCATATCATATATAGAATCAAAGCATTAAAAGATGACATTATCTATGCTCTAAACTATCATCATTTGTGTCGGCTACTTCTTAATAACTCCTTGATTCTCCCCGTATCGATCAAACTCTCCACTAGTCGTTCACTAAAATCGCATCACGAATGTTAGACAAAGTTACCCATCACAACCTGTGCGTATACACTTACTGTGGCAAGTAGGTGCGATCGGGATAAAAGACGTAATCCATGGGGATGTGATCCAAGTTGGTGACGCTTGACATGTAAATGTCGGCAAACTACCCATGTTCCCATCATTAGCATTGCATCACATGATGAACTCATTCCATTGTACATACCTGGCGGATTTTCCCAGCAAAATAAGTAGGGTTATGATATGTTCTGAAAACACTACCAAAAGCGCTGTTGAAGACGTTCCTTAATTCATGCCTTGCTTGACGCCGTTGCTCACGCCATTCATTGATGAGACTATACAAGCCATCTGTTTCTTCTTCATGTCCGTAATACGTCTGAGCCTCATTTATCAGGTTTTCAATCCGTATTAGCCAAGCAAGGGTGTGTCGATAAGATGCGGTGTTGCGTGTTTGAATCTCTGCGTCTAGCTCATGGATAATGGCACCTGTTCGCCAACCTTGTTCGACAGTGGGATCAATGAGATCTGAAAACACGTGATCACCGAAATAAAGAACATTTTGTCTACCATGTTTTGAATGAGTTTGAATACAACAATGATGCTCCTTGATACAATCATCGCTTACCCAGACCTACAAACCAAAAGATGTGTCATCAGCTTCCACGTAAAGTAACCTAGTATACCATATCATTGCCCTTACCATCCTGTCAAGCGCGTGAAATCCGTTAAATTGCCACCTTGATACACCTCCCCAGGTTCAAACATGTCCACTGAATCCCACGTTGGTTCCCGTGCACGCCTAAATGGACGACGTGACCGATAAAACTCTGGTTTACGTGCACTGACAATCACCGCATCGAACAAGTCTCTCCAATCCGGATTCGATGTAAGGTACTTCATGCCTTGGTCACTATATTAAATGATACGTATCAGCTACGAATATAGCTAAAGTCATTTTTTCACTTACATGAAGGGTAAGCTGCTATTTGTAAGAAGGAAGGTCTTTTTGCCATGTTTCCTGAGTCTTTCAATGAACCCAACGAGCTTTGGTGACTTTTCCAAATATTGAGCAATGTCGTCAATGACCGCCATATGTAACCTTCCACCAACACCAAATGCCCCATCCATATGTGATCCAGTGTGTAAGATCCTTGCAGCCTGTCCTACGTCGTCAGACAAGTAACGTGGATGGAAACTAGATGACGTGGATTAGGCAAAGCATATGACACCACACAGCTATCATCCCTACCTGATATTGTGTTCTTTGAAGTATTGGAGGATGTCACTGAGAAGGCATGCCTGGTAGCAATAGCGATGAGTTAAATGTTATGCAATGGTTTCCAATGATAAAAAGTATACCTGCGGTACTGAGAAAAGATCACTCAATTGAAACATGTTGTTTGCAAGATAATCAGGCGAAATGTGGGTGCCTCCAAAATGCTGTATCACTTCTTCAGGATCATTCACAGGCATACGTCCCACTAGTAATAAGGATATTAGATCCCCATTGCAATAGCATTTCCTCGCTATCACTTACGATGTACGGTGTTGAGTTGAATGTTGGCATAATTGTCAATCTTCATCAGCCATCCCTTGTTCACATCTATCGGATGAATTTTTAATAACCAATAGCGTTGTCATCCTCCTGCTTACATACGTACCAAAATGAAGACCACGGATAGCAAAGGTTGGATCAAACTGCAGGTCTACAATCACGTTAATCAAATGCCCATTTTTGATTGATAAGCTCCAATCTTACCTTTGATGTGTTTTGGATAACGCATCATGTCCACCAGGATATCCTTTAATATATCATAGATTGCTCTTGAGAGGTTGTCGGTATAATTGGCAAGGGTGTACTATGCATAATACAATGAATGAGTTGATACAGCCCAATACCATGCCCCTGGCAACTTACATCATAATCGAAGCCATAAACGTTGACATGACGCAAATTGAGCTCATTATTGATGAACCTAAGAAGGACACCTTGCTTTAGACTTGGATAGTAGATGAAGCCATGTAACAACTTACACCTCGTTTGGGGACGTGATACCAAGACCATAGACATCGGCAGAAGGTCCTCCTTGACCATAGTTTTTGCGTGTAGTGAGACCATCGCAGTTACCAGTGACCGAGAGGATAGTAGCGCGATCGCGTTTTGCCAATTGAATGTGCTCTTGTTTCTTTGCATTGAAGTTTGACCTTAGTGAGTCGACAATGGTGGCATGGCGATGGCAAGGAGTAGAGTGGAATGGACGTAGAGTGGATAGTGTCACAAGAGAAGTCAGTCTGTGCGACTGCAGGCGTAACATTTGGGATAGGAAAGAAGTAAAAGTAGAAAGAAATACAAGTTCTCAGTGATCCACCAAATTGGGTCAATGCATTGGTGTAGCTGGTGTAACAAAAAGAAAAACTCAACCGCTCCAAACGTCGTCGTCATCGTCATTATCAGCATCCAACCTTGAACACGTTTGCATGATAAATAATGGGAATCATTATTGTTTCAAAGTACCATGCAGAATGGATAAAGATAAGAGAAATAGAAGGAAGCTATTTGAGTTTTGGTTATTGCTCAATAAGGATACTGCTGCGTGGTGGTGGTGGTATCTTGTTGTGTGAGAGTGTAGATTACGTGGCGTGCACATCAAAGTAAATTTTGAATGTTTTATTACTTGAATCTCCTAAACCATGATGAATGGGTGATCTATCATTCAATATAAAAACATGCACCAATGGATGACGAAGGGAGGAGTATTATTATGATCCACAAGGGACTGAGAATAAGCGGTGATGTCCGGGTGATTGTAGGCTGGCGGGGGATGAATATAGCCTTTAGAGGAGCCCAGCCAAATCATCCCAAAATTTCGCTTCTCTCTCTCTTTCTCTTTTTCCTCTCTTCTCCTCCTCCTCTTTTCTCCTCCCAACTTGAACAATACCAAATGGCAACCCTACATCCCAATTCTCACTCAAACATCACAAAAGGTAACTTGCACCTATCCTCCATATTGCAGCTCATTGAACAGTATTCTCTCTTGTAGGTCGTAAGCGACGACTTTCCGAAGACGAAGACATGCAGGACGCACAACCCACGATGACATTACAGCGATCCTCACCGGAACGACATTATCGCAATGGAAGAGAAGCTTACAGAGTGAACGAAGTCAAACGATCAAAGACCGGTATCCAAAGGGATTCTGGTTTGACGCATATGCTAGGTATGACGACAACCCTCTTTCTACAACAGCAACTACTACTACTACTTCGTCTTTTGTATGCATACTAAACTCGATATTCTATATACAGCATCCATGGACAAAGACAAGCTTATCCACATTGTTCATTCTTTATTCGACAATCACCCAGAGCTGCGGCAAGATATCATGTCGTATATCCCAGCACCAACCGTTCAATCAGCGACTGAAGTGCTACATACATTGGAGCGACGAATGACAGAGAGCGTCCCATACAATCGTAATGGTCCTTTATGGAATGATTATACATTTTCAAGAGTACGAACACCTTTTATCGAATTGATGGTAGGAAAGAGAGATGGGCTATCGTACATGATTCATCCATAACTAACACTTTTTTCCTTCTAAAGGATACGATCCGACAATACGCATATTATTTTACATCACCGCTCATCTTTGGAACTACCTCATTCTCCTTTCTTCAATTGGCTACAGCACTCACACATCGACTTCCATCATGGGAAAATGATGGTAATTTCAAACTTGATCCTCTCATCGATACTTTACTCACACACACCTCACTTTATAGATAATAATCAATTGAAACGGGATCTATACAACGACCTGAATTCCTATTGGACAAGAGCGATCCAGATGGCTGCTTCAAGGCATCAAGAAGGAGAAGTCTATAGCGCACAAACAGTGAATGAACTTGCAAAACAGTAAGTAGTATCCATGGGTTGTGAATAGCGCTTTTACTAAATGCATCCAATGTAGCTTGGCGTATCACAATAACGCAGCAGAAGGATTATTTACTGGTGCCGTAAATGAATTCTCAAAGAGCCTTGGTACATTGATGAATCCTGTACGAGATGTTCCTATTTGTCACCATCCAGCTGTCGAGCACACTATCACAAGACTTGCATCACCACCACGGGTTGTAGGATATGCAGATGCCAGACGATAAACAAGTTGATATTATTCCCTTTTTCATTCTCTCTCTTTGTCCCCACCTCCTCATCTCTCAATGCTTTCCTTACACAATCAATCACAACATCGCCATGCTTTCCTTTTTTCCCACATTACAATCACACACACACACACACAATCACAATCACACAAATTTATATACTCTTCAACAAGATTCATTATATGCAATTGAAAAAGAGAAATGATCGAGTACAGATGGTATAATATCAGAGATCTACTTCGAGTATCCTTTCTTTGACTCTTCCTGCGATTCGTTTTACAATGGATTCGGTTAAAGTATAGACGCCACCCACAGCACCCATGATACCGAATAAAATCATGGTTATGAACATAAAGATAGCGAATACAATAATGCCTCCTAAGGCTGCGTCTCCATGGCAATGAGAATCTGCAATGTAGAAATCGCATCCATACCAGCAGTTGGCTTGACCACAGCACATGAATGGCATATCGTCATCTGCACGTGCATTGAAAGAGGTATAATCATCTGTAGCTGTTGCGCTTGCTGAAGTGATGCAAACAATGAGCACGTATAAAAAGCCAAGAAATGAGATGCCAATGACGCCTGCTGCCAAGTAAATGCGATCCATCCATAGAATGGTAGGGCCGTGCCATTGCCGCCATTCGTCATTCTCTGGTTGTGGTACATGTCCCAAAGCATAAACATCGATCGCTTTACATGCATAAGCCAATCCCACTGTGAGAAGCAGTACAATGATGAAGGTGATGGTGCGTATGAAATAGCGATGTGATACGATTGCTGCATAACGAGGTCGGTGAAGGTTGTATCGATACCCGCATAGATCGCATGATAAATACGACTTTTTCCTTGGAGACATGACGCGCCATCGATTTAAACAGTTCACATGAACATACATCATGCTCCCTTTGCATTTGCACGGTCGTATCAGCGGGTTGTCATCCTCTGCAGTAGTCGTATGTGCTGCTCCGCGGCATTTACTATTCATCACTTGATGCCTTTTGTATGCCGCATGGTCGTCGCTCGTAGTACTCGTCTCGCCGGGTATATTACTACTATCACTCTCTTGATCGTCATCTCCACAAATGCGACATGTCTTGGGATCGTTTATCGTAATCGTTGTCATGGCTGGTTCTTGATGTGCGCTATTACTGCTATGGTGGTGGTGGTGGTTGTCGTCGTCGTCGTTGTTGTTGTTGTCTTGGGTTGGTGTGGGTGGTGGTGGTGGTGAAGAAAGTAAGGGTGCTCCAGTCTCGCAGGCTTGGTATTGGATATCTTTGTTTTTATGTCGCGTCATATACAGGGTATGTGTTTATAAAGGAAAGGGATGAGGGCAAGAAAAAGGGATGGATGATGGATAAAAGGGGGTTTGAATTGTGCATTCGTTGAGATATAAGGTCTATCATGTCCTACGTGTGTGCCACTCTTCCAAAACGAGGCACCGACGCTCCCCGCTATCCTCTTCATGCCGCTCATTGGCCTGCCACGTTTCCTATCGACAGCCATTCCTTATAGCATGTGCTACCATCATCAGTCTCATTACATTTCCCTTCATTAGCTATCTTTCATGTCAATATGCACTAATAAAATTGATCTTCCTCATCAACCTGCATGGGCGGGGAACATGATGTCCGATTTGTTACATGACAACCGAGCCTTGTGAGCAAACATAAGCCTCACGTGGCTTTGCTTATTATATAACCCAAGGATGAGTATCAACATCAAGATCACCACTTTACTGCTCAAAACTAGCAAACTCAAATGAAACGGGAAAGTATCACACAATGGATGTGCAACATGCATAGGCCAACAGCTTTAAGTACAATGTCTATTCGCTCTTGTACAAATCCTTGCGTTTATTCTCATTTGATGCTTGCTATGTAATAAATAGTACTTGCATTCTTAGCGTCATACCCGGAGAACACGGCATTGCATTGCAACTCAAAGACATGTTGAACAAGAAGTACGCTGTAGGAAAACAATCGCATAGCATCCATGTTTGTGGAATGCCTTTGGCTGAATACATAGTCGACCCATTCATCATCCTTAGCCTTACACACTTGACATGATCCATCGTTCCTGCTGACGACTTCCCAAGTAACCAACGCGACAATCCAAGATTTCTCAACACTGCACTTGATTCCATCCATCCATCCATAACCATTGCAAACCCAACGTGTTGGTTAAAAAGAGCCTCCATTTCCATCCACCTGTTGGTCCATCCCTTGTTTGACCATCTTCCATCACAACTCAACCATATGAACATTGCTTGTACTGCGGTGCGCTTGATAGTTGATATGGCATCATCCATAGGAATCCGTATGTATTGAAAGCAAGTTGCTACACGTAAATAAAGCTGCTTCTATACAATGGCTATCTGCTGTCCACGTAAAAAAAGGCTGCAAGGCATGCTGCTGCAAGTAACTTGAGACGATGGAGTAAAGACCTTGCTGTTACGTTTGGTTGTGGCAGAGGAGCGTGCAAGAGCGTGTGTTGTAGTAGAGTGACAAGGCTTTGAACACCACACGAGTCATTGGAGAAGAGACCTTACTAATTGCAACTGCTGTTATGATTGGTTGTGGTCGTGGTTGTGGTTGTCCTGGATTGTACAAGAGTAGGTGTGGTGTCAAGGAACACGGGTGCTGTAGTGGGCTGTACACGCCATGGACTTGCCATTCAGTCAAAGACAATCGGATCAAGACATTCGTAGCATTGACATGATGGGTTGGAGCAGGACAATCGTTCGCAGGTGGTAGTTGTATACTTGAATGGGGTAACAGTTGAGATTGCGAAGAAGAGGCAAGGGGCTGAGAGTGGAAGAAGTGGAAAATAAATGGGTCGGACACCTCTTGTATAAATGCATGAACACTGTACATCCAATCCTTGATTATGAGATTGCCCCTCTCGAACCTGAAACTTTCACACAAGATGCTTTAGGACATGCTGATCAATGTTGTATTAAAAAACACCTCATGTACACTTGAAAAATTGGAATGGGAGGGTGCAATGTGGGTTTACTATGTAAGTCGGAAATGGAGGTCAGCCCCGGATTCATGATTGATCGAAATAGTATGTATTACCTTGGGATTCCTCATTTCGAACCTGAAACTTTGTCAGAAGGTTCGCTGCAACATGCTGATCAACTTCATTCATTTAAAAACCATACACCTCATTATGAACATTTAAAATGCGGGGTGGTCCAAATGGTGGATGATGGGAACAAAAGAGCGGACGGTCCACCGCCCCGAAGTTGCTCACTTCCAACTTGAAAATTGGTCAGGATGGTGCTCCGAGCATGCTGGTCCACTTTTTTCATATAAAAACCTCACGCTTCATTTGAAAATTTAGAACGAGAGCGTCCAAAAGTTTGAATGACGGAGACATTCGCAGGGTCTGTCTTTCAAGAATTGACACATTCTCTGTTTGGGCGTAGCTCACCCAAATCGGCTCGGATCAAGAAACTTGAATGATGGAAATGACCGGCTGGAGCAGGAGCATTGTTCACATGTAATAGAATGAACAACAGTGCCGATTGTGAGGAAGTGGATGTTAGCTGCCAATCATAGATGGTGTATATGGTATCGTACATTGGTCATTCCGATCATGCAAAATGGCTCCGTTACACCAAGAAGTCCTTCTGCATCTTTTGCTCTGTCAGGGTCCACCTACTTGGCAATGAACAAAGACCACTTCTCATATAGCATCACGCTTACAAACATAAAGGTGTCTGTATCTCCGAACTTTACAATGAAACGTGGGGTTTTTATTAGAGCAATGTGCTCAGCTTGGCCAACAGCACCTTGTGCGAAAGTTTCACGATCAAGCTTGCCAATCCCAGATTTCGCAATGTCGCTACCAGCCAAACTGGATCCGGGGGTCGACCTCTTGAAACTTTCTTCGACGACCAAAAAATATTTTTTGGGCTGTTTGCGACATTGAACGCGAAACTTTCACACAAGGTGCTGTTGGCCAAGCTGAGCACATTGCTCTAATAAAAACCCCACGTTTCATTGTAAAGTTCGGAGATACAGACACCTTTATGTTTGTAAGCGTGATGCTATATGAGAAGTGGTCTTTGTTCATTGCCAAGTAGGTGGACCCTGACAGAGCAAAAGATGCAGAAGGACCTCTTTGGGTAACTCAGCTAAGAAGTCAGGACTTCAGGGACAATGCATGATAGGTACGCAACCCTCACTTTTATGTCATACATTGGCAGCTAATAGCCACTTTTGTGCATTCCCAACTTTTGTGCATTCTATTGTAGGGGGACGATGCTCCTGCTCTAGAGATTCATTTCCATGATTAAAGTAGGTTGATCCGAGCTGATTTGGTTGAGTTACGCTCAAACAAGATTACATCGGTTGAGCTACATCGAGCGTGCTTTATGTCCAGAGTGATGTAATCTCTCTTTGACCGCAGCTCAGCCAAATCAGCTCGGATCAACCTAATTTAATCATGGAAATGAATGTCTGGAGCAGGGGCATCGTTCCCATGCAGTGGATCTCGCAACAATGATGATTGGATAAAAGTGGTCGTTAGCTAGCAACACATGCCTGTTCCTAGACGATCCATAAAGTAATTATACATTGACCCTTTCATTCATGCAAACGTAGCTGTGTTACACAACACGACCCTCTGCATCTTTTGCTCTGCCAAGGTCCACCTACTTGACAATAAACAAAGACCACTCTTCATATAGCATCAAGCTTACAAACATAAAGACGCCTGTATCTCTAAACTTTACAATGAAATGTGGGGGTTTTTATTAGAGCAATGTGCTCGGCTTGGCCAACAGCACCTTGGGTGAAAGTTTCACGATCAAGCTTGCCAATCCCAGATTTCGCAATGTCGCTACCAGCCAAACTGGATCTGGGGGGTCGACCTCTTCGACGACGACGACCAAAAAATATTTTTTTGGGCTGTTTGCGACATTGAACGCGAAACTTTCACACAAGGTGCTGTTGGCCAAGCCGAGCCCATTGCTCTAATAAAAACCCCACGTTTCATTGTAAAGTTCGGAGATACAGGCGTCTTTATGTTTTCACTATGCTGTAAGCGTGATGGAGTTGCTTTTTCCTAGTGGATGGTGTCGGCTGCATTAACGGAAAGATGAAGAGCTGAGTGAAACCGCACGTGGTGGTTACACAGACACGTCCTTGACAGGTTGCTACACAAATGGGTGATGATGATGATTGC